GTTGCAGTCCAACATATCGGGAAGGCGCCGAGTTAGAGACAGTTCTCTTAGGGTGCAATCCTATGTATGATTAGCTAGGGAAAAGGACCCTTTTCATCAGCTTTGCAGTTAAGGGCACGATCCCTCAGGAGTGTGTTGGACTACAACTCCCATCATCCCCAGCCTGTAGACACTGGCCAAATGGCATCTGCTGCCCCAGATGCCATCAAAACAGTACTATCCATACAGAAGGAGAAAATATGGGCAGGCTCAGAGGAGCCTAAAGTTTTGCAGATGTTCAGACCCTGAGATTTGCGGGTGTCTGAGTGATGCTCACGGGGACTCTAACCCATCTTCCTCAGTGAGAAAGGGGCCTGCTCAGGGGTCCCAGGATGCCAGTGGGCTGTCTGGGGGAAGCTGACAGAAAACTAGGGAGGAAGGCAAATCAAAGGGAGCAGTTGGAGCCCTCGGCGATATTCTGCGCTGCAACGCTCAGTCGCAGTCCCACGTCCGTCTTCTCTCTCGGCTGTCCATCAAGCCGTTTTCATTATCACTGGGGCTCATTATCCAGGACTCATGGGGAACCTGTGGCTGCTCCAGATGTGGCAGGACTCCATCAACACCCAGCCAAAGGCGGGGATGATGGCAGTTGTGCTCCAACAACATCTGGGAGGCCAATGCTTCCCCACCCCAGCCTTAAGCAAGTCAAAACCAAGGTCATTCATGCCGAGGTTGTTCCTGACTTCCCTTCTTCAGTTGCCTTCAGACGGGGTGGGGGGCAGCGGAAAGAGGGGCTTTTTTGTGTGGTTTTGTTTGTTCCTGATGCATCGCTAGGTTTGGTAGTTTCATTCCGTCTCCGGCTAATTCACTTTTAATGGGCTGTTGCAGCTTAATGTGTCAATAGCTTTATCGCTTTGTCGGTTGCAGTTTTTTTAATGGATTTTGCAAGGCAGCCTTCCCTTTGTCAAGAGGCTGGTTGGGGCTGATATGGCTTGTGGTCCAACACAGCTGGCCAGCTCCATGTTGGAGAACTAGGAACAAAGAAAGCAGAAGCCCATCCCCGATCGCAGTTCGTGCTGCGTGAAAGGCAGTCTGCATATGCTCAGAGGTACCCTCAGAGGATTTAGGATGGAAATAACGATGGCAACAAACAGCAGTTCTCTGTCCATATGCCACGTGTCTTTCCTTTGCCTCCAAGACTCAGCCTGAACATGTTTTTGGTGTCAGCCTTGGAACAAGAGAATAACAAAGGAGGAGACGAACCCTGGGTCAAAACATACCATTGCTTTTTATGCAAGCCTCATGGTTTTGGCACGGAGAACACGACACGCAGCCAAGTAAAGACAGCCATCGCCTCCTGGGGGCACAACCTCTCCCACATATACCCCCCACCCCCAGCCCTGAAGCAGCTTTGAGCCAGCTTTTCTCACTGGTCTCTCCCCACAGAAGCATCTGCTTTCTTTATCGCATTTTTCTCATCGGCTGTCCCTTCCGTCAGCTCAGCTCGCCACAATGTTTTGGCTGGAAGCAACATCACTTTTAGGCCCTGCGATTCGGGTAGCCCTGCTTGGGCACCTGCCACAATCTCACAACACCGGGGAAAGTTGCTTCTCCCCGCAGCTGCTTCCCCCATTGCAGTGGGGTGTTCACCCACCTCTGGTCCTGCCCTAGACGACGCTGGAATGAAGCAGGGAAGGGTGCCTTGCCCAGCAGCCCTGAGATGGAGCTGGCCTGAACTACAGCGCAAAGTCCCCACAAGCACAATGTAGCTCTTCAGGGAAAGTTTCCAGCAGACTCTTCCCTGCTTCACTAGATTTCTCCTTGCAGGGACTTGGGGGTTTAAAATACACAAGCGGCATTCTTTCTCTGTGCCCCATGAAGTAAACATGTACAGCACTGGGGCAGTCCGTTCTCTTTGTCAAAGGCCTGGGGCAGCCTTCCCCAACTGAGTGCCCTCCAGAGGTAAGGGACAGCAACCCCATCATCCCCAATTAACATGACTGGGGATGGTAGGAGTTGTATCCAGCAGCTCTGGAGGATGCCAGGCTGCAGAAGGGTGGCCCAAATTGTTTTCAGGTGATGCGGCAAGCTTGCCCTCGAAGCATAGCCAAAATGACAGGTAAAAAGAGAGGCAGATATGGAAGCCGAAGGACACCTCCGTGGCATTTTATTTATTTATTTAAACAACTTATATGCCGCCCCCTTCGCATAAGCCTCGGGGCGGCTTACAATCATAAATAAAAACAGCATATACATACATAAAATACATAAAATATTGGAAACAGCCTGGCGAGTTTAAAATCAATAAATAACCTTAACCATTAAAATAACGTTTAAATAAAAAGGTCTTGGCCTGGCGCCGAAAAGCAAATAATGGGAGGCGGGGCTGGATCCCGCGCTCTTTTTGCCCCGGAGGTAAAAATGCGGAGGGCCGTTCTCCCCTTTGTCAGCCGTGTGTGGGAAAGCTTGGTTCTTGCGTGCTCGCTTTCGTTCCCTCTCTGCGTTCTTGAGGCGACACTGCTCCGGCTGATTCCACCCATCGCTGACCCTCTCCCCTTCCGGCCGCCCGTCCTCAGTTTCCCAACATCTGCCAGCTGCTAGCCAGTGATCGCCGGGAGCAGAAGGCGAGGGGCGGAGGAGGCCCCGTTGGGTTCTGGGGCACCCCCTTCCCACGCTCGGCCCTCCTGCTTTTGCTTCTGCCCCTCAGCCAGGGGAAGGGAGAAGCAGGCCGTGGGGGAAGGACTCAGTCGTGCTGGCTGGGGACGATGGAAGGTGTATTCCAGCCCATCCAGGTTGCAGGAGGCTGCGGGGGGGGGGGGCAGGTCAGGGGAGGGGAAGCTGTGACTCTCCAGATTGTACCATTCCGGCTCCCATCAACCCCGGCCAGCATGGCCAATGGAAGGGGCGGATGGGAATCAGAGAAGAGTAGAGTTGGAAGGGACCGGAAGGCAGAAAGGGGCGCTCTGAGCTGGGGGATCGGGGCCACGTTGCACCTCCTGGTTTAGATCAGCTTTCCCCAGCCTGGCACCATCCAGGGCACTGGACTGGACCCACTAACAGCCAGGAATCCCAGTCCCCAGTGTCCAGCTCCCATCCAAACCAGGCTTCTGCAACCTGGTGCCCTCTGAGAGAGCCGGGAACGCTGCATTCCAGTGCTCTGGAAGGGCTCCTGGTGGTGGAGCGCAGCTTTAGATGGAACCAGGAAAGAGCGACACCCTGATTGCTGCAGGTCGAATCAAGGCCCCGAACAGGCATTCAGAGCTGGCACAGGTGACCTCACGGGTAGAAAAATGAAAGCAGGGAATAGTGACGCTCTGCAGTTCATTTCCATGAGATGTAGCAGCAGCCGTCCATTCGGATGGCTTTCAAGGGGGAATGGCAAACCCATGGAGGAGAAGGCTATCCATGCTCCTAGTCCTCAAGGTGACGCCCTGCCTCTGGTATCAGAAGCAGCCTGCCTGTGTGCACCGGTTGCTTGGGGAACCGGGCCAGGAGGGTGCTGCTCCTGGGCTTCCCGGGGGCGGCTGTGTGAGCAGAGGCCAGGCTGGATGGGCCCCGGGTCAGATCCAGCTGGGCTCGTCAGATGTTCTGCTGCAGAGCCAGTGGGAAGCTGCCCCTTTAAAGCGGGAGTGGTCCTTCAGATATGCCTCACCTGCCCCAGCCTGGCTGGAAACAAGGTCCTGGATTCTCTGAGGCCGAGGAGCAGACTTCCCAGGAATCTCTGGGAGGCTGGTGGCTGCAAACCTTGTGCAGGTGACCATCTGGAGTGTTGGCCCCGGCACAGGTGCCATTAGGGCAGCGGCCTTCAGCCCAGAAGCTGGGGGCTGCCTGGCCAGGGCTGGCGTTGAAGGTAGGCACGACTGGGCACTTGCCAAGGGCCCTCGAAGGAGAACCCCCGGGACCTGCTTGTCCTCTTCACCACTCGCATCAGCTTCTTCTCCCATGTTCTTTTGCAGAGGTGAGGAGGGCAAGCAAGAGGTGATGCTACCTGCTCACCTTCCACCTGGTGAGCAAGCAACCAGGAGGAGGAGGAGGAGGAGGAGGAGGAGGAGGAGGAGGAGGAGGAGGTGGGATGGCGGGCAGTGGCCCTGGCGGTCACTCACTGAGGGCAGGGATCCTGCCAAGGGTTCTGCCCAAGCACCCTCCAAACCCCCAAGCCGGCCCTGGCCAGGAAGGTGGTCTGGAGCAGTCAGAGGTGATGGCAGCCTGCAGCTGCCTTCTTTAGCTCGTTGTGGGGTTCAGTGAGGCCCAACAGGCAGAAATTCAACAGGCGTTGAAGAAAGCTTTGCCTGTTGAATGCCTGCCTGGTGCACCAGCGTCAAGAGGCCCAGAGCCGGTTTTTACAGCTCACTGTTTCTGGGCAGGGCTTGGGAGGGAAGAGATGCTCCGTGGCTCCGGCGGAGGAGGCTGGGATCCTGGGCTTGCCCGGTGTTCCCCGCTGGGGTGGAGAAACGGGCCCGTCCAGAAACGCTGCGGAGCGACAGCTCCTGCCTCCACCAAGCGCAGCCAGGCAGAGATGGGGACTCACCCAGCCTGGAGGAGCTGTGGGTCGCGCCCCCAAGAGCCGTGCCAGCCCCTCTCCGATCGTCAGCTGAGGCCTTGCGTGGGTCTCCCCTTCTAGCAGGAGGGCTGAAGCAGAAGGGGGCCGAGCAGCCAAAAAGCAACCGCTTCTGGGGCGGAGAAGGCAGTGCCGCCCTGGACTCTCCGGGCCCCGGCTGGAGGGGGGCAGAACCTCACGGCCACGGGCCGGGCCGCGATCCCAGTCCGGTTCCCGGGACTGTCCCGACAGCCGTGCCCCCTTTCCCCGTCCACACCTCCCTCTAGTCTCCTGGCCTCCTTCCTGTCCCACAAGCCCAAAACACCACACCTGTGGACGAGGTGTCCAGGGCCAAAGCCGTGCCCGGCTCTTGGAGCGCCCAAACTGAACTAAGCTGCCACGCGGCCCGCAGGCCCTTCCGCACCCCCGCGGGACGGCTCAGCACGGGGCCACGATCACCGCCTCTCCTCTCCCACTCCCGCAGACGCCATGCCGGTGCCGGATCCCCGAGGGGACGCAGGACGATGGGCCAACGTCAGCTACCGTGTGCGGCAGCCCAGCCAGCCGGAGATCGCACCCCGGAGGAAGAAGCGGGGCTGGTTCCATAAATGCTGCCGATGCTGCTCGGGCCAGGGGGACGACGGCGGCTGGGGGCCTGCGCCCGGAGAGGTGCCTGGGGCGCGGCGGACGGATCCCGTCGTCCGGGGTGAGTTGTGGGGTAACAGGGCAGGCGCCAGCCACAGCGGGGCGGACTTGTAGGGCAAACCAGCGGGGGGGCAGCATTAAAGCCCCAAATTTCGGTGCTCTGGGTCAGCCGCCCAAGGTGCCCGTTCTGGAGCTTTGCTGGGGTTTGCAATTGGTGTTTTAACATTATTTGATCCTTTCTATTATATAAACCATTCTTTTATCATTCTAAATATTTTATAATCAGCAGGACTAGCAGTGATGCAAAAAGCGTTTCCGCTGCGCGTCCATCCGCTCTTTCCTTCTTCCTTCTTGTTGTCGGCTTTATGATTTCAGCTTCATCGGGGCAGAGACCTGACCTCCTGTGTTTTGCAAACCACGATGCACATACCTGGCACCCAGAGAATCTAACACCGTTCCATTTATGCAGCTCGCCCCTTTTAGCACACGTGCCTTTTTTTCCTAAAATGCAGAAACATTTTAATTCTAAGCTGCCATGCGCGGCCTGACAGAGGATGGAATTGTCCTCGGTGGGTGACTTACTTCTTTCTTCCATGGGCAGAGGGCATGCTGGTAATCAGCGGGATTGATCTGATGAGCAGTCGATCTGGGAGCAACCGCCGCGCTCACCACACAGATGAATTTGAGTACGACAACCTCATAATCCGCCGTGGGCAACCCTTTGATATGAAGCTCCAATTCCGGCAGCCCTATGACCCCGAGGAGCACCGCATTTGCCTCGAGTTCCTCATTGGTGAGTAGACTCAGAATCTTTTACATTGCTCTAACACTAAGTTTCTAGTCCTCATGACCGATCTATTATGTTTGGAAATGGGGAAGGGGCAAATGAGGCAAAATGGCTGCATCTCTGTTTGTTTAAGCCAAGTCTGCCCAGGGTCACGTACCAAGAGTTGGCTGAGCTAAGTTGGCTTAGTGGTGAAACTGGTCTGTGCTTGCGACTCATTCTTATCAGCCGCTCTCTGCTCAAGTGGGTGAGGAATTCTGCTGTCAGTGTTGCTGAGATGTGTTGCTAAATTTATTCCGGGGAAGAGTTTGGAAATAGGGCAGGGCTTGCCAGGCAGTCCTCTTGGCTTCCATCCCAGCAAGTCCGGCAATTAAGCACACACATATCTTCCCTCACCCCCCACCACCCGCCACGGATCTCCAGGACAGAATCCGACCCTTTGATTAGTGGTTCACTCTGCAGTTTGGGGGTTGCGACCAGGAGACAGTCTGTCCTCTAGGACAGCCACCCAGACCCCAGCGAGTCTCCCTGCGAGGACCCATGTGCCAGTCTGGAAGGGCAGGACAGAAAATGTAGAGGTGGGGGAGGCCAGACTCTGACACAGTGACACACAATCAGTGTATGATGGGTGTTGTGGTGCAACTCATCCGGAGAGCACCAGCTCCCGATTTGAATTGCTGTAGTTTGGAGGCCTCGTTCTGCACTGACCCCAACCCCCCCTCCGAATTGGGCAAGCAAGGGGGTCTACACTGCAGCATGGCAACATCTGACCCCCCAACCAAGAGAGAGTCCCATGCGCCACGAGAGGGGGAGCCTTGCAAACCACAGCGTGGCATTTCCAGCTAAACCAAAGCTTTGAGCTTGCTTGCTTGCGTTTGCTCTCTAAAAATTGAGCTGTGGGAAAGCATTTAATTGGGCATTTCCCTGCATCCATCCAAGGCCCCAGCAGCATCAAAGAGAAACTGAAGCTGGGGATGATGGACTTTTGCCATAGTACCCCACTAGGACAACCCTATTCGGCTAATCTTACTTAGCCGGCTACTGAAAGAGCACAAAGGATCACCGGCCAATTCCTTGTGTTCTCATGTTCCTTGAGGAACACTCTGCCTAATTAATTAAGCGGAGAGTGACTCATGAGCCCCACAAATGGCCTGTCAGACCCTCTGCTCCCAAGCAGTGGACGGGCAGGTGGGACAGATAATGATTTTTTTCTAATTTTCCCAATTACTAGGAGAGGGGCGGAAGGGTAATTAATTCCCTGACAATCACGCATACATGGCCCGGGGCTTACTCAGAGCAAGCAAATGAGAACACACATGTCCTCTGCCCTTCTCCCTGATTTTTTGAACCGTGTGTCGCTCTGTCGCAACCGCAAATGCCAAGTCTGCATTTCGAGCAGCCCTTGGAAACTGGAGTAAAAGCCACTTGGGGTTTTTTTAAAGAAGTTGGCAACCCCGCTTGCCAAGACTTGACCGCTGAACTTCTCGCCTTCAGCAGGAACAGTCTGGCCGGTGCTGGTCCGTGAGGCTCCGCTGCATTTAGGAACGTGCCCTGAGGTGGGAACCCCGCAAGAGAAGAGTCTGACTTTCCCCTGCCCCTGTCCACTGTTTCTGGACAAAGGCTGCCCCGCATGGCTTCTTTTAGGGCAGAGAGAGGCACTCTGCTGGTTCAGGCCAAGGCTTGGGCTTTTCACAGGGACGAACCTGGTGCCTCGGGGAAGTCCACAAATGGAACACGCCTCCTGCTCTTTGTCCCGCAAAATTGCCTTTTCAGAGCTCAATTGTGCAGACAGCCGTCACACCATTAGCTGTCGGTCTCTCCTTGTCTGTCAAGGTCTCCAATCCTCTTTGCTCGAAGGGATCTAAGCCCGTGGCAATTGTCCCATGTTGTGGTAATGAATCCTCCAGGTTAATTATATGTTCTGTGAATTGCTGTGTTCTATGAGCTATTCATTCATTCATTCATTTATTTCATTTTTATACCTCCCAAAAGCCGGAAGGCTCTACGTCGTAAACGTGATATCAGATAATCTCCTACACTAATCCCCAAATTCTGATCTGGGAGAGAAGGGAAAATTTGATAAACTTTGATCGATTTCCCCTGTCTGGGATCTGACAGGTGTGGCCAGGGGTGCTTGGATCTGTGCTCCAGCCCACCTTGAAGGAGCCTGGTTAGGAAAACAAAATGTTTCCATGCGCTTGTTTCCATTTCATCCTTTCCCTCTCCCACAACCCAAAGGCCCAAAACCGGGGCGAAGCAGCTGCATTCATCCACATAATGTTGGCCAAGGATGATGGGAGCTGGGCCTCAGTTTCCCCACTCCTGTTTTTAGCCTTTCCTGGCTCCCCTCGGCCCTTCTGACAGCTGTGCGGCAGGCCCCGATCCAACCTGTGCAGCTTCTTCCATCGGCTGCATTGCCATGGTAGGTGAGGAAAGCATCATCAGCGAACTGAATTTCTGCCTGTGGCAGAAATTTCTGCCTCTCTGGGGGCTGCCAGGAAAAAGGAGGAGAGCCAGTCCTTCCTGTGGGGCCGGACAGGGTATGGAGCTGATAATTCACTCCTGGAGAGGTCCCTTTTTAAATCATTTTTGAACGTTCTTATGTTCTTTTAAAATGCTCAGTGTTTTACCTATTGTACTTTACTGTGTTTATACTCAGTTGTAAACTGCCCAGAGAGCTTTAGCTACGGGCAGTATAGCAATGAAATTAATAAATAAAACAAAATAAAATCTTGTGCCAGGCAGGCGCACGAGTGTGGGAGGGAAGAAGCGAAAGGAGTCAGGCCGGGGCTGTGGGCCGCACCCATGGGCGCGCAGCCTCTTTTGCTGGTTCCTGTCCTAACCTGTTCCTCAGAGTGGCAGGTGAGGAAGAATATAGGGTGGCTTGAACAAGAGGCGCTGCAATCCCGGTCTGCAAAACCGGCTCCCCAAAGGCCAGCTCTCCACCGCGGATGTGCGGCTCTGGCTGCACGGGGAGGCGTTCGGCATCCTCTTGCGACAGCGCCGGGGCGGCCGCCCGCATCCCCTGTGGCACGCCGGCACCCATGCCAAGCCCTGCCTTCTCGCCACGTCTGCCCCTCGTGGCGGGCTCGGGGGCTGGCTGGCACGGTCTAACTTCGGACTCTCGTCAGCCCCGGGCAGGGGAAGCGACATCTGGCAAGCCTCTGGCCTAGGAATGGAGCAACTGGTGCGCAAGAGAACCGGAAAGTTCGAATGCCAACCATACCCTGGCTGGCCCTGCAAATGGCCGGGGTGCAAGGGAATCATAGAATAATAGAATTGGAAGGGGCCAGGAAGGCCATCAGCTCCACCCTGCTGCTGCTGCAGGACATCAGGTCACACCACCCCACTCAGGTGTCTGTCCAGCTTCTTTTTGAATGTCCCCAGTGTGGGAGAGCCCCCCGCCTCTCCAGGCAGCTGGTTCCACTGCTGTATTGCTCTGCCAGTGAGGAAGCTTTTCCTGACGTCCAGCCTGAACCTGGGTTGTTGCAACTATTTCGTGTCCTACCCTCTGGCATCAGCAAGAAGAGATCTTAGAAACATAGAAACAGAGCGAGTCAGAAGGGGCCTCCCAGGCCATCTAGTCTGACCCCCGGCTCCAGCCGGCTCCACTCTCGACATGCCCACCATGTGCATGTCCAGCCTATCCTTGGACACCCACACCGATGGAGCCTCAACCACCTCCTGTGGAAGCCCATTCCATACCCCAGGGGTCCTAACCGTCAGGAAGTACTTCCTGGCATCCAAATTGAATCTTGGTTCCCCAAGCTTTGCTCCATTGGAGCACGTCCTGCCCTCCACTGTGGGGGGGGGGGAGGTCATGACCCACATCTTGAGCTTCCTCTTTGGGAACTGCTGGCAGAGTGCCGGGAGGACCATGAGGTGCCCACCTGTGCCATCAAACAGCGACTGCCAATACATCGACGGCCACCTCCTTTTCCTGCATTTCCAGTTGCTGTTCAAGACGCTTCCTGGTGGCCTGAGATGCATTTATTTTTTTAAGCAGCTCACAGCAGGACCACGTGCCCTTCCCTGGCTTTTAGGGCCTTTGCGAGACGTTTCAGCACGATTCGAGCAAACATTCACGGCAAGGATGCCTTCAGCCCATCCGGCCAGACCCCCTCCCTGTGCCCGGCCTTTCCGCTCCACCCCTCCCAGGCGACCTGAGGTGAAGGCAGCCTCTTCTTGGCTTCTTCCCCCTTGCATGCCCCTGCAAGATCAACAAACAAGCGAGGCTCAGCTGGAGAAGCCGGCCCAGCCCTTTCCCTCCCCAGACAGCTTTCACGGAGCTTGCTGGGCGTGAGAGTTAGCTGGAGTACACTGAGGTCTGTTTTCGGTTATCTTGCATCAGCCTTCCCCAGTGTGGCATGTGCTGAAGGTGCTGAATTACAGGGCCCAGCATCCCCCAGCTAGCTTTGCTGGGACCTGTAGTCTAATATCAGACTGGGGAATGGTGTCCAAGTGTGGAATCCAATTATTTCTATGACTTTTTCTTCCCTGGATATCTGTCCTTTTTTGAAATGCAAGGTTCAACAGGTTTGGTACATAAGGCACAGTGTTGGCATAATTTGGAGCACGTTATGCACTCGTTTGTGGTTAGCCCAAGGGAGAACAACACCCTTGGTGTGTAGGACTGGAAACTGGTGGCCCTGTAGCCGCAGACTGTGACCAAGCGTATGCTTTATCGTTTCCAGCAAACAGCGTATAAAGGTGAAGGAGCGAAGGTTTAAGGTTCCTATGACTGGGATCTGGGACGTGAGAACCTCGTCAGTTTGGGCATGGCATGCCAACCCAGGGAGGGGATGTCCCGTAGGCCAGACACATGGTCCCTGGGGTTGACATGGGAGAAGGCAGGGCAGTGTAGGATAGCCAGAAATGTTGGTCCCACATTGTGGGGAGAAAGGCCCGTTCCATGCTGGACTTCACTAGGAAAGCAACTGAGACCAGACACTTATGGGGCAGCTCCCCTGTGGAGAAACGCCACACCTTTTGGGGTTCCTGAGCTCAAGAAAAAAGGTAAGTGCAGGAAGCTGTAATGGAGGTGTGCAAAATGATGCCAGGTTGGGGTGAAGGAGAGGTGGAGCTGTTTTTCTCCCTCTCCTGCAGTGCTAGATCTCAGACGGGCCATCCCAGGAAGGTGATGCGTGCGAGGTCCAGGGAAGAGGAAAGGAAGGGCTTTTCTGCATGGAGGGAGTTCGGCCAGGGAATTTGCTTCCCTGGCATGCAGCCACGGACCCCAGTGTGGGCAGCTTTAAAAAGGAACTGGAGAAAAGTGGCATTCTTTCCCTGGCAAAGACAAAGCCATCGTGGTTTCTTTCTTTCTTTCTTTCTTTCTTTCTTTCTTTCTTTCTTTCTTTCTTTCAAGTGATTATATCTTGTGTTGTATTCACCATGGTTAGTTTTGGTCTTTAGAAACCAGGATAAGAAACAATGGTTTGTTTCTCATCCTGGCTTGTTGTGTTGTCTGAACCAAGGATCGTGCTTTCCGTGGTCCTGGTAGGCAACTTCACAGAGTCCATTGGAAAAAGCAGCCATCTATTTGTGGACCAATGAGCAAGAGGCAGGCCACATAGGCAGGGAGTGATTCACCTTGGGATTGAACTTCAGGCACAGTGGCTGATGGGATACATGCCAACAGCAGGAGGATGGTAACCGCAACAAAGTGGAAACCACTCGGATGTCTGTCAGGCTGATCACGGTAACAAACTGTGAACTGTGGTAACCACAAAGGGTCGCTTGAGCTGTGTGAACGCAGCCTTCGTCTGGCCAGCTGGGGTGTGGTTCTTCCCTTCACCCCAGAAGCACCCAGAATTTAGTCTCCAGGGATGCCCACCCCTGGCATGGAAGCGGTTTATAGATGAAAGAGGGCAAGTCCACTCCTCTTCAGCATCTCCGATGCCTCTTCCCTCTGGCAGGTCCTTCACCCCAAGTCTCCAAGGGCACCCACATTCTGGTCCCCGTGGGCAGCTCCCTCTCCGGCATGGGCTGGTCGGCGGAGGTGACCGACACCGGAAACAACAGCATATCCCTCCGGGTCTGCACATCCCCCAACGCAGTGATCGGCAAGTACCAGTTCAGCGTCAAGACGCGGAGCAAGGCAGGCGAATACCCGGCGCCCTTTGACCCCCGCAACGAGGTCTACATCCTTTTCAACCCCTGGTGCCCTGGTGAGTATCACGACCCGAGGGGAACATTTCCCCCGAGAGGCTTTTGGGTTGGAATTTTAGCCAGTAACCGAACCAAAAGAGTTGATCGACAGAAAAGCAGCAAGTTTGATTTTTACCACTTATTTTTAATGCGAGTTTTCAGACGGGCCCCATTTCAAAAAAGGCGTCTTTTCTGTCCCTTTGCACAAGGCTGGGCAGAGCGAGCTGTTTTTGGGAGATGTGGGTCCATGTCTGAGAACAGACAGGGAATGACTATCACCAAAACCAGGGGTCAGCAACCTTTAATACTCAAAGAGCCATTTGGACCCGTTTCCCACACAAAAGAAAACACGGGGAGCCGCAAAACCCTTTTGACATCTAAAATGAAGATAACGCTGCATATATCGTTTTTTACCTTAATGCTATGTATATCTTCATTATGATTTAGCTGCAGCTCTTGTTCAGTCACTAAAAACTGTTATTTTTAATCTTAAATTATAAACTAGTAGGACTCCTTTCATATATTTTGAATAGGAGAACAGCTTCCTGAAGAGTCAAAGTCAGTGCTAAAGGGCTGCGTGCATTAAACAGCAAACCCCATAAGTTCGTCAGCAGTAAATCTGCCCAAGTATCGTTAAACGTTTGGTTTATTCAGAAACTTTTCTTTTCTTCGATTTATCCAAGCGCTGTGCTGGCCGCACCACCATGCCGGCACGGGCCGTGGATCAGCCGACAGGGCCGCAAATCAGCCGGCATGGGCCGCGGATCGGCAGTGGCTGTGACGCGAGCGACGGAGCCACGGCAGAGGGATTCAAGGGCCACATGCGGCTCCAGAGCCGCAGGTTGCTGACCCCTGACCAAAACGATTGGATTGGGATGAACTGGTGCTCACATTTGTGACAATAACATTGAGAAAATCGAAACTCACTAGTTTCAAAGGGAAGGATACGAGCATGTGACTACAGTCAATGGGACTGAGACACGTTTGACTCTGGCTGGGTTGTGCCTGAAACATTTTAGAAGTGGAGAAGCCCGCAGAAATGCGGATAAACATAGAAACAGAGCGAGTCAGAAGGGGCTCCCGGGCCATCTAGTCTGACCCCCGACTCCAGCCGGCTCCACTCACAACAAGCCCATCATGTAAAGACAGTGATTCTCACATGCTCCTGTCCTGATTCTTTGTTTGCATGCGGAGAGACCCATTGCAGGGCAGAAAGTAGTGCAAATCAAACCCCAAAGAGCCCTCCCCTTATTGAAACTGGAGATGAACTTAGTTTGCTTCGGGTAATGCGAACTAGTGATCAGAGCGAGACGAGATCAGGGGCAGCAGTGCGCCAAGAGTTCCCCTCCTGTGGGGGTCTGCTATTCCTGTCTCACACCCCCACTGCTGTTTTTATTCCTGACCTCGAACAGAGGTAGGAAAGCAGAGGAAATGTTGGGTGGGGAAAGGAAATTTTTTATCTTGCATGGAATATGTGGGGAAGGCACCAAAGAAAATACAGCCCGTGGCCAGGGAAAGAGAGAGAAGGAGATAATGTTCTTTGGGCTTGCCCTGCGGCAGCCATCTAGACCAAGGCTAGGCAGGCAGCAGCCCTCCTGGTGTTTGCATCCCACTCCCAGAATTCCTGGCGCTCGGCCATGTTGGCAGGGACTTCTGGGAGTGGCGGGGGGTGTCCAGAACACCAAATGTTGCCTTGGCTATTCTTTTCTTTCATGGTTCTCTCCTATTTTATTTGTAAACCCCTTGTGAGACGCTGCCTCCTTCCAGGGGTGGGATATGAAGATCTCCATCTTAAAACTTGAATGGCTGAGTGAAATTCAACGCCATTGAACTCTTCTGGCCTGAAAACACATCAAGGCAGAGTAGAGTGGGGTGGGTAAGAGTGTCGAATGTCGGCCAGAAAAGTCCCAGGTCAAAACACCCATCAGCCTCTGAAATGCACAGGTTATGGATCATTCACGTGCACTCCAATTATACCACCTCGCAGGGTTGTTGTGTGGATCAGGTGTCCCGAGTTCCTGGATGGAAGGCAAGATGAAAAATAGGACTGAGTTTGCAGCTAAACAGATAGAAAATGACTCTGTGGAATCACTGTTAAAAGTTCCACCTGTTAAAGTTCAGCCTGTCTTAAGAAATCCGTCTTTAATAGGCTTCCATGACACCGTGTTTTCACAAAGCTTTCCACAGAGTGCTTAACAAAGCAATATAAAATTGCACAAGGTGTTAATGATAAGAAAACGGCAATCTAATGACAGCGGAATAACATAACAAAGTTAAGAGCACGTTCTAAAACATGGGCCAGAATATCCCCTTACTGCTTAAGCATCGTGGACACTTCCCCTAAACGCTCCTCCTCCCTCACACCCTCAGAGGATCCCGTGTATCTGGAGCAGACCAGGTCCTTAGAGGAATATGTCCTGAATGAGACCGGAAGAATCTACTACGGGACTGAAAGCCAGATTGGGGAAAGAACATGGAACTATGCTCAGGTGAGTCGCTTGTGGGTATTTGGGGGGGTGCCAAAGGGTACAGAGGGTTCGAATCAAAATGGAAATCATTTTAGAGAGCTCTTTGGGCAGCTTTCCCCAGACTTGCGCCCTCCAGAGGTGTTGGGTTGCCGCTCCCATCATTCCCTGCCAGCACGAGGATGATGGGACTTGAAGTCCACCACCTCTGGAGGGCCGCCATTGGGCATGAGGCTGTTCAGCGCTATCAGGGTGCCCGAGCAGTAACGCAATCAACACAACGGGCTCTCGGGGGCTCCTTTTCGCCTGGTTTCTCGCTTTGCCACCGTCCCGGGGTGTCCGTTTTGGCATCGAATTGTGAGCTTCCTCCATGCCTGCCTTTGGAGCCGTTTCCGTTTGGTTTGGAAGGTACCACAAGCCACGGAGGTAACAGAATATCTCGTGTGGCTGTTTCCGTGTCTGCGTGTTCAGCAGCGTCTGGTCCTTGCAAAACGGGCGGGAGGAACGCCAACGCGGAGGGAGGGCTTGATCCTGCGACCAGATCAGTGGGGCAGCAACTGAACGGCTTTCTCTTCTCCCCACAGTTCGACCAAGGCATCCTCGACGCCTGCCTGTACATGCTGGACCGGCGTGGGATGCCCCATGCGAGTCGGGGGGACCCGATTATGGTCTCCCGCGTCGTGTCTGCCATGGTGAGCCCCGGACCGGGCACAGCCCACCCTTCCGCTGAGACGGCCCCTTCCTCATCTTCTCCCCCACACCCTTCTGCCTCTTAAACACCCCCCTTGCTACTTTTTTATGTATTTATTTGGGAAACTTGTATGCCACTCCATTCGCATAAGCCTCGGGGCGGCTTCCATCAAATAAATAACAATACAAAAATATAAAAATTGGATACATCCAGGCAATAAATAAAACCAATAGATAAACAATTAATTAAAATAACATTTAAATAAAAAGGTCTTGGCCTGGCACCGAAAAACAAATAACCACGGCGCCAGGCAGACCTCTCTGGGGAGCCTGATAGCAGCTCCCTCACAACAACCCTGTGAGGTAGTTTTCAGCCAAGAAAGAGAATGCATGAGGGGCATCAGGCGTGGCATGAAAGGGTAAAAAATGTGCATTCGTTGGTTGCACGATTAGCAACGAGAGATATGTGTTTGTCAGGATTGCTCTCCTTCCTTATCAAAACACCCATCCCTTTCCAGTCCTCTTTGCTTTTCAAGACATTCTATCTTGCCCCTTCCGCATCCTCCCATTCCCCCCCCCCCACTCTCTGTTCATGCACAGGATCTACTTCTTCTTGAGAACCTTCCTCTTCTCTTTCCCTCAGCACCCTCTCTTTTGTAACTCGGGGGGGTGGACAACTTGTGCCCCTCCAGATGTGGCTGAATCAATCCTCTCCGATGGCTGCCCCACTTTGCTCTGACAGGGGCGGAAATCCAGCAGCAAAATCAGCCCAAAGTCCTGAGAAAGCGTTGGACAAAGAGAGGCATTCCCACACTTATTGGCCCGCTGGGTCCCTGCCGTGGATAAATCCTGGCTCTATTGGGGTATTTCATTTGCACAAGCAGATTACTTGTGCTGAATCCATTCCAATGAAGATTAGGAATGGTGCAGATGAACCAATCAGATCTAAACTCATCCAGAAATGAGTTCAGCAGAGATCAGAGGAGCTTTTTCCCCAAGGACAAATCCCAGCCTCAAAGCACTCTTGCACTCCGGCCGGATTTGCCCAAGTGAGCTGACGGATGCAACTCTTTCAAGGAGAACCTGCCCTTGTACAACCAGCTCAACCAGCTGGGCTGTTGCCCCTTTGCAACACTTCTGCGGCAGGGAGTTCCGCAGATGGAAAGGACATGTGTTGATGTAGTAGCAGGTGCATACATGTCACGACAAGGTTTGCTTCCAGTTTGCCACCCAGTGATTACAGCCACCACCTTTCAGTGTGAAGTAAGAGGGTAGTTATCCCTGATAGGTTGGGATATTTTCGTGTGGTCCCTGATGATCTTTTCCCTGTGGCTCCTGATACATCCCTCAGCTTCACCATCTTTTCCTCATGTTTCTACCCTCTCAAATCCATGTCTCCATTAGGATTAAGGAGCAGGAAGCTGCCATCAATCCCAGCCCTCCCTGTTTCTCTTTGTTTTAAAAAGCAATCTTGGCTTGCAAACAACATTTCCTGGTGAAATGAAAGTTTCTATCCCCGTGGGCATTTTCGCCTCCATCCATCTGGGCAATCACCAACTCCGCCGCTTCGTTCTCCCCCACAGGTGAACTCCCTGGATGACAACGGGGTGCTGGTGGGCAACTGGACAGGCGACTATTCCCGCGGCACCAACCCTTCAGCCTGGGTGGGCAGCCGCGACATCCTCTTGCAGTACCACAAATCGGGATATCCTGTTCTTTACGGCCAGTGCTGGGTGTTTGCTGGAGTCGTGACCACAGGTAGCTGCCCTTTGTGGGGAGGAAGGACATGCAGAGGGTTGGGGGGGACTTCTGAAGGGACACCCTCTCCCAGATGTTCCTGCCCAGATGCTAACATCATCTTCAGAGCCTCCTGTCTGGGTGCTCTCAGTGGTAGCCCCAGTCTGCAGAATGCCCTTCCCAGAGAGACCCTTCTAGCCTCTTGGCTGTACTTAGGCCTTCCAGGTTAAGGCCTTCCTCTTCTAACAAGCATTTAGTCTTTATTCTCCAAACATCACTGCCAGTCTCCAAACATGTTTAATGTTTTGATACTTTTTGCATTGTGGGCTTTGTTTTGACTGTTACCTTAATTCCTGGGTTTTGCGAATGCAAACCGTCCTGTCAGCATCTGTTGATCGGTTGCATAGACAGTTAATAAGCAAAGGAAGAGTCGTGAAACAGGAAGGTTCCCGTGAATCACAGGCGAGGAATACACCTACCTACACCTGGGCATTTCCTGGGGAAACACCTCCTGGAGCTCTTTGGCTCCCAGATCTTCCCCTTCCTCACCTGCCAATTTAGCTCCCCGCCCAGCACGTGCCTTCGCCCCACGTAGATTTCTCAGATCTGCGTGTGACACAAAGCCAGCAGGGGCTACAGATTCTCATGGGGTTTGGGGCAGTACTAGAAATGAGAGGTGGTCCCCCCGCTGATCTTCCCCTCCCCTGCCTCCCCTGCCAGTGCTGCGGTGCCTGGGCATCGCCACGCGGACAGTCACCAACTACAACTCGGCACACGACACGGACGTCAGCCTGACCATGGACATCTATTTTGATGAGAACATGAAGCCGCTGGAAAACCTCAATGCGGACTCCGTCTGGTGAGGAAACTGGGCTGCCCCCTCCTCTCCCCAGAAGGCTGTCCCCTGTGCGGGGACTGGGAGCTGGGCCGGGGCAGCTGCCGCCACCAAAAAGACCGTTTCCCTTCTCCTTCCGGCGCAGGAATTTCCATGTCTGGAACGACTGCTGGATGAAACGGCCGGATCTACCGTCTGGATATGATGGGTGGCAGGTGGTGGATGCCACCCCGCAGGAGTCCAGCAGTGGTAAGCCGGGGTTCTCCGGTTGTGGGGGTGCTGAGCCCCACTCAAGCAGAGGCTGACCCCCGTCCCCTCCTCTAGGGGCGGCATCCCAGTTGTGGCTAAGTCAAAAAGGGCTGAGCGCCAAAGCAGCGGGCCCCAAACCTAACGGCTTATTTCAGCTCAATGCTCTCGTGCAAAGCGGGTGTTGCTGGGACAACTTAGCGGAGCCCCCATGGTCATCAGGGTTTTGCCTGGGAAAGTTCCCGGGAATGGCCAAGAAGTCCAGCCAGGGGAAGGGGCCTCTGAGGAGGAGAGATGCTCAGACACGGGCCGGGACCCCCCTGCTCTCAACCACAGAGAAGGGAGAGGCGGGAGGGCCGACGGAGCAAGCAGCGCGCAGAGAGGAGGCGAGCGAGCGAGCGAGCGAGCGCTCAGAAAGCCGCTCCCAAAGGGATGGGGCCTTGTTGTGGTGATTAGTCGTGAAGTTGTATGTGACCCATCGCGACCCCATGGACAACACTCCTCCAGGCCTTCCTGCCCCCCACCATCCCCCGGAGTCCACCCAAGCTCACACCCACTGTCCCAGTGACTCCATCCAGCCACCTCATCCTCTGCCGCCCCCTCCTTCTTTTGCCATCTATTGTTCCCAGCGTGGATGGGGCCTAGGCATGCTCATAAGGAGAGTTCCCGAAGGGGAACACTAGACTGGTTCGACAGACCACTCTGTGCATGCTCAGAGTTTTGTTCTGGGTGATTAGTGCTCAGGAGCAAGAAAGCACATTTTGCAAGGAAAACGGTCTGTGGCTTTCGACTGCTCGACGGAGAAACCTCGGCTCACAACAGCAGCCAGTGCTGACAATGGGGATGGCGGTTCGGCTTCTGGGGGGCTACAGGTTTTCCACCCCTGCCTGAAGGCGCCCCCCAAAGTGATTAGAGTAATTCCCAGCCTGTGCCACGGGGTGAACTCCGTCACTCCTGGAATTCTTGCTGCGAGGAATCACGTGGACTGATGCAAGGTGTCCGGCATGGTAGATGGCAGCCTTCCTCGACCTGGTGCCTTCCAGAAAATTTGGATTACAACTCCCATCCACTCCATCCGGCTGGGGATGATCGAAAGTGTGCTCCGGAAAGCCCTCAGTTGGGGAAGTCCGACCCAGTGCACCTTCCCCCTCCCCCTCTCCATCTCCACCTTCTCCGCTTCCCCGCAGGCATCTTCTGCTGTGGACCTTGCTCCGTGGAGGCCATCAAGAACGGTTTGGTCTACATGAAATACGACGCCTCTTTCTGCTTTGCCGAGGTGCGTGCTTCCGAACGGTTCCGTGGACGTTAATGTTGCCAGAATGAGGCCCTTCCCGGCGTGGCCCGGCTCCCGGTCTCAGCCTCAGGTCCACCGTGCTCAGGACCTGGGACAGCTCCCAGGGAAAGCCGGCGTTGCTCCGGCCAGGGGGACAGAAAGGGATAGAAAACTCCACAGGCCTTGTCCGTGCTTCTGGGCTCTCACTGGTTCTTGGCTTGCGTTTCCAACCCGTAGGACGTCGGGCCAGGAAGCAGGGCCAGATGACCGAAAATGCCAGCAAAGTTTAGCCTAGAGTTCTTGCTGCCACTAATGAAGCCATAGGGAAGGCCTTTCAAAAGGAAATGGGCCAAAGCTGGAACACCACCAGATGTTTGGTGGTGGAAGGGGCAGGGGGCATGACCACCTGGGGAACCCGGGCAGCTGGATCTGGCCTTCAGGCCGGAAGATTGTGCCTCTTCGCCACTGCCGTGCCAGGGCACCGAGCGATGCCGTTTGGCTCCCGCCCTGGATCACGAGCATCTCTCGCTTCCCTCCGCAGGTGAACAGCGACAAGGTGTACTGGCAACGCCAGTCGGACGGGAGCTTCAAGATCGTCTATGTGGAGGAAAAGGCCATCGGGCACCTCATCAGCACCAAGGCGGTGGGCTCAGACAGGCGCCACGACATCACTGAGCTTTACAAGCACCCCGAAGGTACGGTGGGAGAGGAACTCAGCGGTGTTTGTGACGCGGCTGGTGGGGGGGGGGCGCACACGCCGAATCTGGACCCTTGGCCACCGAGGGCCATCTTGCTTTAGGAAGGCGTGGATGCCCTCAGAGCTCTTTCTTCCTGGCTCCTAACACCACTTCAGTTCGTCTCCCTTTGAATTCCGGATTTCACAAACAATTTCGCAGAGCCCTCCACAACCTGACGCCCTGCAGATGTGTCTGACTCCCACTCCCATCACCCCCAGCCAGCTAAGGAGGGCACCAGATCAGAGAAGGCTGATTTAGCATGCCAGGCTAAATCAAGCCTCATCGATGCTCCTACGGGGTTTCCCCCTCTCTTAAATGCAGCATAGCAGGTCAACAGGACCATTCCCACTTTTAGAAATACACGTGTCTGCACGCTTTCTATGCCACTGCTTAGAAGAGGGATTCAAGATATTTTTAAAACTCAAGCTGAGGTGCTTTGTAGCACAAAACAGTAGGGTTTCTTTGGAGGTTTCCACCCTTTTCAAAAAAAGCTCGCATGTTTTGGGAAGCCTGTTTTGAGAACAATGACCAAATCGGTTCTCCAGTGAAGCCGACTTGCAGGGCCAAGTCGAGACAATCCAGAGCAGAACAAATTGGGATCTTTCCCCCTCCCCTTCCACTGCCATCTGTCCCCAGGTCCCCCCAGATTATTTCTCTGCCTGTGCCCGAAAACCTTACAGGCATTTGCCTACCCTTTGGCAGTCAAACTCCCATAATTTGGCAATTTAGGAGCGGCTGCACTTCTAGGCACCCCAACCCACCTGCCCTCTCTCTCCGCCCCGTACTTCTCCAGGCTCCGAGGCCGAGCGCAAGGCAGTAGAAACGGCAGCCAAGCACGGCACCAAAGCCCACATCTACACCAACAAGGAGTGGGGAGAGGACATCTCCCTGACGGTGGACACCAAGGAGGCCTACACGGGCCAGAACATCTCCTTGCGGGTCAACCTGAAGAACCGCTGCTCCATGCCCCGCAGCGTCTCTCTCAACCTCTTCGTGGCCGTCATGTACTACACAGGTGTCACTGGCCGCAACTTCAAAGAGGAGCAGCGCCAAGTCCAGGTCCCAGCAGGTGGAGGTACGTCGGCCCTCACCCCAAGCCCCCTGCGATGCCTTCACCCTGCAGACTTAACCCTCCCAGGCGCCCTGTCTCTCCAGCTTCTGCGGATTTAGAAAATTAAATATCGTTTTCACTGGGATGCTGCTGCTTTTGTGAAGCAGAGGGCTGCCCTCTGGTGCCATCGTTATTTGGGTCCCGAAAAGGAGTTTTCCGGTTTGGCACTAGACCCCACTACACACACACACCAGTTCTCGAGCTGTGTTTCCCTTGGTCCCACCAGCTTGCCTTCTGGGAAAGGTGTATTCTTGACCAGGTGTGCCCACCACATGAATGGGCGAGCACAGCAGCCATTTTGTAAGAGTGCTCACAGGACATGTGCACAGAGGGGCCAAACATTTGGGGAGCCCCGTCCGCACCTGGAGAAAACTCCCTTAGACTTAGACTTACCTACCTCGCAGGGTTGTTGCGAGGATAGCGTGGAGGGTGTGAAACGGTGCACCGTACCCTCTCTTCCGGTGTGCCACCACAGGCTACAAGGGGAAGGCCCTTCTTGGCTGTGGTGACCCAGGTCCTAGAGAGATGTGCCCGGTGCCACGTTTAAGTGCTTTTCGGTGCCATCCAAACCCCTTCTCATTTTTCCTGTATTTTAATTGTTAAATAGAAAAAGTTCTATCTCCTTTTATATTGTATTCTAACTCCTGAGATTGCTTATTGTTTGTTGAGTTAATTTATGTCTTGTTTTGATTGCATTTTTTGGTACTTGTCTTCCTTTTTTGTGGCAAACCATTTGGGCAGCCTCTGGCTAAGCGTATGGTATATAAACGACGAAATGCGGGGCTAGAGGTAGCCCTAATCGGGATGCCACGCTGCCATGGCTTATTTGCGGCTGTGCTGGCTGGACGGAGCCGTCCTGGCTTGCGTTAACCCTCCCGGTCTTCCTTGCCCCCGTGCAGCCCAGGCAGTTCCCATGGTGGTCTCCTACCTTGAGTACAAGCCTCACCTGGTGGACCAGGGGGCCATGAAGCTCAGCATCTCCGGCAAGGTGGCCGAAACCGGGCAGGTCCTCGCGAAGGAACACACCTTCCGTCTGCGCACGCCCGACCTCACCCTGACGGTACGACATGGACGCTGCGGGGAGGGCCAGCCCTTCCCAAGCAGGTGTGCTGGACTGCAGTGCCCATCACTGGCCATGCTGGCTGGGGATGGTGGGAGTTGAAGCCCAGCACACCTGGCTGGAAAGAGTAGGCCTAGGAGATGGGCGGTCTTGGCACGGGGAGCAGGAGGCTGGAAGGCCCGAAATCCATGGTGGTCCATAGATCCAGGTCCCAACACCCCTTCTCAGACCCCCACAGAGCGGCTTCATTTAACTCCTGCTGAACGCCTGGCGCAACCAAAGAAACGGGGACTCCTTCCTGTGGACCCCGAGGAAGGATGCAGTCACCTCCCAGAATGCATTTCAAAAACAATGGCAGAGACGCACTTTCCTGTATCTCCAAAGTGGGGGAAGGAGACACCGTGGCTTATCCTCCCCCAGACTTCTCCGAAAATGGCCTCTCGCTCTGTCAGAGAAAGCGGGGCGTATTTTCCCATTCGTAGGATACCTCTACAAATATTTCGGATGTGCACCACGCCTCTTGAGTGACCCCGCAGGACTACTCCATGTATGGTGGGCACGCACATATTGCCAACAAGCGGAAATAACTGCGGGGGAAAAAAGAGGGCGATGTGCATGTAATTTACATATGCTAATTTGCCCGATGCCACTTCAGAGTCGTCGTTATAATTTAAATGGGAATGGATGCTAGGTGGCCAGGCACGTGGGTGACCGGCTCTCCGGGGAATACACCCTGGCACATCCTTCCCAACACGGGGCCCTCAGAAGGTTTCCAGCTTGGCTTGGCTCAAGGACGCAGGAGGGAACTCCTGGATGCCTCACCTGCAAACATCTGGATTTCTTGTGCTCACTTCCTCTCTCCCCTTTCCCCACCTCCACAGCTGCTGGGCCCTGCGATTGTCGGCCAGGAGACCCAAGTGCAGATCGTTTTCAAGAACCCGCTTCCCGTGACCCTGACTGGCGCCATCTTCCACATGGAGGGATCGGGGCTTTCCACCCCCAAGACAATGACTGTGGGGTGAGTCAGCCTTTGAAACCCAGCCCCTCCTGAGTGCTGAGCACCCCCCAGCCTTCTCCTGCCCCCCTGGATCCCATGGGACACCCCAGGCATGGGCTGGAATCCCTCCAAAATGCCCCTCTTCCTCCCTGGGATGCAGTTCACAAGACTCAGGTCTGCCAAAAGATCCTCAGCAGACATGAACACACACACGGGAATTATGCCTGCCCAGTTCTTTCCTCACATTCTGGGAGAACATTAATCCTTCCCTCACTTTCCTCTCCAGCACGCCACAATAAGACTGTTGTAAAAGCAGTAGCAACACTAAAACTCATCTTGGTCAAGTGACTTATTATGTGTGAGCATGCAAGCTTTCTGCGTGGTGCTTTACAAAGAGCATGAGTCTCTGCCCCAAGGGGTATGCAATCTAAGCTTTGAAACAAAGCTGGGGTATGCAGGGAAAGATCACATGTCTCTATCGGCCACCTTCATCTTTTATTTGAATCTACAAATTAATACCCTACTTTTTAGCACCCTGCCTTAGAAGGCAGCTTCTGGATAAATATAAAAGCAGTAAAAATTTATTTATTATTTATTTATTTATTAAAACATTTTTATGCCGCCCCATTCGCCAAAGCCTCGGGGCAGCTTACAACAATAAATTAAATCCACATAAATAAAAATTAAAATATATACATTAGAAAAAAATACAATATAAATATAAAATGACGCTGCAGCGCATTTAATCACCACAGCACAGCTCATGGGGTTTTTACAAGTCTGCCAACATCCTGCATGAATAAAAAGGTCCTAAAAGCATCATGGGAGAGCCAGTGTAGTCTAGTGGTTAGAGCACTGGACTGGGACTCGAGAGATCCAGCCTCTTGTCCCCACTAGCCTGTGAAGCTCACGGGGTGACTTTGGGCCAGTCACAGACAGTGCTTAAGGTTAAAACGCAGAGGAGTGAGCAAGACCTTGTGAGCCCCTTCCGGATCTTTGCAAGAGCAAAACACTGCAGGATAGAAATGAGGAAGGAGGACAATGAGGCACTGCCGGAGGTTCCACGATCAAGTGTTGCATCCAGTCATAAATAGGGATAGGAATAATTCGTTCTTCTGTACAGGTGCAGAATGCAGGTTTCTTTCCCCGCTTTAGCATCGCTTGTAGACGTTTTAACCCCTGACTCATTTCCCTCTACCTCTGCCCCCACCACCCTGTCTTACAATCCCTTTCCTCCCCTTTCCTCTGAAAGTGCAACCTGGAAATACTGACTTTCTGTCCTTCTTCTGCAGGAATATCGGCCCGCACCAAACGGTGACGCTCCGCCAGACTTTCACGCCGCTGCGCGCGGGCCAACGCCAGCTGGTGGCCAGCCTGGACAGCCCACAGCTCTCCCAGGTCCACGGCGTGCTGACGGTCAATGTGACGCAGGGCCCCCCGCCCGGTCCATCAGCATCTTCAGCCCCTGCCCGGGGGTCGCCCACCCCTGCCCGGGGGTCACCCACCCCTGCCAGAGCTTCCCCCGGCCTCAACCGGGCCTCTCCCGCGAGGCAGCCGGCCGGCCGCAGCAGCCCAGCGAACGCACGCCGATCCCCCGGCCGGGGCTCCCCCTCGCGCCAGCCGGATCCCCGAGCATCTCCCAACACCCGTGGCTCGCCTGGGGCGAACAGGGCCGGGCGAACAGGGCGTCCGGTGTGAGCCAAATCTTAGTGATCACCTACTGTGTAATTTTGCTACAGTGCTGGCAGAACTGGGAGGGCAAAACGGAGTGTGGGGAGGATCTGCGTGAGACACGGAGCCATGGCAGTGGAGAGGGGGTGTCGGTGAAAACGAATAATAAGGCATGTAGCCCCTCCGTCCGTCCGTCCGCCCGTCCCTGAGGAGCATCCTCATGTCCGTCCGCCCCTTCTGTTTTCCACCTTCCCGTCACCTCCACTCGCCTTATGCCATTCCTCTGCTCTGACATCCCTTCTGTATCCCAGTCTCCCCACAAGCGCTTGGGGTCTCTGCCCATCCACATCCGGACTTCTGGCTGCTTCCCTCTGACTGTCCATCCGTCCACGTGTGACCCCCCCTTCCCACCAATTCTGTTTGCCACCCTTCCCACAGCGTAGTCTCACCGAGTTGTGTCCCCTCCGTAGTTCCACCAGCAAACGGTTACACCACCACCTTCACCACCCTGCACCCCCAACACCACCCACAACCACCCCCTCCTGATTCTTGGGGTCCCCTAATTTTTTTTATAGCTTGCTTTTTTTTTTTTTTCCACTGTGACTCTTTTTAAAAAATCTACACTGAACCTCACTTGAGCAAACCCACTCCCAATCTGGGGTGTATCCACGAGAGTTACCCAGACGTCTTCCTCCGGACCCTTTCCACTTATTTCGGTCCCTGCTTTGGGAAATTAATTTGTATAAGCTTGACAGAGGGGTTTAAAAAAAATAAAGGAAACACCCTAAGAAATGCAACTTGGGGCAGGGAGCTGCACGAGGAAGACAAATTCATATAAAAGTGTATTGATTTTGGCCTATGTCAGTTTGCCTTTCCTCATTTCTTAAATATATGCACTTAGAAAATGGCCATTATCTTCCTTAATTAGCAAGACTGCAAAGCTGTTTTCCTTAGAAGCCAACTTAAGAGACAAAAGCCCAAAGGAAATGTTTGGAACCAGCCACCCAACCGTCCTGATTGTGAGATTAAGCGAATTGTGCTATATTTAAACGATGGAACGAAGCCAAATAATCTTGTGATTTTTTTTCCTGCGTACTAATATAGGTATTTATTTGATAATAAATGGTTTTTAACTCAAAGCAAGCTTTCTGAAAGAGGCATGTGAATTTCTTTTCTTGTGAGAGTGTTCAAATGTACAACTCAGAGGGACAGATGCTAGGTTGCATATTAGGGGAGTGTGTGTTAAACTGGAGCCAGACACCCTGGGGACAAATCCAGTCCTCCAAACTGATCCAGAAAGCCTCACCCCTTTTCCCCAGCCATGAATCTCAGGGGGTTTTCTCAACTTCTGTGCAGCTTTCCTCCCTCTTGTGAAAGGCTGAAATGCTTCCCTTAAGTCTTAGGGAAGGCTAGAAGAGTGAAGCTGCAACATGCTGACATGTTTGGTTTTGTGGCCTTCAAGAACTTCTTTGAAATGCCCTTTGGTCCTCCGGCTGGCTGAGAGAGGTCCTGCACCCCTAATTCAGAGATACTCTGCTTTGTGGAAATTTATCTTTGCCTACAGGATTACTGTGTAATCCTAGATAAATTTAGTATGCTAGGGCAAATCTAGGCAGCATACTAAAAAGCAGAGACATCACCCTACCAATAAAAGTGCGTATAGTCAAGGCTATGGTCTTCCCAGTTGCAATGTATGGCTGTGAAAGCTGGACAATAGGGAAGGCTGAGCGCTGAAGGATTGAGGCCTTTGAATTGTGGCACTAGAGGAGACTCCTGCGAGTCCCTTGGACTGCAAGGCGATCAAACCAGTCAGTCCTAGAGATCAGCCCTGAGTGCTCTTTGGAAGGCCAGATCCTGAGGATGAAACTCAGATACTTTGGCCACCTAATGAGAAGGAAGGACTCCCTGGAGAGGAGCCTAATGCTGGGAACAATAGATGGCAAAAGAATAAGGGGACGGCAGAGGATGAGGTGGCTGGATGGAGTGAGTGTGAGCTTGGGTGGACTCTGGGGAATGGTGGAGGACAGGAAGGCCTGGAGGAGTGTTGTCCGTGGGGTCGCGATGGGTCGGACACGGCTTCGCGACTAACAACAACACAGGATTACTGCGTGCACCTTCCTTATCTTTTCTGTATGGTTCTTCTCTCTGATTTCTGTGCCTCGTGGGCAAGTGATGCTGGGCGTCTGGTACACTGCACAGATGTTCACACCCCACAGGGCTCTCTCGCACACACTGCATGGTGCAGGAGCGGGGGAAATGTGGCACTCTGTGATGCGGGAATTCCGTCTCCCATCAGCCCCAGTCCACATGACCAATGGGGGTGTAGTCCCAACCACAGCTGGAGCGTGTCAGGCTGTGAAAGTCCTAGTGTTGAGCCTGGGTTCCTGAATGCACTTGAGAATGGAAGCGATGTTGGAGGAGAACTCTGGCAAGCTGCCCCTTATCACTTCACATGTTTCTTAGCTCTCGGTCTAATCTGGGCTTCGTCTGGGGAGTACACTGAGTTTTCAGCTTTTTCAAAAAGTGCATCCTGCAGTGAGCGGATGCAGCCTTTAAGCTCGGAAAGGGGTCTGATGGAGCAGTGAGGGAGGCCGCTACATCCTGGAGGTTGTCTTGGACTGCAAAGCCAAACCAAACTAGCCTCAGCCCCTGACCCCCAACACTGGCGTGGACAACACTGCAGGGCTGTCCTAAGCCACTCAGCTGTCTGTATCCCTTGAATTCTCACCTCTGCCAAGAGCAAGGACTGAGTCCCAATGCCTTTGAAAGTGACACAGGAATGATTAGGCGACATACATGCCATTTCCTACAACACAGAGATCCCTAACCCACTCCAACCTGCCTTATGCTATGGGGCGGCATACAAATGCAATAAATAAATAAATATATGAAGGAAGGAAGGGAGAATGACACCAGATTTCATTGCGCTGCGATATGATAAGTAGAGCGGACGACACTACAGGGCTGTCGTGAAACGTTTTCCGGCTGCCGGAGCGCCCCGCCCCGCGGCTCGCAACATGCGCGCGAACGCGGCGATTTGCATAAACTCCTCCCTCTTCACCTGGCGGGGAAATTCCTGCTGCAGCCACACGGGGCCGCTGCGACACTGGGGAAGTGAGCCAGCTGCGGCTCGGCTCTGAGCGGAAGTGACGTTTCTAGCGCGAGGCGGGGCGCGCGTTCCCATAGAAACGCAGCGGAACCGCGGCAATAAATAAAACGAAGCCCGGGACGCCGTGACGGCTGCGGGTCGAGCGGGGAGCAGGAGTCCCGCCCCGGCACAGAGCGCCCTCCTCTCCCCGCGGGCTTGAAAAGCCGGGAAAGAGACCGAGGCTGCATGCCCAACCGGAAGTGAGGTTGCTAAGAGCAGCGGGGGGCCGTTGAAAAGAAGGGGTGTGGTCGGTGGGGGGGGAAGAGGGCTGCAGTCGCCTATTGGAGGATGAGGGCATGCCGGGAAGGGGCGGGGCTGGGGGTGAAGTCGGATGCCCGGAACGTTGGGAAGGGGCGGGGCCTTGAGGCAGAGGGGAGCGAGCGGGCCTGCGGTGTGGAGGGTGGGTGGGGCCATAGGGAGGGGTGTGGCCAGCAGGAGGAGGGGCCTGCGGTTGTGGGAGGGGCCTGGGTTGGGAGTGGCTGGTCCGGCCAGGAATCCGGGTGCAGCTGCTGATCCCCTCTGTGATCCCTTCCTGGAAGGTGGGTGGGGCCATGGAGTGAGGGGGGGGCTAGGGGGGGGGGTGTGGCCAGCAGGGAGGAGGGTGTGGCCAGCAAGGGGAGGGGCCTGCAGTTGGGGGAGGGGCCTGGGTTGAGGGTGGCTGGTCCTGCCAGGAATCCGGGTGCAGCTGCTGATCCCCTCTGTGATCCGTTCACGGTTCCTTGTCATGCGTCTCCCTCCTCAGGTGATGGCGGCCGCGGCCGAGGAGGAGAGGGGAGCGGCTGCGGCCACGGAGGCCGCCGATCCTTGCGTGGCTTTGCGGCTGGTGGCCGCGGCGGCCTGGCACGTGGTGCAGAAGCGCCAGGCGGACAACTTGCCCCGCGTGCTGGTCCTGCTGGAGGCCGTGGCAGACGCAGCGCCCAACCTGGTGCACTTCCGGCACTTCGTGAAGCTGCGCCTCGGCCTGCAAGCCAAGGTGAGCGGCTCGCCGACAGAGCACCCCAAGCCTCGCCTCTGGGGAAGGCAGGGAGCCAGTCCGTCGGCCGCGGGGGCCGGCAGGCAGCACATTTTGGCACTCGCCCGGCTTCCCATGACGCTTTGCATCCCGCCTGCACGCTGCCCGAGGTGGGCCCACCTGGTCGAGGGTCCTCCCTTGATTTTTATTTTCCCCCCTCAGATAGTAATGGAAATGCTTCAGAACAAGCAACCGCACTGGAAAATCTACGAAGCCATGGATACCTACTTTCCAGAGAAGGAACCCGAGCCCCACCCCAAAGCTGTGCGTGTCTGTGCTCTTGGGAACGGAAACACAAATCAGCCCTGCCATGCGCCCTCTCTCGGCGACTCTTGTGGGCCTGTCCCTACGAGAGAGGCGCCCCTCTCACTTACGTTGCCATCCCCTTCTCCCACTGTAGACCGCGCGGGACCTGAAGCTGGTGCAGACCGCACAGGAAAACTTCCGGGTCCTGGTACTGGGCTTGCTGAGCGACCCTGACCAGCTCGAGAAATATGTGCAGGTGAGAACGGGGAGGAGGGACACTGGCATGCGGGGAAGGAAGGACTGAAACAGCACTGGGAGGGCCTTGCTTGCTTGTTCTGGGCATGGGGCAGTGTTTACCGGTGGAGCCCCCAGGTCCACAGAAGGACCCCAGCTCTGCATGCAGAAGGGGCTGGGCTCAGTTCCTGGATCCTTCGCTGGAAAAAGCCGCTTCCTCTCGTGAAGGGAGGTGTACAGGACCAGTGCAGGATTTGCCCTGGCCCTTATTTTTCCCTTGCCTCTAGGAGCACCTGGAACACGATTACGGGGAAGACTTCATGCGTGTGGTGGAAGAGCTTTTCCACGATTACCTGTGGCAGCTGGAAAGCGCCCTCCCTGAACCCTGCCTCCAGGAGGTACAGGTGGTGGGTCGTGTGTTTTGCTCAGTCCTTGCTTCTCTGGCCCAAAAGGGCCGAGGTAGCAGGGCTGGCAGAGACCCTCTGGGCTGACGCACTCACAGGCACTGTCATCTGAACTCAGTCTGCCAAGATCTGAGGAACTGCTGTGGGTGTGGAAGGGCTTTAGGATCAGGGCTTGGCCAGCTTTGGAAAGTGCTGAGAAGAGGGCGCTCTACAAGAAAAGTAACAGTGGGGATATTTGGGGGGAAGCAGGTCGGTCTTTCACAAGTGAGGGGTCAACGGTGGCCGCTGGACCCAGAATTAAAAGACGGAACCTTGATTTGGGTTGCTGTAGGTGCTGCAGGGAGCTGTGCCCACCGTCCCTGCATGCAGAGGCTTTTTTATGCGGTGGGAAGCAGCTCTCCGAAGACACCCTTTGGCCTCCTCTGCAGAAGTGACTGGTGAAGCTTCTGCAGGCCCAAGACTTGCTCCTCCAGGTGGGACTGCAGCACCGCTGCTCTGATGGAAGGCTGCGGCCCCGGCCATAATTCTTCCTTTCGCTCCCCAGTTGCTGGAGGCTGCCCGCATCCAAGGACCCAGCCGGCCTCCACAGCCAGACTCCGTCATCCTGTCCCAGTACCTCACGGTCATGGGGTACCAGGGCGCAGGTACGTCAGGAAGAGGCACGAGGCGGGACACCAGGAATCGCCTTCCCCGCCTCCAACCCGCTTTCCCTTTCCCAGAACCTCCTGCGCCTCCCGCCACTCTGCGCTGCCCCAGCCCTCAGGACCACGAGGAGGAAGAAGAGGAGGGGCTGAGGAACCCTGAGCTGCAGTCCAGCCCGCTGAGGACCAGAAGGGCACGGAGACAGCCGCCCTGCTTTCGGGAGGAGTAAGTGCCCACCTGCCCTGCCTCCCCCCGCTTTCCCAGCCGTGCTGTTCTTAGGCGCCACATGCTGTCCTCTTTTCCCACCCTCAGGAATTCCCGCCGGCCCCAGACAGACAGCCAGGAGACAGGTACGCAGGGCTGCGGTCTCTCTGAGCAGAAGCGTCGTTGCCCGTTTGCGAGCTTGACCCACAATGTCCTTCCCTTGTGCGCGTGCCACCGCACCGGTTCCGTTTCCGGGGGCAGTGGGATGTCTGATGGAGAGCAGCGTTGCTGGCCAGGCCGTGGCAGGGTGGGGAGTGGCTCCCGTGGCCCAGTGCCACGGCTGCTTCCTCGTCCCCATGTGCCACTTGCCCTTTCCCACCTCCACTTTCCCAACACGCACCTGCCCTTCTGCATTCAACTCACGCCTCCTTGCTAAAATGCCTGCGGCCGCCCGTTAGGGCAGGGTGGGGCCGGAGGTGAAGATCGGGATATTAATGCCTGGAATTGGACAAGGGGAGGAGACGGGCCTGATGCGACTGCTGGGCCAGGGAACAATACCAAATCAGAATAAAGGGTTTCAGAACTGGGCTGGGCACTGACATGGTTCTGCTGCCAACTGCCAAACCTTTGCTGCTGCTGCATTCCTCTCATTTTTTTTTTCAAAAGAGGGTAAGCTGCTTGTATAAGCAAAAGATCAAGATGCCGGAGACCCAGCCCCTCCCGCCTGCCCCCTCCCCACAAGGAGAAGCAGGCCAGGTCATGGGCGTCAGCAGGGAAATAGTGCAGAGAAGGGGGCATAATTCACTCTCGTCTCTCTCTGCAGATGTGGTGCTGGATTCCAGCAGCGAGGGGGACAGCTCCCCCTTCAGGGAGGTGAGGAGGGGCCCCAGGATGTCCAGCAGGCAGAGAAGAGGCTGGAGTGTGCGCAGGTCTGAGGTGGAGTCGAGGGCAGGAGCAGGGATACAAACGTTTATGCGCGGGCTGAAGGCACAGCAGTGGGGCCTCTGCGAAGCCTTCAGCTCAGCCCCCCCTTGCACCCATGCCCCGCCAACCTGGGGCCCTCCAGGTGTGTTGGTCTGTACCTCCCCACACCCCCCAGCCAACCCCCCCGCTGTAATCAGGCCCATTCCCAACCCCCGCCTGGTCGGGGTCTTCCTGGTTTCCCCCTGTGCCGTTTGCCAGCTTGCAGTCTTCACACTTTAGTCCCATAAAATGCCGCAGGCACCCCTGGTGCCACAGCGGTAATTCTAGCAACCGCAACACAGTCCCAAGGGAAGGTGGGCCGAGTCTGGTGCCGCCGCCTGACCCTCTCTGGCTGAAGGGGCTCGGAGAGTCTCGAGCAGCCATGACCACGCCTCCCTTTCCCTCCCCGTCCCCCCGACAGGGTGAATACCAGTGCACCCGGCACAGCACCCTCATCCCCACATTCCAGGAGCACCTCCGCGGCATCAGGAGTCAGTGAGTGACCAGTGGCCCCCTTCCTCGCCCGCCAGGGATGGATACCCGACCCAGGTCTGGGTCTTCCGTCTCTGGGGACACAGCTCCTCATGGCAAATGGCCAGGGTCAGCCTGCCGGAGGTGTGCAGGACCAGGGCAGCATCCCCACGTGTGCCTACACACCTCCCCCCTTCTCTCACATTCCCCCACCCCCAATCCATGCAGGTGTCCCAAGCAGAACACAGAAAAATGCCCCTTTAGTTGCTATCTCGGCCCGCTTCGCCGTAAATGGCACACTGCCAAGCTTCACTTCTGTGGCGCTTTGCAGCCCAATCCTGTGGAAGCAAGTCTCAGCAGTTTAATAGCCTCTTCCGGGATAATCCAGGGGGGCAAAGGTGCACCTGCGTGATGTGTGCAGGTCTTTAATCATCTTGCCTGGCCCGACTCCGTCAGGAAAGAGTGCTTCCCAGCGCAGTGCTGGGCCTGCATGCAGGATGCCGAGAAGGCGGCGGCGGCGGGGGGTGGCCGTTCCCACGAGAGCTGCGGCTGCCCCGCCACTTCCTCGGGGAGCCCACCCCCTTGGACACCCAGAGCGGGCGAAGGCAGCTCTCCGGGGCCGTCCCTCTGCCCTGCCTGTGGGGATGGCGCGGACCGCCCCTTCAGATGCTCCCACAGCCCCAATGGATGCAGGGACGCCCTGCCAACGCTGCCTTTCCCGGAGGGTGGAGCCTTAGGAAAGGGGCGGGGTCTCTGCGGCTGGGATGGGCAGGCCTCACGGGCCCCCCTGATCCAGACCCCTCCCTCCCTCCCCCCCTGCAGGTGCGGGAGCTCTTCAAAGACTTCTGAAGCATGAAGAACACAAAGCCGCTCCCATGAGTCACGCCAGAGCTTTATTTAGTAAATGCCATAAAACTTTCCCACAGAGTCCTCTGTCGTCTTTTCCACTTGGCCTCCAAGCTCGGGCACTGCGTCCGCTCCCCACCCTCCTGGCTTCCCTTGGAGCTGGTCTCACAAAACAAGGTGGAGCAGGGCCACACCGACTCCCCTCTGAGAGGCACGTCCTTTAAAAAGCACTGTACAAATACAGGAAAGTAACGTTGGTGCAGCACCCCCCCCCTTTCCCACCCTGCCCAACGGGAATGTGTGGAATCAGCCTGCCGGAATGAGCAGGGAATGTTCCGAGGCGAAAGGAACGTGGACGAGGGTGGCAGTGACCAGGTCTGTGTCGAGGAATGGCCGGTGCAGGCCGGGGAGACCCTGGAAGGCTCGGCCGCCCCACAGGACCCGCTGGCCCACTGCAAACCCCAGTGCTCGACATCGTGTGAGAAGCAGGGGCGACCCTTTGGGGAGAGGAGGGTCAGGGCTGGCTCGCTTCCCCGAAGATGGGGTTGGCCTGCTGGGTGACCCGGATGAAGGTGGTCCTGCAGCTCAGCTCCTTCAGCTTGGCGGCCCCCACGTAGGTGCAGGTGGAGCGGATCCCGCCCAGGATGTCCCTCAAGGTGTGTTCCACGTCCCCCTTGAACGGCACTTCGACCACTTTCCCCTCTGAAGCCCTGCAGGGGAGGGGAGCGCTTAGAGAAGAGGGCTTTGCACCCCCCATCGGCATTAGATCCGCAAGGTTTTGGCTCACCGCCGCCACCTCTTGCATCTCATCCGAGCACAGATATGGCTGGACCGGACTGGCCACGGCCGTCAACAGCCAGGGCTGTTCCTTGAAGCGCGGATGCACATTTCAGATGTTCGCCTCGGCCCGCCAGGCTGCCTGACCCACCCTCCCGTTGCCTTCCGCGGTCTTCGTTCCGAACCCCCTGCTAGGCTGTGTAGGTTTTTCTCCCTGCCCAAACGGGCCCTCCCTCCTCCCCCATAAAAGCTGCTCTTCCATGTGCTGTCACTGTGAGCATTTCATGAGACCTCGCAAGACTCACCTGTGGCCAAAGTGCTTCCAGGCAAGGGTGGAGCCGTCTCCCCCTTCGTGCAGAATTCTGGTGAGCCCCAGCGTGGTCCTTTCCGCGGCCTCGGCCATGCAGGGCTGGCTCAGCAGAACCCCAGCAATACCCCACCAAAAGTGAGGAAAACCAAGGGGGGAGACCCAAAACAGTCTGAGGAAAGCTGGCCAACTCGGGGGCCACCAAACACTGCCTCCTGGGCAGGAAACAGAAGGCCACTTCCTACAAAAAGCGGCATTCCACAGGGCAAGGTTTTATTCCACCCGTTTCCTGAGGCTCTGCACTTCAACATTTCGTTGCAGGCGGCACCTGCTTTATAACGAGCAGGGGAGGCCTGTGTGTTGAGTACGAGGGGGGAGCATTAATCCTCCCGCCATACCTGTACTCGGCAACACCCCCCGCGTACTTCCGCATGGACACCTCGGAGCTCATGCCGTAGAAAAGCCGGTATTTCTTGCCCCCTTTCTCGATGAGATCTCCGCCAGACTCGGTGTGGCCAGCCAGCATTCCCCCCAGCATGACAAAGTCTGCACCAGCACCTGCGCCCACAATGCAAGAGGAGAGCTGTGAGGAAAGCAGTTAAGTAGCGGCTCTGTGTGAGAAGCAACAGTACAAACCACATACAAATGTAGCAAGAGAAAGAAGAAGGGATTTTACCAAAAGCTTTTGCCACGTCCCCTGGACAGCTACACCCTCCATCCTGTAAAAGAAGAGATAATCTGCTGCCCATGTTAATTTTCTCTTAATCTTCGCTGGCAGGGCAGCCAAGCAAGCGGCATGCAGCTAGTCCTCAAGCTGGAAAATCTAAGACTGACACCAGAAGGGAAGGGCATTTCTCTCCCAAACCCTACGCCACTTCCAAACTCCGTGCCACTGTCAGGATTGGGAAAGGCCGTTTGAAAGGGTTCCCATGCAGTCGGGGGCTCCACTCAAGTCTGAAATTGGCCCTTGGGTACGGAGCCTCTCACCGAAATGATGTGCCCATTGAGGCCGTGAGCCGCGTCGGCACATTCCATGACGGCGCTGAGCTGAGGGTAGCCCACCCCGGTCTTCTTCCGCGTGGTGCACACCGAGCCTGGAAGGAGCCAAGATGGAGCGGCCCCCGTTAGCCAGCCTGCAGGCTGGGGTGGCCCCTCACCCCCCTTTGCATCCCCCTCCGCAAAAGACGTGGCTGCCCTCGTCACCTGGTCCGATCCCCACTTTGATGATGTCAGCTCCCGACAGGATGAGTTCTTCCACCATCTCCCCTGTCACGACATTCCCGGCCTGTGGGGACAAAAGGGTCCCCCCATATGGTCAGAGGTCTGGCGGGCCCTAGAGGGACACCCAGAGGAAAGTGAAGACCCCACCTTGCCGTGGGGTGGCAGTACTGTGGGGCCCCATCACGACGGGGAGCAAAAAATGCACTCGGCGGTGACTCGGTGCAGGAGGACGGGGCCGGCCGGGGACCCCCAGCGCCTACCATGATCGTGTGATCGGGGAAGCGTTTGCGCACGTCCTTCACAAACTGGACGAAGTGCTCCGAGTAGCCGTTGGCCACGTCCAGGCAAATGTAGCGCACCTGCGGCACCGTCTCCAGGATCTGCTCCAGCAGCTCGAAGTCCGAGGGCCCCATGCCCGAACTGGCCGCCACGTTCTGGAGAAGGTTGGCGAGAGGGGAGGCGGGCTGGTGAGGGGCTGGCGCAGGGCCGGTGTGGGGGAGAGGTGCTATCCCCGGGAGACGCCATGTGCTCCCCCAAAGGCAGGTGACGCCGATTGCGCCCGCTCACCTGGAGGCAGTCGGGGTTCTGAGCCGCAAACTCTTTCCACTGGTCCAGGCTGTAGTGCTTATGGACAGCCGTGAAGAGCGAGAACTGGGAGGCGAGACCAAAGACCGCCATGAAAACGCTGGAGATGCTTGGGTTTGTAGGATTATAAATCATGGGCTAGAATTCAGTCCCTAACCCAGGGGTCCTCAAACTTTTTCAAAAGGGGGCCAGTTGAAAGGTGCCGCGATGGGTGCAGGCCGGGGGGGGGGGAGCCCCTCAAGTGGGCCCGGCAAGGCAGGAGCGAGCGTGCACAGAGAGCGTTTTCTCCGAGTGAGTCCAAAACGATCTTTGCACGAGCAAAGTCCAAAACAACGAGCAAGTCCAAAACCTCTATGGGGGCCAGACAAATGGGCATGGCGGGCCGGACACGGCCCGTGGGCCATAGTTTGAGGACCCATGCCCTCAACTGCTCACAAACATATATAAATGCTATAAACTGAAAACAGAGGCTGAGAGAATGGAGAGAGACTGGCGATACAAGAAGACAGGAAAGTATGGGTTGGTTTTGGTACTGAGCGTCGTTCCAGCCCTGTGACTTCTCTGCTACAAAAGGGGAGACGGAACTCCGCGTTACGTTTGGCCAAGAAGCTGAACTTGGGGGCACGAATGGCAGCAAATGGCTCCTCCTCTTATAGGGCTGGCCACATAAGGAAGTCCTTGGGGTCTGCCCAGGGATCCAGGATGTCCCGGCCAGCCCCCTACCTGGCAAAGAGCCTTGGCCATCTCAAACGTCCCCACGGTGTCCATGTTGGCAGCAATGATGGGAATGCCAGTGTACGTCTGCTTGGAGTTACGGAATACGAAGGACCGCAAGAGATCCACCTAAGAGAAGGGGGCAAAATTCAGAAGGCCCCAGAGCCCAGCAGTCCCCTGCCCGAGTGCAGGCTTAGGGGTCCTGGGTGGGCCACTTCCGCCTCTGGATCCCCTCTCTCCATGCGATGCGTTTCCCACCCTCTGCTTGGGCCAGCAAAAGATTAAAAATAGAGTTCTTTAAAATGCCATATGCAGCAGGCATGGAATACCAAAAGGGTCCAAGTTAGATCGTCCTCAAGCCCTTAGTGATCCTTTTCATGTTCTGCATCTGCTACGGTGTGCTGAAAGGGCCAAACAAGCTTCAAAATGGCCCACAGCAGAGCAAGAACTAGCCTAAGGTCCTGGCCTCCGTAAGAGATGCGAAGGGCTACTGCTAGGCACGGCTCCTGGGACTCCTCTCTCTCACCCAGGTGTGCCCAGGTTGTATAATCTCTCATGGGGGGCTTGTGACTACCGCCATCACAAGAGCAGCTTCGGGGGCCACCTGCTGAGCGAGGCTGGTTCAACCCCCCCCCCCATCATTCCCACATCAGGCCAAGAGATTTTTCTTCAGCCATCTCTTTAGCCGAACAGCGGACCTGCGGCTAAAGAAGGTTGTTCCTTTCTTGCATTAAAAAAGCTTGAAATTTATCTAAGTCGCATTCTAATTAAGCTTGTTTCCAATTTGGATTTTATCATCCAAGAGCACAACATACACTCCACAAACAAGCACTGCGCAGAAGCGACGGTGAAGACTCAAAGCTTGCCCACAAGCTCCAAGCTCAGCAACTCCAAGCCTACAACACCCATGAGCCCTCGCCCGCGGGTGTGCTGGCTGGGGCCGATGGGAGTGATGAGCCAAAATGTCTGGATGCTGCAAGCGGACGGCCCCTAAATCGCCCCCTGTTCCCCAAGAGCTTTTGATGCTCCCTTTCTCACTGCGGCAGTACGAAGGGGCAGGAAAAGACAGGCCATTCTCGGAGAGAGAAAACCCAAGGAAGCACAAGAGAGGATCCGCTGAGGGTCTCCTCACCTCGCTGCGGGACTTGAGCGTGCTTCGCTTGGGCCGCAGAAGCACGTCCTTGAAGTCCAACTTAACGTCGTTATCGATGTGTGGCATCTTGGATCCCTGGAAGGAAAGCAAAGGATCAGCCCTCGGAATGCCGAAGCAGGTGCCAAGCACACCTACGTGGGCCCATTCTTGCCAGGAAGACCAGCCACCTAAAGCACGAGGCCTCTTTGTTCTGTGCTAATGAGGAGGGTCCGGAGATGCAGCTTTGCTGACTGTCACTGTGGATACCTCACTCCAGGACAGCCAATCCTTTTGCCCGGTAGACTATGAGAAGAGAACATGTAACAACGCCTGGGGATGGTGTTGCTATCAGGACCACCATTACGGATTTTTTCCCCTTAGGACACGAATCCGCACCGCTTGCTTTGATCTAAATCCATCGGGGGTCTTTTGCATTGCAGGAGTGCCGAAGAATTGAGGCCTTTGCATTGTGGTGCTGGAGGAGACTCCGGAGAGTCCCTTGGACCGCAAAGCGATCAAACCGGTCGGTCCTAGAGGAGATCAACCCTGACTGCTCTTGAGAAGGCCAGTTTCTGAAGGTGAAGCTCAAATACTTTGGCCACCTAATGAGAAGGAAGGACTCCCTGGAGAAGAGCCTGATGCTGGGAACAATTGACGGCAAAAGGAGAAGGGGACGGCAGAGGGTGAGGTGGCTGGATGGGGTCTCTGGGGCAGTGGGTGTGAGCTTGGGTGGACTCTAGGGATGGTGGAGGACAGGAGAGCCTGGAGGAATGTTGTCCATGGGGTCATGAAGGGTCGGCATGACTTTGTGACTAAACAATGAATGGGGTTGTCTATAGGATGAGTTTGCTTAGGACAAATGTTTCAGAAAGTCACAGGCTGCGGTGAACAGATGTTGAGGGCTGCTAAACATCTGTTGACTGCAGAGGATACATACCTTACAGCCCCTGCAATAAGCGCGCCACCCTTGGATGTATGTTACTGTTCTATAAGTGAATGCTACCCCTTGGCTTACCCACTAGCTGCAACTGCAGGGTGCAGAATCCCAAGTCCAGGGGCCAAATTCGACCCTTTGGGGTCCCAGTGCGGCCGTGCTGTGCAGAAGCCCCTCTCCTGGCTCACTGCCTTCCCTCAACCACTGTTTGATGACCACCCAGATTCTGTGCATTTTCCCACCTGTTCTAAAGAGACAGACGTGTAGAGTATTACACTAAAAGTTGCCAGTATTTTGGCCTCGCCCGTTACTGGAGCACAGCTCAAGTCCTCAAGTCCTCGCTTGGCTTGGGATGGGGCAAGAGCTGTTGACCGATTTAAAGGATCTACCTCTGCCAGAGGCGGCCCAAAGCCCTCAGATCGCCTTAGCCCAAAAGCTGCCGCCTCAGGGAACCCGTTGGCACAACACCCTCGCTTGCCTGTTGGACTTGCCGCCTCATACGGACTGCTCACACCTGCAGTGTTATAATGGTGTGTCCCCAAAGAAGCTTTCAACGGCATCTTGATTCTCAGTTTCTTTGAGTCACTCAATCCTCACCCTTGTCAATTGAATGGGGAGGACTTGCAGTGGCCAGGAGTAAAAAAGTTGGGCAGGACAGAGGATTCCTTGGGAGGAGCACCTGCCTGCAAATGACAGGTAATCTGCAAAGGTAACAAAAGGCACACTGACTGATTCTTTGAAAGCCTGTTGTTAGTATAGCAGGGAATTTTTAAAAAGCAAAGGTTTGAGGTTAGCTTTTCTCATAGCAACCAGTGGCAGGTTTTGTTCTCTTACCTCCGGTGAGCTCTCTTGTTCCCAAAATCAGTTTGCTAGCAGCTGTTCATGCTCAGCCTCCAGCTACCTTGCAGTGCTTCATCTCAGGCCAATCTGGAAAAACACTCCGTATTATACCTTTCCTCTCCAGTCCTCACATCATACTTGCACCTCTGCTCCCAATCAACAGCTGTATCCCACCTCTATCACTATTTATAAACCTGCCACCCAGTCTCCTGTCTCCGTTCCCATGAGGTTAAAAGACATCACTACAAACACCAGACTGTCACTGTTCTCCATCATCGGCTCTTGGCTTATTACACATCTGGCGCCTTTAGGCAGCATTTGACTGAAGTAAATTGTCTAAATCTGCCAACAGTTCTTAGCCCAGCCCAAAGAAAGTGCAGAGTTTAGCAGTGACCTCTGGCCTTGCTTGGTTTTGGTTCCTAATTCCTAAAGCTCTCTTCTGGCTCTAATGTCACACTAAGTACTCCTACGTAAACACCGGTACAACTTCAGTGTTTGAAGCCAGCAACCGGATGTGGTCCCAAATAACTGGGATTGGAGGTGTTAGCCACCACACGTGGGGAATGATGCACATCAACCCCATTGCATGCCCGCTTTGGCCGCAGGGCACTGTGATGTTAGCCCAAATCACGCCAACCTTGCAGTGCTGTCCATCCACTCGTCACCAAAATGGGGCCGTTCACATCAGAAATGCTGGATTCGTTTCGGGGGGCTAAGGCGAGAGGGCCTGACTGAACTCCACTTCCAGTTCACTCTTTCCCTGCTGCGCACCCTTCCAGCTGTACGTGGCTACCTGATATGCGGAGAAAAATAGCCCCCTTCCCCAAGCGGATGTTATGCATTCCACTCCTGCGCCTTTATAGGGAGCAGTGCCTTATGGAAAATGTAGTCTTGATCCACCTCCTTGTAAAGGTAAGAACACAACTATGACCACAACTCCCATAAAGCAGCGCGACTGAAAGTTATTACCTGAGGCATCACGTGAAACCCGCGAACCAGCTAACCAATCACATCTTAAGAATTACGGTAGGAAAAACTACCGTTCCCAGCGGCCAGCGCGCGGCGATGTCTTCGATAGACTTCTGTGCTGTTATGCCTGACGGCCAATTCGCTGAAGGCAAAGTATTTGAAAAATATTTACAAGCCATTAGGAAATGTATGGAAATATGCGGTGCCGGCATCTGCGTGTGTTATGGAGTTGAATTTCCAGGGCATGCAAGAAAAGAGCGAGAGGAGTCTCGAGGGCTCACGGGAAACGTAGTCCATCGTCCTCAATAACAAATGCTTGCCTGTGCGGAAACAGACTGCATCGCCCATAATGCACTGCGGCAGGGGACCGGTGAGAGAAAAAGGCGTCTGCACTGTTCAGGCGGGCAGACAGCGAGGGCGCGCAGAAGACCGACATCGTTACTTTGAGCTCTGCACTCCTTCCCCGCGGGTGGGTCGGCCTCCCTTCCATAGGCGCCGAGCCGTTTCCCACGTAGCGAGTCCAGCGGAGCGGGTTGGGCGGCCCGCCGGAAGTGACGTCACAAGGACCGGGTGAGAAAAGGGAGCTAGTGAATGAGCGCGTTCCTCTGGTCCAGATCGTTTCTCTGTTCTGCTTCCGGGGTCAGAGGTCGGCCGCGGAGGGAAGAAGCTGGTCACGATGCTGATCAAAGTGAAGGTAAGGGAAGGCCCCTACCGGGCGACCCCTCACGCGAGCCCCCTGGGTCGCAGGGCGTGATGGGAGGGCGCCCTGCCTCTCCCTGTGCATTGTGGGGCGTCCGCGGGCACCCCCCATCCAGCCCCCGCCCTCCGGGTCCGGCCTCTTCCTGCCTCCCTTCGCCCGAGATAAGTGCTGTCCCGTCACCGGCAGGCCGGAATTAAACCGGTAGAGCTCTGCCTGCTGTCGTGCTGTGCGTGCTTCACCTGCCGAGTTGCAGCCTGGAAGCGCCCCCCGAGCTGGCAGGACGGGCTCCCCTGGCTGACTCGGTTCCGCCAAAAGGCCTCTGCCAAAACGAGGCGCCCATTTGCAAAGACATACCAGAGCGGCTGCCCTGCGTCTGTGCTGTTCATTCACCCCTTTGCGCCTGCGTCTTGCCTCTCCTCCAGGGAGCCTGTGGCAGCGCACACGTCGCTCTGATGGACCCCACCAAATCCCGTGGGGCACTGACCGGATTTAGGCAACACGATCACCCACTTGCAGGGGGGTCAGTGTGGGTTGCTCGGGTCACTGTCTTGTCTGAATCCAGACATCAGGCCATGCATAGAAGAAATCCCAGGGTTTTACTGTGGTTATTTGGGCTGACTTCATGCACCAAGGTAGCCCATGTTTCATTGACAGCCCCACACCTTGAGGGTTATCCAAACACAGTGACAGTTCACACAACACAACAACCCACTCCAGCAATAAGCCGAGGTGGACCAGTCGCCTTGTGAAACACCCATGATGATCAAGGGTCATTTTGGGTACATCTCCCTTCCTACCCCTCATTCCTCCAAGTAGAACCTTAAGGGACACTGCAAGGAATATTATCAATTTTCCACCCTGTGACGGGAGAGGAGCTGTCAAAGTCCCCACAGTTTCACATTCAGCCTCACTTGGGGCTCTGAGCATTACCCTAGTCAAGACTGGAAATTGGACTCAACTGCAGTTCAGGGCAGGAGCCTTGGTTGTGCTACCAGGACAAAGAATATATTTTTTTAAAGCTTTGTGCTGATAGTGCAAGAAGAGCTCCAAAGCACAGCACAGAGGGCACGGCAGCTCAGCGTGGACTCCAGCCTCCTGCTTTAGCAAGGGTCTCTGCTTCACGGCATGGGGCCTCCTGCCTCCTCATCGGGGGGGGGGGGGGGGGGACTTTGCTGGGGGCTGGAAGGGTTTACTCTTGAGCTTCCAGCAAGAATGGCCCCACCCAGCCCCTGTGAGTAGGGCAGGGTGGCGAACAGCAGCACCCAGGGACTGCCGTCCGCACCTGGCAAGCACTGGTCCAGGTCAGCGGGGGCTTCTTGCCCCTCTTCCCCAGCACCTTGCTGGCTGTTGGGCCTCACCCACCGTGGGTGGGTGGCATGCAGTTCGCTGGAGGTGGCAAGAGAAGAGAAGGGCCCAGAGGTGCTGCAGCTTGGCTTGTTTGGGGGGGGGGTGGAGCCACCCTAGCTGAGGCAGCTGCTGTGGCAACAAGCAAGAGGGCTGTCGCAGCACCCAGATCAGGGCCTGTCCCACAGCAAAACCAGAATGAGCCAGGAATGTTCCTGTTGCCGACAAAAGCAAGGTGGGAGGCAGAGCCACGCATTCTAGTTGAGGGTGGGATCAGGGGGAGGGGTTGGAATGAATTAGGCTTCTGCTCTTAAGTCCTGGAGCAGAATGGGAAACCTAAGGGGAGACTTACTGGGAGCTTATGAAAGGCTATAAGGAAGAATCAGTGGAACCTGAGGGGCATTCAGGCCCACCTTTCTTCCTGAGCAGGGGAGGAAAAAATTTCTGAGCCTTGATGCCCCAAGGAGAAGCTCATCATGGTGGAGAGTCTATAGGCCTGTGGTGAAACTTTCCCTGATCCCTTGAGGAAGGGTTGCGGACTGTGCTGCTCAGGGGGAGCTTGGGTCAAGGGCATGGTACAGGTTGGGGTGCTGGGCCAAGGGCCATAGCAAGCATGAAGTCCCCTGAGCGCTGGCAGAGTGCATGGGCTTAGGCATCTCTCTTTTGTTGCAGACACTAACTGGGAAAGAAATTGAGATCGACATAGAACCCACAGACAAGGTAAATTCTCAGGAAAACATGCAGCGGGTGATGCATATTACCTGCCCTGCCTTTCTCTAAACATGCATCTCCTTCAAAGAGCCTTTGCTTCTACAAGATGGCCACTACCTTGTTTCTCCTTCTGGTGCCAAGCAGGAGCCATGTTTGCTTCCTTGGTATTGGGCTAGTACACAGAACCATGGGTGTGCTCTGTTCTCCCAGCCCCTGGATCGCTTCAGGTGCAAAGGGAAGAAGGGTGAGCTGCTCACTGTTGTGGAAGGGGAAGAGTTTAGGCAGTAAGGGTAATTCCTGAATTATTAACAGCCTGTACTTATAAACACTTGTATAAACCCTATATGAATGTCTCTGGCAAAAAGCTCTGAATATCTCTAGCAAATCTCTATAGTGAAAAGCCATGCGTAGTTCCCTAGAGATATTCAGCATGTCTCTCTGTGGCTGCATAGTTCCCTAGAGATAGTCACAGAAACCCATTTCCTTGGACCAAATGGTTTTACCCTCTAACAAGCTCTTCAACACCTCAGAGAACATGTTTACCCCCCACTCCAACAGGACCTGGAAGGTCAACAAATGTTCAGCCAGGTCTGCCCCTGCACAGGGACCCATTGAGACTAATTCACCAGGGATTAAAGTGTTTTGAATGTAATACATAGGCAGTGGGCTATCTTGCCCTAGTGAATGATTGAATTCACTATATTAGTGCATATGGAAGTATTTTTTGAGTATTTTATATGCACAGAAAGGTAAAATATATACACATACCTAGACAAACATTTGGCTTCGTGCAATCTAACTTAGATACACATTCAACCGAAGGATGTTCTCAGGAATGGAACGTGCCTGATGAAATGGACCACCCTGTATTGGCACCATCCTGTTTGGCCTCAGCCAGCCTTACCCAATCTGGCCTCCTCCAGATGTGTCCCACAGCTCCCATCCTCCCTGGCCAGCACGGTCAGCCATTGGGGATTGTGGGAGCTGCAGTACTAAGCCTCTGGAGGGAACTGGGTTGTACATCTTTGCTTGGTCCTTGCATCTCCTAGATAGCCGCTGCATTTCTGTCACCTGGGCGGCTGAGCACCCACCTTTGCAGGCCGCCTCAGTCCGCTTGGCCGCCTGCCTCTAAGGCTCCCCCAGCCGCTAGGGCTCTGGGTAGGGAGGACTGAACTGTGCCCATGCGAAGGGGAAGCCCCGGAGGTTCGACAGCTGCCCCGAGGGCAGTGAAGAGGCCAGAAAGGCAGACTAGGAGGGTGATTCTTCTCACTTGGAAAGCTCACTGAAGAGCTGCCCTTTCCCAGCCGTTCTGAGCCGGCCAGGTGGTCGCAGAACACAGACTTGAGGCCCCAGGAGTGCGTTAGCCGAACCCGACAGGTTGAAACTTCAAGCAGCTGTGGATGACCTGTGACTTCTGTGTCTCTTCCCCTCTCCCCTCCCCAAGGTGGAAAGAATAAAGGAGCGCGTGGAGGAGAAGGAAGGCATCCCGCCTCAGCAGCAGCGGCTCATCTACAGCGGAAAGCAGATGTGAGTCGCTGGGAGGGCGTTGTGGGAGCCGCACGCAATCCGTTGAGGGACCCCCGGAGGGGAGGGCGCCCCGCTCCAGCCCTTCGTGGGCCAGGGGCTCGCCTTTTGCAAGGACCCCCTTCGCAGTCGGTATGAAACACTGTGCTGATGTTCCGGGACCCTCACGCCTGCCTTTGTGTCTCCCCAGGAACGATGAGAAAACCGCCGCGGACTACAAGATACAGGGCGGCTCCGTGCTTCACCTGGTTCTGGCGCTACGCGGTGGAGGCCTGCGATGATGGAGCGTCTGCCCCCAGCGTGCCCCTCATCCCTCGCCCTCCCCCACGCCCCACAGAGGACAGACCGAACCTCTGATGTGCGAGAAGCAATTGGCTGTACGTTGCGGCGCTGCCACCGGCTTCCCCGTGCCTCGTTCCGGGAAGCACGGCTGCTGCCTTCCAGCAGCTTCCGAGAGCACATTCTCATTTAAGAGAGACGCAGCTTAGGAGCAGGCATCTTCAGTTAACTTCATGGGGTGGTGCAGTGCCCCGTTCTCCCCAGTTTTCCCGCATTTCCTGCCGGCTTCTAAAAGCTCTCTGCTCTTTGGCTGTGTTGTCCCTTCGTCTCCCCCTGTTGGTGTGTCCCTTCCCCTCCTTTGGAATGGTGGAATGTTGAAATAAACGTGTTTAAGGACCTTCATGGTTTCTCGTGAGATGCGTTGACTCTGGATTTCTGTATCCTTGGGCTTGGGAAGGGGGCTTTGGAGGTATCTCTCAGCTACTATTGGCAGTTACAGGTTGGTTTTCTCTGGGGCAGTTAGCAAGTTGGGTGCCAGAACATGGTTGACCTGAAACTTGAAAGCACCGAAATTGCTCATCTGAGAAAAGGGTGAGCAAGAGCAGGTGTGATTGAGGCGTACAAAATTATGCTCGGAGTGAATAAGGTGGAAAGACGAGCCTTTTCTCTCTGCCCCATAAGACAAGACCCCTGGGGCTTATCCATGAATCTGGTGGGAGATTTAGGGCAGAAGGACAGGACAAAGGGAAACAATTGGAATTTGCTAACTGGATATTTGGAGGGCTTTAGAAGGGGATTGTCAAATTCTTGGGAGAAGGCTGCAAGTCCTGATGGCTCTGTGCTACCTCCAGGATCAGAGGCAATGTGTCTGTGCCACCAGTTGCTGAGGAACATGGGCAAGAGGGTGGTGTTACTCATAACTATTTGTGGGTTTCCTCTGGACAGCTGGTTATTTGTCTGCAAACCAAAAGCTGAGGCGCTCTGTGTGGTTTGCAACAGCGGGTAAAACACAAAACAAGATGATAAAAAGGTCAAGACAATACAACATTTAAAAGCCAAATGTAAAGCCGAACTTTACAAACACTTGTGTGCCGTCAGGTCCAAAAGGGATTGCAAGGGGCTGCAAAGGAATCTCTCCAAGCTGGGGAAAAGGGCATCAAAAGGGCAGATGCTGCTCAGCGTGAGCAAGTGCAGAGTCTTGCCCTTGCGAGGCAAAAATTCCCAGCTTGAAGTCTGATGGGATTGGAGCTGGCAGCAACCGACCAAGAAGGAGATCTTGGGAGCATGGAGGAAGCTCGAGGAAAATGTTGGCAGCTGCTGCGCTGCAGGCAAACGCCAAATTAGAAACAACAGAACAGACTGCCAAAACCTTCCCTCCCTCATATTCATCTTTGGTGGAAACTGCACTTGGGATATTGTGTTCAGCTCTGGTTGACTTACCTGAAAAATGACATTGAGTTGGAGAAAAAGTACAGAAAGGGGCAACGGAAATGATCAGGCGGCCGGAGCAACCTGGACTGTTCAGCTTAGAAAAACAGTGAGCAAGGGGAAAGATGAGAGAGGTGCTTAAAACAACGCACGGTGTGGAGAAATTGGAGAGAGATTTTTCTTAACTTCCACAGTGCTTAGGACTTGGGTTCATTCCATGGAGCTGTTTGGTGGGAGGTTTAGGATACAGAAGGAGGAGCGCTTGAGGGTGCCAAGATTAAAGGGAGGAGAATCAGGTGTGTCACTGCAGGACTTGGGAGGGAAAAATAAAAGCAAGAATGGACAGAAGGTGCTCAAACTGTCACCCACAGGTGGGAAGAAACAGGTGAGCTCAAGGGCATGGGCTTCTCTGTGGTGGCACTCCAATTGCAAAACTCCCACCAGGTGGAAATTAGGTTCTTTTTTTTCCTTTCTATTTATTGATTACATTTATATACCGCTCCTATAGCCCTCCAGGGCTCTCTGAGCGGTACAATACAACAGTTAAAAAGAACCAACCGTAAAATTCATACAATAAAAATTCATGCAATAGAATAAAATTCAGTAAATAAATAAATGCACTTAATTGATTTTAAATTATATGATGCATTATTCATGCAGTACTATCAATGACGCATACCAATTAGCGTTAACATTAATTTTCCTCTTCCTAACTTGAATTTCTAGGCCTGCCTGCCTTCCTTGGGTAGGTGTGCTTCACATGTGTTGGACTACAGTGCGCATCACCCTCACCCAGCAGCAGCCATACTGTTTGGGGATCATGGGAGCTGCAATCCAATACATCTGGAGAAGGACACCTGGTTGGGGAAGGCACCTTTAGACAGTGGAACAGGACCTCCTTGCTTCCTGCTGACTCTTCATATGTGGTCCTCCTCCACATTTTTTAAACCGCCCAATTTCTCTGCCTTTTAGCTGCTGCAGTTTAAAAATATTTGCGCAGGTCGAGACGAACAACAAACAGAACTCTAAGTAGCACATACTTAATCAACTAAAAGTTGCAAGCGGTTCTTGCTCTTATCCGCAGCGCTCCGGTGTGAACCGAATTCCATGCCTGTTCAGCAGCGCGGGTAACTTTAGATTTCAAATTTGCACGTGTGCATAGCCCGCGTTCGGATTTTAACACTCCCGAGATGCGTGAGCCCCTTGGATCTCGGCGCCTGTGGGGCGATTTTCCTGCGCAAGCCACCGTCCCTTGGATGCGTTTCAGTTTTCCACGCGCAGGGAGCTGCAGAGCGCCGCAGCGGCTGCAGGAGAGAGAGATCCCGTGCGGGGCAGAAGGAGTTAACCGGCGGGGCCCGGAACCGTCTGGCGACAACCGGCGGCACGTGGTTCGTCGGGAGCAGCAAGCCAGAAAGAAAGCAGGCGAGCAGAAAGCGGGTGCTTGGCATCGCTCCTTCGTCCCTGGAGGACCCGTTGGCGCAGCGCTGGGCACCGGCGGGAAGCGAGCTGGTGGGCGCCTCGATCCCCGGCCCGCGGCACGGACAGGTGACCTGTCGCCCCCGTGCAAAGGGGCTCTGCAGCCTGGGTGGCCGTCGGCGCGGCTAAGCCGCTTTCCCCAAGTGGAGATCGAGACCCTCGGGCTGCATCGCGCACGGGTGAGATGAGGCAGGGGCGCACAGGGAGGGAACTTCTCGGCGGGGGTGGCCCGCTGGGGATTTCCCACCTGGAGGACTCTTTTGGGAGCCCCCTTTGCTGGGTGGGAGCCTAGACCTCTGCCCCAAAGTCTTGCCCTGGTTTTTTTTTTAAAATAACATTTCTCGTTTCTAGGAAGCAGTGCTCTGCCGCCAGCCTCTTCCTGTGTGATTTTCTTTTGCCGAGTATACAGAAGATGTGCAAACGGCCTTCGCTGGTGGTGTTTGACCTAGGTACCTGTTCTGCAGAGGGCGAGAGGTTCAATTTTTAAGAGTAGGGCAGTTTAGGGCTTCCACCTGGTACCCACTGAACCAGAAGCAGTTTGTTCCCCCTGAACTCCACAGGACTGACTTCTGAATCGGTCTGATTCCATCGGGTTAATCCCACATCAGAGATACTTCGGAGGTTCGCCAAACTTAGGTGAAAAGAGCAGACCCTGACAGAAAAAGTATAGAATCCTTGGACTTCAGCTCCCAGTAGCCCCCACCCCCATGGCCCATGTTCAGGCATGCTGGGAACTGATGTCTGAAACATCTGTAGGCCCACTTCCCACCAGCCTTCTCCAAGACATTTATTATATTTATTTAAAGTTTTTCTATGACGTCCCATTACTGAAAGTCTCTGGACGGCTTATAAAGGACATCTTCAACTGCAGCTCCCAGCATCCCCAGCCAGGGTGGCCACTGAGAAGGAAGCTGCGGTATATGGGACCAGGGCATGAGGGACGCGGCTCCAGTGCTTTTTAATTTTTTTTAGCAGGGCTGCTGAAGTCACCTTCCAAGCAATCACTTGGGTCTAAATATAGAAACAGAGCGAGTCAGAAGGGGTCTCCCGGGCCATCTAGTCTGACCTCCGGCACCAGCCAGCTCCGCTCACGACATGCCCACCATGTGGACGTCCAGCGTGTCCTTGAACACCCGCACCGATGGGGCCTCAACCACCTCCCGGGGAAGCCCATTCCACACCCTCGGGGTCCTGACTGTCAGGAAGTGCTTCCTGGCATCTAAATGCAACCTTGGCTCCCTGAGCTTTGCTCCGCTGAAGCGCGTCCTGCCTTCCTCTGCAGGGGAGAACAGGTCTCTCCCCACCTCCATGTGACACCCCCTCACATACCTGTATGTCGCCAACAGACCCCCTCTGAGTCTCCTCTTCTCCAAGCTGAAGAGACCCAGTTCCCTCAGTCTCGCCTCATTCGGCCTCCCCTGCAAACCGGCCACCAACCTTGTGGCCCTGCGCTGCACTGACTCCAACCTGGCTATATCCTTCCTGTAATGAGGGGCCCAAAACCGAGCACAATACTCCAGTTGCGGGTGCACCAGAGTCGTGCAGAGTGGTAGTAATGCCTCTCTCGATCTAGAAGCCACACTTCTGGCTATGCACCCAAGGGTGGCGTTCGCCCTCTTGACCACTGCATCACACTGCTAGCTCACGCTTAGCCTGCAGTCAACCAGCACCCCGAGGTTCCTTTCGCAAGTGCTGCTCTCCAGCCCCTCGTCCCCTAACCTGTACTTGCAAGGCCCATTCCTGTGCCCAAGTGCAATAAGGGCATGGGGGAAGCGACATTCCGGGTGAATCCATTCCCTCTCTCCCTTGCAGATTACACCCTGTGGCCCTTCTGGGTTGACACTCATGTGGACCCCCCTTTCCAACGAGACAGGTGAGCCAAAGGGAAGCAAATACAGGTAGGATGTGAAAGGATGCAGCGAGGTGGTTGCGAGATGGATGAGAGAGAGAGAGAGATGGTTTAGTCCTCAAAAGAAACGGGGGACCATCCAAGTCCAAGAAATCTCATAAGGATGCTGCCTAATACGTTCTAGAAGGAAGGAAGCCCTTTCCCCCTGAGCTCCAGTGCAAGGGATTCTGTGCAGTTATGCAGTGGTGAGGGAAAGAAGCTCTGTCCATGCTCAGAGGCACTCTTGCCTTAATTTACCTTATTGAAAAATGTTGTCTCACCTCTCCGTCTCAAGATTCGTGAAGCTGCTGACAGCATTTGAAAATACAGTCATATTAAAACAGCAAAAATTAAGACTGTGTTTTCCATCTTCTCAGACAGCAACTTGGCCTTCAATCATTATCCAGGCTGCATCTATCTGTCCTGGCTGAGCGCAATCGCTTCTGTTTCACTGGGAGATTAGTAGAGACCCTGCTAATCTGCATCGCATTTGTGTGTTTGTGGATGCATGGGGTTTTGTTCCTGTTTTAAGAGAGGGGAAAGGAGAGTGTGGAGCGGGAGTAGGAAAGAGGATGGGGTGAGCCAATCTCATGGATTGGCGCACAAGCAACAGGTTTGGACTGGGAGGTTGGAAGGACACAGAATGGGTACCTTTTCCTTTGGGCAGAGGTGTACCTATTGGATGGGTCCCATGACATTAAAGTCTGGAGGCCGTATCAGTCCCACTGAGGTCCCCCGAGACACCTTTCCCTGACCACCAATCATTTTGTACAGCGGTTTTTCCCCACTGAAAGGCTGACCAGCCTCCCCAGGATCTGCTTATTGGCAGAAAGCGCTTTAAGCGAAAAGTGCTGGTTTCTCTGGCTCCGCCCCTTTTGCCTTTGACCCCGCCCACCACTGCCGTGCGGCCCCCGAGAGCATCTCCAAAACGGAGTTCAGCGCTTGGTTCTGCACCCCTGCGTTAAATCCTGCGTGGGGTTTCTTTTGTTCTTGTTTATTCTAAGCTGTCCCGAGACGTTCTGTAGGGGACGGGATAGAAAAGCTTTTAATAAAATAAACAGAAAAATTCATAAATATCTCCTACCTGCTCCTCCCCATCCCACCAAAAAAAAAAAAAAAAAAAAGGTAAGCAGCGCCCAAGCCCATGATGCTTGTCCATATTCTTCCCAGTGATGGCTCAGTACGGGACCGTAAGAGGCGACTGGTGCAGCTGTACCCTGAAGCCCTCGCTGTGTTGGAGCGACTGCATCGCGAAGGCATCCCCATGGCCGCTGCCTCACGGTGAGTCTCGCCCCCTCCCGAGGCCACTCGCCCCCCCATCCTCTCCATTCGCCCCGATTCCCCACTCACCATTCCCAGGCTTCATGTAAACCTGCCTGGAAGCAACAGGATACGGGAAATCCGTACCGGTCTGATACCTGCCCGTCCCCCTGAGCATGCATATAAAAAATGCTGTATCCTTTTGATTTTATGATTACACTAATCGTTCTGCCTTCTCTGCCAAGCGGGGTACAACCATTAAAAAAAACAGAAAACCTGCCACAGAGAGCTGGCCTGGGACTCAGGAGACCCGGGTTCCCATCCCCGCTCAGCTGTGAGCCTGTTGCTCACTCTCTGCCTAACCCACCTCCAAGGGTTGTTGTGAGGACAAAGTTATAGCCCAGCAGAGTGGGAAGGGGCCAGTCAGGCCACTGGGTCCACCTTGCTGATCAGTTGAGAGCTCCCTAGAGAGGGGGAAATCCACAGCCACCCTGGATGCCTCGCAAGGGGTAAAGAGGCAGGATACCCATCCGAGAGCGAGACCGAGTGCCCCGGTTCCGTTGGCTACTGAGCCCAAGTAAGCAGTCTTGCTTTTGCCCTGGGAAGCCATCAGCTGCCTGGGGCAGGATTGCCCGCTTGAATACAGACCTGTGCAAACATCTGGATCAGCCAAAGGAGCGTCGTAGCTGCATCGTGACCTGTGGCGACCTAGCAGCAGGGCCTTCCCCGTGTTGGCACCCGCCTTGCGGAAGGACTTTGCCCCTGGAATTCAGGGGGTAAAGTGGCAGCTACACGTGTTTTCTGGCCAAGTCCTGGAACCCAGGAAGGTGCCAGTTCAAGACTTGTCTCTCACCAGGCTTCCCCTGAGTTGCGTCTGCTAACCAGTTTGCTTGCAATACTGGGGTTGCCGGTTTTAGAATGCTGGAAAAAAATGGAGCAATGCGCATGTATTTTGATGCTGTTTTAACGTGTATCATAAATGTCTAAATTTTCTTGCAAACTTTTTAGGATGAGATCCAAGGATCCCTCGACGTTGCCTGCGGGGATCTCCCCTCTGGGTGAGGGGACGGGGTCCGAGATCCAACCCCGTCCCTCACCCTCACCCCCCTTTGCAGCGGAATTGCCCTAAGCATCCTCCAGCCTATCCCCCCCACCCTTCTGAAGCATCGCTGCTGGATGAACTCAAGAGCCCACCGAATCTGCAGGGCTTTTCCATCTCAAGACGATCGGATGGCACCCTTAGAGATGCTCTGAACAACAGCCGGTGCTAATGAATGCTGCAGTCCATATTAATTCAACTCAAGCTGCATTCCTTAATTGGCTTCTTCCCTCCCTCCCTCCCTCCCTCCCACCCTCTCTGTCTACCCTCCCAGGACAGGTGAGATCCAGGGGGCCACTCAACTCTTGGATCTCTTTGGCATGAAGCGCTATTTCCGCTACACCGAGATTTACCCCGGAAGCAAAGTCTCCCACTTCCAGAGGTAAGCCAAGCCTGAACTGCTTTAACAGGGCACCCCATCTCATGTACAATCCCAGTTTTCCAGCTCGCTCTCTCCTGCTGCTCCCTGTACAGTAACCATCTTCATACCTTGGTCACCTTGATTTTAAAAACTTAAGGCACACTTCTGTATGAGTTTAGACAGAAAAGAGGCCTATAGCATGCATAGGAAGCTATAGACATCTTTCTTTTTGTCTAAGCCCACATGAGATTGTGGCCTTCGAAGGCAATAACCATAGAATCTCCAGTAAGAACCCACCAAATTGCAACTTGTTACAAAATTCAACTATTTCACAGGTGACCTAAATAAATAGTTGTTTTCCCCACTACAAGCATAAATTCGGTCACGAATGCCAGGAAGTTTGCTGTCTTCATCACTGTATTTATCTTTACATCTCAACACTAATGTCACTCTATTTTTTTGTATTTCCTTTTCTCTTTTTGTTCTTTTTATTGTGGCTTATATATGCACACACACACAAGCAAACATAGGATAATATTTAACATATATTATAAAGTGGGAGTCTAGTCTATGGAAGCCAGAGGCGTTAGACTGCAATTTCTATCATTCCCAGGTAACGTGCATGATGGTAGTTACAGTCCAACATAGCTGGACAGCACCAGCTTGGGGAAAACTTATATTGTAATCAAGTTGTTCCTCTTCATAGCACCACAAAACTTCTTGTTGCCTTTGTCTCGATCGTTTCGAAGCACAAAGAATGCTTCAAATTGTAATCCTCTTCTGGCTGGCAATTACTGGGAATTGGAGGATTTTTCCTGTCCAGACATGCATAGAATTGCATCCTAGGTCGTTCTTAAATTTAGAAGTTGTGTATAGATAAGCAGGTTGCTTAGAAAATGGATGTTGAGTCTCCATTGAGGGTTTTATTATTTATTTATTTATTTATTTATTTATATTGCGATTTATATCCTGCCTTTTTCCTACAAAGGGCTCAAGGCAGCTTACATCTCCTCCTCCATCTTATCCCCACAACAGCAACCCTGTGAGGTAGGTTGGGCTGAGAGTCTGTGACTGGCCCAAAGTCACCCAGTTGGCTCCACGGCTAAGCGGGGACTAGAACCCAGATCGTCTGAGTCCCAGTCCCGTGCTCTTAACCATCACACCACACGGGCTCTCTCCTGATCTTTACATTTAAAAACAAATCCACTGACCATTAGTCTACCGATATGTGGGCTTCTATCAGTTAGCTGCTGTCGGCTATCGAATCAAGAGTAAGTAGCAAGAGTTCCACCAAAATAAGTCTTCCCGCCTTGGTTCTGGCATCCACAGTCATTAATGTGGGTACAGTTGGAATGAACCTGGCCCCCAAGGCAAGGTGCACATGGAAACATGTGGTGCTTGAAACCGCAGTCCAGGCCGAGGCGGCAGGAAGGAGCTCTTACCCCTTCTCTGTCTGCTTCTCAGGTTGAGTCAGCAGAGCGGCATTCCTCTTTGCCAGATGCTCTTCTTTGACGACGAAAGCCGCAACATCCATGACGTTAGCAAATTAGGTACCCAGAGACGTGTGTGTGTGACTTTTCACCCCTCCCCTGAATCCTCTGGGGCAGTCCCAGTTTTGAAGAGGTTCCCCCCAGTCTAGTCCAAACTGGAGGGACTTGAACCAATGACCTCTGAAAGAGGCTGCTCACCCAGATGTTTCCAGCTAACAGCCAAGGGTGGCATCCTCTGAGTTTGGACAACAGGTTGTTGAACTGTGCGTTGTTGCTGAAACGTAGGTCATCCTACTTAACTAAACCCAGCTGAAATTTAAAAGAAACATGGTGTACAACCCAGAGTTTACAACCCAGCAGTAAGCCATGGGTTCTCTTCATGGGTTGTTCATGGTTAACAAGCCACGGCTTGTTTGCATTGCTGGGTTCAGATGATACATTAACCCATGTTTCAACACCAAGCCATGGTTCCAAGATAACCCATACCCAACCGCTGAGTATGGGTTTTCATGTTGTGTGAACCACCCCTCCGAACTCTTCCAACACATTCTACACAAGCACGTACACACAATTTATTTTTTCCACTGGCATCTGCCAAAGGAGCCGGCGGGTGGGAGGCTCAGGAGAGATCAAAGGAAGGCTTTGGCACAGAGTTCAGATTGCTTCCAGAAGCAGCAGCGCTGGCCACCCTCTTGGACGTGTTATGTGCCTCCGTTGCTGGGGAACATGGGTGGGGAGGTGCTGCTGCTGGGTTTCCATGGGCAGCTGACTCCCCATCCTGTGATCCGCACAGAGGGCTAGACAGACCTTTGATCTTCCCTCACAGGGCTCTTAGCTGACATGATTCCTGGGGAAGATTTTTGTCTGGGCAAACAGCCTCTCTGAGGTTCCCCGAGCCAGCTCTGCCTCCAGGATCAAAACCTTCCAAGAGAATGCTGCTCACTCCGGTGATGATTGGAAGTGCTTTTCCATTTCTCAGCCCTGTGCCTGAGCAGCAGGGTCATACCTCCAGGGTGGAAAGCCCCCGTAGCATGCCAGCAGCCCCAGGCCTCGGGCCTTGGCTTCTCCCCCTTCTTCAGAGCCGAGGAACACCTCAGCCCGTCACCCTTGGAGAAACGGAGCCTCGGAGTCAAGGCATCCCCTTGACTGGGACCACTGGTCTCTCTGGGGCAGCTTCCCATCATTTCAAAGGGATGTCGCATTAATTTCCCCGCTTTTGCTTCCACTTTAGGAGTCACATGTGTCCTGGTCCCCAGTGGCATGAACCTCGCCGTTCTCAACCAGGGCCTAGAGGCCTTTGCTCACTCCTGAGGGCTGCCTCTTGCTACACCGCTGGACTGCAGAAGCCGGGCATCCCTTCTCCTCTCTCGTACGTGAGGGACGCACCGAGGCATGTCTGCGTTATAAATAAACCCTCCATGTCTCCCCTCACAGTGTCCTGATGTGTGTAAGGCCCACATGGCGTGTCTGGGAGGCCACCATGGAAAGGCTGTCGGCACGGCTGCTCTCCACAGTGCCTCCTGGGACAGGACCGCGGCCCCAGCTGTTCTTTGCACTGAGCGCTTTCCTAGCCCAGGAACAGCACCCCACGGAGGTGGGTGGCTTGCAGCTCCCTGCAGGCTCGGGCATCGCCCCAAGGGGCAGGCAAGCTTGCTCTTCTGCATTATGGCATCCTAAGCCGACATCATGCGCACAAGCCGACCGTTCCATGGGTGGGATGACGCTCCCAGTGTTCCCTAAGACTGGATTTTGACTTCAGCCTGTGCAGTGATTTCGTTGGCAGCTGGGCACCGGATGGTCCTTGGGAATCTTGTTCCGGAAAATAAAAACCGCAGAGGCAGGCCGGGGGTCCTGTCCAGTGGCTGCACCTTCTGGGGGCAGGAGGGATGCAGTCTGCATCTGAGAGGTGATCCGCTGGCCTGCCATTCTTTCCCAGTTTCAGAGCGGTTTGTCATTTCAGTAATCCCCCTGCTCAGGCGAACCTTTTGCATCCTCACGAGTCCTTCCAGCAGGCGTCCATTAAATACCATGGACTACAATTCCCAGCACGCTGTGGTGATGGGATTTGTAGTCCTGCACATCGCATAGGCCCTGGCCTGGGGGGGGTAAGTGGAAAGCTGTACCTGTTGGATTTCTGGATCTTCCACAGTCTTTTAAGAAGGAAGGAGTACCACCAAGGGAGAAGGATATATTTGGAGGAAGGAAGACTTATAAATCCCCAAGAAAGGAATGATGGGGACTGAAGTCACTGCGCCCCGCGGGCCGGGGTGAAAACTGCCCGGAGAGGTGTGTGTGGCTTTTCAAAATGGGTGCGAAGCAGCGGGAGCGCTCAGGAACGGTAGGGAGAAAATTGGGATTTAGGGACGCGGCTCCTTTAAGAGGGGCGGAGGGGGAAGGAGCGAGAGCGGCCGTAGGTCATATGATGCTCTGGCTCCAGAAATCCTTTTCCCGTATCTCTAGAGTTGACCAAAGGGCGTGCAACACTCACATCCGGGTTCCATTGAGAGTCCTATGCGGGGCAATAGGGGTCGGCAGAGGCGTGTCTGCGGCGCTCTCTTGGCCTAATCCTGACCCGAATCGGAACTCGCCCCTCCAAAGGGCGCCTCGCTTCGACGGCTGAACGCAGCAAAGACCAACTTGCGGCCTCCTCCTCACACCCCGACTGGATTACCGTAATGGGCTCTACCTAAGGCTGCCTGCGAAGACGGCCCGGAGGTGTCAACGGGTTCAAATAGGGCCGCTCATCCGGTGTCGGGTGTCAGTTCACATGTCCATGTAACACTTGTTCTGTATAAGTTCCACTGGTTGCCAGGTGAAGCCCGGGCTCGTTTCAACATATAAAACCCTATATCAAGCTTGGGACCTTGAAGGATGGCCTTTTCCCATATATTCCTACTCTCCCATTGAAATCTGGGAATTGAGGTCCTTCTGAGAAAGCAATCTCTAAAGGAAGTAAAAGGGATGGATTCAGAAGAAGGGCCTTCTCTGTGGCAGCCCCCTCTCACCCCCCCCCCCACCCGCCCTTGGAACAGGCATCACCTGGCGCCGCCTCTGCTTTCATTTCAGCACCAGGCAAAATCTCTCCTCTTCTGAAGATATTTCAAGATCTGATTTTACCACTCTGCTACCAGCACGTTTTTTTCTCTCTCTCTCGCTCTCTCTCTTTCTCCCCTTAAAATTGTACTGGTGGCCTGTTGTTGTTGTTGTTGTTTTTTAATATTGTCCCCTGCTTAGAGAGACCTGTCGGGGTCTGTACATTTGAAAATAAATAGATAAAGCCTACTATTGGGAACATGTAGGTGAGCTTGGGCAACTAAGGGCCTACAGCCCTTTGGAATGGATTTCCTTATTGTCATGTGATGGAGGTGGGGCCGGGTAGGTAGGTGGTTGAAGCCGGAAGAGGAAACCCAGAGAATTCCCAATCAGCCGAGATGAGTGGCTTAGGGAAGCTCTTCGGAAAGGGTGAGCCTATTTTTCTTTTTTCCCCCCAAAGACGCGGGTGGTATCGCCCAATTGTTATAGACCATCATGACGAGCTGGGAGCGACCAAGCGTTGCGTGGGGGGAGGCAAGAAGAGAAAAGGGCAATTTACCCTGATGGAGGAGGAAAAACACACATTTAAATAAGGAGAAGGGTGTGTTCCAGATTTCTTTTTTCCTTGAGAGGGAAACTGCATTGGGCCGTGTTTCAGAATACCTTTTGGAGAGTGCTACACGGGTTTTAAAATGTGTGTGTGTGTGTGTGTGTGTGTGTGTTTCTTTCTCCCAAGTGCTCAGCTTCTGGGTGAAGGGCTGCATTATTCCTCCATTTTGCAGTAGGGGAGAGGATTGACCAGGTGAAGAGGCGGGGGGCGGGGTACGGATGGTGGGAGTAGCCCATAATGCACCTGGGCATTGGTGGTTTGATTTCGGGGAGTGATAGATCTTCCTTTCCCGTAGTCGTTTTCAGGGCGTGCCTCTGTCGCCTGGTTTTAAGTTAGAGCGGGAGGCTTGATGGGGGGCTGCTGCTAGTCGGGGTCTCGCAACGTGCCTCCCCCACCCCCCATGTTGTTCCTCTTTGTTTTGTCTCCTGCCCCCCTCCGCTGGCCCTTTGCAGGCAAGAAACCCAAAGCACCCACCCCGCAGGAAGCCATCCAGAAACTGCGGGAGACGGAAGAGGTTCTGGTCAAGAAGCAGGAATTCCTGGAGCAAAAGATTCAGCAGGAGCTCCAGTCGGCCAAGAAGCATGGGACCAAGAACAAAAGAGGTGAGGCAGAGCGCCTGGGTGGGAGGGCCGGGCTGGCCGGAGGGGGCGTGCTGCTTGGGGGCTGAAGGGCCCCAGATCATGAAGATGCCTTCTGCCTAAACTCAGCTAGGGTGATCTGGTCTTCCAGCCACTGCAGGACCCCCACTTTGGGGGTGGGAAGTGGAGGCAATTGCGTGGGGGCTCCAAGAGTTGGGGCACTGGTGTGCCGTGATGTGGTGGCAGCATCCTGCCTCGCAGGGCTGTCGTCAGGACAAACCAAGAGCAGGAGGAGAACTGGGTGAACCACCCCCCTCGGCTCCCCTTCTGTCAGGGTTTCTCGGTTACTTTGCCGTTGACCTGTCAGGTGGCATTTAAGAGATGCAGATAGATTTTGCTAGCTACGAATTTCCACTTCTTGTGTGTGGCTCAAAGCTGTGAGAACAAGACTGAAGTACAGGAGTGATTCACGTTGCCTCTGGCTTTCTCAAAACATTTGGCAAGTTCTTCTTGCATTGATTACAACACTTTCACCGCCTTCCACAAGGACTGAACTACAACACCCATCACTCCCATCTGGCTTGGTTATGGTCCGTGATGGATGCTGCAGTCCAGCAGATCTGGAAGGCACCAGGTTGGGGAAGGCTGGCCTGTGGCTTTAGCCCTTGTGTGGGGCTGACGCCATTCTCATATTTGCACATGTGATATGACGACTTAAGTTATTTTTCACTATTTGTGGCTGCTTGCGTTCCCCTTTTGTCAAGGTTTCTTGATTACTCGGTGCTTCTCACTGACCTCCCCTTTAAGTGTGTGTGTGTGTGTGTGACTCGTCTGCCTTTCTTGCATTGCAAGTCTTTGTCAGTACAACCACTGCGTGCTTCTGCATGCATGTTTGTATTCATAAGGACTAGAAACTTGAAGCTCTGTTTGTTTCTTGCACAAAAGCTGAGACGGTCTCTGACCGCGTTGCTCGTCTGGCAGCTGAGTAACCGATGACCTCGGTCCCTCTCCCTTTAGCGGCCCTGCAGGCCCTCAAACGCAAGAAGCGCTACGAGCAACAGCTGTCCCAGATCGACGGGACTCTCTCCACCATCGAGTTCCAGCGGGAGGCCCTTGAGAACGCCACCACCAACACCGAAGTGCTCAAGACCATGTCGGATGCCGCTCGCGCCATGAAAGAGGCCCATCAGCACATGTGGGTCCCTCTGGGGGGGGGGGGTGGCCACGGCGGCAGCTGCAGCTTTTCCAGGAGGATGTTCCCGGCCCCGGTGGGAGGGAAGTGCCAGAATTTTATTTATTTATTTAAACATTTTTAATATGGGTCAAACTGAACAGACTGGGGGACCCATGACCAGAGAGGAACTCCCTTTCCCTGCCGGATCAGACACAAGGCCGTTCGAGTCCAGCATTCTGCCTCCATGACAGCTGGCCCAGTGTCTCTGGGCAGCCCACAAGCTGGACCCAAGGATGCCACCACCCCTGCCCATGTTCCCCAGCAACTGGTGCATACAGGCATCCTCCTTCTGATCCAGGAGGGAGTACAGCCCCCTCCAGGAATTTTTGAACCCCCTTTTCAAGCCATCCTCCACAACCTTTTCTGAATCCTGTATTTTGTGTTGTACAAAGAAGGCCTTCCTTGGATCTGTTCCAAATCTCCCACCCATCCGCTTTATGGATGACCCCTTTGGGCTCAAACATTATAAGAGGGAGAAAAAGGTCTGTCTAGACCAGCGATGGTGAACCTTTTAGAGGCCGAGTGCCCAAACTGCAACTCAAAACCCACTTATTCATCACAAAGTGCCAATGCTGTGATGAAACCTGAAAAGTGAGGTTTTAGTTTAGAAAAAACTCACAGCCAGTCCACACAAATTTATATACATCCTTGGCAGTGCACTAACCGGCCATGCGAAAGCTCGGACAAGTCGCAGCTAATGAGTCTCACCTCATGACATCATTGCCTGGCGCCGCTGTTCCTTTCCGAGCACGCACATGGCCCCTATGCGCCTCGTTATCCGATGCTCGGCTGCTGGGGCGATGCTGGGCCGACATGGCTCGCGTGCCGACAGAGAGGGCTCTGCATGCCCACTGTGATACGCATGCCAGAGGTTCACCTCCACTGCCCTAATCCTGCCCTGGTGCACACCCCTAACCCTAATACAGGGCAAAAGTTCCATTGAAAAGAGGGCAATTTTGAAAAAGCCTTCCTTGAGTAGCTTTTTCTGCACAGCTCATCATTTCTGCCCATGCTAAACGCATTCCAAACATCAAAATCCTGCCAGGGCACCTCGTTTTCCTAACCCTAACCCTACCCTGGTGCACACCCCTTACCCTAATATAGGGCTAATGTTCCATTGAAAAGAGGGCGATTTTGAAAAAGCCTTCCTTGAGTAGCTTTTTCTGCGCAGCTCATCATTTCTGCCAATGCTAAACACATTCCAACCATCAAAGTCATGCCAGGACACCTCGTTTTCCTAACCCTAACCCTACCCTGGTGCACACCCCTAACCCTAATAGAGGGCTAAAGGTCCATTGAGAATAGGGCGATTTTGAAAAAGCCTTCCTTGAGTAGCTTTTTCTGTGCAGCTCATCACTTCTGCCCATGCTTAACACATCCCAACCATCAAAATCATCCCAGGACACCTCGTTTTTCTAACCCTAATGCAGTGATGGTGAACCTTTTAGAGACCGAGTGCCCAAACTGCAACCCAAAACCTTCTTATTTATTACAAAGTGCCAACACTGCAGTTTTGACTTGTGGAGCCCCTGCTCCAAGAGGCAGGGCGGCCACCCTCGGGCTCCCCCTTTTATCGCTTCGGATGTGGCTGAAAGGCATCCTGCTTCCTTTGCAGGGACATCGACAAGGTGGACGACCTGATGGCCGAGATCACGGAGCAGCAGGACATCGCTCAGCAGATCTCGGACGCCATCTCCAAGCCTGTCGGCTTTGGGGACGACGTGGATGAGGTACCAAAGGGCCGGGCCATTCCCAAGAGCAGGGTGGGGGGTCAGGATCGTGCTCCCTGTGGCCCCAGACGCTGCGCTTGCCCTTTCCCATCTGGCCTTTTGCTCATGTTAGGATGAGTTGCTGGCCGAGTTGGAAGAGATGGAGCAGGAGGACCTGGACAAGGAGCTGCTGAATGTCGGGGAGCCAACCCCAGAGCTTCCCAGCGTGCCTGCCTCTCAGATCCCCCGTGTGCCAGGTATGTGGAGATCCGGGGGCCAGTCATGGGAACGCTGCCTTGAGCGGGGCCTTCTCCAGCGTGGCCCCTTCCAGTTGTGTGGGAGGCAGTCCAAGCCTTCCCAGCCAGCACAGCCATTGGACAGCTGGGGCCACCACTCAAGCCCGGGGGCATGGGATCACCTTTCCCTCTCTCACCTGCCACCTCTTCCAACAGCCTCCAAAGTCCCGGCCTTGGCCACTGCTGTGGAAGACGAGGATGACGAAGAAATGAAGCAGCTCGCCGCCTGGGTGTCGTGATGCATTGTGGGAACATGCCCTCCTGCCTCCCTTTCCTATCGTGGGGGGAGTGGAGCCAGAGGGGGATCCATCCCCCCTTCCATCCCAGAGGCCAGGGAGGGGCAGCGTACATGCACGTCCTGCCTGAAGATGACCTTACGTGCCGAATGTAAAGAGTTTTATAGACAGATTTCTATATATATATAAATATATAAGAACAGATTGTATTGTGGGGGGAGGCGTGTTGGGCGCTCAAAAGCAGCTCCCCCCAGCAGGGGCCAAATCCTAGTTCTTGCCCCCTTTTCCAGCAAAACTGAGGATAACCCCATTCCGTGGCAAAGGCATGGGTGGGACTCCCCCAAAACAAAGCTTGCCGGCTTTGCTGAGATTTGCTGCGCCCTTGTGCCTGCTGAGTGGAGTGGGGGGCTCTAAAATATGGCAGTTTGGGGTACACCCTTCCTAGAGTCCCCCCGTGTTTCTCTTTGCCCCAACTGTTCCGAGGAAGCAGATCCTCTTCCCGCCAGAGTCCAGCATGCGACTGAAGTGGACACAGGCAGCACCAAAGGGCTCAGGGGCAGAACTGTGCCAAAAAGGGGGATTCTTGGGGGGGGGGGGGGGGCGACGACGATGCATGTGGAGCTGCAAGGTTTGTGTGTGTGTGCGTGTGTGTGTGTGTGACACCTATTGTCTTTCTCTCCTCTCTTGGCGGCGTGTCGATTTGTCCTGGGTTGACGTTTCCATGTTTTCTCTTTTTACACTTGGCTTCTGCTAATCCGCTAATTTTTTAAAAGATTTCTCTCTGTCTTTCTCTTTCTCTTTGTGTCTCCTTGTGGTCAGGAGTGGAGAGGGAATCCCCCCCAACACACACACACACCCACACCCACCCACACACCCACACCCCTGCCCTCGTGGGCTTTAATGCCATTCTTCTCTCTGCCCGGTCATGTAAAGTCAGCTGGCAGCGCTCTTCTGTTGCCAAGAGAGAGAAAATGTGGCCAGCGAAGGAATGGGGAACAGCAGCCCCCAAGATGTGGTTGGACCATTGTGCCTTGAAACTGGCAGCACTGGCTGGATGGGAGTTGTTGTCCATAGCTCAGGCCTAGCCTCTGGTAGGCAGAGAGAGAGAGAGACAGACTGTCCAGGAAGGTGGAGCCTGGATTGAGTGATTCTCCCTTTTAAGAGAGCCCTTCTCCTCTTCCTCCACCTCCTCCTCCAGGAAGATGGGTCATCCCCTCCCAAAACCAGCCCAGTTGGTCTTCCTGACCTCCTACCATGGCAGCTGATTTTAAGAAATGCTGTTCTGTGTGCAGAAGGGCAGTCGCTTGCCCAATCTTACCCAGCAGCCCTTGGGCCCATTAAGATCTAGTCTTTTAGAAAAAGAACTGCTCCCTCCCTCCACAATGCGTTATTTTATAAACCTCAGTTGCGCTTCAGCACTCCTTTGCCCCCAGTGAAATAGCCCCCAAATCTCAGGCTAGTGGAATCCGGGCCGGTGTCCTCCATTTGGTTCAGATCGTGCCACCCGCTCCGGACAGCCGGTGGTCAGGGCTTCTGGGAGCTGGAATCCAATGTATATGGGGGACACCAGCTTGGGGAAGGCTGCTTGCTAATTTCTCCCCACCCTTTTCCTAAAGAAATGGAGATCCAAAATGAGGGTGACGTGCAGGAAGGGGGTTTGGATCCTTGGTTTTGGTACGAATAATGCTGCTTAATTATTGTATGGTATATTCAAGAGCGTTCCACGTGTATGAGCTGCTAGTAACATTCCCAAGGCCCTAGCCAACCTGGTGCCTGCTGGGTGTGTTGGACTACATCTCCCATCATCCTGGCCAGTGACTGAGGATGATGGGGGTTGAGGTCCAAAACATTTAGGGGACATCAGGATTGGGGAAGGCCACACCAGCCCCGGACTGGCCCTGCCCCTTAGTCGACCGCTGCACGCCGGGAGTTCTGTGTCCTGCCGGCACCCCACCGGGAACGCCTGTAAACTAACGATCTCGCTCGGATTTAATAATTTTCCAGTTCAGATTCTGCCTCCTGGACAGTTGTGCATACCAAGTGGAACGTCCCAAAATGTGCTCTGGCTGCTTATAAAGATGGTTGTCTGAACAAGCTCTCTGGGTTTTCCCCGCCGTCCTTTGTGGAGGTGCGTGTTCCGCCGTCTGCCCCCACCAGGAAATCCAGAAATCAGCCGTCACAGAGGAGGGGTCGGGCTGAGCACAGGCAGGCCTAGCCACACCTTCGACTTTGCGGTCGCCCATGTCACGGCAGCCCTCAGCTGGGCTTGTCCGGGTTCTTGTTTCCCTTAATCTGGCCGGTGCTGCGGGTGCGGCTGACGGCCTTCTTTTTGTCCGGCGTAAAGGTGAGGGAGCGCGACTTGGTGCTGGGCGTGTTGTGCTTGGCGCCCTCGGTGGTGCGCGGGCCACAGATGGCCTCCAGGGCTTTGATCTCGGTGGTGGGCTTCTCTACCAGAAACTTCAGCACCCAGGAGACCTTCAGCACTTCCAAAATGTTGAGGCGCTTTGAGGCTGGGCGCAGGATGCGGTGTATCAAGTCCTGCGGGGGACAAGAGGGGGGGGTCGCAGCTTAAATACAGCTCCTTGCCCTCGTTTCCTCTGCGCCTGTCCACTTTTAACTCTCAGCTGTAGGGTCTTCACGCTCCTTGAACTATCCTGGTGTTGGATGCTTCCCTCTTTCCCGTCCGTTTGGATAACACCTTGTTAAGGGCGAAGGCGACCCACAGCAAAGGAGATGCCAAGGGGGTGAGGAGGAGGAGGAGAGTACTGAAGGGGGCTGAGAGTCCCTGGGATTTGGGTGTTGCTGGATCCCGCCACCCCATAGGTCTGCCCTGAAGGACCTTCGGAGAATCGGGGTGATCTAAGCAGGGCCTGCCGAACATTAGTCGGTTTTTCAGAAGTGAGGCAAGTAGCTAACAACACCTTCAAAAATAAGAGCTGCCAAGCCGTGGCAGGTTTTCAGTGGGAAATGGTGTGGAGATCCAACCTGGCTGGCTATTTTCCTGCTTTAGAAGACCCATGGCTTTTTCTGCAAACTAAAATTTGGGCTGCCCAAGCAAAGAGGAATGTAGCTGGACGCACCCAGCCCCCTTAGGGGGGACACGGCCCTGAATCACACGAGCCTTAAGCAATGACTGAGTTTAGACAGCACAATAACCCACAGTCACAGGTGGTGTGTGGATTGCAGGACCTGTGGGTGTTGTCCGAACCAAGCTGTGCTACCGAGCCATGGCCCGTGGGCCATGAACAACCCTGGGAGAGAAGCCACGGTTTGTGGCCTCTGCTGGGTGCAGACAATACAACCATCCAGGGATCGGCGACAACCTGCACTCAGCCTGCAAGGGTGTGTGATTGTGTTACTCAGCCCCTTCCAAGGCTACAAGGACTTTTTCAAGCAGACTAATCGCATGGCAGATTAATCTGCTTGGGCACCCAAGGATATCGGGCGCCTGCAACATAAGATCTGCACCACTAACCCCGGCACTATCCTGTACTCCTGCAAAGCATCAGCAGAACTCCAGCTAAGCAGGGAGAGAAAAGCTGCTTTTCTTCAGCCAGCTTTGCTTTTCCCAGGGGAAGCCTGGCCAGAAGAAAACGGACTGCTCAACCCCCGGTTTTGCTCTCTCCGGGTTCTTGCCCGGAAGAAGCCAAGCCACCGAAGCGTCGCTCCACCGCCAACCTCCCCACGTCGTAGGGTCGAGGGACGCCTGGCCCGGCCTCCCAACAAGCATGCTTGCCTTGATCTCCTCATTGATCTGGAGATGCGCCGGGAAGGTCACCTCTTTCTGGGTCTCCCGGAGCAGCTTCTTGAGGTTGCTGTCATCAAAGGGCAGGTGGGCCACCACCAAGGTGTAGAGGATGACGCCCATGCTCCAGATGTCGGAGAGGAAGGGGTTGTATGGCAGGCCCAGCAGGATCTCCGGGCAAGCATAGGCGAAGCTGCCGCAGTAGGTCTGGCTGAGGTGGGAGAAACAGCTCATCATGCGGTACGAAGCCGTGGTGGCCGGCTGCGTCTGGCCCGACACCATCTTGGAGAAGCCGAAGTCGGAGATCTTGATGTTTTCCCGCTTGTCCAGGAGGAGGTTTTCCAGTTTGAGGTCCCTGTGGGGATGAACCGGGGCGGCGGGAAGGCCAGGGTGAGGCTGGGAGAGTGCTGGGTTGCTCGGAGGTTGGCTGAATGGATCCTGGGAGACTCAAAGGGCTCCACCGCGAGCAGAAGAAAGCCAAGGAGCACCACTTTGGGTGGTCCCGTTCCCTCTCCTCCCGACCTTAGTTTCTTTTTAGCAACTCGTGGGCCTCCGGCCACTGCACGAGGCAGATGCTCAACCGGTGCAGCTTCCCCCCTCACTGCTCCCCCTAGAAAAGTACCACCAGGTAATTTCGGCTGCTCACCCAGAAGGGCTTGAGCAAGGATGACAGAACTCTTCCACCTGAAGGGGGCAAATTCAGTTCTGACGAAGCCTTCAGGGATCCATTGCCCAGGCAAAAACGAAAAAATGAGCATGTTTTAATTTTACTGCCAGAAACTCCCCTCCTTTCTTAAGGCCCAACGTGGCTAGGAAGGAGCACACCTGCCCATGCAAGGCAGAAAACCCGCAAGGCATTGGCATTGGAGGAAAGGGGAAGGAGGGACGGACGGGGTGAGTTCACGGGGAGGAAACGACACACAGATGACACATGGGGCAATTTACACGTGCTGCAGAGTCTGCGTGTCCAAAGGAGCCCGTAGAGACGCCCCCAGGTGTAAAACAGGATGGGGAGGACATGTCAGGGGGGACCCTTCATTTCAGGGGACAGAGCAGCAGGAGATGCTGATCTTGCGGAGAGGAGAGGTGACAGATGACCTGTGACCGTATCTGCACGAGACTGTGGGCCAGGTGGTCTCCGAGAGAGTCGGGGCTCCACAGGAAGGGCCCGGGGCTCCAAGCAGAGCGGGCCGCTCTCTCCGAACGCTGCTGTTTGCGGGCAGCCTCATCCAAATCCGGCCTGGTTAAAACCGCTCTGTATAGGCTGCATCCCCTCTCTGCTCAGAAGTCCCTGGGTGGGGCGAGTGCCAAATCGATGCAAGAGACACGGCAGGGGCGGCGAAAGCACGGATCCTGACCACAGAGGCCACAAGCAGGGCTGGACGTCACCATTCCCCTGAGTGAGTTGCAGTTTGGCGTTTCAGAGCTGAGGGTACCGCCTCTCCTCCCTAGCCCCGCTTCTGGGCCCTCCCCAGGCCTAACGGGCAGGCAGAAAACCAGTAGGTGAAGCCTTCCCAGGCGAGGAGATGCAACGATGGGAGAACGCTGGCTCCGCTGCATGGCAGCCTGGCCTGCAAGGCGCCGAAACAAAGAACCCAACGGTGGTGGAAGCCCAAGCGGTCCTTGGGTCGGCTTTTGAGCTTTCTTGCCTGGAAGGCTGCCCGCGATGGCGAAAGCGCGGCACGGGGGCCTGGGCCCGACAGCCCCGTCCCACAGTTGCCTCGCACGCTTGCTCGCTTGCTCGCTCACCGGTGGACGATGCCTTTGCCGTGCAGGTAGGCGATGCCCAGAGCCAGCTGAGAGAACCACTTGCCCGCGAGGGACTCAGTGCACGCGCCGGACTTCTGGATCCATTCCAGGACGTCGCCGCTGGGCGCCAGCTCCATGATGATGTAGTGCCGGGAGGTCGTCTCTATGGCCTGGTAGAAACTGATCACGTACTTGTGGCGCAGACTTTTCATCACCTGGAGAGCAACGGGCAGAGCAGCAGGTCAGACTTTCCTGGGCCCGGCGGGGTGTGCGCGCACCTTCCCACGTGTGTTGCCCTTCAAATCGCGCCGTCCCGTGCATGTGTACACCGAAGACAGCCGGACAATTCCCAGCATGCCCCATCTCGGCCTGACTGGGGCATGCTGGGGATCGTGGGGCTTTTTTTCCTGCCCGAGTGTGCTCTGCTCCCCTTGGTGGTGACCACTCTGGAGTCATCAGGTCTTACTCTTGAGTAAACAGGCCCAATATTTGACTGTCCTCACCAAGCCTTTTTGGGATTAGAACCCATCTGGAGCATGTCGTGACATCAGTACGGAAAAAGAATGGCAGGTGAATTGCAGGCGGAGAGAGTCAAAAGCTGTGAAACGCAAGAGGTTTGGACCTCTTGCTTTCCTGTTCAGACGGGACCAGGGGAGGTACTGCGGATCCAGGAGCTGCCCTCGATTTTCTTTAAACCCCTTTTAGACACAATCAAATATATGTTTTAGACAAAAAAGTGTTCCGCAGTTTTTAATGTTTCCCAGCCAGGGAGTGCTCAACGTTCTTTTTTCTGCCTAAAAATGCACCTTTCTCTATCCCGCTTTGGATTAAACTAGTTTCTGCTGCTCTTTATTGAGTTAGTTTATCGGTGGGTGAAGGAAGTGCCATGTGCCATATTTTCACTTTTATTCTCATGGCCACAAGCAGATTCCAAAAGCCATATTAGGGTAACACCTTCATTAAACTAACACAAAGGTATCCAAGAATGCGCAGCTTTTGAGATGTGCTAAAATGCAGCTTGGTGAGTGGAAGACATGGGCAATAACTACTTGAAAAGACTGAATGTCTAAAGAATTTCAAACAAGAGTAACGGAGAGTAAAGAAATGTTTCAGCAGGGAAAAGTCCAAGTCCCAGCATCCCCCCAACCAGCCAATTGTTGCCCAACATAAATGAACAAGGCTATTTTAGGAATGAAGAGTTACACAAAGCTAACAATTCCAGTAGGTTCAAAACCCTCTTCCTGGCCAAAGGAAAGGCATGCGTGTGCACCACCACGGAGGTTACGACCTGAATTTCCCTTGGGAGGAATTTTGTGAGGTAGTCCTCCGAGGCCTTCTTCTTGGAGATAATCTTAATGGCCACCATACTCTTCTGTTTGGCAAAGTATGCCTCGTAGACTGTGCCGTATGAGCCGTGTCCAATCACTTTGCCGATTTGGTAACCGTACTGGTCCATCACCGACACGTATGGTGTAGAGGAAGAGCGCTCCACCATGGTGGAAGTCCAGTTGATTGCGTTGACCCTCCTTCGATGCGGTGGTGGGCTTTGTGGAGGGGGTGCGGGTTGGTTTCGGCTCCCAGAAGTGTTGGATAGGACGTGCTGCCAAAGTCAGGCAGGTACCGCCAAGGGGGAAGCCAGCAAGAACCCCGTAACCGATCCGGCGAGGAAGGTATGGTCAATTTTTCCCACCATGCATCCCGGTTCTCACGGATCTGGCAGATGGGCGTCTCTGTCGGTTTTCCGAGGGTGGGCAGATCCAGTTGGAAGCTGCCTCTCTCGCTCTACTTGAGTCCAAGATGGGAGAATCCAAACCGATGTCCTTCTGGTAATGGCGTTGGAGGAAGTAATGGGACCCAGCCATCTGGACCCCCACGGCCTGGACTGGAATCCCCCACCCCCTGGATCCCCACCCCCCAGCCTCTGATGACGCCCACCATTCTGCCCACACCCATTGGCCGGTGGGGTTCCAGTTACCGCAGGGATACTTCTGTGGAGGTAATGGGGATTGTCTTATGTCAAAGGACGCAGCCAGAGTCAGAATTCCAGGCGACTTGGTGGAGGTTCATCACCTTGAGCAAATGAGGCTCGTGAAACCAAAGAGGGCTTGGTTGCCACTTTTGAACTTTACACACCTCTCCACAGTGGGTAGGAAAGGGAGGTACAGGACGCATGAATGGGTGCTCGATAGCGGGGCCACGATGGAGGGTAGGCCCGGTTGGGCGTCTGTGATGGAGCCCCAGCAGGGGCTCACTGAAGAGGCCCGGAGGCTGGTCTGAAGGCACATCAGGTGTCCACCCTGGGCCAGCTAAGCAAGTCTGAGGCCGGCCTGAGCTTGGAAGGGAGACCACCCTGGAACTGCATGGAGCCACCTTGAATTCGGCAGTGGGGCTAGCAATAGTATACATAAAAAGCCCTTGGAAAGGGTAGGGAGGAGGAGGAGGAGGGGAAGCTGCCGGAGGAGGGGAAGGCAAGCAAGCGGCAGCCATATTCGAATGAGGATGAGGAGTGGTGACGGGTAGTGAGAAAGTAGGAGGGTGTCTTGTGGAAGGGCCCTAAAAAACCTGGAAGAGGGAATTGTAAATGCTGTGGCCAAGGCTTCGCAAGCGGCTGAGCTGATTGCAAGCATCCACTCTACCTGTGCTTCTCCCGCCTGCCTTCCCCCATGCACCGTTCCTGCTGTTGCCCCATGCTGTTCAGCTTGTGGATCTGTTCTGAAATAATGGCTAAGGGGTGCCGTCTCCCTTATCAAACCCAGTCCTAAGCAATGCAGGACTTTTCTGCACCTAAACCCGCTTGGATTGTGCCCCATGGAGAATATGTCAGTAATTTCCAGGATACGGTCAAATGTGAGGTTAATTCAGGCCACGGTAAGGTCAGTCTTTGGGATGTCAAGGTACGAATATGAGCCACAGCACACTCCTGTGATTGCAAGTGCTTCCGGACAGAATCGCTTCATGGGTGAGTCCTCCTGCATGCTTTCTCCATTCCCTGCCTCAGTTTCCCCTCCTGAAAATAAAGCCCTGACCCCCTTTGCGAGACTCTGGCTTGAGCCCGCCCCTGTCCCTTTAAGAAGTGGGCGGGGCGAGGGCAGAAGCGGCTCTTCTGTTTTTCTGTCTCTATGGAGTTCTCCAAGCCCCGCGCCCGGAAGTACGTCTCTACGTGAGCAGTGAAGCCCCCGCACTCGAGTGAGGGCGGAAGTAGGTGACGGACGTGGCCGAGGCTGTTCTCCCCGATCGCCTGAAGGACCCCGAGCAGTAGTGAGGCCGCGGCTCCTCGCAGGAGTCATCCCCACCTTTACGAATCGCGCAGCCTTAGCGGTCGGGATCCGGAGAACGTCGGCTTCGAGAAGGAAAAGGGCCGGGAGTGAGATTGAGCGCGGCGGTGAGATCAGGCATTGCGATGGGCGGCCTCTGGGGTTAAGCGAGAGCCCACTCTTCTCCTTCTCTTTGCAGCCCGGTTTGCTGCTCAGGGCGACCCTCCTCTTTTTATTTTTATTTTTAATTATCCCCACCCCACCTGGGCGAAAGGAGTTGCAAGACCTGCAGGCAGCGCCTCGGGCAGCCCTAGGAAGGCAGGTGAGTGGGGAGGAGGGGGCTCTGGGGGAGGAGGGGGCTGGTGCCACCGTGGTCTGGGGGCGTCCTGGGGGCTGGGGAGGCGAGGCAGCGGCGTGGGGCGCTGGCCTGCCTAAGAGGGCGGGGGCGAGGAAGTTGCAGTGCTCAGCCACGTCACGGGTTTCCAGGGTGGGCAGTGGCTGAAGGCATGGGAAGGGGCAGAGAGGGGGTCCCCCCCGCAAAAGCGCCCCCCCACATACACACGCACACGCAGAGCACCGCCAAAGTAAAGGCCCGGGCATTAAATAATTCCACCTCCTCTGCTTGGCATGGCTTACAGCAATGGCTACCCAACCGCGGTGCTGAGCCTTAAGCGAGGATCCCTGGTTGGCAGTGCCCAAATGGTCAAGCTCGCTGTGGGTGGATGTCTGTGGTTTGACACTTTCCCCTGGTCAAATTGATCTCTCTGAAACGTCGTTCATTCCCTGGGCAACCCTTGATTCGCCCTCTCTGAAGTCACAGGTGGGGATGTGTTGGGCACTGATGTTGGAGCACCAAAGCCTGTGAGTTGGAAGTGGCCCAAACCAATAGATACAACGCAATGTCTCTGTGTATGGCATCATTGCTTTTTAAAGATATTATTTGTCTTTCAATGATGTCTGCAATGATATCCGGATGGATGCCTGATTTTGGGGTGAAAGAACCTAAGTGAATGGAATAGCATCATATCCTTAAGCAAGAGGGAGGCCTTAATTTGGTGTTAGAGTCCCTGTTTTGCATGAAGACCATTCCAGGTTCAATGCTTGGTGTCTCCAAATAGAGCTGGAAAAGTCTGCCTGAAATCTCAGAGAGAGCAGCCGCCAGGATCTGTTGATAACTGTGGACTAGGTGCATTTGCTCTCTGGCTTATTAAATTCTTATGTTCCTAATCGGGGAGTAACTGGACAGTCACTAGGGTAAGAGAAGAGTTACCTAACGAGGAGCACTTAACTACCAAGCTAGCACTAGTTTTAATGACAGTTTAAAACCCCAGATAAATTGTGAATATTCATGCAACTAATACCTCACTGAAGAAATATTTCTTTTTCTTTCTCCCAAACTGCAGCCCAGCTCCCACCCCCTCCCTTATCCCACTACCACCCTATAATGGCCCAGCATTTGTCCCAAGCCCTTCTTTTTTCCCTCCTTTCCCTCTTGTCCGTGGCTTCTTCGGAGTCTCACTATCAGCGTGGGGAAAAGGTGATGTTGTACGTCAACAAAGTTGGGCCCTACCACAACCCACAGGAAACGTACCATTACTACCAGCTTCCCGTGTGCTCCCCGCCTAATATCCGCCACAAAAGCCTTACACTGGGGGAAGTTCTGGATGGAGACCGCATGGCCGAATCCATGTACGAAATCCACTTCCGCGAGAATGTCGACAAGAAGATCCTCTGCGAAATGGAGCTCTCACCAGAGAAGGTAAATCCCGGCAGAACGTCTTGATTGCAATATCACTTCTGGACTTAGGGGTGGAGTGTGTTCTCCATATTATCCATGTTTCTGGGAAACCATCCTGAGATCCTATATGGATGAAGGACAGTATAGAACTATTTTAAATAAATAAAATATTTCCTTTGGGGGATGCCCTGCTTGGCTTTCAAATTTTAAAACCGGTTTTTGGAGTCTCACTTTCTCACTGCAGGATTGTTAAGTCTTAATCATGTCTAACATAAGTTCAATTCCTTTCAGTGAAGCTACTCTAATATTGGGCACAAGCTCTAGAGAGTGACAGCGTATCAGGCTGGAATGTGGGTATGTGGGTGTTTTTCTCAGCTCTGGGAGGGAAGGGGAAGCTGGTGGGCTAAATTGGGAGGTAAGCAGAGGGGAGGAAAAGTCTCCTGGACTCACTTTTTTGGTGCTTTTCCCTGGGGATGAAAGCAGTCAGGAAGCGCAACAGCCTGGGCCCTCACTCTCTCCCCGAGTTCTGGGGTGATGGCGCTTTTCTCTCTGGTAGGTGGAGCACCTGCGTCAAGCCATTGAGGAGCTCTACTACTTCGAGTTTGTGGTGGATGACCTGCCACTTCGTGGCTTCGTGGGCTACATGGAAGAGAGCGGGTTCTTGCCGCACACGCACAAGATCGGCCTCTGGACCCACCTGGATTTCCACCTGGAGTGGAACGGGGACCGCATCATCTATGCCAACGTCAGCATCCGCAACGTCAAGCCCACCAGCCTGGACGACGTTCAGGGTGTCCTTTCCGTCACCCACACCTACAGCGTCCGCTGGTCTGAGACCAGCTCGGAGCAGCGAGGTGAGCGCCGGGGGAGCCGCAGCGGGGACAACGGCTTCTTCCCTCGCACCCTGGAGATCCACTGGCTGTCTATCATCAACTCCATGGTGCTGGTGTTCCTCCTGGTGGGCTTTGTGGTCGTCATCCTCATGCGGGTCCTCAAGAACGACCTGGCCCGCTACAACCTGGACGAGGAGGCCTCTTCGTCGTCTTCGGGCGATGACTTTGACCAAGGGGACAATGGGTGGAAGATCATCCACACGGACGTCTTCCGCTTCCCAGTGTGCCGCAGCCTCCTCTGCGCCGTGCTGGGCGTGGGCAGCCAGTTCCTGGCCTTGGGCACGGGCATCATCGTCATGGCCCTGATGGGCATGTTCAACGTCCACCGGCACGGCGCCATCAACTCGGCCGCCATCCTCCTCTACGCCCTCACCTGCTGCATCTCTGGCTACGTGTCCAGCAACTTCTACCGCCAGATCGGTGGCGAGCGCTGGGTCTGGAACATCCTCCTCACCACCAGCCTTTTCTCTGGTGAGCGGCCCTCCCGTCGGGACACTCTGGCCCCTCTTTGCTCCAGCATCTCTGTGGTATGGTCTTCCCTCTGGCTTCCTCCGTGACAGAGGGGCCTTAGCCATCCATGCTGGGGGCAACCGTTGAGCTAGTGTGCTCTGGTCCATTGGAGGATTAGGATCTCTGCACTTTGCTCATAGGAAGGATCGATCAGCTTTCCATGACTTTTTGAGCAAAGCGACTTGGAATACCTGAAATCTGTGGGAGGGCAGTGCAAGCTGCTCGCTATCCTTTGCCTCCCCTTCTAGCAGTCCGGCAGGTCATCTCTGTGGCCTGTGCACCCCACACACTCTGGGGAAATCTCCGTGGCACCTCCAGGCAGCTGATTTGTCACAGAGAAACACACTGGGGAATGTTGCCTTCCAGGTGGGGAGTCATTTATGTGCCCAGGAAGGCTAAAGTAGCAATTGATTTGTAAAACGAAAGTGGCTTTCTCAAAGGCCGTCATAGAAGCCATGTGCCACTCAGGAGGACAAGGGTGTGGAGACCGTCAGGGTCGCTGTCCATGCAGTTGAGTCTCCGCCGTTTCAACTGCGGGCGGGGGGGGGGGGTCTCTTCAGCCCACCAGCCCCGCACTTGCTTGCTGACTCTCTGTCTCTCCGCTCAGCTCCCTTCTTCCTGACGTGGAGTGTGGTCAACTCAGTCCACTGGGCGAATGGGTCAACCCAGGCCCTTCCGGCCACCACCATCCTGCTGCTGCTGACGGTTTGGCTCCTGGTGGGCTTCCCCCTCACCGTCATCGGGGGCATCTTCGGCAAGAACCGGGCCGGCCCCTTCGACGCGCCCTGCCGCACCAAGAACATCGCCCGCGAAATCCCGCCCCAGCCCTGGTACAAGTCGACGCTGGTGCACATGACCATCGGGGGCTTCCTGCCCTTCAGGTGAGCGACAGCAGGGAGGCCGGGTGGGACTGGCTGCCTGTCATTCTGGCCCCTCCCTCCCACCCCCCTTGGCTCTTCTTATTTCATCTCTATACCACTCCATAGCTGAAGCTCTCTGGGTGGTTTACAACAAGAGAGAGATACGAGATGATAAATATGGAGGCTTGAGAAAAATACAGAGGGCAGGAGGAACAGCAAGTCAGATTCTAAAGAAAATGTCAAGAAACTCGCCCTCCCCCGCCAAATGTTCTGTTTCTTTCACCCTAGGCTTTTATCTCTAATTCGTATCCACCCACTTGTGATGGGAGACATGCTCATGGATCTCACTACCTTTCTTGTGCCCAGTAATACTTCTGGTTTCCTGTCCGTTGATACTTCTGATCTGTCGCAAGATTCCAAACCTAATTGAGCTGGCAGCTTCCTGTTTTTTTAGGAAGCAGCCTCACGTCCCCATTTCTCTAGAAAGCAGCCGTGGCGAGTTGACATCAGTCATGGAAGCTGTGGGCTTCCTTGCTCCTTTACATTCACAGCAGGTGTAATCCTGATGCTAATCTGATGAAGCTGGTGGCCATCACAGCCCGATCCAGGGAAACTAGCCTAACCACAGGGACTTGTGCTTTGGTTACATCCAGATTAGAGTACTACAGAGTGCTCTTCACAGGGCTGCCCTTGAAGACTATTCAGCTGGTAGAGAAGGTGGAACTAGAACTCTGGGCCTTCAGATCTTGTCATTCCTATAGTGTGTCACTTCCCTTGGCTTCCTGGTGACGTTTCTGGGCCTGTTTGAGATGCTCGCTTTGAATGCCCTCTTTTTGGTCACATTAGAGCCCGTGTGGTGTAGTGGTGAAGGGCACGGGACTGGGACTCAGGGGATCCGGGTTCGAGTCCCCGCTCAGCCATGGAGCCACCTGGGTGACTTTGGGCCAGTCACAGCCTCTCAGCCCAACCTACCTCACAGGGCTGTTGTTGTTGCGGGGATAACATGGAGGAGGAGACTGATGTAAGCTGCCTTGAGCCCTTTGCAGGAAAAAGGCAGGATATAAATTGAAAAATAAATAAATAAATAAATTACCTGAGGTTGTCACAGCACGAAGAAGCATGTCAGAGCCTCCCAACCTTCAGCCCATAGCAAGAACGGCTGTGCTGCCAGGCAGTAGGGCAGGGCTTTCTCGGTGGTGGCCCCATTCCTTTGGCTCTGTCTCCCAAGTGAGAGATACACACAGCTCCATCATTGCCGGCTTTAAAAAAAGCAAAACAAAGCCCCGGAGACACTTTTATTCCAGTTTGCATGTAGTGCTGCAAAGCTTTTTCCTCTTGCTGCTGTGCGTCGGGTGTAGTTATAATCACCCCCTCGCATTTTCTTAGTGATACCATTTGCTTTGCGAGCCCTTGAAAGCTGGATGTAAAAAATCCCCGTATCATTACAGTTGCCGAGAGCAACCTGCTTCGCAAAACCATAATGAGAACAAGCCTTGCTTTTTTAGAAAAGGGATGGCAGAAGAGAGTCTTCCGTTGTTCTGAGGCTGGCGGGTGAATTGATTTGGAAGCTGCGTGACTCCCGGTGTGTTCCTCTCCCGGCAGTGCCATTTCTGTGGAACTGTACTACATCTTTGCTACGGTGTGGGGCCGGGAGCAGTACACGCTCTACGGGATCCTCTTCTTCGTGTTTGCCATCCTGCTCAGCGTCGGCGCCTGCATCTCCATCGCCCTCACCTACTTCCAGCTCTCGGGCGAGGACTACCGGTGGTGGTGGCGCTCCGTGCTGAGCGCCGGCTCCACCGGCCTCTTCATCTTCCTCTACTCGGTCTTCTACTACTCGCGGCGCTCCAACATGTCGGGCGTGGTGCAGACGGTGGAGTTTTTCGGCTACTCCTTGCTCACGGGCTATGTCTTCTTCCTGATGCTGGGGACCATCTCCTTCTTCGCCTCCCTCAAATTCATCCGCTACATCTACGTCAACCTCAAGATGGACTGAGGAACCCCTCCTCTGCTCTCATGGGCTGGGGCTGCAACGATGCTCTGCTTTCCTGTTGGCTGGGATGGGTGAGACTCAAAGGGGTACCTTCCATTAAGGAGTTCCCTCAGCAATTGGCTAGCCTAGGCATAGCGCGAGATGTTCTTGCCCCATGGACTGGGATCTCAGCTCAGCCCTGAGAACTTGGGCTGCTGATGACCAATCTCTCTGTTGGCTGGACTTGCCTGAGAGCTCCCCAGTTCACCACAGCAGTGCTTGCTTTATTGTCTGGAATTGGGGGAACTGTAAGCTGTATACTCCTGTTGGTCAGGGCAACCAGCCAATCAGTGAGCCATGTAAATCTAGCCAGTTAGTAAACACTGCTATACAGAGTTCTCTCTCCTCCTCCTCCTCCTCCTCCTCTTTAAATTGGTCAAAACCATATTTTTGCACTGGAGTGAGAGCAACAGCGTATTACTCTCTTTTCAGTAGTTGAAATGTGACCGGTGAGTGGAGAGGCCCTCGTCCTCTTGGCCCTGCAGTCTGGCCAGTTGACGAAAGCCAGACTTACGGAAGCAGCCAGCCTTTCCTCTCAAAAAGAAAAGAGTTGCTTCCTTTGGCGAGCATATCAAAGCTGTGAAGCCTTTCCCACCTTGATTCACTTCTTTTAGACCTCTTAAGCAAATGAGTGACAGATTCCAACCGTTCATGTCAAAATGCAAATTAAAAAACAACCACACCCTGATCCGTAGAAGGACCGGCAGGGCCGGCCTCACCGGGTCAAGTTGGCCCAACAGCTGGTCCTGCTCTTGGGTTTCTCCCTTTCCAGGATCCTGAACCTGGAAGAGAGTTTGCTGGGAGCCCCAAATATGTTGGGCCTTGTAATCCAACACATTTGGAGAGCTCCAGGCTAGGGAAGGCTCCCTGGAGCCTTCCCACTAGGGCTCTGTCCTGGGGACAGAGGTTAAAACTGATCCCTCCAGAATAGGAGGGGAAGAGTCTGCACAGTGGTCCTCTTGGAGGTGGGCCCACATTTTTCCCTGCAGCTTCTCCCTTCTCTGCATGTTGGAGGGAGCCGAGTAGGAAGCAGGAGGGTGGTTCTGTTATAACACAGGAGATCTGGCCTGTTTGGTGATCTGACGTAAGCGGTCGTTCTCATCTGGTAAGTGGGCCCATTTCATCTCCAGTCAGGGTGTCCCTCACTTCCAGTGTAAACCCTTTCTCTCTGCTCCCCGTGCCCCCCGCCCATGTCTTTCATACTCCCAAGGTGCCTGGCATTGTTACAGTATGCGAGGGCGAGAACATGTCTCTTCCCCTCCCACCTGGGTGAAGAAAATGCCTATAATTATATATGGAAGATATATATATGAGGAGTTATGTATATTAGCAAGAATTGAAGTTGGGTTATTTTTTAATTTGATGTTTTGGTTTTGTTTCTGTTTGGACGGTTTCTTTTTACAGATCTTGAAATTAAACTTTATTAATAAAAGAAAGCTTAAATGCAGACTTGGTTGCATCAGTACAGATGATCCAAGGTGACTTTCTTAGTCGTCCGTCTACTTCTGCCTCTCCGTTCCTGTCCCAGAAATGGTGGTAAAGCTGGCACTTTGTTCTGCAAAAGCATCCCAAAGCTGTGGAGTTTGGTAATGGGCACAGAATTCTACATCTGGAGAATTCTGTCACTTAGCACCATGAGTCTGTAATCCTTAAGGCTGTGAAAGCAGACTCAAAATTTCCATATGATCTAGGGTCAGAGTAGAACCAAAATCATGGTCAAAGCTTCCATGATAAAAAAAATGCCTGCAGGATTTTTGAAAAATAGTCTGATGGGCCTAGTTTAAAAAGTGGCATGGGGATCGATTTGGAAACTGGGAAGAGGTCTGATTGCTTGGCAGCTTCTTTCCCGTGTCCCACGATGAGCAGAGGAATGCATTTGCACGAGAAAAACAACGGACTTCATTTGTTGGCCTATCTGATAAATTTCAGAGGGGCAGTTCGCTTGTCTTCTGCAGCACACACAAGCAAGAATCTTATTTCAGGAGGAATGTGTGTTCCTCTGCATCTTTGGGAAAGTCACTCGCTTTAGCCCTAACCTGAAGAACCTGGTGGACGGATAATGAAGGTTGCAGTCCAACAATGACTCCACATCCCATCCTCAAGTTAAGGGCTAAGAGCACCGCTCTGTGAGTGGTGAGACGGGAAAAGAATCTTACAACTGGTGGCACTCCCAGCAGGGCTTTTTTCTGGCTAAACAAACCTAAGATGCATCCCAAAGCCGTGATTCCCTTGGAATCGGGCCCCATCGGAGTCACTAAGCCTTTCCTTTGAGTAGACATACCTAAATTGCAATATGGCACAAGTCTTGCAGCAACACTGTTTGCTGTGGAGCCTGTCTGATCCATGACATAACTTCCCTATAGAGATGGGTAGTATGGAAATTGTGAGTGGTCAGGTGGAAAGCTGTAACGCTGAAGAGGCCTGGTCTGCATTCCTGCAGAAAGCTCATGCACGCAGTGGGGAAGTGGGGTGGTCGGATCCAGAGTCTGCTGCCATGGATGGAACAGCTCTCTGCTTGCAGAACGTGCCGCCATGCAATCGTCAGGGAGTTCACCCCCCTCAACCCATACCCCATCCTGAGCTCACTAGGGCTCCCCCTCCTCCGCAGCCCCTCTGTGGAGCATTTTCAGGGGCTCCCGATCCCACTGTAACCACCCAAGCCTCCTTCCAGCCCATAGCCCTAGTTTTGCTATGCTAACTTGGAATGCCGTTTGACACCTTCCCCCACCTACAGCTCCCATCCTCTCTGGAGGTTATCGGGGAAGGGAAAGCACCACAAACAACTTTTAGCAACAATTCTGCAAGCAGCAAGCCCGCATTGCCCGTGAAGCAGGGCAAGAGGTGTCCTTGGGCCAGGTCTAAAAGTCTCCAGAACTAGCCAATGGCAAGAAGTTCTGGAATGAAGCCATGGTGAGGAACATCAGGTACTAGCAGCCTGGGAACAAGCCAGTCAGATACTGAATGTTGGATGTTGACAGACCCAAGAACAACTGTGATTTAAAAACCTTCCCAGGAACACAGAGACACTGGTTTCAGGATGCAGCAATCAAATTCAGCTTTCCTTAGAGCATGTAAAGAGTGCTTTTCCTTCATCAGGGCTGGATTTAAGGTAGGCGACTCGGGTGGCTGGCTACCCGGGCTGCTGGAGCCCAAGTGAACCTGCCAGTCTGTGTCCTCCACACACTGTCCCAGGGGCATGGATGAATTCAGATGTATGCAGGCCTTTGCTTGCCAGAGTTGCTGTGTTCTTATATCAGACTTCCTCAGTCCTCTGGGTCTGCTGGAGTACAACTACCAGCATCCCCAAACTAGCCATGCCTGTTGGCTTCCCAGACACCCTCCGGCAGGCCTGTGCTGAGCTCTGCACCTTTGGTCTGATTCAGTGCATCTCTTCTGTCCTCGGGACAAGCAGGGTGTTAATGGAGGAGTGAGGCGCCTTGCAGCTTGTTCCCGGACATGCTGGAAGCAAAACCCCGGAAGAGGCAATTGGAGCCCCGGCACCTTTCTGATTTCTCTGAAAAATAACACAAGCAAGTTGCCATGGAAACGAGCGAGGGGCGTTCCCAGCCAAGCACTCCTGGGAGGCCCCAAGTTGGGGAAAGCGGCGAACTAAACAAATCACGCCGCTCAGCCCGCATCTGCTGGACTACACTTCCCATCAGTCTGGCCCGAGAGGCCCAGGGCCAGGAATCCTGGGAGTTGTAGTCCCACGGCATCGGGCGGGCTGCCCTATCCGAGCGCAGTCCTTGAAATCCCCGCGCGCGAGGCGGGGGCCGCGACTGGCCCTCCGAGGCTGCGGGGAGGCGTTCCAGACCCGGAAGTGCCGCCTACCCGCCCCCGGAAGTGGCGCCTTGTCTTCGGCACATGTGCTGGCAATTCAGCAGCAGCCGCGGCGGTGTCGGTGCCGGCGCTGCGTTGGTCGTCCGGAGCGGCGGCGTCCCCACCTTCCCTCCCCGGGGTGCAAAGCCCGTCGCCCCGCTCTCTCCAGCCCCCGCCGGGGCTCCTCCTCGGCAGCGCAGGGGGGTCGGCTTCTCTTCCCCACCCTCGCAAGGGCTTCCTGCCCCTTCTCCCCTTTGGTCCCCCCGTCTCCTTCCCCTTTGGGCACCATGGCGACGGAGGAGCTAGAAAAAATACTTCTCAACCTCCTGCAGCCTGATAATGCAGTCATCCAACAGGTAAAGGGCGCTTGCGGGAGGAAAACGGGCGTGGGGAGTTGGTAAAGTCGTTTTCTATCCTGCCTTTTTTTTTTCTGCGAGGGACTCTAGAGAGCTGACATAATTCTCCAGTTTATCCTCATAACAGCCCTGTGAGCTGCTTAGGATGAAAGGCGGTGTCTGACTCAAACTTAACCAGTCAACTTCAGGGACAAGTGAGGATTGAAAGCCGAGCGTTCAGGGTGGAGACACGGGCGCGCTGGGGTGGTCATGTTAGTGCCTAGGACTGGTATTGGTTGGCTGGGAGATTTTAGGATGGGGCGTGCATTATTTTGTTCTTATACTTATATTCTGTCTGTCTGACATCACGGAACTCAAGGCGACTCCCACCGGTTCCCGGGGGTCTCCCCTCTGAACGCTGACCTGCTAGCTGCAGCATGGGGGCGGTTTCTCCTGTCTTCGGAGCCATGGCCTCTGACCCAGGTGCAGGGACATCCAGCCCCATGTAGGAGAGAGAGAGTTGTCCCTAAGTTGGGCTGCAAATATCAAATGAGCGGCAGGGCAGCTGCAGCAAGGTCTCACCCCCCAGGTAGCCTGGTGCACTCCCCTTGTTTTGGACTCCAGCTCCCATAATCCTTAACCCTCTGCCTCATTGGCTGGAAATAATTTATTTGAAGTGTTTTTATGCTGCTTCTCAACCCCAAAAGGTTTACATATAATCAATAAGTCACAACAATTCTTGCCTGCAGGTTTACAGTTAAAGGAAAGAATACAACACACAAGGAGAAGGGAATGTGGAGATAAAGGGGTGGGGCAGGGAACAGTTAAGTGAATTACAGCTCCAGGTGTTGTCCACCTCTGCCTTAGCCAAAGAGTGCAGTGGCCACCGAAAGTTTTATTTGTGGGCAGTCCTATTTAGACTCAAATCCCTGTAGTTTCTCTTTTTCCGTTGGGTGTAGTAGTTGAGCTGCTGCTTCTGGGTGTAGGGGGAGGGTTTGGTTGGGTAGTTTTAACCCTCCCTGCTTTGACTCTTGTGTTTCTCTCCCCCCCCCCCACACTCCCAGGCTACAGTACAGCTGAAAGAGGCCCTGAAGCAACCTTTGGCATTGTCCCATCTTTGCCATGTGATGTCGAGCTCTCAAAGTTCCCAGGTAAGTCCCAGCAGAAACAAACTACACCGGTCTCCAATCCCTTTTGGGCCATCTCAGACTTGCAGAGTGTGTTCACAAAATGGCTGCACAGGGGAGGGGCGTTGGGTGTCACAGAAATGGCTGCTGTGTGGGATACAACCAGCTGCAAAACACTGAGCACCTCAGAAACAATTTGAGGCTTCACCGTCTCTCTGCGCATCCTCTGTGCACATGCATGCATAATTTTAGCCAGATCCCACGCTTACGCATCCACTCAGAAAGAGGTCCCACTGAATTCTGTGGTCCTGGCTTCCCGGAACGTGTGCTTGGTAACATAGTCCAAGATAATTAAGGGGCTCCTCTAGTCCAGTTTGCTCAAACATTAAGGCAAATCACAGAAAATTCTGAAGATTTACAACAGAAGCTGATGTAGGAAGAGTTTAAAATATGCTATCCATTGCAACTGGATTTTGCTTGTGTGTTTTGCTGTTGGGTTTTTATTGGGAGAATGTTGGGAGCGAATATCCCTAAGGGTATTTATTCAGAAGTCTTAATGGGTTCACTAGGGTTTCCTCCCAGAAGTATGTAGTGTCGAATTCAAAAGTTTTCCATGAGATTAACATCAAATGATACTTTGCCTTTTAAAGGTAGTTGCAAACATTTTGGGTTTGTTGGGGAACCTGGTGCTCCAGGAGAGCAGGTGACACTGGTGTTGTAGGCCAGATGAAAAGTATTCTCCCCCCTCCCCCCCCCCCGCTCCGTCCCATTATTATCAGCACCATCATCCTATTGCTATGGTTTCTGCAAAGTTTCTAAAAGATACAGGCAGCTTTCTAAACTAGAGCAGCAGCCTTCTCCAGCTGGGATGGACTACAACTCTCATCATGCGCAGCCAGCCTGGTTCCAGTCCCTCTGGAGGGCTACCAGGCTGGGGAAAGGCTCAAAACCCTACATGTATGCTGTACTTTTTAATACACTAACACAAGACTCACCCAAACTCTGCAGGCTGTTGAGGCCTGAAAATCTCTTAAAGGTGTTATTTTAAAAATGGGATGGTCAGGCTGGGGGTGAGGGGAAGAAGAGTGGGTGAAAGGATGGCTGGGCCTTGTAGTCAGGACACCTGCAAGGTGTTGGGGGCAAGGGGGCCTTGTAAAGATGTTCAGACGGGGCTGGCCAGGTGCTGTAATGGTGTCAGGTTTTACTGTCCCAGGGGAAGCACATTGGCCCTTCACTGTTGAAGTCAGAATACCCCCTTTCTCCCCCCCCGCCCCCTGCCTCTTCTGTCTGCAGAAGGCCCCAAGGAGTTCCACGCACACACTAATTATTTTTTGCTCACTGCACTAAAATTTGTTTGCAGGCAGAGAGGGAAGTTGAGAGGGGGATTTTAAAACACAGGTAGATCTGGTGGGGGTAGCTAAGGCAGTTCTGCAGAGTAAATCTTTGACTCTTCCTTCCTGCATGCCAGTGGATTGACCCCCCTCCAGCACCATCCATGACTCATCCTTGTGTTAAATAGGGACGTGCAGGAATGAATGCCTTGCTTTGGTCAGTCTGAGTTCCCAGCTCATTTCTCTGGGAATCCCTCAGACACCTGATTGCGAAATCCTTTATCTGCCAGTGGCAGGCAAAGAATCCAAATGACTCTTGCCACACTGGGAGTCCCGGTGGGTCCCTTCTCCTTGCAAAACTCTTCTGGTTTCTTGTTCTGGGATTCTGTTTCTTTAAAAGTTGCCTTTTAGCCACTCAGTTCTGTTTCCATATCATTTTAAAAGCAGCCCATCATTTCTGAACTTCTCTGCTTGGGCTTTTAAAGAAATTTGAGTAAGGGGCAAAACTTTTTTTAAATCACACTGCATCTCTTAGAAGGCTTGGCCTTGCTAGTTTGTTATTGACCAACAGCAAAGATGAGCATTAAAGTTGTCACCTCAGAATGCCTTCCTGACATTTCCGTGCTCCTTGTTGGTGTCTGAGCCCTGCATAGGCAAATCTGCCAATTTGAGATGAACAGTTTGATCCTCTCAAACTGAGTGTGTCCACAGAGGTTTACACCAAACTAAATTTGGTGGTCTCTAAGGCGAGACCGGCACATGCTTGGAAGGATGTGCTTTTCTCTACCTAAGCATGCAGCAGAAGAACATAAGGGCACAATCTTCTGGGGGAGACTAGCTCAGTTATCTCTCTGCAGAATCAATTGGAGTTAATTTTAGTTCGTTTAGCCTAGCCCAGGGGTCGGCAACCTTTAACACTCAGCCATTTGGACCCATTTCCCACACAAAAGAAAACACCGGGAGCTGCAAAACCCCTTTGACATCTAAAATGAAGGTAACGCTGCATATATCATTTTTTACCTTAATGCTATGTGTATCTTCATTATGATTTAGCTGCAGCTCTTGTTCAGTCACTAAAAACTGTCATTTTTAATCTTAAATTATAAACTAGTAGGACTCCTTTCATATATTTTGAATAGAACAGCTTCCTGAAGAGTCAAAGTCAGTGCTAAAGGGCTGCATGCATTAAACAGCAAACCCCATAAGTTCGTCAGCAGTAAAAGCAAATGAATCTACCCACGTATCATTAAACATTTGGTTTTCTTCAGAAACTTTTCTTCAATTTATCCATGGTTGGCCTATGGGGGGGGCAGGGGGGAGCTCAGTAAATCAGCACGGATCCGCCACAATTAGCAGATAAACCGTCAAGTGCTGTGAATTGTGACAGGTCCCAAGCGCAGCTTTTAACATTCAGAGGAAGGAGATTACACTGGGACAAAGAGAATATTTTCAGCAGCATCTTTTCAGTTTCGGGTAACACGGGAGCCTGCAGGAAGCTTGTTTAGCAGGGGAATGTAGCGATTTACTTAGCTAGCACTGGGTTCCTGAGTGGAGCTTCGAGCAGATCAGTGGCTGTGCTGGTGCATGTTTTGAGCGACGGAGCCGCAGCAGAGGGGTTCGAGAGCCACATGTGGCTTCGGAGCCGCGGGTTGCCAACCCCTGGCCTAGCTGAAGGTTAATCTTAAATACTGGACTTGCTTGGTGTGCGTATTATCCTGGTTCACACAAGGGGCTAAGGAAGCACTGCAGAAGGGGTCGGTCGGTCTGTCTGTGGAAGTCTGAATTCCCCGCCTGTTCAAGCTGAGACTAAATGTATTCTCACGATACAGTTTGCCCCCCCCCCTCTATTTTTTAACTCAGGTCAGGAGTGGAAGGCGGCTTCCATGTGTTTCTTCCCCATTTTATCCTCAGCTCAACCTGAGTGACCAGGTGCTTCTCTGAGCATCATGGCCTGAGTGGGTCTAGAACTCGGGCCTCCTGAGTCCCAGCCTGGCACTGCCCCGCACTGGGTAAATAAAAAGCATTGGAGGATGTTGTACAGCCTGGCCTACCTTGCAGGGTTGGAAGTACAGGCCCCATTGTGTCGCGCTCCCCTCTCCATGGGCTGCTGCCCAAAAGGACAAGCGGGAGACACTCTTCCCGACTGTCTGCCTCAGCTGAGGGAGCCGCTACAGGAACAGAAGTGCAGCCCCGGGCATTTTGGGACATGGAAAGTCCTGGGGAAGACGGGGAATTTTTTCCTGTTTCAGCATGTGCAGGATCGTACCCTTAATGAGCCCTGCTCAGTTGCAGCCTAGCCTTTCTACATCTCTTATGGGGCAGCCTCTAACTTCTCTCCACATCTCCACCCCAGTTCTGGCCTTGATGGATTACAGCATTTCCATACCCGGTTCGAGTTCCAAAATAGATACTTCGGTGTCTTTGTAAAATGCCGTCTGTGTGACCCTTTCTTGCCACCTGGCTGTGCCACTCTTGCTTCTCCAAATCCTTGCTGGTGCATCCCATGCCCCTCGTGGCCTCCCCTCTTTCTGTCTCTCACGCTTCTCTCCTCCTTCCCCAGATCCGGCAGTTTGCCGCAGTGCTGGTGAGAAGGCGCCTAACTCGGCACTGGAGGAAACTCGGCCGATCCGACCAGGACATGTAAGTGCCCAAGGAGGAAGAGGCCAAGCCTGCCGAACAAATGCATGCGGTCATGGCTCCTTGCCCTAGATGCCCAATTCCACACGGAGGCAGGGTGGGGTAGTGGTTACAGGGCTGAACCGGGACTTGGGAGGTCAGGGTTCTAGTCCCCAATTCAGACACTCAGTTCACTGAGTGATTTCTCTGACTCATCACTGACTCAGCCGAGTCTACCTCACAGGGCTGCTGTGAAGATAAAAGGGGGGAAATTATGTAGCTGCTTGGAGTTCCTTGCAGGAAAAAAGGTGGAATATGAATATAATAATGAAAGAAAGATGCCTCCACACTGCCAGTTAGATTGAGTTCTCCCTGCCTGGAGTCCCTGAAAAGCCTTACTGTGGAGGGAGAAGGAATTTCAGCCCCGGGGCCAGATCCCTTTTTGGAAAAGCTCCAGGGAGGGGAGCACAGCGGGGCAAGAAGCAGAATACCAAAGCTACTGCTATCTTTTACCTGAAATCTGGACACGGTAGAAGAGCTATTTCAGCCAAAACATACCCCAAGCGTATGTGGGAAGCCATCAGGCGATTGTGTTCGGCAAGTAGGAGCTTGGGGGCCATCTAGGGAACCACAGAGGGCCAGATTGGACCCCCGGGGGGACTGGATGCCCCCCAAAGAGACTGGCTTGGCAGAAGGCACTTTTGCGCTTCCCTCACATTATAACACACTCCAGCTGCGATTGGGTTTTGAACGCGTGCAAGCAGTCTTAAATTCCAGGGCCAAAGAGGCTGGATAGATTTTCTGTCAGCGGTTGCCCAAGCCCAGGACCCAGGAGAAGAGTTTGGCTACAATTCCCACCATTCCCAGGCTACAATTCCCACCATTCCCAGCTGGGACCATTGTGTGGAAAAGCCAACATCTAGAAATGCCTGTTTATCCATAGAGAATAGACAGAATGCAATAGATAAGATAATCAAGAAGCAATCAAGCCTGCCCCGCCCCCCCCCCCCCAACAACTATTTGCATAAGTCTGGGAAACTCATCCTTATCTATCGCAGTGGTGAGTACTAAAAGAAAGAAGAGTAAAGGTCAGAGTGGACAAACACAGGCCTGGCCTGGAGTCCCAGCCTGGGGGGTGGATTTCTTGCACCTCCCCTGTCCATGCAAGGGACTGCTGTCAGGCACCTACCCCCAGGACAGTCCTGGACTCCCTCCCCCCTCTCTGGTAGCCTCTCTCTAAGGCAAGAAATCAGGCTGTTATTTCTTAGAAATATAGGCCAAGAATGGGATGCAGTTGAATTAGTTTCTGCCTAGGTAACCTTGGGCTAAGAATTTTGTGCCTGCTCTATATTTTCTCCTGAATACTTTTTCCTTTGCTTTCAAAGTGGGGTGTGCAGGAGAGAGGGCAGGGATCGAGAGAGAGAGCGTGCGTAGAAAACTAGGCCGTGTTCTCCTTGGCGGCACATACCAAACCTCAGCAAAAGATCCCAAACCTTTTGAGACTTCTGGCGGTGAGAGACTCCTTTTGAGGTGTCCCGGTTCCCAAGATTACCTGGCGGGAACATAGCCGTCCTCTGAATCCCAAAGGATGAAGCTCAGGCTGCAGCCTGCCTCAGGCCCCTTTGAAAGTCTGCAGAAGCTGGACCTGCCTCTTCTGAGTGTACAATCCTACGCATGAGTAGACAGAATGGCCCTCCACAGCTTGGGGCTTCTCCCAGTCAGCCCTGTTAGCTGGGGCATACTGGAAGTTGTGGGTCTTTTTTCTGTCTGCACATGTGTAGCATTGCACCCTTAGATGAGCCATCCTGAGTCCTTAGAACCTTTCAAAGCCCAAGAGAAGTCTCTGCCCCTAGGGGCTTACAATCCTCTGACACAGGGCAGACAGCAGAGGGATGGGCCAGCAGGCTTCAAAACCTGGACAATTGGATGTCACTTTCCTTTTCATGTTCCCGGGCTCAAGTTCAGTAGGGTGGAGGTAGCCAACCCATAGCCCTTCACATTTTGCTAGACTCAAACTCCCATCAGCCCCAGCCAGAGAAGATAGGAGTTGTGGTTGCAGAGAGCCGGTGTGGTGGTTAGATGCTGGACTGGGGACTTGGGAGGAAGAAGGTGGAATATAAATGCAGTGATGCTTATGCATGGTGTTATGTTTTTCTCTGTTTCTGTTGCTTCCACTTTGGTTTCCTTTTGCCATTTTATCAGAATTGCACAGGGGCATTTTTTTCTTGGTGGTTCTGGGACACTGGGCTGCAGGGAAGCCTAGAAAAGAACCACGGTCAATGAACGGCAGTCCAGGGCCTTCCAGACAGCCTCCCCACAACCTGGTCCCCTCCAGATGTTTTGGGCTTCTGACACCAGAGCATCTGGAGGGCCCTTGGTTGGGGAAGACTGCTGCTGGGACCTGCGGGGGGAAATGGGACTGGGGAAAGGTGGCTGATGGGTGGGGGCCCTGCTGCTTTGCAACTCGCTCTGGGAGCCCTCCGGTGGGAAAAGTGGCTGCGGCCGACGCCTCCAATCCCCTCTCTTCCAGGCTCAAGGCACTGGTCCTCTCCACCCTGCAGCAGGAATCAGAGTGAGTGTTGCGTGGGCCTCGTGGCAGAGCACCTGTGTTGCCCGTTGAACTTCCGGGAGTCGCTCTATAGGGCCCCAGGACTTGGGTTGGGCTGCCTTACATGAGAGCCCCATTACGTGGGAGGGTAGGGTGGGCTTTGCAATTGATGGGGACCTGATGATGATGATGATAACAGCAGCAGCAATAACAATATTTCTATGCCACCTCATAGCTGAAGCTGTCTGAGGAGCAACCCATAAAAGCAAAGCAATAAAATAGAGATATCCTAAAAGCGCAGTAGCTTTAAATAATTTTAGAGAGTTAAAGCATACAGTAAAGCTGACCTGGGTTGGGGCATGTACCCCTGGACCTGCGGGGGTGGGGGCGTGATGGAAGCAGCTTTGCTCTTTGTCCAAACCGGGATTGGGAGCCCATTCATGTGATGGCTCCCGCAACCCACAAAACAGGCTCCTGTGCAAAGTTCCTTCCCAAGTTGTGGGTGAATTTCTGTTTTCTGATTAATGATTGAATGCGAATGACAATTCTGGGTCGGAGCTTCCAAGCACTGAATTTGAACAAAACCTGCCTGCTTCCTGGAAGCCTCTGGCTGTCCCCTGTGGGAGGCAGGATGCTGGGCTAGTTGGCTCCATGGTCTGATCCAGCACGGACACTCTCGTGTCTTGACGTGGCGGCGGCCCCCACTCCCCTGGAGGCAGCGCTGTGGATCAAAGGGGCCCGGGAGCCTCAGAGGGACGATACAGGAGTCACATGCTCTTCTCTTGCAGCCACAAAGTCTCCTTAAGCCTGGCACAGTTGGCGGCAGTCATCCTGAAGTACGAGACGGTGGAGAAGTGGCCGCAGGTGTTCCAGCTCATCCAGCACGGGGCACGGTCACGGGACCCCATCCAGTGCCAGGTAGGAGCAGGGCCTGCCCTTCCGCCAGCGGGCAAAGCCCTTTTCATTCAGGCCGGAGGGGCACTTAAGCATTTTCGTGCTGCTGCTTTCATGTCGTTTTCACTTTCGTTTTGAACATCATGTTCTTAAGCTGGGCGTCGTTCTTTGCTGCCCGGAGCGCTTTTGTCGGGGGCCGAACGCAGGGGTGTCTGTAAGCAGTCCCATGGATGTCTCGGGCTTTCCTTAAAGCCAGGAAAAAGCCCTCTCCCTGCTTTCTGGCTGCAGGTGGGGCTGCTGCTGCTGCACTGCGCGCTGGAAGCGGATCCCGACGTCTTCTCTTCCCACTCCACGGAGCTGTTGCGCCTTTTCCACCAGACGCTCAACAGCCAGGACCAGCCGGCCGCCCTCTACTACTCCCTGCGTAGCCTCACCACCTTGGTGGCTGGGCTTGGCTCTGATGAGATGGTGGGTCAGCACTGCCTTCTCCCTGCAGGCCCGGCCTGTCGCTCCGGGCCTCCCTCTCCCAGCTTCGGTGGCTCTTTGGTCCTTAGTAGCAGGCGTGCCAGAGGGGCCAAGGGGCAGAACTGCTGAGCTTAAGGCTCTCCCCTTCCTCCAACTAGGCCTTCAAGGCCTCTCAAAGAGCAGAAAGCCTGGAGACTGCAAAATGGTGGGGCAAAAGAGGGCCCTGCCCTTCTGGGGAAGCGTCTCTGGCTGGTTCTTGGGTTTGCACCCCCATCCTAGGCAATCGCCCCTCCATGTTGCTGGGGAAGGGTGCGCCCGTTGGCATAGGGGGCATTCCTGCTCCTGCGAGGCAGAATTATTTATGACTTGAGGCAGGGGCAGCTGCAGCCCGGGGAGGAAACTACTAGCAAGTGGAGGTTGCCGCGGTCATTACGGGGTGGATGAAATGTGTGTGCGTTGGGGTGGCCCCTGGCCTTTCTTTGGGAGGGAAGCGCATGCCTTGCTTTTAAGGTGATGCTTGTGTGCCTCAGCTTGGATGCATGACGGGAAAGCTCCAGTGTGTTGTACTATAGTCCCCATCACTTCCGTGGCCTTTCTGGCTGGGGATGGTGGGACTGTAGCCCGGCACACCCAGAAGGTGTCCCTTTGGAGAAGGTTGCCATGATGGCACCGGGTCCCTCTTGAGAGAGCAGGGGAAGTGCAAAGGAGGTTGCCTTCTGCCATACTTAGAATGAGAAGCTTCTGCTTTTATTCTGTTTTTAATTACTCTGTACGTTGGGAAAGCGCCCTCCACTTCAGAACAAGCTCTCCTGCTGCCCTTCCTGGTTCTTCGCTTCTTAACTATTCCACTTGTATTTTTGGTGTACCAAAGGTGGTATCATTCCTAAAACATTTCTTCTTCTGCCCTTCCCCACAACCAAACTTGGAACCTGGGTCTCCTTTTCAGAAGCTGATGTCTTCGTTGGTGCCCAAGATAATATCGGCCATCCGACAACTGATGGTAGTCAGTGAGGTAAGAGGGCCTGTGTTTTGCACACGCGCACACCGGATATCTGCGCATCAGCAGTCAAGTGAGGCTCGAGAATTGCCCGGCGCAGCCCCGCGTTGGTGGCAAATCCGTGCAACATCGCACCCTTGTGTGTCCCGCATTTTGTGTGCCCCCTTTGGCACGCTGCGATGCGTCAGGTCCGCTCACACATTCTCCTCGAGTTATATTGAAATAAGTAATTCTGTTGGCTCATCCTCCCTGTGCGGAAGAGTTGTGATGATCTGGGGTTGTTTAGCTTCGAAGAGAGGCAAGTAAGAGAGGGTATGTCAGGTGTACAAAATTCTGTCTGGGCTGGAAAAAGTGGATAGAGAGGCATTTTTCTCCCTCGCCTCCCTCAAACCCCAGTTGAGCCATTGGGGCGAGGTCAAAGGCACGGGTTCTTCACCCCGCAGAAATGAACTATGGAACGCCCTTCTGCCAGATGGTGGGGGAGATGGAGGCTTTACAGGGGGTGTTGGACGCATTCCTGGAGGAGAAGGCTCTCCATGGCTACTGGTCCTGATGGCCACGTGGCCCCTCCAGCAGCAGCGGCGGCGGCAGTGTGACGCTGCACAACAGCTGCTGGGGAACTTGGGTCTGAGAGGCTTTGCCCTCCTGGCCTGCTTGGAGCTGTCTCTGGGCAGTGAATTGGCCACTGCAGAAACTGAGCGCTGGCCTAGATGGAGCATTGGTCCGACCCGGCCAGCCTCTTCTCGAGCTCTCGCCGCTAAGATCTTTGGCCTGTGGCGTCAGTCGCCATGTTTTCCTTTCCTTTCCCTCCTGACCACCCCGAAACAGACCCAGGCGAGCGAAGCCATGGAGGTTTTTGACGAACTAATGGAGACGGAAGTGGGCATCATCGTGCAACATTTCCCGGCAGTTTTTGGCTTCTGCCTGGAGGTGAGTATCATGGCCTGGGGCTGCTCCCCTCACCTCTGGCCCTTCCATTTTTTTGGGGGGGGGGACTGGACTTGCACTTAAGGGCCTCCCCTTAACACCTGTTCGTTTCCAGGTGGCCTCCAATCCAGCACTGGGCAACACCCTCCGAGTGAAGGCTCTGTCCTGCATCAGCTTCTTCATCAAATTCAAAGGCAGGGTGAGAACGGCAGGCCTGGATCACTCCGCGGGGGGTGGCGGGGGCTCTTCTGGCCTCGCTCCCAGGCAGACCTGCTCAGGGGGCCACCCTCCTTTCTTCTCGCCCCCCCCCCCAGGCCATCCTGAGGCACAAGCTTCTCTCGCCCACCCTGAATGCCCTTTTCCCCATCATGAGCGCGGAGCCGCCCCCCGGCCAGATGGACGCGGAGGACGAGCAGGCGGAGGAGGACATGGAAGACCGGGCCGAAGTCCAGACGCCCAAGCACTACGCAGCCCAGGTCCTCTGTGGGTCACGCCGTGGGGTTGGCAGGGCTCCTTGCCAAGCTTGCCGCCCCCGAGCCGTAGCCCTGTTCTGGCGCCCCTGGGGCTGTACGCCATTCTGAATTGAGCCCTGCGGCTGCCCGGCTTCTCACACCCCCGAGATGGCGCTGCTGTGTGGCTGAGGTGCCTCATCTGGGCCCAGTCCCAGCATGCAGCTGGGTCCTCCCCCAGTGGCTGGGGCATGAACCTCCTCCCGTCCCAGCATTTGGCTCTGTGTGGCCGCCTCTGGCCCCTTTCTCAGTCCCAGCAGGCACCTGGGCTTCTCTCCCATGGGGTTTTGCCTCTTCCTCGTTCCATCCCAGTACCCCTAGCCCAGTCACCCCCACATTCCCCCTGCAAGCCCGTCTCCCATACTCCTTTGCAGCAGGCCGCTCCGCTCATCCATGTTTTTCTCCTCTCGCAGGTGGTGGATATGTTAGCTCTGCACCTTCCCCCGGAGAAGCTCTTCCCCCACTTGGTGAGTGTATTGAAGCGGGAGGGCCTGAAAGGAAGCCGGGAGGGCTGAGAGTGCCTTTTAAGACTCTGATCCCTTCCCTCCAGACGCCCCTGATGGAGCCAGCGCTTCTGAGCCCCAATCCGTACCACCGCAAAGCCGGCCTCATGTGCCTGGCAGTGCTGGCCGAAGGCTGCGGAGATCACATCCGGAAGAAGTACGTAGACACTTTCCCCCCTGTCATCAATTCTGGGCGCACAGGGGTGCCAGATTTGATCGGTGTGGGGTCCCAGTCCAGCCCTCTAGGATGCCTCACAAGGCTGCGCTCCCTTCCTCAAACTTGTCCGGGCCTTTCCCAGCTCTTGTTTTTCACGCATACTAAATGCTTCAAAGGCTTCTCCTAAAGTTTAGTCAGTAAGAGCTTTAAGCTTTATGGGTGTGGGGTATTTCTGGCCCCACTCCTTTCCCTTGGCTCCACCCACCGCCAGATTGTGACCTTCAAAGGCTTCTCCAAAATTGGATCTGCTGTGATTTTTCTTGCCGCCTCTCAACTCTTGAGGTTTGCCCTTATGTATTTGTTCTGTTCTCAATGACTCATTTTTTTTTCCTGCTCAAGCAATAAGGGGGAGCATGCAGGTCCCATGTCAGTACAACCACCCTGCAAGGTAGATTATAGCTGAATTCCCATTGGAGCAGTGTTTGGAGGCTGCATTCCAGTGGTGATTGGATTCAGGAGCCAAAAGGAGCAAGGCCAAAACAATGGCCCATTGTAGCTTTACTACTTTAGTGCCAGAAGCAAAGTTTTCAGAGAGGCATTTGGATCTTTTAGAATGCGGAAGGAGGTCTGTAAAAATGCCAAGAAAACTCAGAATGGTTAGCAGTTGGAAAGGGGGTGAGCCAAAATGTAAGAGAAAATATTCTCAGGTCCTTGAGAGAACAAATGTTTGTTTTGGGAAGGGCAGTTCCCTTCCTGGTTGGCTGTTCCTCTTTCCCCAGTTTGTGTCACAACGCATCTTTCTGATGTGCATTCTGATTCTCAAGAAGGAAATGGGGGTGGTGTTTGGGTGGCTGGGGCTGGCTTTGGCCCCAATCCTGAGGGTCTGGTCTTGAGCCACGTGTCTTTGATCCTTGCGTGAGCACCACACGGGCAAGCCGAGGCCAAAATGCACGTGTCTCAGCCCTGTTCCCCGTCCGGTTCCAGGCACCTCAAGCCCATGTTGCAGGTGGTGTGTCAGGCGCTGTCCGACGAGAACCAGGTGGTGCGCAACGCAGCGCTCTTTGCCTTGGGGCAGTTCTCGGAGAACCTGCAGGTGAGCAAAATCGAGCGCGGAAAGGGAGCTATCGGTGGTCGGGCCTTGGCTGAGTGAGTGGGAGGAACCGTACAGCAACCAGCTGTGGTGCATGCCCGGAATTGAAGCACAGCTGGAAGGGCATCAGGTCAAGGAAAGCGGTTGCAGTTGCACTGTTGCCAAGTTCTGCCTGTTCAGCAAAAGTTTGCTTAGCAGAAAAACAAGTACTGATTTCACCACTGCTTGTCAGACAGAACAGCGGTGCTGAGATCCATACAGCAGTCCCCGGTCTCAGGTTTCCAGTCCAAAAGACATAGCATTAAAGGAAGAGGGTTTGGGGAGGGTAGAGGAAAAGAAACCCAGGCATCAGTTTCTGCTTTCAAACTGGGCGTGGAATGGAGCCATGCAGTCTCCTCTTTCCCACGATGCAGGAGGTGCCACGTTCAGTGTGGTTTTAGTCACAAAACCCTTAGTTTGAGCAATACTGTCAATTTCTTTTCTCAACACGTGAGCAGACCTCTGAAAAATAAAACCGTGACTGTTGAGGCATAGCCAGGTGCCTAAAGCCAGTGAGCCGGTGTGGCATAGTGGTTAAGAGCACGGGACTGGGACTCAGGCGATCCGGGTTCTAGTCCCCGCTCAGCCATGGAGCCAACTGGGTGACTTTGGGCCAGTCACAGCCTCTCAGCCCAACCTACCTCACAGGGTTGTTGTTGCGGGGATAAGATGGAGGAGGAGAATGATGTAAGCTGCCTTGAGTCCTTTGTAGGAAAAAGGCAGAATATCAATAAATAAAATAAATAAAGGGTCGGGCCAGGCCAGGCCGTGTGTCTACCTCGCGCTCTCTCTCCCCCCTCCCCAGCCGGACATAGCAGAGTACGCGGATGACATAATGCACCTCCTGCTGCGGTACCTGGAGGGTGTCCATCCAGGCCACACCAGCCACCTGGCAAAGGCCTACTACGCCCTGGAGAACTTCGTGGAGAACCTCGGTGAGAATTCCTGGCTGGCGGCTCCAGACCCACCCTTTCCCTCGCTCTGTCCTCCTTGTGTTGCCCGCTGCTACACTCCCGGGCTCTAATTCCGTTCTGTGTCTCCCCCATGTATGGAACGGCCGTGGCCGCATCCCACACTAGCCATTTTTAATTTTAATTTCTAAACTGCCCGACAGCTGAAGCTCTCTGGGTGCTTCACAGAAAGCATTAAAAGAAAAATACATTATGCGTTAAAAACTAAAACATGCTTGAAAGTTTAGAATACCAGATTTAAAACCACATATCAAACAGGTTAAAATACAAAATAATTTAACCTCATTAACAATATGCATACAGAGGAATGCTAAACAGTCTCATATGAGATGATAGAGAATTTCTCCTTCATAGGTCACAATTCCCTTCTCAGCAAAGAAAGCCTGGAAGGTTTGATAGTGAGGGAAACTATCTACAGAGCTCTGTTTATTTCTTCCTTACCAGCTTCCCTAGCTTGAAAGGGCAGCCAATGATTGCCTTTCTGTTCATCCTCTTGAAGTTTCATTCTTTGAGGGTTCTGCTTCGGCTTCCTCATTCTCTACTTCATTTAGGAATGCGAGTGCTTTTTTGGCCTCCCTGGTGTGATCCGTAGCTGAGGAGTAGCCCAGCTCGTGGCTCTGTCTCATTGCAGGAACATAACCTGGGCCAACACACACAATGCTCCAGCTCCTGCTATAGCTGACCTAGTGGGGGGAGCCAAGCGAGCGCGGGCAGTGAATTTGTGCCGTGCGTTCTGTCGATTCTGTGCCGCTTTCCCGTGTTGCCCCAATCCCCCTTCTCCTCTCCTCGCTGCCCACACAGAAGGGAAGATCGAGCCGTACCTCCCCGCGTTGATGGAAAGGATGCTCACCACGCTGAGTTCCCCCAGCAGCCCCCGCACCAAGGAGCTCGCGATCAGCGCCATCGGAGCCATCGGTACGCCGCACCCCTTCCTGGGACGTGGCCCCTTTGCCCCCCTGGTTGCATCCCTCTCGGCCCCTTAATTCCGGACCAGCTGCCCCGCAAGTGGGGAGGGAGCACCCCAGAAGGAGGCAGACCTTGATACATAAGGGGCACCCCCTGAATTCACTGCTCTTTTAAGTCCTGCGCCAGGCCGGTGTGATGCATAGAAGTGGCTTTGCACAGCCTCCCCGAATCTTGTGCCTTCCAGGTCTGTCGGACTCCAACTCTCAGCATCCCCAGCCAGCCGGGTGTTGGAGTCCAAAGCGTCTGGCAGTCACAGGCTCCCAAAAAGTGAGCTTTGAGAGTTCTCTGCTGCCAGATCAGCAAATCTGTGGGTGTTGGGAAGGAGGACGATGGGACAAGATCCCTGGATCTTTTTTAAGGGGTACCGCAAGCGGGTCAGAAAAGGCAGGAGGTTTTTTGGCCCAGTCCCCATAGGTCTGTGAAGGCATGATAAGAACTCGGATCCCAAAGCTCTGGGTTGCTTTTTTTTTTTTTTGGTAGTACAAAACTAACCCTCCTCTTCCTCCCCCACCCTGGCCTTTAGCCCAGGCGGCTCGGCAGTCGCTGCTGCCCTATTTCGAAACCATCATGAAGCACCTGAGGGAGTACCTGCTCACCATCCGGGAGGATCTCCGGCCCGTCCAGATTCAGTCCACAGGTCAGCAAAAGGTTTTGGAGCACTTTTAGGGTTTTTCCTGCCCGTAAGAAGCTTCCAAGGGAGGACGGCTCTCTCGTTTGTAGCTGTTTTGTCTTATGCTTCTGCAAAAAGCATTCTGCACAGTGGAGAGGCTGTTATCAGTGGGTGTGATTGGATGCATTGCTTCTGAGACCGTTAATTCAGGCGTTGGCGGAAAAAAGGCAGGGCTTGCAGCGGATGGGCGTGGGTGAGGTTCTGGGTTGCGAAGTACCTCTGAGAAATTCCAGGAAATAGGCACTCGTTTTTCTGAGCCATCTTCCAGCGCTCCATGAATAGATTAAGCCCAGGTCAAGGGCTGAGAGGAATTAAAGGAACTGGACTCATTCTTAGGTTCTTCGGCTAAGAACTTGAAGCTAAACTAGGCTGGGTTTTTTGTATTTCTGGCCGCACCTCGTTTACCTTTGGTCCATCCACCGCTGCGGCAGAGCCCTAGAAAGCTTCTCCGAGCCTGAATTGGCTTGCCGGGCTGAAAGAAAAGACTTCAGGAAGTGCGACTCCCACATTTGCTGGCTGGGGATGCTGGGAGTAGTAGTCCTGCACATCTGGAGGTGCACCGGCTTGGGGAAAGCTTGCTTTGCTTTTCTTGAGAAAGCAACCTTCAACTCTCGGAAAAGAGAGGAATGAGTCGCGACAATACGTTGCGAAATGGGCATCGGTCACTAGTCGGTTTCCAGACTCAATTCGTTATGTTGGCACTGGCTTTGAGAGCATTCAGCGGCTTAGGTCTAGCCTACCAGAAGAAGCACCTGTTCCTCCCGCACGTTCCTCCCTGAGCGCCAAGACCATCTTCAGAGGCTCCTCTTCGCTGTTCCTTCTCATGATGTTGCACCGGGTGACTGGAGAAAGACCCTTTTCTACGGGGGGCCCTGTCTCTGAAATGCCCTTTCCAGATCCACCGGTCTCTTCACTGTGTATATTTAGCCTGAAGGTTAAGAATTGTTAACCTCCTTCCAGCAGAATTGTTTTTCTTCAGTCTTGTTCTTCAAATAAGTTTGGGGTGTGGTTCTAGGCAGGCGGAACCATGATGAGGTGCTGCAGTGCCCCGACTTATTTCTGTGCGGAAGTGCGCAGAACCACAAGGCTGCACAAGGTGTAATAGTAATAGATATTTTCATAGTTGTCTTCATTTTAGTGCTTTGATGGATTTTTGAGGGGGCTTTTCCTGTGATTAGAAGCCGCCGAGGGGGTCTTTGCTGGTCGGGTGGGGTGCAAATATAAAAAAAACAACCAGGAGGTGAGTCATGAGCGTGCCTACCCTTCCCCGGGTCTTCAGCCACTCACCTTTGGATTTTTCTCCAGAGACTCTGTCTGTTCTCGCCAGTACCATGCCCAAGGAAGCCTTCCTGCCCCTGGCGGAGGAATGCTGCCAGCTCGGGCTGGACATCTGCGAAAAAGTGGATGATTCGGATTTGCGCAAGTGTGCGTAAGTGAACTCTGTTTCCTGCCCTTTGTCTGGAAAATGGTGGGACGCATTCTTTTACTGTGGCTGTTGAGTAAGGCTTTGTGCTGGGGGATGGCGCACCCTGGCTTGGCAGGTTTCACTGTGGAGCAGGGCATTTCTGTGTGCAGAAACCCAGGCTTCCGAAGGGCCACGTTTTCCCAGGCGGCTGTGCCCCCTTCTCCGGTCCGCTGCCTCTTGCCCCGACCACCAACCACTTAGTGGCTTCCTTTCCCCCATTCTGAAAGACTAAAATGCCTCTCTTGAGGCTTAGGTCCTGGAAGTAAGAGTTTGAAGCAAGATCATGCTGTCATTTTGGGGGTATTTTTGGCCCACCTATCGCTGGAACATGGCCCCTTGAGGACCACTCTGGGATGGACTTCTGTCCTCAGGGTGAAAGAACCCCTAGAGCACGAATTCCCCAGTTCAACTTCTGGCCATCTCTACTTAAAGGGGTGTTACTGCTGATTGGATGAGCCTTTGCAAAAAAAAAAAAAAAAATCCGATGCTTGGACGGGGGCTTTCATGCAAAAAAGTCAGCTGGACTCTGTAAAGACCACTGCTGTCTTAGCCCAAAGATTCTTGGGGTATCAGTCCCTGGGGTTCTGGTCCAGCCAAGGCACCTCACTTTTAGATCCATGCATATGTAGGAAGAAACAAAACCACCCATGTCAGAGCTGATATGCCGATTATTGGAAAAATGATGAAATATGGATGCAGAAAACGAGCGAAAGAAAGCTTATTGGCGGCCTGATACCACCCAAGTTGCCTGGGTGTGAGTGATGGGTGAAGTATTTTCTCCAGACATGGACAAAAGGCAGTGCCTCTTTTCATGGATTTTATAAGGTTCCTCTCCTCCCCTGTTTCAGAGACTGTAACCACTGCTCTCTTAGGAGACGGAGGAGAAGCAGATCAGCTTCATTAAAAGCAAACAGTTTTGGTTCTCACAGCAAAAGCAGCTCTTATCTAAGGACTATACTTGGGGAAATAGCTCCAGGACCGTAATCTCTGGTGTGCATAAGGCCTTGGCATGGCTCCAAAAATTATCCTGGCTTTTGGACACTGGGAAAGTTAATTACACAGTAGGTTGCACCTTACTGACTAGGTCACTTTTCTTCGGATAGAATCCATCTATACAATACATCTGGCTAACTTTTGTCAAACTCAAAGTCAGGAAAACTTTTGATACACAGAGAAACATGCACAAAAACACATGATTACCTACACAGTCCTGAACCTTGCTTATAAGAAATGAGAGACAAGAGCAACTCTTAGGAAGAATCCCAAGTACAGTTGATCCAGTCAAATTAATTTTGTAGACATCTTCTGTGATTACACAAAGCAATATTTGTCACATACTCTGCTGGCATTTCTTTGCAAAAAAACCCCCAAAAACACCCTGAAAAAGACAAGTGGTGGTGTCTTTACAAACAGGCTGAATGATACTTTGATAGACCTTCCCTAAAACATTTTCCCTTTGGCTGTCTTGGACTGCAGCTCCCACGAATTCCAGGCACTGTGCCCATGGGGAATCATGGGAAGTGTAGTCCAGCATGGATGAGGGGCCCAGGTTGGGGAAAGCCTTCCTTGGAGGCGTCTTCTGCTCCGGGTGCTGTGTGGAGCAATTCCCTCCTTTCAGCATCCTTTTTTAGCATCATTTAACAGCGTGGTCTTGCCTACGCCGTCTTGCTACGCTGTGGGGCCACCGTTTCCAAAATGCAGGCCGGTGAGCAAGCAGACGCCTGGCAGGTGTCTCTTCCTGCCCCAGGTACAGCCTCTTCGGCTCGCTTTCCTGTGTGATGGAGGACTCCATGGCCCCGTACCTGCCGCGCATCACGACACTGTTGCTCTACACCATCAAATCCACCGAGGGCATCGAGGTGAGGATGTGCCGCGCCCGGCTGGTAAACCCTGCCGGCCACAGGAAAACTAGATCTTTGTCTTTATTTTTAAACAAAAAGAACCGGAGGTGCGTTCTGGGTTCACATGGGGAGTAGAACAGGGTGATTTCCAGAGTTGGGAATTTCTGGAATATGCCAGCTGGGAAGCAGGAAGAGGCTGCCAGAGCACTGGCTGTCTCCCCTCTCGCCAGCAGGCCCCTCAGCCCCAGAACTGAGAGAAGCAGAGAGTGTCAGGATCGCCGAGCAAAGGGCACGGCTGCTCCATCTGCTTTAAGCCTCTGCCAAACCGGCCTTCCCCAGTCATGTGCCGTTTGGTTGCCTGGTGTGACAACAAAGGAATTCCTGCCCATTAGCCGTGCTGGCTGGGGCTAATGGGAGCCGCATTCCAAAATATCGGGAGGGCACCGAGGCAGGGAAAGCTGGCTCTCAGTCGACAGAAGGGCTCTCCCTGCTTTGAAGTACCTTTTGCAGAGGCAACCAGACAGTCTTACAGGGTCATTGAGATTATGGCCAGCAAGATGCCTGGCTGGGGGCCTACAGATGCATTTGGGGGGCGGGGCGGAATCGGCCAGCTTGTGGCCTTCTGGCAGCTTTTGCCTACAACTCCCATCCATCCTGGCCAGCTTTGTCAATAGCAAGAATCGTGCTCATGGTTGGCCAGAATTTCTGGAGGGGTGATAAATTGTCCAGTCCAGCTACCTAGAGATAAAATTACAAGTGTGAATACGTCAGAGTTTATGTAACAACAGGGCTAAAATGCCAGGAGCACTGACTTAGTTAATTAACTGGTGGGGTGAAAGTGGACGCTAATTGATATGGATGAAATTTAACAAGGAATGAAAGGAAACAGCCTTTTGGTCTAACAGAAGCGAATGGCTTTTGTTTCTGTTAATCCACTCAGCTGATGGGTCTTGAAATGGGTCCTGTCTTAACACACTCTATCACCAACACCTTAAGTTTAGCAGACTAGCTAAAAGCGCCTTCGGTTAACCCAGCCTAGCTGGCAGGGAGTGATGGGAATTGCAATCCAGCCCATCTGGAGTGCTCCAGGTTCTTAAAATATCCTCCTTTTTGAGAAAGCTGCTGCATTTGGTGGCTGTTCCAGAAATCCTGAATGCTCTTCACTAACTGGTGTGCCCCTGTTTTCTTTTGCATTTGGCATTTGCTTTGCTCAGCCTCAGTTTGGGAGTGGAAACTCTTTCCTTTTGTTTGATGATGAAGAGGAGGAGGCTGAGGTGGAAGGAGAGGAGAGCTTATCTGACGATGAAGAAGATGACAACTCAGAGCTCATGGGGTAGATACCTAATTTGGAGGGAGACATTTGTTCTGGGAGTGTGTCAATCTTTGAAAGGGGGTGCCGCCTGAGCTTCTCTGCTAGCCCAGTTCTCATGGAGGGGGTCAGCCTGCAGAGCTCGGTTCTGTCCCGTTGCACTGAATGTCCTGCAGCGACTTGAGCGTTCCCGCCAATGGAAAACTGCTGGAGCCTTATCCCTGAGAAGCTAGTCTTCTGCATGCATGGAGCAGTGCTTGCCTTCCAGTGAGTGGGTTTCCCCCCACCTGCACTCCAAAGTGGTACATCCCCACTTAGACCTTGGAGCATGGCAGAGATACCGGCTGACGAGTTCTGCATCCCTTCATCACTAGAAGGGTTGATGAGCCAAGCTGAGGGCGCTGTTACAGCAAGGAAGGTTTTCTGCAAAAAGCAGAAGCCTCACCCAGACAGGAACACAAAACATGCACCAAAATGATAGAAGCAGATGATAACAATTGCAGAAGGGGATTTGAGGAGCACGTTACCCAGAATATTAATGATATTGCTAAGAATGGGAACAACCAAGGGGCTGGAACAATTCCCCTGTGAGGAGAGCGCACCGTATCTGGGGGCTTTCGCTTTGGGAAAAGCTAAGTGAGGGAGGACCGTGGTCGAGGTGTGTAAATCATTCCCAAAAACTGGGTGGGGAGAAATTTCTCTCCCCGTTTCGTAATACTAAAACCCAAGACTGTCCAGTGAAGCTGGTAGGTGGGAGGTTCTGGATGGATAAAAGGAAGGACATCTCCATGCAGAGCAGGGATTCGCTTCCGGAAAATACAGGGCTGGCCACCAATCTGGACGGCTTGGCAAGGGGATTGGACCCAATCCTGGAGGGGAAGGCACCTGTGAGGGGCTACTAGTTCTGATGGCTACATGCCACTTCCGGTTGTGTCATGTCTCTGCGTACCAGTTCCCCGGGGAACATCGGGGGAGATGAGCTCCCGTCCTCCTCGTGGCCGGCTGGTGTGGGAGCAAAGCGCTCCGATCCAGCAGGGCCGCTCCCGCAGCGTGGTCTGAGCCAGCCGGTCTCCTCCAGCTCTTTCCTCCTCCTCCTCCACAGGCTGAGCATGGCGAACACCTTTATGGAAGAAAAAGAGGACGCCTGCATGGCTCTGGGAGAAATTGCCACCAACGCCAGGTACCTGAGTTTCCGAGTTGTGCGCCTGCACTTCAGCCCCATCTGTGTCTTCCTTGGCGAGCACGGAGGTTCCTGGAAGAGTTAGGACTGCGCCTTGGCTGGGGGGTGGTGGACACCGAGGTCCTTGGGAGGGGAGACCGGAAGGGCCTTCAGGATCTGCAGCTGTCCGGCAGGGCAGGGCAAAAGCCAGCCTAAACACCGGATCGCTCTTTTGGGGCTTATGGGAGTCGGGGCTTGGGTCCTGCCATGTGAAGGGGGTGGTGTCGGCTCTTGGGGGCTGAGGGGCTTTATGTCACATGAAAAGGGAACGGCTGTGGATATGGAAAGACGAACATTGCTAGATAAAACTTCCCAGCTGGTAGAGACGGCTGGTCATTGCTTACGCACAGCCCTGCTTTTCTCCCTCTCTCAGCACGGCCTTCCTGCCCTATATGGAGAACTGTTTCCATGAGATCCACAAGCTTCTGGAGGTAAGGGTGGACCCAGAGGAGCAGTTCCAAGCCTTCCTGTTGAATATGCAAGAGGCGTCGTGTGTGGGGGGAGGGCGTTGAGTGCGGGGAGAGAACCATGGCAGAGCTTGGCTATGCCCTGGCTGAAGGGCGTTGCATCTGAAAAGGTCTTTGAGGAGTCAAGCGTAGCATATGGGTATGTGAAACTCCTTATTTAGCCCAGTGGGGAAGGTCCTCAAGCAGCCGTGGGGGCACTGCAGGCCCAGAAGGCCATGGCTCCTTTCCCCACAACCACTGACTCCGCCTCCCTGCTTCTAAAGGCCTGACGTGCCTCTTCTGGCCCTTAGTTAACGTAACAGCAGGACTTTTTCCTATTTTGGTTCTCGGACTGAGGGGAGGTTCCACGTGCCGGCTTGTAGCGTTGCAACTCGGCCCAGTTGCAGCCCCCACTGGGATGGGTGGGGAGGAGAGACCAGGTCCCAGCCTGAACCCGCTTGGAAGGGACTCATCGGCTGCGGTGAATCTACTTCAGGGGGATCTGGAGTGCCGCCTGGCCCTAACACGCTGCTTCCCTTCCAGTGCCCCCACATTAGCGTGCGGAAATCCGCCTTCGAGGCCCTGGGCAACTTCTGCATCTCGCTGAGCACCCTCTGCAAGCGAGACCCGTCTGAGCCGCAGGCGTCTGGTGAGTGGGTGGGCAGGTGGGCACCTGGCCTTGAAGCCCCCAGTTGGGGAAGAAAGACCCCTCTGCAGAGACACCCCTGGTGAGCCGGGCTGGTCTTCCTGCAATGGGCAAGGCAGGCTGGACGGAAGGCACAGAGGCCGGGCAGAGCTGAGGCGAGAATTCCTTCCTGTACGATGCCGGGGCCTCCAGCTTGGAGGACTTGACGAGGGAATCGGGCCGGTTCTCGGGGGAGCTGGCAACCTGGGGCTGCCTCCCGCACACAGGCAGGAGGCTGCTGCTCCTTCTGTTTCTACTCACAGTTTTTCTCCTCCATCATTCAATAAAAATCTCCTGACAGTTTACAAAACTTTTGGAAACCTTCCAAGCGACAAAACTCCTTCGTGCCAGTGCTCAGTGCTAAAATAATTAAAATGCCATTTAACAATTTAAAAACTGGGTAAATATAAAGGTTCTGGCCCAGTGCTGGAATGAATAAAATGTCGGTGCCGGATGCACCTTTCTGAGGACGAAGTTCCATAGCTGGGGGGCCAGAGCAGGAAAGGCTTTTCTCGTAGCAGCCCCCCTCACCGCTTTCAGGGAGGGCTCTCGGAGAAGATCTTACAGTGCAGGAGGGCTCTTAGGAAGGGGACATTCCCTTAGATCGGGGTCGGCAACCCGCGGCTCTGGAGCCGCACGTGGCTCTTGGACCCCTCTGTGCCTACCTCCGTTGCCCAAAATACGGGAGGCCCCGAGTTACAAAACACCAATAGGTGAGGATGAGGAATGCTGCAGCTACGCCAGCAGGTTGAGTAAATTGCGACATTGGAGGGAAAGAGTGGAACAAGCTTCCTGCAGGCTCTCATGTGACTCAAACCCTGCTGAAAAGATTCTCTTTGTCCAAATGTGATCTCCTTCCTCTGAAGGATAAAAGCTGCGCTTGGGACCTGTCACAATTCACAGCACTTGACGGTTTATCTGCTAATCAGTCACTAAACTCACCTCTATCTACGACTTCCCCCAGTAGGCCAACCATGGAAATCAAAGAAAAGTTTCTGAAGAAAACCAAACGTTTAATGATACGTGGGTAGATTCACTTGCTTTTACTGCTGAGGAACTTATGGGGTTTGCTGTTTAATGCACACAGCCCTTTAGCACTGACTTTGACCCTGCAGGAAGCTGTTCTATTCAAAACATATGGAAGGAGTCCTACTAGTTTATAATGTATGTAAGTTTAAAAATGACAGTTTTTAGTGACTGAACAAGAGCTGCAGCTAAATCATAAGGAAGATATACGTAGCATTAAGGTAAAAAACGATATATGCAGCGTTATCTTCATTTCAGATGTCAGAAGGGTTTTGTGGCTCCTGGTGTTTTGTGCAGGAAATGGGTCCAAATGGCTCTTTTAGTGTTAAAGATTGCCGACCCCCTGGCTTAGATAATCAGCCCCTAAAACCTGCCCCCAGTTCTGGGCTTTGTGGGATTCCTGGAAGACTCTGGCTGGCCTCTGTATGACCAGGGAGCTGAGAGGGAATCAGGAGGTCTCGCTCTTCCTGAACTTGGGGGCATTTCTCCCTCCAGGCCTCCAGAAGCTTCTGTCGCTGGTGCTCCCAGTTTACATCAAAGGCATCCGGCAGGACAAAGAGCGCCAGCTGGTGATGGGTGTCTTGGAAATGCTGGAAAAGGTGCTCAAGTCGTGTCAACAGCAGGCCCTCCAGGAACCCGGGCGGCTGGCGGAGCTGTGTCAGGTGATCCGGGAGGTGCTGGAGAAGAAGGTGAGTGTTTTGGGGTGCAGGTGGGGTGGCGCTAGAGGAATCCTGGGGCGAATGATGCCTGGCATGCATGGAAGTCTGTCTGTATCACGGCGTGGAAGGGAGCAGATACGCAGGGATGGGGAAACGGAAGGTGCCCAAAGAATGACCCTCTGGCAAAATTATCTATGTATTATGCATTTCTTTGGGTGGCTCAAATGATCGAGTGTGTCAAAAGTTTCAGTGTCTTTCTTTGTGTTTTCTTACATTTAAACAATGTAAGAGGAGGACGCACTGTTGTGAGTATCCCGATACTTTGCATTTACTGAATACAAGTAAAACGAACGTGCCATGTTAAATCTTTCCAGGGCCGAGACGTTTCGGCCCTCAGCCAGTGCTGGGAGATGATGGAGTCACAAGCCGAAACAGTCGAAGGGGCAAAGATGGTCCGCCCCACTCTGCACCGTCAGAGCATTTGCCAGTGCAAATGGGAAATACGGGGATGCCAAGTGATCCTGCGCAAACTAGCCTAAGTTGCAGTGGGGGAAAAAATCCACTACAAAGTTTTCCAGAAAACCCACATCACTGCTAGAAACAGTTTAGTTTCGTTTTTCACAGTATGTGGTATTTGCACCCAAAGCTGGTGGCTGAAGTGCTTCTGTTCAGGATTCCAGCCGTGATGTTCATTCCTTTGCCTCTCCATCGCTGTAGTTTTCAGTTTCCCTCCTCTTTAGGCTCTCTTTTCCCTGAAGGTCCTTCTTTCTTCTGCTAATCTTGGGGTTCCCTTGGGTTAGCTGAAACCCGCTCTCATGCAGGGGGGGAGCTATTTGGGCTAGAAAGCGATGGGTTTCGTTTGTATAATGATGTTCCGAGCTGATACAGCGCTGTAGAAGTGCGCAGGTGCTCCCATTACCTGGGAGTTAATTTTGACAAGCATAAGCCTTTGTCCTTTTAAGAAGAATCTCCCACATCCCTTTCCAGACTGCCTGCCAAGATACCAGTTTGGATGATGATGAGGAGGAGGAGGAGGATGAAGAAGAGGTGAGCATGGGGATTGGCAGCCTCAGACGCCCCCTTGTTTTTTCCTTGACCCCCACGGCTCCTTGGAAAGGTGGTGGTCAGGTGGGCGGAGGAATCCACACACCAGCCCTTGTACGTAGGATATTAAGTACAGAAGCTCATTTTAAGGGGAGGCATGATAAGAGATTTAAGATAATACACCGGGTGGAGAAAGTAGAGGAGACCTTTATCTCCCTCTGCCATAACACTTGAACCCAGGGTCATCCCTTGAGGCTGATGGGCGGGAGGTTTAGGGCAGAGAGAAGGAAGGAAGGACCTCGTCACACAGTGTAAAACTGAGCTCTGGGTTCACTGCCCCGGGAAGGGGTGATGGCCTCCGATCTGGGTTGGGCGAACTCGTGTGGGAGGAGGCCGTGCTTGCTGGCCATGGGCCCCCTTCTTGGGAAGAGGCGGCCTGCCTGCACACCCCAGTTGCCGGGGAGCTGGGCAGGAGGAGGTCCTTCACCCAGGCCACGGGACGGATCCTGTGGACGGCCAGTGTGCCCCTGTGCGGATGGAGAGCTGGACTGGAAGCACCTGGGTCTCAGCCTACAAGGCGGTTCCTGCTTTCTCGGAAGGCGTGCTCTTTTGTTTTGGAACACTTGATCCTCTGCTTCCTGCTAGAAAGCGCCGCAGGGCAGCTTGCGGCTGCGAGGAGTAGCAAAGCGAATGGTGGAAGCAAATGCCGGCGGTTTCCGTGGGGCTGCAGGGGGGCTGCTGTGGGTCCTGAAAGGCAGGGCTCCATGGTGCTCGCACCCTGGCCTGACCGGCGTCTCCCATGCCTCGCCCCTAACCAGGCAGGCCCACCTCCCAGTTGGAGACGGGGGTTGGCTGCAGTCCCTGGCACCGGGGGCTTGCGGGACACGGCCGGGCTTCCCGCTGCCTTCCTGGCGCAGCCCCTGCACGGCGGAGGAGAGGGGCCCCGAGGAGCCAGCTGCGTGCTCTTCCTCCCCACTTCCACGGTCTTCCTCCTCCCGCTCTCCCATCCAGGCGGAGTACGACCTGATGCTGCTCGAGTACGCCGGAGAGGTGATGCCTACGCTGGCCAAGGTCGCTGGGGGGGAAGCCTTTGCCCCCTACTTCGCCGGCTTCCTGCCCCAGTTCTTGAACAAGTTGGTGAGTCCTGGGGAGTGCCGGCCCGGCAGCGCCCTGCCCCTCCCTCTCTGTGGCCTCTTGCTGCCCCTTTCCCCTCCCAACACCCCCGGAGCCCCCATGCCCTGATTCCTTCCCCCCTTCCTCATTGCTCTGGGGCCAGTCCGAGCCAACACTTCTGTGCATCCTTCCGGAGGCCTCCACCTTCTTCATCTGAGGTTTTCTGGAGCCCCCTCTGGATTTTGGGGTGGCTGTTGGGCCTAAATATTTCTGCATGTGTATTTAGGCACCGCCGACACACACTCTTCTCCCAAGCTGGGCGCCGTCTTCTCTCCACCGCAGCTTTGGTAGACGGGCAGGCTTGGGAGAAAAGCAGGCACATCCTTGGTGAATTTCATGGTGGACACCCAAGTTACAGTAGCTTTCTCCAACCCTGGGGGCCCCCTGGGTGGGTTGGGACTACTGTACCCATCACCCCCAGCCATGGGAGTTGCAGTCTCCACCTATTGGGCTGGACTGCCTTTTCTGCCTTGGTTTCTCCAAGAATTCAGATGTGGGGTCCCTTTGGGGTTCCTTGCTCCATCCAAGGCACGGAAAGGCCGGGGCAGAGTCCGTTCCCGCTTGCGGTCTGTGTTCCTCCATTGACCTCCCTCTCCACCCTCCCCGGCTCTTCCCCCCCTCCAGAAACCCAGCTGCACCTGCGCAGAGAAATCCTTTGCGGTGGGCGCCATGGCCGAGACCATCGACGCGCTGGGGCCCGCCTCGGCCCCCTTCGTGCCGCGCCTGCTGCCCGTGCTGATGGGCGCGGCGCGGGACGCCGACAGGGAGGTGCGCAGCAACGCCATCTACGGGCTGGGGGTGCTGGCGCAGCAGAGCGGGGCGGCCATGCATGAGTATCCTTCCCTGTGACCGAGCGCTGCCCGCAGGCACGGTAGCTCGGGATGCCGCTCTTGCAAGAGCTCCTCCGCCGAGGGGTTTTCAAGGACACCAAGCCACCTCGGGGGTGCTGAACCTTCGGCCCATGGGCCGATCAAGCCTGCGTAGAGAAGCGATCCAGCCCACGGGGGTTTCCGGGCAGCCGCACCTCCTGACCCCCAATTATCGGGCGATGCCTTGGCGTGCGTGTAGCTGTTTTCCTTCCCTTTTAGGCACTTGGGAGGTTTAAGGCCTGAGAGTAGGAGCTTTCTGTTGCAAAAGGCTCTGATTTAGGGTATGTTGCCTTTGGTCCCAGCCATGGCTGGAATGTGTCCCCCCTCATCCTGCCCTAGGATTGTCTCTGCAGAGCGAGTTCAGCAAGGTCTAAATGGCGGGGGGTTGGGAACTCTCTAGGCCGTTGCAACAAAGGTTTCCAAGTCCTGGCTTTCTTTCCGCCATTCCCCCGAGGTTTGAGTAATGGAAATTGCGAGAGGCAAGCGCAGCAAGAAGGTCAGCCAGGAGCACTCAGTCTTGTCTGGTTCTGGAGTTTTTTTCCTGCTTAACGCTGCGAAACGCTGCAAGCTCCCAGGACACAGCGCACGTAGGCTGGCAGAAAAACAGGATTCAGCCATCCAACTTTCCCCCAGTTGGCCTCCCTCCTGGTGTGCCAGACTAAAGCTCCTATCAGCCGGCTTGGGACTGATGGGAGTAGTAGTCCGGCACAATGAGAGGGGCCCCATGCGGGGAAGACTGCCTGTCACCTTGCAAATTTCCCAAGAGGGTTTATTTTACAACACTCAGTCTGAGGTTCTCTTGCATGTTTTTGGACCTTAGGAAGCTGCCTTGTTTCCCCTTAACTCCCCTCCCCTTTTTGCCCGACCCAGACATTACCCCAAGCTGTTGGGGCTTTTTTCTAACGTCATCTCCCAGGAGCGGAAAAACCGAGTGGCCGACAATGTCTGCGGAGCCATCGCCCGGATGGTCATGACCCATCCCGAAGGGGTCCCCATCGGACAGGTGAGAGCTGAGCGTGTTCCCTGCGGAGCTATTCAGGGCCCACCTGTCCCACGCAGGAGGACGGCAGAAGGACCACCACCTTTCAGCCCCAGTGTTACCTACCCTCTTTGAGTCTTCGCACTTGCCTGCCTCAGCTGCTCTTTATTTAGATTAGCTGCGCTTGGAAAGCTTCAGCCACTGGGCAGTCTAGAAACAAAGTTAAGAATAGCAGTAATGATAAGAACCTGAAAAAAACTACCAGGTTCTCCCCTGAGCAAGCAGAATGGGGCACAGAATAATAATAATAATGAGTAGTATGCATTTCTATATTGCCCCACAGCCGAAGCTCTCTGGACAGTCAAATGGCTTTCTCTCAAAAGGCAAACCAACCTGCGAAATGTATTTAATTAGATTTGTATCCTGCTGTGTTAGCTGTCAGGCTCCCTTATGAAGCAGGAAGCCCTGCTCAATGGCAGCAGGCCACCTGTTTGGCTGCCCCAGGTGTCACATACCTCAGGAACGACTCTCGTACCTCCCTGAAACCACCTGTCAGCTTAGCTGTGAACCTGCCAGCAAACAGCCCCCTCTTTGCCTGCAGGACACAAAAAATGTTTCAGCAGCTGCTCAGAATTTTGTGGGAGCTTGGTGGGGGCGGGGGGAGGGGGCTCGACTCCTTTTGGAAGCTGCCTTGCACCACTTCAGGGCCTTGGTCCACCCACTGGGTCGAGTTAAGACCAGCTGGCCTCTCGTTTCAGGGATTGGTTTCATTCTCCTTACGTGGAAATGCCAAGTCTCGAACTGCAGAGCCCTTTCCATGCAAAGCCATCTCTTTTTTAGCTTATGCTTCCTCATGTTTGCACTATTTCACTATATATACAAATACAGATGCACTATAAATATCCACAATAATACAATTAATACAATCCACTGATAACTACCCTGTTTCTATGCTATTAAAACCTACTAGATCAAAAATCAAGAAGATCAGTTGGAGGTCCACCCGCTCCATCCAACGTTCAGAAATACATCAGGAATGGCTGCCAGATTCTAGCAAAATCCTCTCTTTATTTGCCCCCTAGCCAGAGGAAAATGACCGGTCAGTTCCTCCCATCAATGCCGTTGACCATATCCTATCTAGGTATTTCCTGAATCCGAACCCTTGGCCATCTTTCCAAAACTATGCCATCTCGGCTCTTGCAGCTCTCAGAAGTATCACTAATACTTCTTGACAATGCGGTCTTTCCTTCTCCCCCGTAAGGAAAGAAAAATGTGATAAAGCTTCATTAGGGGCTCTTGTTTCTCGTGTGAGCATATTCTGCACACACAGCAACCCACCGACACCTTGGTACAGCCCCATTTGAGCAAGCAGTGGCTCTTCCAAGTGCCGTAGCAATTAGATGTATCTCTCCCCAACTTGCAGTCCTCTGGGATGTGATGGATCGCCGTTCTCATCATCCCCAGCTCAGTGGCATGTGCTTGGAGGGCAGAGATAGCAGCCAGTCTTAATTTAGGGTTAATTTAGCTCTTGAAAGCTCCTTCACCCCTTTGGGGGTTGTGGTTGGGGGAGCCAGAGAGCATCAGTCCTGACCCCTAACCTGAGTGCTTCAGGACACTTCCTGGCTTTCCCCTCAGGTTTTTCCCGCCCTGATCCGTAGCCTCCCACTCAAGGAGGACTTTGAGGAATACAAGACGGTCTTCCATTGCATTAGCTTTATCTACGAGCACGATCCACAGCTGGTAAGTCTCAGTTCTTTGCATATACTCCCAAGTAGTTACACCCAGCACTGGCAGACACGCTTCGGTTCGCAAGTAGCTGTTAAAAACAGGCAGGGGATCTGAACTGAACTGAGGTGGGAGGTGCAGCAGGGAAGGTTTCTGCTTCCAGGGGGAGAGTCCTAGGGGACTGAGGGTCTTTATCTCTCCAGCTCAGGCTGGTACGCTCCACAGGAGAGGTTCCAGTTCTTCTGTCTTCTCCTCCCAGGCCTTTCTTGCCACGCACAACCCCAGAGTTGTGCGGTGTGCCTCTCCTTTCTGTGTGCTTCCGAGCTCTTGTTGGACCCGATGCAGATAATGCGGGCCGGGAACTCGCTGCTGGAGGGATCAGCGGCTTTGGCATTTAATTTTTTCCACAGAGGGGATTCCAACAGGACCTGGGAAGAAAGTGCTCTTTCTTGTTTTAGGTCTTGCAGCAGCTCGGAGAAATCATACCTATCTGCAGCAGCGTCCTGAGCGGCAAGCACATCCCAGCAGGTACGGGCCTCAGCCGGGCAGGGTGGGCCCCAAATTCGGCCGGCAAATGCGGTATGCTTTTTCCTTTTGCACCTGGCCAATAAGAGAGGATCCTCGTGATCAGCAGAAGAGCAAAAATGTTGGGGTTCTTAATCCCCCTCCATTTTTGGCAGAGATCCCCCTTGGTCCTCTTTGCCCCCGGCTTCTGAGCTTGTGGGGGCATCTGGCCAGGCGCTCTGGATGCCGCGACATGGTCGCCACCGGGTCACTGACCTCCGCTTTTCTCCGCCCACAGAGAGCCTCCAGGCTGTGACGATGTTCCTGGGCAAGCTGTCCACCCGGTCCCCGGCCGAGTTCCAGACGGCGGTGGTCTCGCTGTCCCCGGAAGCCAGCAGCTCGATCCACACGGCCCTGCGCTCTGCATGAGGCAGCGGCCGCCGCGCTCCTCCACCGCCTGGCCAACTTGCGGGGACTCGCAGAGCACACGGCCTGCTGGTGCGCACCTTGTCCCGCCTGGGCGAGTCCTGTCCTTTCGTTTTCAGATGGACTTCCTCCCGACCGGAAGCCCCACCACTCTGTTCTCCGTTCTCGTTGCCGGTCAGCTTCTTCTGGCTCACTGTGGTGCCCCGTGATGTCCGTTTGGCTCTCGGTCACCACTGTGCAAGCTGGTTTGGGATGTGTTTTACCGGGTTGCGTTGTTAAGCCTCTGAGTTGTTAAGCCTCTTCCTTGAAGAGTTGCCATTCGCACACACACACACGCACGCCCCTCTGTGCCCTGCTGCAAAAGTGAGCGGAATGTGCATCTCTCTGTCCTGCCATCTCACCGCCTCTCCGCCTCAGCTTCCTGATAGCCAACGCTTTCCACCCACCAGGGAGCAGCCGGCGCAAAGGTTCACACCACCAATTCCACGGGCAGAGGGCCAAGCCAAGCCATGGCCTGCACCACTGACCCAGTGGGTTGCTTTTGGCATGGGCCCACCTCCAGAGTCACTCCCTTCTTGAGTGGGATCGCTTTAAACCCTCCTGCTGGGGCCAGGGAAAAGGGGCACTTGGATGTCCTGCCGGGCTTGGCACCCGCATCCAACCAGCCCACACCCCTGCACCTCCGATTGGCCACTGGGGGGCGCCCTGCAGACGCGTCCATTCTCTTGCGGCTGCGTTTGCTCCTGGGCGGAGCTGGATCGCATGACTCACATCCAGGAAAAACAGATGAACTCGCTGCTGCTTGGCCATGACAGGAAGAGGGTGTGGTTTTTTGGCCTGTTTTTTTCTTCTGTTTTGCTGCTCCTCTAAACAGGAAGCCTTTCTCCGTTATCTGGCTGAGATGGCATTTCGAAAGCTCAGGCAAGCGGATGAGTCACGGCGATATCTTGTTTGTCGATGCCAACGGGTCCTGGCCATGTTGCACTACACAGTGTCCTTTCCTTCAGCCGGTGGGCGAATATAGGAAGGCTCGATTTCTGTTACGAGAAGCTGGCCTGTTTACATGCCGTGTTCTCACACTGCTCTCGGTTCAGAGGGTTCTCGCCAGCCGTTTTGTCCCGCTGCCTGCCTGCCTGCTTGCACGCAGCTCCATTCGGTGGCTCTCCAAGGGGTTTGCCGGGGGGGTTCCGTCTCCTTCCCACTGTTGCCAAAGGAGGTGGCCGCATTCGAGTGCGGCTGGCCTCCGGCTTGCTTTGGGAGCCATTCTTCCCAAAGCCCGCTCTGCCTTCCCCCGTGCATCTCCTGTAGGAACAGCTCGGGTTCTATACATTTATTTGCCAAAGTTTAGTGGTCCGTGAAGAAGCCACTAAGAGACGACTATTTTTTCAAGTGTGTGGCCCTCGTACGTTCTCAGCTGGTTCCTGGTGAGGAAGTAACACCCCAATCATCCACCGTGCTGACACACCCCAGTACTTTGTATTTAAGATTTTAACCTTCTGGGTTTGGTATTTTTTGAAAGAATGACTATATAATGTATCTTGTAATAAAAATGGTTGCCTCTGAACATGCTTCCCTGCCAGATGTGTATAGCGGATCCGGCCAGTCTTGGGCTCTTGGCAACTGTCGGTAGCGGCATTGAAAGTTTTTCAGCTGACTTCAGGCAACCTCAGGGCTGCCTCGTTCCAGCTCCAAAAATCCTGGCCCATTTTAGCTTAAAGCTCTTCATGCCAGTCATGATCCCTTCAGAGAAAGAGGCAATTCAGCCTTCAAGAATGGGGCTGGCGGGGGAGGAACTCTGCAAAGGATCACCAAAAGGTCTCTGGGAAAGGAGGCCCTAACGAATTGGCTGGGGTGCATTTGGGTAGGAATCCTGGTTGATGCTCTGAGCATCTAGAAGGCGCCCCTTGCTCCTCCAAGGGGCAGGTAGGGTCTCTCAGGTTCAGCTTTGCCCTCTTGAAGGTAACACAGGTGCTTTGAGAGAGGCAACGGACTCGCCCTCCCAGCAACTGAACTGAGCACTTCCAGGTGCTGGCAGGTTCCAGTTTTGACAAGGGGAAGGTTTGCCTCTTCTGCGAACTGGCAGGCAACCCGGCAGTCGCCTCCTCTCTCTGCGGTTTGCCTGCCTAGCTGCCTGCATTGCTCACCGCTTGAGTCACCCTCTGCCTGATCCCTCCTGGATCAGCTGACGGGGCTGAAGGTGGACTTTGCTTCCATCCAGCTTCCCAGCCTCCCTCCCTCCCTCCCTCCCTCCAAATCTGGGTTTTTGAAATCCATCTGACCCCGTCCTTGCCCAGAGCAAGGGTCACCTCTGAGCCCAATCCCCTGGCTCGGCCCCCCCTTGTCTCCAGACAAAGGAGCTGGTCTGCACAGAGGTTGCACTTGCTCCAGGGCAGAGCCCCTCCCTCTGTGGACACCATGATGGTTCTGCCCATCCTTGCTGGCCCTTCGAAAGCCCAGGAAAGCGTTCGGATCAAGGCATGGCTGAGCCTGAACTGCTGGCCAGCACTGATGAGCTATGGCGGGGAAACCGATGACCGAAGCCGTCGGTGTCAGGTGCCCCTCAACCCTCCGTGGGTAAAGATGGGCATTCTGGACCTGTGCTCCAGCAAGGCAACTTACTGGTGGCCCGCCAGAAACCCAGAGCAAATTCAACAGAGGCCTGGTAAGGAGTTCTTCCGGGATGCATAAACAGAACAGCTTTATTCGGTTAAAATTTAGGATTTAAAAAAAAAATTAACCAGCAGTCACAAATGCCTCTTCCTCATCCAAAGACCAGTTGAAAGGAAACGCTTCTTTCCAAGGGGCAGGAAAACCAGATCACAGCTTCGTTCCTTCGGGAGGACGCAGCCCCGCACTGAACCGGCAGATCTGACTCCCGCCTCCAGGCTTCCGCACTGCTAGCTCACGTGGAAACGGGCTCCCGGCTTAATGACGATCGCGCCGTAGGGCTCTGCCTGCTCCAGGCTAAGGTACTGGGCGCCAGAAAGGACTGAGGGCAGGGAGAGAGGGACGGGAGACTATCCACACCTGGCAGCTGAGTAGTGCTCCCGTCTCTAAATCGAAGCCGTTCATCAATTACCCCGTGCTGGATTTTGCCTGCTTATGCAAGCCGCCACCCGGCTCACCATGGATGGAAGCGGCCCTGAAGGTATTCTTCATCGGGAAATACATACCCAAGCACAAGTAGAAGACCCGGCTGGCCACAGCGCGAGACGTGCTGAGAGGCACCAGAGTGTCCAGTCGCATCTCTCCAAACTCCTGCAGCTTCGCGGCCACCAGCCTGCGGGGAGATGGTGTGGGGCACTTGGCGGACACCCACTGGATGGGGGCTCCCCGGCCCCAGGACACGGTGGGGGCTCCCCGTCTGGTGCGCCGAGCTCTTTCTGGGAAGGGCTGTGAGGCGCAGATCACATGCCCCTTTCCCAGAAGGCCTCCGCCTCCCACCAAGCAAGGGTCACGTCCCCGTTCAGGAAGGAGGGAAGAGGGGAGAGTGATCCTTCCTTGAGACTTTGTGGGCCGCAGCAGAACTGGTTTCTTGAGGGCAGGCCCACACAGACATAGGCCAAATCAAACCTCGCTGGATCCGCTTCCTTTCCTCCCTCCCCGCATGTATTTTCCTGATTCTAAGGCTCCGAAATCATTCTCCAAAGGTTTTGTACTGGGAATAAGAGCTTTAAGACGACACGTGCTGCAGTTTTTTTGTATTGGGGCCTGGATCCACCCACAAGGGAATGCAGCCACTCAAGAGTCCTGCCAAAACTGGACACAGAACAGACCTCGGGCTGAAAAAGATTCGGCACTCCTGGGCCGAGGATGGGGAATTCACCAGGATGGGCACACCTGCGCACGGAGTCCAGCGTGACCGCGTCCTTCTCCAACGGCAGCTCAAAGCTGATTTCCGGGAGCTCGGGGACGACCGGCAGCGCCACTTCCTCTGGCTCGAGGGGAATCCTGTGGAGCAGGGGGTGGCTCAGGAGAGAGGCAGGGCACCCCCCACACCTGAGAGCAGGCCACACTGATCCAGGGCAGGGAGGGAAGGCCGATCCGCTTCGTCTCACCTCTCCTCCACTGCAACTAAGCTAGGGCGAAGCTCCTCTTCGGTGATCTCGAGGGAAATCTCTGCAAAAGGGACCAGAACAGAAAGAGAGCGCCGTGTTTCAAAGACCGCCCCAGCTGAGAGGAGATCCCACATCAGCAGGATACGTGCGGGGCTAAACCGGGAGAGATGGCAACCGTCTTTCAGCCTGAGGGGAGCATTTAGTTCTGGAGAAGCTCTTAGGGGCCCACACACCAGCGGCTCAGGAGGCCAAAATACCCCGGAATGACAGCATTTTTTGGGCTGGTATGAGGTCTCAGGGGAGCATTTCAAAGTGTTTGAATTCGGTGGAGAGAGCACCGCTAAGGCTGGGAGCACACCAAGCCACCTGTGGGTCAGGAGAAGGGTGGGATTAGGAGGAAGGGGCATGGCCATCTGAGGAGCACTGGATTTGTCCTGTAGGCCTGAGGGCCAACAGCTCTGAGCAGAGGTTTCTGGAATGCCACTTGCAGGAGGCTGCTTAAGTAGGAGCCCAGGAGTAGGGGAGGAAATGAACTCGGCCCCCAGTATCTTTGGGAGACCACCCCCCACGCACCTGATGAGCCCACCCGTGATACGCTTCCTTCCTCTGCAGCTCGCAGCTCCTGCCAAACAGGGAAAAAAAGGACGCACCAAGCATCAGGGAGACGGAACAGAGACCAGCTGCACAAAGTTACAGAGTTGAGAGCCGAAGTGTGGTTTTATGAATGGGCTAGAGCAGCGGTGGGGAACCTCCGGCACGCAGGCCACGACGGGCACGCAGAGCCCTCTCTGTCGGCACGCGAGCCAAGTCGCCCCAGCATCGCCCCAGCAGCCGAGCATCGGATAACGGTGCACATAGCGGCCATGCGCATGGTTGGAAAGGAGTAGCGGCGCCAGGCGATGATGTCACAAGCCGCGACTCATTAGCCGTGACTCATCGAGCTTTTGCATGGCCTGTCAGTGCGCTGCCAAGGATATATCTATATATATATTTGCTTGGACTGGCTGTTTTCAGGTTTTATTGCAGTGTCGGCACTTTGTGATAAATAAGTTAGGCTAGTGGTGGCAATATGATCTGGCCTGGGCAACTTCTTCTTCCTTCTCTTTCTCCTCCTATATTTTTATTTTATACTGATAATTTTAACTTTGTATTTGTAAATCAATGTATTTTTTGTATTGTTATATTTAATGGTAATTTATTATGTACTATTGTATTTCAATGTATTTTATCATGTTGTAAGCCGCCCCAAGGTTTCGGCAAGGGGCGGCATAGAAATGTTATAATAATAATAATAATAATAATAATAATAATAATAATAAGTGGGTTTTGGGTTGCAGTTTGAGCACTCGGTCTCTAAAAGGTTCACCATCATTGGGTTAGGGTTAGAAAAACGAGGTGTCCTGCTATAATTTTGATGGTTGGAATGTGTTTAGAATGGGCAGAAATGATGAGCTGTGCAGAAAAGCTCCTCAAGGAAGGTTTTTTCAAAATCGCCCTATTCTCAATGGAACTTTAGCCCTATATTAGGATTTGGGGTGTGCACCAGGGTAGGGTTAGGGTTAGGAAAACGAGGTGTCCTGGCATGGTTTTGGCAGTTGGGATGTGTTTAGAAGGGGCAGAAACGATGAGCTGTGCAAAAAAAAGCTCCTCAAGGAAGGCCTTTTCAAAATCGCCCTATTCTCAGTGAACCTTTATCCCTATGCTAGAGTTAAGAGGTGTGCTCCAGGGTAGGGTTAGGCTAGTGGTGGCAAACCTATGGCATGCGTGCCACAGTGGGCGCACAGAGCCCTCTCTATCAGCACGGGAGCCAAGTCGCCCCAGCAGGCAAGCATCAGATAACCGCGCACACAGGGGCCATGCGCATGCTTGGAAAGTAGCAGTGGCTCCAGGCGATGACAACACGAGCAGTGACTCATTAGCTCGACTTGTCTGAGCTTTCTCATGGCCGGTCAATGTGCTGCCATTTGTTTGGTCTGCCTGTGAGTTTTTTCTAAACAAAAACCTCAGTTTTCAGGCTGTATTGCAATGCTGGCACTTTCCAATAAATAAGAAGGTTTTGGGTTGCAGTTTGGGCACTCGGTCTCTAAAAGGTTTGCCATCACTGGGCTAGAGAATGTAGCCTGAAGTACCTGTTTCTGCCTAATCCTGGAAGCTAAGCAGGGTCTGGACTGGTCAGAATTGAGATGGGTGACTAGAGTGTATAATTCTATGATTATTGGTGTAAGCTGCCCAGAGAGCTTTGGCTACAGGAATAATAATAATAATAATAATACGACGACGACGACGACGCGGGCCAGAGTTAGGAAAGTATGGCGTAGGAACTGCCACTAACTCTGCTCTGTGAAAGCAGAGAGGGGAGCTCTCATTTTCAGCTGCTGGCACGACTCTTTACCTCTAGCTCGCTAGGAACCTCTGCCTTCTGCACTTCTTCCACTGCTCTCTCTATCTCCTCCTCTTCCAGCACTCGGCGCCTGGCGTAATCCACACGCTGGAGGCTGGCACAGCGGGACCAGAGGCCGAGGAGGGTGGGATGCATCCAACCTGGAAGGATGAAAGTCAGGCAGTGCTTGCATTCCTCAGAAGGAGCTCCGTGGCGTCTCAATCTCGCTGGTGAGGCCTTGGCCCGTATTGAGCACCCTTCGTCCAGACACACGGCACTGCAGGCAGCCTCAAAGGCCACCAAATCGGGTGGAAATGGCACATGATGGCCTACGGGCAGAGCAGTGTCAAAGCAGCTGCTGGACTCCCCAGATCCGAAGTGGGGAGCAGCCTGGACCTTTGGGGGTGGGAATTCATATTCTGATCCCCCCACCCCGCAAAAGGAACTGCGCCAGTTGCTTCTCAGAGGTCATGAAATGGGAAAGGGAAGCATTCCGGGGGGAGGCAGCCAGGACGGGAGGAGAGTGAGGTCACCAAGATATCTCAGCAGCCTCTTTGTGTCTGAAGGGTTGTGACTAAAAGGAAAGTGGAAAAGAGCCGCTCCTCTCTCAACGAGCTGGACAAAAACTCGGCAATTTCATTTCGAATAAATGGCAAAGCCCACTGGAGGTTGGGCTCCTCTGATGTGCCACCAAGACCTCCAGATGCACCAAGAGTCACTCATCCGGGAGGGCTGCTTCTGCCCTGCGGTCATGCCTCGTTCCGTCTGCAGCCAAGGACTGCTCCTTGGGTGCCAAGACAAAGGCAGGCCACCCGCAGCCCTCCACGAATTGGCAGGACTCCCAGCCGCCCCCTCCCCAGCCGTCAGGACTTGGGAGTCTGACTTTTGGAGGGCTGCTGGTTGCTTGGACCTGTGAACAGAAGACCTGGGAGATGAGTTGGGCCACAGCACAGCTGGCTCCTTGCCTTTATGTTCACCTTGTGAAAAGGGATCACGGGTGCTCCAGGCCCAGGTAGCTAAGGATTCAGAAAGGTTCCCAAGAAGCGGATGAGAAAAAGACGGGGACGGACAGAAAGCCATGCGCTGCCTGTTCCCCCGTGTTGCATATTTCTTTTAAAATCCTCTTAGCAGGGAGCCTTCTCTAAAATTTTTACGCAAGTCCAGCACGGAAAGTTCAGCTGCTGGTGGAGAAAGAAGAGCAGCTGAGATAAACAGATGGAGAAAACAGTCTAGAAGTTCAACGACGACGCTGGTCTGCAATTCAGGGAAGCTTTTCAAACCCTCAAGGGAGAGATTCCCTTGGGCATGTCCTTGTGCTGATGGTGCCTCATCTGAGCACCAGCAGACAACACTGATCTGGTTTGGGTTGAAGGTCTGCTTTTAAGACACTATCAAGGCACCTTTTAAACATGGATTTTTAAGTGAGGGCTTCTAAGGTCGCTTTTTGTGTACACAGTGTTATTATTTAATGGTTTTATCTTCTGGATCAGTCACCGACTGCCTTGCTTGGCTTCAGAAAGGCTGCACAGACACAACAAAAATAATTATTTCTACAAACGAGAGGCGCATATTCATGTAGATCTTCTGTCTGAATAAACTCTCTCTTCCTCTCGCTTTGATCTCCCAACGTGGCCCATTCTTCCTTCCTTTAAAATCTATCTCTCCATTCTGGAAGGAATGGACTATTCATACGCAGTCTGAATAGCCAGGTTTGCCTGGCATGTTAATTCAGGCAGGTGCGAAACAGCTAAAACATGCACTGCCACCAGCTGGCTGTCCCAGCCCACGTTCCAAGCTGCCAAGGCTGCTTTGGTCTGTTCCCACCCTTTCGAGGAAGAACCTGCTTTGTTCTCGGGCAGCAGAGCAGGGCGAGGGAAGGCGGCCCAGCCATCCTGGGGGTGACACAATGCTCACCATATGTTGGCCCTCCCAGGAGCTCTGCTGGCGTCCTCAGCCTCTTGCCTGGCAGCAGCACCGTCTCCTAAACAGAGGAGGGGAAAAGATGGACAGGCTTTCTCCAACGGGGGCCCTTCAGATGCGTTGGGCTGCAGCTGGGAGTCGTAGTTCAAGGCATCTGGGGAGGGTTGGGCTGGGAGGAAGCTGAGGGACAGCCAAGAGGATGGGGACTCGGGCTTCCATTCGGGTTGGTTTTCTTGGAAGGAGAGAATGCTGAGGGGAAGAAAAAAGCTTGAGTCTACAACTTCGTGCTAAGGGGATCTGTCTGAGAGCCAGTGTGGTGCAGTGGTGAAGAGCATGGGACTGGGACTCAGGCGATCTGGGTTCGAGTCCCCACTCAGCCATGGAGCCAACTGGGTGACTTTGGGCCAGTCACAGACTCTCAGCCCAACCTACCTCGCAGGGTTGTTGTTGTGGGGATAAGATGGAGGAGGAGATGTAAGCTGCCTTGAGCCCTTTGTAGGAAAAAAGCAGGATATAAATCGGAAAATAAATAAAAATAAATGAAATAAATCGCAGCATGCCTGAAGTGTGGAAGCGCCGCACCTGTTTCCCTGTCCTTGGCTGAGTGATGTGCAGCACGGAACGTTCACAAAGGCTCCAGCTGCTCGAGGGCAGATGCCCGCCAGAACGTCCACTGTCCAGTCCTGGGAGTGACAGGGAGGTCTGGGCGAGCCACCGCTTGCGGCTGCGTGAACGCCACATTCTGCACCGAAGCCAGCCCTTTTCTGTGGCACAGCCCCTGTGGCCTTGGTACGTTGCACGGCTTTTCCCTGCGACGGAAGAATCGATCCAAGGAGGGCCGTGAGCAAGTGTGATGTGTGTTTTAGCCCCACGGGGCAATGATTCTGACTCTTACCAGGCGCTGGCACTGGGCCTGTGGGTCCAAAAGCTGGCTCTGGAAATCCTCCCGGGAAAGCTGCGTCACGGGATCCAGGAAGCGCAGCTGCCTCCGCCGCTTGGGGGGCCCAGGTGGAGACGGTTCATACTCGGGCAGGTGCAGCTGCGGGGCGGCGAGGGAACTGTTGGGTTGTCTTGCAGCGCCTCAGCACTGAAGCAAGGGGTCCCTTCAGGTCCGGCACGCGCAAGGGAACCGACCCTCTCGTCCCTTCCTCTCCCTTAACCTCTGGGCTCCACGGGGCACGTTCCTCTAGCACGGCACTCACGGGGGGCGAGGGCTGCAACCGGAGGCCCTCTCGATCAGGCGTCACTTCTAGAAGAAACCAGCAAGGCGCTGGGTTAGCGAAAAGGCCAAGAGGGACTCGCGTGTGGACAGCGGCTCGACCCACAACCTCACGGCTCCCTACTCCTGCCAGAGCCCAGAGGACTCACCCAAAGGGGGCCGGGGGACTTCTTCCAAGAGCCTGGTCTCCTCCGGCAGCAGTAGACCCGTCTCCTGGATGGCTGAAGGCTCCTCCCCGATCCTGCCAAAGAAATGGGGGCGCAGCTGGGACAGGAACGAGCCCACAAATCTTTGGGGGACAGAACCAGTCAGTCCTTGCAGAGAGGAAGAGGAAGAGGGAGTCCTGCCTGGAGGAGTCTACAGTTGCAATTTCAAGAGGGGAAGGCACAGGGTGAGGAACATGACAGAGGCGAGGGCAGGGATGCAACGAGCCACGTTCTGAAGTGACAACGGGGAGCCCACAGGCCTAACCCAGGTTGCCCGGACACTAAACATGCCCTTCCACGGCTCGCCTCGCTCTCTTTCCCCCCTGACTACGGATTCTTTGGTGAGTCCTCGCTTTGGTGCCATTTCCTCCCCTTCCAAACTGTTGAAATGGCCCCTTCAGGCTGGCAGGAAGAGCTTTATGATAAAATCCGGGGCAATTCCAGCGTTTCAGTCATGTTTCAGCCAGCATTTCAGGGCCAGGTGGAAAGAGATTCAGCACCCCGACCTAAAGGAAGATCTTTGACTAGGATCTCAAAGGACTTTGGATTTCTTGGAGCCCCCCCAGTGGGGCTGGCGAAAAGCTGAGTAGCCTTTCCTAGACTTGGGGTCCCCCAGACCAATCCAGGAGAGGATCCTTCATCGTGCCTGCGTTCTTCCTCGCCCCACCCCACCCCGCCTCTTTACCATGTGGGAGACAACAGCCCCACGGAGACCAAAGCCTCTTCCTCTCGGACCTCCTCTGCAGGCTCTGAAAGAATGGAAGAAACAGAGAGGCAGCAGAAAAATGTCAGCGGCGGTGGAGACATAAGCGGGGTTCGTGGCAGGGAGAAGTAAATGGGAACAGCTGCCTATCCTCCCAGCCGATGCCTTCCTGAAAGTTTGGCACCGCTTCTTAGAACAATACATCTATGGCCTGCTTTCTTCTTTTCCAGATTTTTCACAGTTTCCAGGCATCCAGACCCATGCAGTGCAACTGGACCTCCTCCCCCCACAACTCTTCGGCAGCCCCCTTCCTCTCCCTTCACCTTCTTCGGCACGTCTTTTTCGGGGAGAAACGCGCAGGGGCCTCTCCTCCCCGGGCGCCACGAACCCTTCTTGCTCAACCAACATTTCAATTTCCTTGACCGTGATCTCCGGCAGGTCTTTTTCACCCTGGGGCAGAGGGAAATGCAAGCTGAGCCCCCCACCGCCCTGGCCACAAACACCCCACCAGTGTAACGCACGCTCAGCCCTGACCTCCTGCCCGAACGGAGCTCTTACCTCAATCGGCAGCACGATGATGGGCTCCATCTCCTTGAGTGTGATGGCTTCAGGGGGGAGGGTGAGGAGTGGCTCCTCTTTGGAGGCACAGGAATCAAAGGGTCATGGGTTACTTCTGAATTCACACCCTGCCTTTTGGCCCAAAGCAGCTTCGCCCAACCTGGCACACTCCAACATGCCGGATCACGGCCATGCCTGCCCTTATCCGCACCTAGCAGCTTGCAGAATGGTGTTTGAAAACCTAACTCTGCACCCAAAGAGCTGAAACTTTAAAAAAACCTGAATAAATTATCCTTCCCTGCAGCCACATGAAGGACTGGCAAAGCTTTGCACTGAACATTCACAATTCTAGTAACAGCAATAGGGGCATCTTCGTTCAGGCCTAGTGTACCACTTCTGAGGCAGAAACGCATTCTGGGACTGCGTGGAGCCCAAGCTAGGAGACATCTGGGCAGCAAGTGCCAATTTCAGTTCAAGGGATGGCAAGTTTCTTAAAAGGCAAACTCTCATCCTGACTGGGCCAGTTCATAAGCGATGGCACACATGTAGGTTGAAGAATCCCACGGAGTGCCGGGCACAACTGGGAGAGAGTAGACATGCTGCCTTTCGTACACCCACGGCTTCCGCTTTTAACAAGCCACCTGCAATCAGCTTTATCACAGGTTCTGCACATAACACATGAACCTGAAATGCTGGGTTGTTCAGGGTCAAAACAACCCAGCAATCAACCCATGGCTTGTTGCCAACAGCCCATCCATGTGGGTTTGCACATCACTCCCAATTGTGCTGATCAGACCTTGTTTCCAGAAAGCAGAAGCCGCTCCTCCACTGCAGAGTCCGCACCTACTCTCCGCTGCTCGCTCTGGGCAGCCCACCGGTTCTTCTACTCAGGGGTTGCCCTTCTGTGTGAACCAGGTCATCCACTGGCTGGACACAGATGCCCAAGCTGCATCACCCACTTTCTTATCTGCCCTAGGCTCCCCGTTCACCTGCCCTCCGACGTGGGACAGGCGGCGGCGGCGATCGTTCCACAGGGCTTCTCTCTGGAGTTGGTGCTTCCAGGAGGTGGCGGATCTGGTAAGGACGGAGGAGAAAGGGACAGAAGATAAGCTGCTCCGTACCTGGGAGCTGGGATCCGACAGCCATGGGCCGAAGGAGGGGAGGGCAGATGCGGGACGGGGCGAGAGAGCATCGTACGTGCGGGATGGATGCGGGACTGGGCAGGACAGGCTCCATCACCCCAAAGAAGGGGTTGGGGGCTTCCTCTAGCGCTTCCATCAGGACCAGCTGATCGGGGAGCAGCAACCCCGGCCTGTGGTCAGAAGGATGAAAAAAATCCTTATTTTTATTTACAAGGTGTTTGTACCAATCTGCACCCAACAAGAGGCCCGAGTGGTGAGCCGAAAAGCCGTGTATTTGAAACTTCCCGAGGGCCCCACAGATATTCTTCTTAGACCCTCTTCCCCCCCAGAGGTGGCATTGAACTACAACTCCCATCATGTCCAGCCAGCATGGCCAGATAGACTCAGCATGGGGAGGCTACAGTCCAGCATAACATCTGGAGGGCATCAAGTTTGGGAAAGTGCTTTTACGAAATTTTCTCAACAACCCTGTAAGGTAGGCCAACATTTTTTTGAGAGGCTGTGGCTTCCTAAAGCTTCCCGTACAGCTTTGGCAGTGGCAAGATTCGGAAGCCCTGGACGCCCAGGCTCACAACTTGCCCTCTTCTCCACCACCCCGGAGACGTTCACACAACACAGGCAGAATGGCCTCCAATATCCACCTTTGGTTCCAAAACATGGGTTGAAGCGCCCCACCATAACCACCACAACGGGGTGGAAATTGGCCCCATTTTATTGAACAGGAAACTGAGGCTCAGGAGATGAGCCCTCACTCACTGCTCCAGGTCCGTCAAGTCGATGCGGATTTGCAGCTGGGCCCGGTGGAGTCGTTCCAAAATTTGCTGGATATCTTCTGAAAAGGGGGTAAAAATCGGGATGGTGTCAGAGCCTTTGGGGAGATGTAGCAGGAGAGCCAATACTGACTGAAAAGCAGGAGAGGGAGAGAAGAGTCCGGAAGACGGAGGAAGTGGCACCAAGAAAGATCTAGTGATCCTACCGACAAGATACTGGCACTGACGGCTGTACACACGGATCACCCCATACTGCAGCTGAGCTGAGAGGTAGAGGGAGAATCGGGGCCGCGGGGCACCCGGCACGGGTGGTGGGACCCGGACGAGGATGAAGGCCATGATCTCCTCGCTGCAAAGAGAAGGAAAGAGATGGTATCACTACCATCCATAGGAACGGCGCTCCGCTTGGCCTTGCCTTTTCTCCTAGCAACTCCCGTACCCCTCCGGCCCTTTGAGTCTTGTTTTGAGGCTTGGCCAGGCTCCATCAGCCATCCTGCAAGCTGATTTTTGCCCATCTTGAGGACTAGAATCTCGCTTTTTAAATAAAACATACTAATGGTACATAACAAGAACTAATGGTGGTTTAAAAAAAAAAAAGAACTAATCCTTATGCTGGAGGTGCAAGAGTTCCACAAAGCTTGGAACTCCTCAGCCCTTGCTCTGAGAGGATGGAGGAATGGAGAAATGACCTTGTGTCACCTGCATGGCCTTCAGTCCCGAAAGACATTTTTGTCCTGCCAAATCTGCCTCTCAACTGGACCTTAGGAGCAAAGGTGCTCTGGGGATCCACCAGCGCCTTTCTCTCTTCTGGAAACCATCCCAGACCCCTGCCAGACCTCCATGGCCCTCGCTCACCAGGTCTGCGGGATGTTGACTTTCAGGTACTCCCGTTTCAACAGTTTGGTTGCTCCAGTTGCTGCCAACCTGGAAGGCAGAGGAGCGTCAGGGCGGAAAGAGTCCGGACGGCAGCAGACGAAGCCCTGCCTGCCCGGCCGACCCCCTTTCCACACGGCATTACCAAATCGTAGCAAAACATCCCGTATGGCGTTGCAAGACGTTGGGATAATAGAACATGGTGGAGTGAGTTGCACGTCCTTTTCTGGCAACGAGGTTGGGGGACTCCCCAGTATTAAGGGAGCAATTTCCTCCCCACAAACAATGGCCTTTTCCTGAACTTGGTGCACAATGTTATCAGCTGTGTTGTTATTTGCTTCTCAAAGTTGCAGAATCTTAAATTTTGTAATCTTCCTTGGAAACCTGCAAATGCTGAATGGGTCTAACTCCTGCAATCTCTGTGACTCAGTGCTGGAAGCCCAGACTTAATATAGAGCTGTCCTTCCCTAAAACTGAGTTATTTCTTTGTGTAGCTGACAAAAGACTATAATCAGGTCAGTTTTAGGGTAAATGGTGATGTACAGGAAGGTGACTTTTATGAACAACAGTGCAGTAACACAGACAAGTTGAATAAGCTAACAGGGAATTTAAGCAAAAATGTCCCTTTTAGGGCCAATATTAATTAAAACAGCCAATTACAAGAGACTCTGAAACAATTAAGACAGAATCACAAGAAACATATAATGTGTTATGGAAGAACAGAACAGCTGGAATAGCCAGTCCAGTCCCCAACAGAACACACAATTAGGAATAAATTTTACTATCTTAAGATTAATCTGTATTATTTTTAGATTAATCTATTTGAAAATTAATGCAGATTAACAGTAAGGACTGTTATTTAAGAGGAATTTGCGTGAATTAATAAGCAAATAAACAGAAATTCACTGGCACGTGGGTTAAGTAACAGATCAAAACAGTGAAAAGCAAAAATATTGGACTGACAAATTGATCCCAGAAAGATTGAACAAACTTTGTGTATTTTTGAAATAAAGGTAGCAGTATAAGTACTTGAAATGTGCAAATAGGTAAGATCACGAACACAATAAGGAATGCCCAGGTATAATTAAGGCCCCTAATAGACAGAGGCAGTTTTAGGAATACTGGCCCTCAAGTGCCCTTTTGGGGTCAGAGATACGCCCCAATGTAAAGAGAATGGTAAGGTTCAAGTACCATCAAAAGGGCAATGCGCCCGGTTATCCGCGCAAGTAATGTATTAATATTGGCACTAGATAAGCGGCCAGTAAATTAATTCGGTCATCACTAGATCAATTCGTTGGAGTAAAACTTGGATTAAGCTGCTATTGGGGCGGGAAGCAGCATTTGCAAAAGGGCGAGGGGCACCTATGGGGCCAAAGGAGAAGAGACCCTCCCCACTGCCGCTTCCTTTAATTTCCCGGGGTCAAAATGAGCTACAAGCCCCAACCCAGTTTATAAAAGACCCCCTGAGGGCCAATCACTGCGGTCGTCTAACGCCCTGACCACTGAGCAGCTCTCCCTCTTCGAACTTCCTTAGCCAATCCATTCAGGGGGAGCCACGTGGAAAATCTTCTCGCCGCCTTGGAAACACAATTGTTTACTCTCCAGTTTCAGCCAGTCAAATCTCTGCATTTTCTTTTCTTCGGATTCCAACCAATCGGAGAGCTTCTCTGCTCACCCCCTCCCCGTTCCGTGTTCGTCGGATTAAGTTGGACCAATAAGCACTCGGCCTCCTCAGAGTTCTACCCAATAGAACAACATTCGAGGCGAGGCTCTCGCGCGTTGTTGTTACGGTCTTTCTCGCAATTCTTTGCCCGCTGATCCCACCCACTGCTATGCCTGTCCAATGAGATGAAGGAGCTTGGCCAGGAGATTGTCCAATCACAGAGAAGGGGCCGTTTTCCCTCCAATTTCTCCTCAGGAATCCCGGAGGCCTAAATAGTGCGAGGGAGCTGATTAATTTCTTCTCTCTCCATTAGCCAGATTCACTCACCAACATTCAGGTTGCAAAATTATTAAAAATAAAGGATTGACAATTAAAATGCACTTTGTGCTTGTCAATCATTCCTTGCCCAGCCTACCTCGCGGGGCTGTTGTGAGAGCAAAGTGTGTGATGTGATTTAAGCTGCCTTGAGCTCAGAGGAAAACTGGGAGCGAACTCTCGTAAAAAAAAGTGCGGGTGGGGGAATAAATGCAAAGGATTTCTGAGCATAGGATTTTTTTTTCTGTTTTATAATTTAGTTTTAATTCATTTAAGTTTTATTTGCATTGCCAAAAAAGCTTTTAACCACTAGTAGTACAATGCTGTCCACACAAGCAGCCAACCAGCTGCCCACATGATCCCACAAGCAGGACATACATGAAACGGGACACTCTGGCCCACGTTCCCCAGCAACTGGTGTACACAGGCGCATTGCCTCTGACCCTGGAGGGAGCATCCAGCCATCAGGACTAGTAGGACTGATTTCCAGCTCCTTTTAAAGCCTCTACTTCCTGGCCTCCGCCATTTTATTTTATATTGCCTTACTTTATATTATATATTACATTTCTATACTGCTCAATAGGCCAAAACTCTCTGAGAAGTTTGCAGCAAGGAAAATGATAAAGTACCACATAAGATACACTATGAAAGTATTAAACTATGGGATCAAAGAGAAGCAAGAAGTCAATAAAGATTGAAATAAAGTTAGTAGAAATGCAAAGATTAAAGTAGAATAATGGACTTAAAACAAAAGCAGAAAGACTAAAATGACTGGGAAGTGGGGAGATCTTCCCTTGGCACCAGAGAGAGGACAGTGCAGGCACCCAGCCAGCTTCTCTGGGAAGTTCATTTCACGGCCAGGGTGCCCCAATGGAAAAGGCAATCTTTTGTGTAGGATGCTGGGAGTTGCAATTCAATTCCAGTTAGATTTTTTTCTCCTGCACTTGCCCCAAAATGCTGAGCTTTGTTCCCAGAACCTCCAAAAGAAATCCATTTTACCAGAAATATTCCAAGAGCTGTCTGGGGCAAATTACTAGAACCTTAACCAGGATCTACTGACTTTGAATAAGACTTTTTTTAAAAAAATGAGGAAATGCTAAATGGTTATATCCCTGGAGCATGCGGGCATAAAAATAATTTGCCACTGGAAGGCACCTTTTACAAACTGCTGCTTTCCAGAAGTTGAGACCAAAATTCCCAACTATCAGTTATGCTGGCTGGGGTTGGTGGAAACTGAAGTCCAGAACTTCCACAGAGTACCAGCCTGAGGAAGGCTGTATGGAGGAAATTAGTAAATTAACAATCAATACATTAACAGTTCCTGCAGATAGAACCACCAAATAAATGCATGACGGAGGAACGCAAATATATGAACCAGCACATTAAAGCCGAGGAACAACCTTAAACGCAGATGACTCATCCTACCCACAACCCAATCTTTTCACTAGAAATTTAACTAATCTGATTGCAGATATTTGTTTCCACAGAAACATCCTAAGGACACCATGATCTTCGGTGGTTTTTGCAGCGGTTTGCCAAAATGTGTATACCCATTTTACAGATTTGACCAATCTGCTTGCTTAATAGTGAAAAGCTCTGGCTTTCCAAACAGGAGCCACCTTTTCAGTTGTCTCTGGGGGGCCAAAGATGTTCAAAACAGAAGAGATTTTTTTTAAAGCAGTGCACGAATTCTGTTTAAATAATTTTTAAAATTACCACTTTTGAAAAACACAAATGTGTAGAAAATTCATTTCAGTGCAAGTTATGAAATATGAAAAGTGTTGGCATTCAAGGGAATATTTCAAAGACCCGTCAGGTTCTGGGTAAAACAGCCTCCTTGGTCATAGTGGCAGAAAAATAAGTGGCATATAAGTTGTTTAAATAAATAAATAAATAAATAAATATGCCAACGGACAGGGTTTGGGTTTTGCGGAATTGATGTGACAGGAAAAGCAGAGAGAGAGAGATGAAGCCACTCAGAGCAGACTGAGGGGAGGAAACCCAGGAATGGAATGAAAGATCAGATTACACAGGAAAATATTGTCAGAGCTTCGCATGCTTTCCCATTTCTAGCACCAGATGCAATGTGCAACTCCACCATGAAACTGGGACACCCACATTGTGGGATTCTGTGCATAGCTCTGATCAAAGAAAGCACATCAGGAGAAAAAGCAAGCAAGGAGACCAAAGTGCAGCATAGTTTCCCTGTGAAGAAAAGCGAAAATACTGGGGGCTTTTTGATTTTAAAAAAAGCTGAGCAAAAGGCGGGCATGAACGAGGTGTATACATTAGTTGTGCAAAAGTACATGTGCATTATAATTAGCTGATTGTCTATTCAAGGTGTGTGTTAATATGCATCAACTTATTACACCTGCATGCTTGTAACTACAAGCTCATTAGTTCATTCCTCTCTGACTTCACCTTGCCTTACAACCCCGTCCCATAAAACAACTGGGAGGATGAGATAGGAAGCAGAAAACTTTCTTTAAAGCCAGTTATCTCTTTCTCCCGTTCGCATTCCTTTAGATGGGCTTCATGACTTAGTTATTGGCTTCTCTGTTTCTCAATCACTGAGTAACTTCCTTCACACTGAAGTGGAAAATTATCTTTTTCCCCTCCTTTTTATAGAAACTTTGACCACCAATTAAAAAGGTATGGGCTGAAGAGTAAAGATCGGCGTTCACCTGAGGTGGCCAAATTCCAGGATCTGCGTGGCTGCTTCATCCTCCCACAGAACCCACCGGGAGCTGCCACAGAAAAATGTTCGCAGCAGCCACCATGTTTGCCAGCAGAATGATGCTCCTCAGGTGCTCCTTCTGGGATCCCTGAAATAGATCGAGTGCTATTTCATGTAAAGCGAAATGCATTTTTGGAGTTCTCTGTCACAGCTCTGAGGGATTAAACAGAGTCTGGCTCAGTTACTCATGAGGGCAGTGACTAAGCTCAAGGTCAGAGGCAGGGTGCCACTGAATGATGCTGTCGTTTGCCAGAGGCAAATAATGGAAAATCCATAGCAAACAACCTCCTGCCCTCCAGATACTTTGGACTACAAATGCCATGAGCTCCAGCCAACTAGGCCTATGATTGTGGGTATTGCAGTTGTCATCTAATACATCTGAAAGGCAACTGACAGCCCATCCCCTCACTAAGGGATTCATGTTTTCCTTGTAGGCTGCCAGGCACTTTGGCCATCCTGTGTGGGGACACCGTTGCTGCATAAGTGGGCCCTCGGGCCTGATCCAGCAGGGTCCTAGCAGCTGAGGCCGGGCAACGAATTGGCAAATCCCACTTTCAAATCTCCCTCTCATATGAATTAATGAGTTGGCACTTATTTCAGGCCTCCAATCTTTGCTAGCAGGATGAAACTGACCTTAATAAGAGAACGTTGGTGCTTTGAAGGCTAGGAAGGTGCAAATACTGAGTTTGGAGGTTCTAACGTTATTATTTATTTATTAAAAGTGCATGGTGTGTTGTTGGATCTTTACCCCTCGTGACTGCAAAGAACAAGGTCAAAAGTGAGATGGAAAAACTGAGCAACCTTTACAAAGCCAGGGCGAGTCTGGGCAGGGCAGAGATCAGCACGGTTCATTGCCCTCTGCTGTTTCTTGCAGGATGCAGAAGCAAATAAATAAATTAGACAATGTTGTCTCCACCTGGCAGAATTCAGAGATTGCAGAATGCAGCTTTTCCTTGGATATATGTGCAGAAAATTTTTGTTTCTATTTACAGTGCATCTTTGGGGAGAGAGGCCTGGGGCTCAGTAAGAAATGACATCTTTGCATGTAGAAAATCCAAGCTTTATCTCCAGTTGAAAGGATGAAGTAGGAAGTGACGGAGAATGATCCTTCTCTGCCAAGAAACATGGCTGGTCTGAGTGTCTGATCCAGGATTTCTGTCTAATTTTGGTACAATAAGGCATCTTCCTATGTTCTTATCACCCAGCCTTTGGAAACACACACACACACACACACAGAACAGAAGTGATGCAATTTGTGAGACAGGAGGTCAGCCTACCCTTTGGCTGAAAGGTTTCCATTCTACAACCGAATACTCCCAAGTTGCTTGAAATTCACACAAAGAATTGAGACTCTTTTCCTTGTAAACTTTATTATTGAACTAGGTTTCACATGCGCACAAAAAGGACAGACACATATACACAGAAAAACATTCTAACTGGGTATTTTCCAGACATAAATAAAGTGCACAGATTTGGCAAACAGCCGTGTGTGTGTGAGAGAGAGAGAGGGAGAAAGAGAGAAGGCTTTTCTGCCCTATTTCAATCAGGAAATTAACAAAAGCAGAAGGGAGGAGGGAAGGTTCATCAGTGCTACTAGGATTAATCCTACCAAGAAGCGAATGCCTTCTTAATTATGCTCTAGTGTTTCATATGCTAACAGGCACAATGTTCACGGACAAAGCTGATCCACCTGGACTGACTCGCAATGTTGGAAACCTTGCCCTGAACAGTACGGACGAAAGGAACTACAACTTCTAGGAACGGTTCGAAGTCAAGATGGAGGACAAGATTCCAGGCCTCAGGCTGAAATGTCTGCAGAGGAGAGACTGGCTGTGGAAGGGATGTTACAGGATGCCATGTCTACCATGAGGGGAGGATTGAGCCACCGATGAGCAAGGATCTGTTCCATCTGTGGGTAGAGAACAGCAGAGACACTGATATCACCTGTCCAGTGAGGGCGTCCCGCAACCTGATGTTCACTTTTCTTCTGACCTAGCTCAGCCTTCCACATTCTTCCCCCATGCCATCATAAAACCCCCTAATGCACTTCTCCTGAAACGTATTACCCAAAATACCATTCTATTCTGACTCACCTATCCCTAAAACACCTCTTACCCAGAGCCACCGCCTGCCCATAATGCACTTCTATTCCACCTACCCATCACGCATTTCATACCATCCTAAGAATCTACTTAGGGAAGGGTGATGGCGCCCCTTCTCCCAGCTTGGAGAAATCCTTTTGGAGCTTCTCACAATCCCGCTTGCTTTTAACCACCCTAAACAGCTGGGTGCCATCGGCAAACTTGGCTGCTCCACTGTGGCTCATGCCCCCCTCATTTGCTCTGGGCCCACCACCCACGATGCACTTCTATCCTGACTCAGAGAATTTCAGAGAAGCCATCTCAGGCCAGCAATTGAACCAGTCCGGAGGACAAATGGGAAAAAAGACCAAACTATTTTAGCTTGCAAAAGGGCTAAGCTTTTGGAAAGGAACGTCAACTTGCTCGGACGGGGCACAATGGCACGAAACTTGGGAAAAGATTGGAGGTTGGAGGAAAGGAGGGGTAGCTATCCTTAGAGGCTGTGCAGCAGCTGCTGAAGCAGACTGAATAGTTGATTCTGATTTGGACGAGTGGGAGCAGAGGTGGCTGAAAATGTGAGGCTGCAGCAGTGGGAATCGCACCTGAATGTTCAACGGGCCTTCTGAAATGGTGGGGACATCAAGAGGCAAAAGCGAAGAGGAGGAGGAATTAGAGATCTCAGGGCTACACACCAAGTGAAGAGGAGTTTCTGCATATCTAACCCATTCCAGCTGATCTGCGGGAAAAGATGCTCCTTGAATCTGAATGGGAAGCCTCCAAGAAGGTCCAGATTTCAACTCTCTAATCCATCAGATCAGCTTTATGAAATGCTAGAACGGCTCAGCTCTTTTGTCGCAATGATTTGTGACACAACCTGCCCTGTGGCCTGAAACAAGACTGGCTTGCTTGTCATGTTTTACATAACAGAAACTAATTGATTAGAATTATTTCACCATGACTCATGTCTGGTGGGGCAAGGAGCCAGGGCAGCTTTGGACACATTTGTCCTGAATCTCCCCAGTCCATAATTTGTTTCCCTTTGAGCTTCTGCCCACGACATTCCTACATCCCCATTATCACGGACTTGTGGAATCTGCCCTTGAGTCTCGGGGTGACTCTCCAGACCACACCAAATCGCTTGTCCGTCCTTCCTTCCTTCCTTCCTTCCTTCCTTCCTTCCTTCCTTCCTTCCTTTATTTATTTATTAAAACATTTCTATGCCGCCCCATTCGCCGAAGCCTCGGGGCGGCTCACAACATAAAGTAAAATACAAAAATAACAATATAAAAATAACAATATAAAATGAAGGACGCCAGTCTTACCTGGATGGTGATGAACTTCTTGTCCAAATCCTCACATTCCTCCACTCCCTCTGTTACACAGAGAGTCACCTGGTGCTCTGGCTGAGGAACAAGGCCCTGTTGGTACTGCTCCATCTCTGCAAGCAGAAAATGCGCAAGGTCGGAACTAAGAGGCCTGATTCAAAGGATGAAATGGGGAACGCAGCGGCCCCACAAGCCAGATCCCCTTGAGCTGTCCTCTTTGCTTTTGGCTGCCACCACGGAAACGTCATCCCTTACCTTAGAACAGCCCTGAAATAAAACGTGGCCCTCAAACTGCGTCTTTGCATCTCAGATCCAAACTATCTACAGCAGCGGCCCCAACCTGGCGCCTCATCAGGTGCGTTGTCTGCGCGGACGCCTACTGCAGCTCAGCAACAGTGCTCACCTGACTTGAACATCCGTGCATTGAACAACTTCAGGTAAGTGTTAGGCTCCAGTTTGCTGTGGGATTGGGATTTGTCGGTTCTCCACCACAGGATATTGGCTCTGCCTCGGCACTGGATAAAGATCCCTTCCTGGTTGCTGGCAACCATCACGCCTCTTTCGAGATCCTTCAGCAACCGATCAATGGTCTCCTTCTTTTCAGAGCCCTCCATGAAGACCGGCTGGGGCAGGACTACACGTGTCATGCTGTTTGTGGGAGCTCCTGGAGGGGCAACGACGGACGTGATGAGGAACTCGCCTTCTGGGAGCTGGACTTCCAGCATCAGCTTGCCGCCGTAGAAGATCGAGAGCAGGACACTGGAATCTCCTGGGAACATGGGGGCGAAATGGTTAGTCGCTCGCAACTGGAGGCTCGCTTGAATGTATAAAAACAGCAGCAGAAGGCAGACTGCAGACTTCTCCCCGGCCGGAGCAAACTAAGGCTGCAGCTGGTTGCAGCCGTGGTGGGTGGAAACAGCCCTGCCACCAAAATGATTGCGTGGAACAAGTGATTGCAGGAGGTCCAGCACAGACGGCATTAGCCACAGTGACCCATGCGCCACGTGGCCACACACTGTCTGTCTCAGACGCATGTGCCAACCAGCCACACTCTCTCCGTCTCATACAGACCAGGTTTCCCCAACTGGGCACCCTCTAGATGCCTTGGATGACAACCTCCATCATCAGTGGTGGCCGGGGAGCACAGGAGCTGAAGTCCAGTGGATGTGGAGGGTGCCCAGTGGGAGAAGGCAGCTTTTGAGAAGGACGTTTGCTCTGTGACCTCACCTGTCCCCACAGTGGTGGCAGTGATGGCTTCTGGCAGCTGCGACTGGAGATGACTCTTGGTCACATCTGGTGCTGATGCAACAAAGGAGAGAAGAGTCAGGTTAGGTGAAGCACAGCGCTGCTCCACAGGGCTAAGATAATTTCTGCTAAAATCATACATTTCCCCAAACCCTGCCAGAAATCCCCTTAATACCAGAACGGATGGCAGTTAGCAAATCGGCACATTATTTGGTGCTTTATTCAGGGACGGAATCAAACTGGGGTCTGGATCAAGCACGGTAATAATAAGAAATTCAAGCATGGTAATAATAAGGAATAGCATGCCTACAGGCATGTGCAGAGTGCATTTCACACACCATTAAAAAAATCACACATTCCTGAATTCCTGCCACCCACAATGGGTGGCAATTTGAAAGAGGAGAAAGGTCACCCTGCACATGCTCCGATGCATCCTCTTTTCCCACCTGGTCACTGAACCCACAGGAGAAACAGGTGCTGCCATACATGCAAGAAACCCCACATCCTGTTGGTTCCCCAAGGAGAAAGACTGCAATGGCATCTTCTGCCCCATTCCTGGAATGCAAATATAGCCTCCCTGAAGCCGGAGTCCCACCAGAAGTGAGGGATCACAGTCCGTACAGTGTCGGCTGGAGAAGTCTCCCTCAGCACCTCATGCAAACAGAGCCCCTGCTTACAGGGAAGGGTGAATTCCCCCACCTATTTCACCAGGCTGAGGGCTGGATTCTCCATTCTGGTTGAGTGTGCTGAACGTGTTTGGAATATGGCTAGCCAGAGTCTCTGATCCAGAGCTCTCTTCCTGCGGGAATGGAAAGAGAGAGGAGGATTACACTGGGTTACACTCTGCCCCAAATTTTGCTTGATACTGTCCATCACTGTCCCGTCTTCCTCATGCCCAGTCTGTTCATAAGAAGAAATGCACACAGCTCTAATTATCGTGCTAAAAGCTCCCAGCCCAGAATTCAACACAGTGACAAGTTAAGTTTCTGTCCTCACTTAATACACTGAAGTTCGGACACACAACATGGGGTGAGCAACCTGACCCTTTGCCCAAGGACTAACTGTAAGCATCCCCTTCATGCAATCAGTTCAGATCTCTAGCATTATAATTCATCATGCTGCCCGGGGCATATGGGAACAGTAGTCCCCAGTAAGTCCCAAGTTGCTTACTCTGGCCCAGGTGCTGGACTGATCAAAACGCAATAAAATACAACTGGCATGCGAGGAAAACTTAACCTACATTTCTACCAACTAAATATTATATAATTAGTTGGCGGCATTGAAACATTTCCCCAATTCTCTCTGTGAACCTATAACTTTCCCACCCACACAATCTGCACAAGTACCTAGCCTAGATCAAATGGCAGAAAAAATGTACTTTATCAGAATTCGGGATTTTGCAGCTGAAGAGACGGTGAAAAGAAAGCAGAGTGTGCTTAAAACAACCAGCTGCAGTTGTGCAGTTCACCCTCACACCTCAGCATTGTTAAGCAAGCTTCCCAAGGTCCTGAGCCGTCTCATCCTTGCTGCTCACCCTTTTCAGGACTGGCAAGGAGCCAGGTGAGTGAGAAGAGCTGGTGGCGTTGGCGTCTGTTTTCTCCGAGGACTGTTCCAGCTTTAGCTTTGGTCTCCTCTGCTGTTTAGGTTGGTTCACTTGGAAGAGGACAAGATGCGGACAGGATATCAGACTGAGCTAGCTCTGCACATGTGTCTCCTTCCCGCATATCAAGCCAAATTCCCTCCCAGGAAGACTCTGACTGTGTCTGATTAGCACACTTTTCCCTCTCTGGTTGCACTGCAGAAATTACTGATAGGGCAGCAGGCAGGAAAAGATGCTAACTGCGGAATGTTTCACTTCCTCACCAAACTCTGAATCCGAGAAGTCTTTGGAGGGAAGCTGCAATGGTGAAACTGGTATCAAGCCAATCCTTTAGCAGGATTGGTGATGCCACTCACGGTTTGGTACTACAGACTTGCAAATCAGAGCAGTGTCCTGCTTAGGCAGCTTCCGGCACCCTCCAGGATATCCAGACCTATGCTGGCTAGCAATGGTGGGAATTGTAGTCCAACACTACAGGAGCCAAAGTCGACAGGGACTTTCTGAAGCAGGTGCAGAAAAGCCAAAAAAGGGGAAAACAGATCTGCCCCTCACCTACACGCTGCTCGGAGAACGGCACCAGCCGATACACTTTGTATGGCTCTCCAATATCCAGCCGTGAGCGATGTTTCATCTCCTCAAACTCGGGGCTCTTGCTCAAAGCACAGCGGACACGTGTCTTCCAAGTAGCAGGATCCAAGCGCTCCCCTGGCTTGTACTTTCCTTTAAATATGGCCCAAGCCTAGGGGAAAAAAGGGGAATCAGAGCTGATCAAATGTTGCTAGGACCGAACCAACATCTCAGAGGAATCACCTCCTGCTGGGAATGCTGTTTCAAAGCATGGCCCCCTCACTGCTTGATCTGCTGCTTTTCCACTTGCAGGAATTCTCCCATTCCACCCACAGGAAAGTGATCTGTCCTATCTTCCCAACCTGTAGGCCAAAACCCAGGCTTAGAGAATTCAGCCTAAGTCACAGATCTCTTAACCATCTGGAAGACCAACGAAGCAGGAGCGGCTGAATTCCTCGAGGTAGCTTTGGGCCTTCTGACATTTTAAAGTAGTAGATTCTTTCAATTCCATGGTCACATGCCCCTAACACCGCCCCATTCTTGTGGTTTCATCAGGAATGCTGCAGATCCACTACCTTGAAAAAACCGGCATCCTCTTCATGATGGAATTCCTGCTTGCCGGCATGTTTCCATGGGATGCGGAACATGGTCTTGGCATCGTCATCCCAAACCAGTCCAGGAAAATTCCCGCTCTCCACCTGCTGCACAGTCCACTCTCGCAGCTTCCGGGTGGACCTCATGCCCCGCTTGGCTGTTGCCATCCTTGAAGGAGAAGCAGAGCGCGTTCAGCAGAGAAGAGAAAAATCGGCTGGCCTACTCACGAGGAGAGCCAAAACAATTTGATGGGAACAAAGTGTCCAATTTTAATGCACGATTTTCAGTGCATGACTGCATTTAAGAGGTTTGTTTCCACAGCCATTGCGAAGAAGGGCAAAATAAGCAGCATGGAAAATATTGAATTTTTATCATTGAATTTGAGAGTCCCCCATTAGCATCACAATCTCTGGGCAAAATATGGTTGGAAGTCAATCTATGATAAAGTGAGACACTGCAAAGATTTGGTAATCATTAAGATCTCCGCAGACGGAGGCTGCAGCCAAGAAATTAAAAGACGCTTGCTCCTTGGGAGGAAAGCTATGGCAAATCTAGACAGCGAACTAAAAAGCAGAGATATCACCCAGCCGACAAAAGCGCATATAGTCAAAGCTATGGTTTTCCCAAGTTGCAATGTATGGCTGTGAAAGCTGGCCCATAAGGAAGGCTGTGCGCCGAAGGATTGAGGCCTTTGAACTGTGGTGCTGGAGGAGACTCCTGCGAGTCCCTTGGACCACAAGGCAGTCAAACCAGTCAGTCCTAGAGGAGATCAACCCTGACTGCTCTTTAGAAGGCCAGATCCTGAAGATGAAACTCAAATACTTTGGCCACCTAATGAGAAGGAAGGACTCCCTGGAGAAGAGCCTGATGCTGGGAACAATAGATGGCAATAGGAGAAGGGGACGGCAGAGGATGAGGTGGCTGGATGGGGTCACTGAAGCAGTGGGTGTGAGCTTGAGTGGACCCCGGGGGATGGTGGAGGACAGGAAGAGCTGGAGGAATGTTGTCCATGGGGTCGTGGTGGGTCGGACACGACTTCGTGACTAACAACAATAGCTTAAGGTGCCTCAATTGCAAAAACAAACATTTTTGGCATGCTTTTAAGAGGGCTTTCCCACATTTTATCCTACCTTTTCTCCTTTGCAAGGGATTCTGGGCCGCTCGAGGTAGCTTAGGCTGAGGTTCATATAACACAATTCCCACACTCAAAGGTCAAGTGTGTGCTGTTGCTGAACTGTGGGTGGCTGCTGACACACTGCTTTTCCTGTTGTTGGGATCCAGCCAAGGAACCAAAACATGGTTTGTTAACCATAAACAACCCATGAAGAGAAGCCACCATTTGTTGGACTGTGAACTGTGGATTATTTGAGGTTAACACTTTATTATCTGGCTGGGTTTGGATGATACAATAACCCAGATTGCAATGACAACACACACTCAACTCATATTCAACCCTTAAGTGTGGTTATTTGTGTCTGTGAAGTGCCATGAATTTCATGGCCAAATGGGCAATTAGAACTCAAATCTAGAGTCCCAATACAACACCCCATTATCTATTTATTTTCAAACCTACAGGCTGCTGAACAGCCCTCTAAGGGCTCTTAAATTACATATTACACAACCACTTCTCTAACTTCCATTTTCACTTTAAAACTGTTTACATCTCAAGACAAATGGAAATACAATGTAATAATTGCAACAGCATCTTAAACTTTTGTAACAGTATCCTAGGATAGAAAAATGGCTGGCAACAACCATCCAAATCCACCTAAGCTGTTGTTAGCCATACTGATTGATTCCGCAGGGAACATGTGGACAGAATGTGCGGATTTATAAGGAATAATTATGGGTACAGTTGATTAAATACAGAGGTCAAAGCGACTGAAGTCTTGCCTTCTTTATTTGGCATTTTTAACAGCACTTCTCAGGCACTGCTGCCTCCTGTGGTCACCACAGAAGAGTAACAGCACAGATGCTGAAGAGCGATTCCTCATCTCCGCGAGATGAGCAAAACTAAAGCCAGCTCTTATCAACTGCAGATTTAGAAGGGGTTTAAGGACAGTAAGTGTGGAGAGAAACGAACTTTTTTCCAATTCGGGCAGCTCTCAATTGGATGTCGCCACTTCAAATACAAAGCCTTTGACTCAAACAAAGCACTTCCATGAAGCTCAGACACAACCGGCTCCTGAGGGAAAAGGTTAACGACAGTAGAAGATGTTTACAGCAAGCACGTTTTCCATCCGGGGTGAATATCGCCCCCAAAAGCGGAGTCTGGGCTTTGCAAAACTTTGCCAGCTGTCGAGGGAGGGGAGGGGAGGGGCGCGGCGGGCCACGACCTTTGGACGTCCATCCGGAGTGTTTACCTCGCTCTGTCTACTGTTTACTTCGCATCCAGCCCATGTTTCCCTATCCCTTGACACATTTCAAACAGAGGGCAATCGCTCTAAGCATGAACGCCACAAGCCGCCCGATCCTTTGCAGAGATTCGGCCTGCTGCCTGCAAGGCTACAAGCCGATACATATCCCGATCCCCCAGATTACGGGTGGGATCCGATGCATTTTGGGGCAGAAAAAAGTCCCCAGAGAGACACTGAGCAATGCAAGGGGTTTTTCGGATCAACGTGCGTAGGGCTGGAACTTTTGCCCCATTTAACTCGAAGGGCTTCCTTCTGAGCAGCGAGACAGCATGGGAAACGGCTAACATTTTTAGAATAGCTTTTGCACGCCCCGGCGCTCGGGGGAAACAGGAAAGCGCCGCCAGAAGAACAAAGCGGCAAAAGAAAAACAGAGAAGAGTTGGGCGAATCCTAAGGAAAGGAAGAAGGAAGGATCAGCCAGGCCTAACTTGGGGGCCGCTCGGACGAGTTGCAGCGGAGCTCCCATCATTCGCACTGGCCCAGCTGGCTGGGGAAGATGGGAGGTGCAGTCATCAGGCCAGCGGAGCTCCCATCATTCGCACTGGCCCAGCTGGCTGGGGAAGATGGGAGGTGCAGGCGTCAAGCTAAAGAGCGCTCAAGTGTGGGAGAGCGGCTGAGAAAGCAAACGGGGAGAAGGCAGCCGCGGCTCGAGAAGCATTCGCGCATTTCTGCTGCGCGCGGCGCAAAGTCTTTCGGAGCAACAACTCTCCCTGCCCCGAGCCCCCCACACCCGCCCCGGGCACGGCGGCGGCCCCCGGGGACCCCCTACCTGAAGGCACGGCGCCCCGCCGCCCGCCGCCGCCGCCACGGAGCTTCCTCGCGAGGAAGACTGCCGGCAGCGCCGCCCCGCCCGCAGCGCCGCCCGCTCGCCCCGCCCATTTCCCCGGGTTCCGCCCATTTCCCCGGGCTCCGCTCCCTTTCCCAGAAATCAGGCGGCCGCGCTCGCTCGCCCGGCCCTCCAGCAGGGGGCGGCAGAGCGCGGGCGGAGCGCGGCGGCCGCGGGTTCGAGTCCCCGCTCGGGCCGCCCGATCCCGCACCGAGGCGACCTCGCTGGGCTGCCGCGGGGATTCCGTGGACGGGGCCTCTGCACGCGGAGCAGGCAGATGAGGAGGCCCTCGCAGCCCCAGGCCGGGGGTCGGCAATCCCCGCCCGCACCTGGCCCTCTCATGCCTCTGCTGGGCTCCGTCGCGCAACATGCGCGTCACAGCCGCCTATGAGCGACATCCGCCTGCACCTGATTTATTGCGCTTGTCGACCCCGGTAGGCCAGCCATGGATAAATGCAAGAAAAGAAAAGTTCCAGAAGGAAACAGAGCGTTTAATGGCGCGTGGGCAGATTCCTTTGCTTTCACAGCTGACGAGGCTGGTTTGCCAGTGTGCTTGATCTGTGGTGAGAAATTGGCAAACAACAAAAAGTCGAATGTTGCAAGGCATTTCCAGAAAAAGCACACAGCCTTTGCTGAAAAATATCCGGATGGAGATGAGAGGAAAAAAGCCATTTTGGACCTGATGCGGAAGGTTGATCTCAGCAACAGTCACCTCAAGAAGTGGATTAAGTCTGCAAATTCAACTACTTATGCTAGTTTCGTGGCCGCTCAGGAGATAGTCAGGCAGGGGAAGCCGTTCACAGATGGAGATTATATAAAAGAATCCTTCATTAAGATTTCAGAACATCTATTCTCGGACTTCAAAAACAAGAGTGAAATTGTGCAGAAAATCAGAGATATGCCTCTCTCTGCGAAGACCGTCGAAGACAGAACCGTAAAAATGGCAGAAAACATCAGCAGACAGCAAATTCAAGACATCGATTCAGCTGTGGCGTACTCAATCGCCTGTGACGAGTCCAAAGTCAAAGGTGGTATCGAACACATAGCGCTGTTCTGCCGATATGTGAACTCTGCAGGGCCGCAGGAAGAAATGCTCGAGTTGATACCACTCGAAGGCCGGACACGGGGGGAGGACATCTGCGAGGCTGTCTTGGATTATCTAAGAACCAGAGAAATAAACACCACCCACCTGGTGTCAGTGGCTACTGACGGGGCACCGAGTATGACGGAAGCACAGACAGGCTTCGTGGCGTTACTGCAGAAGTCAGTGGGGAGAAAGCTGCTGACGTTTCACTGCATCCTGCACCAAGAGGCTTTGTGCGCTCAAACATTTCCTCCGGAGTGCACAGAAGTCATGAATGTTGTCATTCAGATTGTCAAAAAAATAATGGCAACCGGTTTAAATCGCCGTCAGTTCCGTTCGCTACTGGACGAGGTGGACAGCACGTATTCTGATCTCCTGTTGCACAACCAAGTCCAGTGGCTGTCCAGAGGGGAGGTGCTGAAGCGCTTTGCCGCGTGTCTGGAAGAGGTGAAAACTTACCTGGGCGGCAAAGGGCTCACCTTTCCTGAGCTGGAACGGCCAGAGTGGCTGGAAAAGCTACACTTCATGGTAGATATGACAGTGCACCTGAACACGCTCAACACAACTCTTCAGGGGAGAGGAGGGACAGCCCTGCACATGCTGGAGGAGGTGCTGGCATTCGAGCGCAAGCTGACAGTGCTTGCCAGAGATTTGCAGAGAGGCACACTGTCTCACTTCCCCTCTTTGCGAGAGTTCAGACAAGCTCACAATACGATAAATTCGGCGTATTTGCAGTCTGCCATCACCGCAATGCAAACATCGTTTGGGAAACGATTCTCTGAGTTCAGGGAGGAAAAAAACACATTATCCTTCCCCGTCACTCCCCTGACCATCGATCCATCCCTGTTGAATATGACTGCATTTGCAGGTGTGAGTCAGCCCGATCTTGAGATGGAGCTGGCCGACATAGCCGGCAAAGATATATGGGTGTCCGAGTTCAAACGCTTGACGGCTAATCTTGAAGATGTCGCCCGTCAGAAGGCCATTCTCGCTCAGAATCACAAATGGAGTGATATTGAAAACCTTCCCAAACGGGACCAACTCGTGTTCGAAACATGGAATGCCATCCCCAACACTTACATGAACATGAAAAAGTATGCATTTGGAGTCCTGTCGATCTTCGGATCTACATACGTATGTGAGCAGGTCTTCTCCAACATGAACTATATTAAAAACAAACATCGCTCACGCCTGACAGACGACAGCTTACAAGGTGGAGGTGACGTCTTACAGCCCTGATGTGCGGACGCTGTGCGCTGAGGTTCAGAAGGAAAAATCACATTAACTGGGTAAAATAAATATTTTAATTGGCTGTTATTTTGCAAATATATATTTTACATTGTTCAGTGAAATAGTCCTTTTTTTATTCGGGTTGACAGCTGACTGCACCCTCCAGTACACGCGATAAAAGGAGGACAGCACACAGAAGCAGATGGCATTTTTGGTTTGATGCAGGTGGATAATTTTATGTTCGGCTTTTTATTTCATAAATACGAGGAGGACTCAAATAGACATCGAGTATTTTATTTGAAAGTAACCTTCAACCCGGCGTCTTTTTTTTGGAGTTCAAAATGTTTTTGTTGCATGCAGTAATAAAAATTTGATTTTTCTGTAGCAGTTCATTGATTTCATAAATGCAACACACTATAGTTTTTTTATACATAGCATAAAGGGAAAAAACAATATATGCAGTGTTATCTTCATTTTACATGTCAAAAGGGTTTTGCTGCTCCCAGTGATTTCTTTTCTGTGGGAAATGGGTCCAAATGGCTCTTTGAGTGTTTAAGGTTGCTGACCCCTGCCCTAGAATATAGGATTCCTGTGTTACTACTCTGGTCCCCCCAGCTCTTTTCTGTTGCCTGGGGATGGTGGGAGTTGTAGTCCACCCAGGTAGGTGGGTGAAAGCTGAGCTACCTATAGGGGCAACAAAACTTTCAGGCTCAGTGAAGAGGTAGGCAAGAAAGCAAGTGACTGGGAGGAACAACCCCATCCATTTGAACAGGCATGTTCCCGGAAATGTGAGTTTTTGAGTCACATGGGGTCCCTCTTGCTATCTCAAGGTGAAAGCGATCTGTCCGACAACACAAAAAGGGGCAGAACAACGCCACAGCCGGAGCTGAAGTGCGGCAGCCTCTGTTTCGCTATCTAAAATGCTGAATTCCAATCTGCCCCACAATGGCAATAAATAACGTCCAGTTTCCCCACAGATCTGCGGCACAAGAAGAGAAAATGCACCAGTTACTAAATGCTCTCAGCTCACGAGAAGACGGTTTACCCTGGAGCCCTGCGCTTCCAGCTCTTCTATGATTCTAAGTTGGGAAGAGCATCTTGTGCTCAGCGAAAGAGTCTCACACAAGTTGCTTTTTTAAATCATGGAACCTTTATTTGGAGGTATTTTTCCCTAAGAGATATGCAGCCTCAGAGAAGAGGTAACAGACGAGAAGGGCACAGATCGGGAGGGGGCAGACCTGAGACTACAACAAGAACGTCTCCAGTGGATCACAGAAACAATGCTGACTCCTTTCAGTCCCCACAACTGAAAACCCCACCATGAAATCTAGCTGTCCCTTTTTCTAAAAAGCTCTGCCTGAACAGGATTCTGCGGAAGTTACAATCCTCCTTTTCCCCTCCCCAACATTCACTGAGACTTTTGTTCTCACAGTGATGGGATTCGGGCCAGGATGTGGCCAAGGAGACCGCCAGTGGCTGGGGGGTGGTCTTAAGACGGCGCTTGGACACCCCAAATCTAGTGCAGCTTTCAAACTGTTAAGTAGGGTCCCCAGCCAGAAGAGGAGGAGAATCCTCTTCCACTTCTTGAGGACACAGGCTCCTCAAGAGGAGTGGATCACCGGCCCCAAGACTGCTTTCCTTCCATGCTGCAGGGGACACTGGCGTCCTGTTACTTCCGCCTGCGTGGAATTTTCGGGCCTAGAGGCACCTCTTCCCTGAGAATCTAGGACAGGAGGCAGGCGAAGAAGGAGAAGTTAGATAAGCTGGAGGCACCATGTGTTTCCCTGCCTTCAGCCCGGCCAGCTTCCCCCGCTTTCCCCAGCTGTGGAGAACGCGGCATCACCTGGACCAAACGCCCACGATAAACCTCCTCCTCAGCCGCTCCTTGAGCAGGTAGCTGCTGCCCAGGCAGGTAGCGGCGACATGTGTTCTCCACTTCGGGCAGCGTGTACAGCACGGCCGGGTCCAGGGAGTAACTGTTGATCAGGTTGACCAGGTACTCCTTGTAGTGTGCCCTGGGGGCGAGAAGGACATGGATCGCTGGCACACGCACGCCTGACTCACACACACATCTGTGGGCGCTTCTCCCCTGGCCAAATTTGCCCTTGCCATCCGAGGGCCGCCTCCGAGAAAGGCAAGTGTCCCGCCTCCGAGAAAGGCAAGCACAGTGAGTCTTGTGCAACAGGGCCTTCTTTGTGGCAGCACCCCAAGCGCTGCATCCTCACTTTACATGAGGGGGAAAGACAATATAGTTCTGCTGGGCTTCTAATAAGCCAACGCCACTCTCCGTTTCTATCACTAATCCTGGATTTCAAAATGCGTTCTTTTCGTAATTTTATTTTATTTTGAAGTGTAATAGTTTTATCATCTCTGTCACTAATCCTGGATTTCAAAATGCGAAGTGCGTTCTTCTTTTCGTAATTTTAATTTATTTTGAAGCGTAATAGTTTTATCATACATTGCCTCCAGTGCTCGATGACTGGAGTGGTGATCTAGAAATATACTAAAGGCCAACACCCAAAAATAGGTATCATAGAGCTGAGAAAAGTCCAGAAAGGCAGCTAAAATGATCACGGGGCTGAGGCACACGGGGAAAGCTAACAACCTCTGGGATCGTTTAGCTTAGAAAAAGGTGAATAAGGGGCGACGTGGCAGAGGGGTGCAGAATTACATGTGCTGTGAGAAAGCGGTTAGGGAGAGATTTTCTCTCCCTCTCGTAAAACTAACATCGCACACAGGTGATGCCTGGGAGACGCAGGGCAAAGACCTCGAGGGACACGAACTGGACAATCCCTCTTGCACAGGATGGGTTGATGCCCCCCATAAAAGCTTGATGGTTTTAAACCGGAAGCAAGAGAGGGAATTCAGGGGGGATACCTGGATGGGTAGCCAACGGCTACTAGCCCTGGGGGTTTTATGTTTCCATCAGCACCAGAGTGAGGGTGCCTATGCATACCAGGTGCTGAGGAACTTGGGCGGGAGGGTACTGTGGGAGGCCGGTGTCTGAACAGAGCCACAGAATCGTAGAACGTGGCATTGGAAGGGGTCATGAAGGCCACCGGGTCCAAATCTCTGCTCCAGCAAGTCAAACCGCCCACTCGGGTGGCTGACCAGCTGCATCTCGAATACCTCCAGTGCGGGGCAGCACATGCTTTCCCTAGGAACTATGCGGGGGCGGGTTTGATGGAGCAATTCTCCCAATGTTCTTGACCCTTTGCATGTTTAGATGCAAAGACGCCTTCGGCATCCAGCGTGTCCCAGCTAGCTCTACCCATCTCGACGTGCCTTCGAGCGAACCTCGTGTAAAGAAAACATGCGTTACCCTTCTCCCAACCCACATCTGCTACACGTCCTCTGTGCAATTCTCCTTTTCTAGAAGCACCAGATCCTTACATGTTTCAAAAGCATTTTCGGAGGACTGCCCAAGCCCCCAGTCTCTCCGAAAACTGGATACTCACTCACAAAGCCCGGCGTATCCAGCCTGAGTCTCCTTCCCGCAAGGTTCGTCTTTCAGGCCCATGAGGGTTTCTTTCTGCTCCATGACGCGGCATCCACCTGAATGGGCAGCGAAGGGGGAAAAGTCTGTGGATGCCGAACGGGCACAGCACCTTCTCCGGAGTATTGCATTTTTTTAAAAAATTATTTTTCCCGGAGTTTTTATAGAAATGCTCACAAAGCACAGAATCGGTGCCAAAGAAGTTTTCAAAATGCTACCCAAAGTCTTAAAGCAAATGTAACTGTTGAAAACTAATGGCAGGTTTCGACCAACAGAACGCACAATAAAAGTGAAGTTCAGAAAAGGAAATAAGTTTCTACAATGTTTGCCTAAAAACAGGGTTTGGCAAACAGAATCGGGCTATGAAGTTTGGAGGATGGAAAAAGCAGCTACTCCTCCAGGAGAGGAGGAAAAATCCCACCCTTGGAGGAACCACAAGACTCAAACTGTGCTAAAATGGACCTTTAAGGACAGGAGAAGCAGCCCCTGGTTTGCCTTCTCCCCACAATATGCCAGAATTCTTTGTTAAAAACCAAGGAGGAGTAACTGAGTTGGCCCAGATCCGTCGCTCAAGATGAGGGGAATGAGAAGGCAAGCATCCTCAGCCGACCATGAATTTCCCAGAATCCTTTGGCAACTCACCTCCAGGTGTGGCTCGGGTCCCAGCCGGGGGATCCGTGTTGAAGACGATGTTGTTATCCTGGAAGTGGAGGGGGGGGGGGGCATCAAGGGTGAGTTCCGAATTTTCACCTCAGACACCCCAGGATTGCCAAACCCCAGGATTAAATTCTCTCCTGTGCACGACCAGCCCCACTGCCTTTCCCCAAACCACCAACTGTTAGTGCTTTCCCCGTTTTGAGCCCTTTTCTCCCGCATTCTCAAAAGCCAAAATGCCTTTTCTAAGGAACGGTTATCGGCAGGGAACATTTGCCCTTCGGGGCACCGTTCCTCAAATGCAGCCTTCCATGAGCTTCTCCGAAATGGAATCTGGCCCTGAAGTTGCTTGACGACCAGAGACAGTTTTGCCTTTCTTCCCCTTTCAGCAAACACCCTGTGTCCCTGCCCATCACGCCAAAGTCCGGCTCACCTGTAAGAGATGCTGCAGGCGTGGAACATTCCAGTCCCGCAGGTAGAAGAGGCAGTCGCGGGGGTGGTGCCCATGGAGGGAGCGCCGGATCGGACAGTCGGCTATCGGGCATTTCTGGCGAAAATGGATTGAGCTAAAGTGAGGCTGTGAGACAGCTCAACGATGCTCAGCTAGCAAGTTTATTTGACACAGAAGCTTCATCACAGCCCTAGCAAAAGCTTAGGAAGGGCCATGGGAGACAACCTGAGGGATGGCTTGTTAAATTCTGGGTGGTTCAATGTGTGAACGCAGCCACACTAATAAACCAGACAGCCTGTGAAGAGAACCCATGGTTTGTGAATTCTGGGGTGTTTAAACTATCATTATGTGCGAACCCAGAACCATGGGCTGTTTGTGGGTTGTTTTCCTGGACTACTGAAGCAGTGGAGAAACAGGTTTTATCATGGAGAGCATTCTAGAATGCCATGAAAACATTTTGGGGAGAGAGAAGCAGTGGGTGAAGAAGCAGGGGACTGAAAAACCTAAGGGACGAGAAAACAGTGAGTTTGCTTGATTGTAGGGCAACAAACCATGGATTATATAAACCATGGATTAGCATTATTATGAACCAGGCATGTAGCCAAAGTATTTGCCTGCTTGCTGTTGGAAGTGGGGAAAAGCATAATTCTGCCACTTTCTGGACTCCGTGCACGAAGCCCCCTTCCAATGCTGCCGATCGGAGACATACAACTGGGTTTTTTTTCTGGGGGTTGGGGTGAGGGGAACAAAAGGAAGTAACAGAACGGTTTCCCCACAGCTTCCACCCCACCTGAGAGTCCTTAAGAAAGACTCGGTTGAATTCCGTCTCTGCCTGTAGCCATGGGGTCCTCATTTCCCCAAAATGGTCTAATTCTCAGAAGCTGCCAGCCAGCCAAAAGCTTCCACGCAGTATCCATGGAAGCAGAAAGGGGTTTACATTCTTTTTTAAAAAACATACACACATACAATCCAACACATTGTATTTTGGAACAATGCTTTTCCTTCTTTTTTAAGATCTGTGAAGTTTGCTATAGCACAATCAAGACGTGCTTGAAATCGAATGCACCCCAGAAGACTTGGCAGGCTCTGGCTGGCTGCGAGTGAAGGGGTTCCAGTCTAGCATTCCTAGAGAGCGCCAGGTTGGGGAACATCCCCACAGCAGCTGCCTGCCAAGGTGGAAATGAATTTTGAACCCTCCTGTCCTTAGCCAGTCCTCATTCCTCTGAGCATGCCTGCAGAAATACCGCCCCCCCGCCACACCCCTTCCCCTATTCTCATGATTTCTGCAACCCCTGCTGAAAATAGCCACATGTGGTCAAGGTTTCCCCCAAAAGTCATGAGGACTAGAAACCAATTTTCTTTCAGCATTGATATTTCAATTCTTAGTATTCTGGGTGGGCATCCTGAGATTGCATCCGAGTCACGCTGTATATTATGGGTTGTATCCTCTGCATTTGGAAGATTATAATCCAATAAGCTGAGACCTGGGCCTTGACCCAAGAAACATGGGTTCACACGCCATCACTGCAACAGAGTCACGATGTGGGTCAGGGCAAATCACACCCCCCATCTCCATTTCCCCCCACATAAAACAGGAATTAAGCTGTCTCATGGCCTGAGGAAGAGTTCCGCAGAATTTGAAAGCTGACAATTTTGTGGGATTTTGGTGTGTCCAAAGAGACTGTGGATTTGACATTTTTATGGCCACCTTTGTGGCTGTGGATGTGTACATTATGCATGATTTAATTGCAAATTAAAAGGGCCAATGTGCAACAGAACTTCATCCCCTCTGTCCAGAGGGTTCCGAGAAGGGAGCAAGCAAATCCTGACCTCCAAGGCCCTCCCGCCCTGCCCCATGATCCCACTCACGTTTGGGGCATAGAAGGCACCATAGCAACCACTGCAGAAATGGTGTCTGCACTGGGAACACTGGAAATGCATGCAGCCTCCGCGGGCCAAGGCGTAGGAGAACTTGCACTTGGGGCACGCTGGAAAGGAGAGAGAATTTAGTGGGTGGCGAGAGGGAGGGAGGGAGGGAGGGACGGACGGACGGAAGGAAGGACTGAAGGAAGGAAGAAAGGAAGGAAGGATGGAAGGAAGGACTGATGGACTGAAGGAAGGAAGGACTGAAGGAAGGAAGGAAGGACTGAAGGAAGGAAGGAAGGAAGGAAGGAAGGAAGGAAGGAAGGAAGGAAGGACTGATGGAAGGAAGGAAGGAAGGATGGATGGACTGAAGGACTGATGGACGGAAGGAAGGAAGGACGGACTGATGGACTGAAGGAAGGAAGGAAGGAAGGAAGGAAGGAAGGAAGGAAGGAAGGAAGGAAGGACTGATGGAAGGAAGGAAGGAAGGAAGGAAGGAAGGAAGGAAGGAAGGAAGGAAGGAAGGAAGGAAGGATGGACTGAAGGACTGATGGACGGACCAAAGGAAGGACGGACTGATGGACTGAAGGAAGGAAGGAAGGAGGGAAGGAAGGAAGGAGCAAGCCACTTGGGGGGTTATTCTGGCAGCCCCCAGCAAAGCCCCCAGCCTGAAGAGGCCTTCTTTGCCCCAGCCGGAATTCAAGACCCATTCAGTCTCTTCCCTCCCGCTCTGCTCACCTACCTGCCCCATTTCCCTGGGGTCGCTCAGCACCTATGCCTGAGAGTGCATTATTCCGACCCCCCTTTCAAGCCCAGGCAGCTGGCTCTCCAGGAGCCAGGATAGATGGACACGGAACTCAGCACTGTCTGCAACGAGTTCAGGCGTGCCCGGAAGCCACACACCGGGCTCTCAAAGTGCGGGGGGGGGGGGGGACACGGACGGGGGCTCCTCACCGATCCCATTCTCCTGCAGGTACATGGCCAAGCCCTGTGCCTGGTACTCCGGGTCATTGGTGCGCTTCCACTCCAGGAATTCTTCGCAGGACAGGCCCTGGTGCTGAGGCTCCCACTGCGGCCAAAGGAAGAGGAAAAGAATCACGCGGGTTTCCCGCCCTTGCATGGGGGAAGAGGCCAAGTGGAAAGAAGGGTGTCTGGGCAGGGAAATATCCCCTCGAAGCAGCCATCTTGAGGAAGGGCCTTCTTGTTGGTGGCACCCTGTTTGTGGAGTACTCTCCCCAGGGAGGCTCACTCAATGCTTTTGGGGACTGTTTGGGTCTCTTTTTGAGCCACTGGTTCCCTCTGGAAGCTGGGGCTCTTGAATGTGGACACAGGGCCAACATCTGGTCACACCGCAAGAACAGAAGCTGGGCTGGGCACTGACAAGCAGAATGGTTTGGTTTGGTTATTTTATTTTATTTTAAATTTTTGTATACCGTCTGCTACCAAATGGTCTTGGGACAGTCTTACGATAAAACCAAGTGGAGCACAACATCTGTTCTATATAGTAAAAACCCACTTAAAATCTCAGTCTAAACATTAAAATACTGGGAAAATAGAAAGGTTTTGGCCTGGCACCGGAAAGAGTCAAGTCTTGGCTCCAGGTGAACCTCTCTGGGGCGTGTCTTCCATGACCCAGGTGCCACCACAGAGAAGGCCCTTCTCTGGGTAGCCACCCTCCTGATCTCCGTCACAGGGGGCTCCTGGAGAAGGGCTTCCAACCCAGATCTTAAGGTGGGGGCAGGCACAGAGGGAAGGAGGAGACGCTCCTTCGGAGGCAGAAGAGACTCAAGGGTCCCTTCCTACCACCAGGGGAAGGAGGCAGGTCTGCCCACCTCCGCAAGGGAGCCTCAAGTGCCTTCTCTGTGGGAAGCCAGACGTGTGGCACGGGCGAAAGGTGCCCCCACACACCAGTCAGCCCCGTGGCGCCTCACAATGCTCCCACGATTGGCTGCTGTGCCGAAACCCAGGACGGCGGGGCCTCCCTCCCGCCTCCCTCGCCACTGCCCCCAGGACGCGCCACGCACCTGCCGCTTGCATTGGACGCAGAAGCTCTTGCGGCACTGCGGACACTTGGCCTCCAGCTGCTCGGACTCGTAGATGAAGCCGAAGGAGCACTGGAGAGAGGGAGGAAAGGGGAAAGGTGGCTTTCCTTCCGTGCTCAGAGGCCTCCCTGGCTCCCCCTCACCCGGCCCGGCGGGCACTTGACACAACTGAAAAGCAGGCGACGGACGGGCAGGCGAGACTCGCATCCCTCGGGAGACCAGCCAGATCTGGTGGTGCCACCTGGCAGAAAATCGGCTAAGCACACCTTTGGGAATGCTTTTAATTTGTTTATTCCATTCAGGGATAAAGGCACACGAAGCCGGGGTGTTCAGTGCAGGAGGGAAGCCGCCCGAACCACAGGACACCCTGCAACTCTCTCCGCCGTCTTGCCCAGCCAGCCCCCTCCAGATGTGCTGCACAACAGCTCCCATCCTGCTGGGTGGGGATGATGGGAACTGAAGCCCAACCCATCAGCCTGCAATGCCCCCGAAGCAGCCATCCCTCCACGGAAGGGCTTCCAAGGCCAAGCCTGCAGCGATGGGACTGCGGGAGCAGAATTCACTGGCTGGTTAGTTAGTTAGTTATTTCTCTCTCTCTCTCTCTCCCCACCTCCACTCCTGCCTTTTTCCTGCAAAGGGCTCAAGGCAGCTTACATCATTCTCCTCCTCCATCTTACCCCCACAACAACAACCCTGTGAGGTAGGTTGCGCTGAGAGTCTGTGACTGGCCCAAAGTCACCCAGTTGGCTCCACGGCCGAGCGGGGACTCAAACCCGGATCCTCTGAGTCCCAGGCCCACACTGTTAACCACTACACCACACTGGTTTGATTCCAGTTGCTTCGTGCCCAGAGAGACCAGGCTGTGCTCCGCGCCCCAACGTCCCAGTGGGCACGGCTTGCCCTCTGGGGCCTTTTACCCCCACTGCCTTCTTTCCTCGCATGCAGCGCCTTTCTCGGTCAACTGAGAAGCACCACAGACTCAAGCTGGCTCCTTGAAGCCAAATCGGAGAGAAATGCAAGCCGTCTCGAGGAAAGCGTTTTCCTTCCAAATCAAGGCCAAGCTCAGGAGGGGGAAATTTTGCGGGGCTTCTGCTTTTCCCTTATTCTACCCTGGACCGGGACCGCCCCAAGCAAGCCGGGGGGAAAGCTGCGTGCCCGGCCCATCCTTGCAGTCACGCTTGAAAATGGCCACGGCAACGAACTTTGCATTCCTCGCACGTCCTTCCTGTCCCCGTTTTTCTGCACATGCTCTTGTTCGCTCTGGACAGAAGGGCTGCCTGAGCTGCTTACTCACGTGTGTGCACCACTGAAACTTTGGATCCCGCATCAGGACTCGCTCGGTCAGCTTCTTGTGGAAGAGTTCGTAGGTCTCCGTGTCCAAGCAGCTGCGCAACTGCAGGGCGGGGAGAGCGATGATTAAAGAAAGCAGAATAAGGGGCAACAGACCGAGACGTTTCAACCTACTTTTCAGAAGAGCAGAAAGAAGAAAAGAAACCAAACGGACCCCCCAAACGAGTTAAAGAAGCAAGGAAAAGAAACTAAAGGGAGGCAGATGTATTGGGCACCTCTAGAGTCTAGAGTCTCTCTCACTGACCCGAACTTTTGGGATCAGTGGGAAGAGTTGGAATTCGAGTGTCGTGGGCGCTTCCACAAAATGGCAGCGACGGTGGGCCCAGCCAGTCGCAAAATACTTGCTTCTCAGAAGGCAAGCTGGTGAGACTCACAAGCCCCAGGACTTAAGTCCGAGGCAGAAGTAGGGCCTCAGCTCCCAAGCAAAAAATGGTTCTTTTGCACCCTCATGACATAAACAACAACATCTTTATTTTTTATTTTTTTTGAGGCCAGTTGAGGCTGTGTGTCCAGCAGGCACGAAAAAGAGGCCTGAGGGAACATGGCCCCACAGCAGCCAGGGCAGGTGACGAGAGGGTGGCCACTTGCAAGCTCAGGGGCCCACATGGCCTGTGGGGAGGACCTGAGGTCGTGCACCCCATGGCACGAGGCCCATTTTCCCCAAGGAGCCACACAAGATGTGCCTCGTCCACCCCACGGTGGGACGCAGCATCACGAGAAGAAGGGGGCGCATCTTTTGCTGAGGCCCACGTGGTCCAAAACAGCACAGGTGTGACGGGCCGAGCATCACGCCTCTCTGAAAGACCACCTGTACTTTTGGGGGTTCCCCCCGCCTCAGTTTCTCCCTGTGCAAAGTGCGGGCAGTGGGGAAAGAATTAAAAGTGAAGCAAAGGTCTGGGAAACGGGCAGCAGGGTGGGCACAGTGCACAACTTGTGCGGGAGTCGGCATGCGGGGGAGGCGAGGAATTTGGGAGAGGCCTCTGGCGTCCGAGCGGCAGGAGGGGAGGCGTCCTCAGGCACCTGGATGTCCAGCGTGGAAAAGTAGTTGAGCAGCTCCTTTTCGTCACTGATCTCGGGCTCGGAGCAGGCGGGACACACGAGGTCCGTGATGTGCTTCTCTTTCACAGCGATGGTGAAGTGCAGGGCGAAGCACTCCGGGCAGATGGTGCACTCACACGAAGTCAGAGACTGCATCTGAAAGCGAAGGGGAGGCCCTGTCGGAAGAAGCCACACTGCCCACCCGTGGCCAGCCGGGCCCCTCCGGGAAGCCCAGCTGCCCCGGAAGGACCCTACCCGCCAGCCGGTTCCCCTTCCTTTCCCAGCAGCCTGGTTTGCACACTCTGGCAAACCATTTGCGCATTCCCCACGAAGCATCGGCGTCGAACCCCGATCGAGGCCACGGGGCTGTTGCAATGAGCACCGCGGGGCCAGAGATGCCCCCATGTGCCGTCGTATCGAAAGAGGCGTTTCGCCCTTGCAGAAGGGAGGAACTTGGTCATGCAAAAGCTGAGCGATGGCCAAACGGCTGGCAGTTCATGGAACGGGCGCCACGACCCTCCGAGGAACTGCGGGGGCTGGCCTTGGCCCGGGGGGCACAGGGCTGGCTCCCGGGGCCCAAGGACGGAAGCTGCGGGGCGGATCCGGCGGTACCTTGTTGCGAGGCAGAACCAGGCTGCAGACGGCACACTCCCAGCTCAGCAGGCGCTTGATGAAGTCGCGGCTCGGGGATGCCTTCACGGCCTCCACGATATCGGCCAGCTCCAGGCCCCCCTCAGCCGGCTGCTCCAGCACCAGGGAGACCACCAGCTCGGCCCGGCCCCAGCTGGGCAGGGAGAGCGAGGCCAGGAGGCGACGGAGCAGTGCCTGGAGAGGAGAGGAGAGGAGAGGAGAGGAGAGGAGAGGAGGGGGGCTGGGAAGGCGCTGGGGCGGCCGTCGGGGGGCCCTTTCGCAGGCCTGGCTCACCTGCCGATCGGGGCTGTGGAAGTCGATGGGGGGCTCCTCGCTCTCCCACAGGCGCTGGTGGAAGGGCTCCAGCCGCTGGCGCTGCAGCTGCACCAGGGCCCGCCACAGGTCGCCCTGGTTCTGGTACAAGGCCTGCAGCACGGGGCCCCGCTCCTCGAAGCCCAGCGCCTTCAGCTCCTGCACCTGCGCGGGAAGAGGCACGGCCACCTCACAACCCTCCCCGGAACAGCCGCTTCCCCGCACCGCTCCGGCCTGCCCCAAGCACTAGCCGTCAGCTCGAAGGGCACTTGGCCCATGCTCAGAGGCACTCCGGTCGTTTGGTGTAACTTGGCACGGTGACCTAAAGGAACCAGCCTTGAAGGAGGGGGTCAGGAACGTGCCCTCCTGCCCCCAGCCGGACCGCAGGACTCCCCTCCGTCCCCAAAGTTGCCACTCTCTGTTTTGCCCCCGTTAATCCTTCCTGCCCTGAAAAAGCCCCGCCTGCCAGTCAGGCTCCTCCCTCCCTCCTCTAGAAGCCCCCAGACCCATGTGCCCGAGCCACGCTGGGCCATCGCTCCCGCCACGGGCCGGGGTCTGCCCCCCACCCCGGCAAGACCCTCCCCGCGGGCGTCCCCCGCCCTCCCCGCTCCCGCCAGCCGCCCTGCTGACCGTTCTGCGCCGCGCGCTCAGGCACTGCCGGACGGCGTCGTCCACGTCTCCCTGGCTCGCCACCCAGGCGGCCCGGACCTCCTTGCAGGTGACCACGCCGAGGCCGCCACCAGGCTCCTGCTCGCCTTGCTGGGTGGCCAGCTCGGCCACCCCCTCCAGGACGCAGGGCAGCTCCGAGTGCAGCCAGGCCAGCGGCCGCTCGGCCCCCGAGTAGTGCAAGGCCGCCGCCACCAGCTCGGGGGCCACCCCTGCCGCCTCCGCCTCCTGCATGGGGAAGACACCAGCCGGCCGCGTCAGCTCAGGGGCCAGCGGCCGCGGACAGGGGCCGGGGCCGGGGCGGGTCAGAGCACGGGGGAAGGAGCCGGCCAAGGGGGCCGCCCAGCCGTCGCCCCGCGGCCTGGTCTCTGCACCGCAGCCCAGTGCCCTGAACCCTTCATTCAGCTCCCGGAAAACACTGGCAATTCCACCGGGGATCGGTGGCAGACGGGGGAGAACCTGCAACTATGCCTTTATTTCCCGCCCTTTCTCCTTCCGAGTCAGCTCACCTAATTCTCTTCGTCGCCTTCTTATCCTCACAACAACAACCCTGTGAGGTAGGCTGGGCTGAGAGTCTGTGACTGGCCCAAAGCCACCCAGTGGGGAGCCATGGCTGAGCAGGGACAGAACCGGATCGCCTGAGTCCCACACCTGTAACCACTATGCAACTCTGCCTCTCACAACTGCACACACCCCCTCCTGCCCTTGCAGGACTGAGGACCCCTTGGGGCAAAATTAACTTCCAGGGGTCCTTTGCGGGACCAAACCGTGGGACACAATTACTCAAGGGCAACCCCGGACCTTTCTTTGTGGTGTGTCCTTTGGGAAACTTCATGTCTGGGAAATTTCAGCATCTTTGCAAAGGCAGGTTGCCCCAATCTGACGCCTTCAGGCTGTGCTGGACCCCAGCTCCCATCATCCCCAGCCTGCATGGCCATCTGCGGGCAGCTACTCATTTGGGAAATCTGCCTTTCCGGGGAGAGGCGGCTCGGCTCACCCGGATCATGGAGACCAGCTTCTGCCCGTCCTCACGCAGCTTCTCCTGCCTCCGGTGCTCCGCCTCCTCGTGGGGGATGGACGAACCCTTCCACAGACTTTTGGGCTCCGCCGCAGCCTCGTCAGGCCCCTTCCTCAGCCATTCAGCCGCCTCTTTCTCCGGCGGCGCACGTGGGTTCGGGGGCTCGGGGGCCCCTCGTGAGCTGGTGCGGTTGCACATTTCGCAGACCCGGCCTCGGATGTTGTTCCAGAAAGTGCAGTGCTCACACTGCCAGCCGGGGGGCTGTCGGGGGGAGGAAGGGGTTCACTGCGCAAGAATGGGGTGGGCTGGGCAGCACCGAACCTCAGCGGTTGTGTGGATGCAGCCCCCATCACCCATCATCCAGGGGAACCATCTTCCAGTATTATCTTCTCAAGCCTGTAGCGGGCCGACTTAGCACGGAAGAGACATTGGGGGACTCAAGCCCTCAGGTCCACAAGCCAAAGATGGCCTGGCTCAATCCCACATGGAGTTCTTAAAGAACCCAAACATGAAATAGCTGCTCTTTTAACAAAAAATATATAGCAAACTCTGGGCCAGAGGATCGGAAAAGGCCCTTGTAATTCCATAAAAAGGAGTCTGAGAAATTACAATTTCAGCTAGAGCATGGTTAAAAATAAAACCAGTAAGCACACAGGAGGACAAGCCCTGCTGAAAAAGGACCATTGTGTTTTCCCAAAAATTAATTCCTGTTTCATATCTGCTGAGAGCGTCCATAAATATGTGGAAAGGGCTGACTCAATTGGCACTGTTTTCTTGGACTTCCAAAAAAATTTCAGCGAAGTCTCTTGCCAAATATTCCTGCGTGAATTTAGCAGTCGAATTTAGCAGAGATCCTCTAACGCATCATTAACTGGTTACTCCTAAATGACTTGGAAATAGGAGTGAGCAGCAAGATGGCCAAGTTGGCCAAGGACACAAAATTATTTAGGGCGTTTGAAACAAAAAGCTCTTGCCAGGAGCTCCAAAAGGATCTCTCCAAACCGGAGAACGGGTGTTAAAAAGGCAAATGTGCTTCAAGGGCCACGAGTAGAAAACCTCCCACTTCAAGAATAAACTGATGGGATCTGAGCCGACAGGGACTGACCAAGAAAGAGACTTTAGGATTGGGGTGGCCAGTTGAATAAAACTGCTCTGAAAAGGGCCACCACCGGGAAAAGAACCGAAACTAAAACCAAGCTCATACTGCCCTTCCGCAAACCTCCAGCACAACCGAAGGCCTGGCTGCCCTTGAGAAAAACCTCGGCCTGACCCACCCGTCGTTCGCCCGATGCACAGGCTCACCTCTTCCTGCTGCGCCCCGCTCTCCTCGCCCCAGGCGATCAGGGGCTTGGCGTCGCCCGTGCCGGGCCGCCCCGCCAGCCGGGGCCTCTCGCACACGGCGCACAGCACCGTGGCCCCCTCGTTCACGAAGGTGCAGGACTGGCAGGCCCACTGGCCCCGGGCCAGGCTGCCCAGCTCGTCCTCGCAGTGCAGCGGCGTCTTGCACCCGCGGGGGCGGTCGCAGGCCGCGCACAGGACGGCGCGGGCGTCGTTGACCACGTGGCAGGCGGCACAGCGCCAGGGCAGCCGCTGGGCCGGAAGGCTGCGCCAGGCGGAGAGGAGGGACTCCATCGGGGGACGCAGGGAGGCGGCGTCGGCGGCCACTCCGGAGAGGCTGCGGACAAACCAGAACGCTGCCCTTAGCGAAGAAGTCGGCCGCTGATCGAGCGGGTGTTATAAAAGGGGAAAGCACTCCAGCCAGCAAAAGATTCACTGCAATTTCGGAAGGGGGGAATGTCCTGAAAGAATGTCTGGAGGAGTTTTTCTTTCTGTAACATGCACCCGACGGTCCTGGTGGTGGGGGACACAGAATCTTTAAGATTTGTTTGAGTTCTATGCTTCATCTTGTACGTTTTTCTTTTAGCTGTACTTTTCTAGTTGTATTTGAGACAGGCAGGGAGAAAATTGGCCAAGCTTATGGGAGCCCTAGACCCATACCAACCTTTCCCATAATGCTTCATTCCACTGGAAATAAAAAGGACTGCTCCCTGGATCCCCCAAGAAAGCAGAGCATTCTGGGATACCATCCTGCAGGTCCTTCCCTTTGAGAATGTAACTCTGAATGAACAAGGCCAGGCAAAGGTAACATGCAGGGCCAGCCCTCCGACAATTGCCTCAGGCAGCAGATTTGGTGGGTCAGAAAAGCAGCAAATTATTGCATCACTTACTGTCTTCTTACGGCCGTCCAACTGCCGGGGACGGGAGGAATTGTGGGATTTTCAGGCACAAGTATGTGGCCAACTTTGGGTACAAGACAACCTGAGTTAGGCAGCAAACAACTCGGTCTGGCCAGGATGAGAAGGGATGCAAGCAGAGGGGCTACCTGGGAGGTGGCGGAGGTGGCGGGGGACTCCAGCACGCCTGGTCCTTCAGGGGCATCCGGTGGTGATGCGTCCGTGAAGGGTGCTTGTGGAAGAGGGAGTCACAGTCGGGGCACAGAGACTGAACGCAAGAGGGGCAGTGCAGAGACGGGGGCTCCAGGCCACACAGCTGGCAGGTATCTGGAGACAGGTAGCCTGCTGGAGGGGGCAGAGGGAGAAAAAATCAGGCGGGATCTAATCCAGACCTTTGCCTGTTCCACGTCCCCAGATCTTGGCCAAGAAAAGTCTAAAAGGTGCCGTCTACAGACATCAAGCAAATCGGGACACGTTTGCAGAGAGGCCAAAGAGCGGTACCCAAATGTCTACGCCCGCATTTAACTTTCAAATTTCAAGGAGCGTATGCAAAAAGGTCTTCCTAGTTTGCATATTTAAAGGTGCCTCGGCCTTCACTAGGAGACGCCACTCATAATTAACTCAGAAGCTGCCTCTTTCACCAGGAAGAGCCTTTCTGCACCCGCGCGGCACTACGTCACCTGTGTGCGATAAAGCCGAGTGCGTTTGCTGAGGCATGCGTTCTTGGACGGGGAAGACGTCAGCCTTGAGACTGACCTGGAAAGAGAGGAGGAGGAGGAGGAGGAGGAGGAGGCCTAGCTAAGCTCCCCCAGACTCAGCCGGTGCCATGCATCCCTCCCTCAGCTCAAGGCCATGCTCTGCGGCCCACCTGCGGCCACCCCGGGGGAGAGACGGGAAGGTGCCGAGTGCGAACGCAGGCACCCTCCTCCCGACGGTGCGTGAGCTGCATGCGTGTGTGAAAAAGCTTTCCAGTGTTGGTACTGAAAGCAAATCCATGGGATGAGCAGATGGCCAAGGTGCCCTTTCCCCTTCATTCTAAGTGACTCCCAATCCCATCAGCCCCAGTCACCCTACCCCATGGTCAGGGATGCTGGGAGGTGTAGTGCAAAGCAGCTCCGACACCTTACCAAGGGTGTCCAGAGACATTCTGCTGCCTAAAAGGACTGTCCCTGCCATGGACAGTCAGACAAATGGACCTGCCTCGGACAGGTGGGACGCCCCCTGCAAGGCACCTGAAGGCCTCGGGCTGATGGAGGAGGTGCTGGACATGGGGGTGCCTCCCCCACCAGGCCTGGCTGTCCCTCCCTGCATGTTGCCCGGCGAAAGCGCTTCTCTCCGCCTCCAGGCAGGGCCAGCCCTGCTCCCGACTCACCTGCATCCTGTTCCCTCCCTGCATCAACTCGTGCAAAATGTGTGGATTGGGGTGATTGTCCTAAAGGGGAGAAGGCTCATGAGTGGTCGCCACATCACTGCAGGGACCGTTCAACGTCTTCCTCCCACGTGACCCAGAGCTCCTTGGCGTCGGGGGCCCACCTTACCGAAAGGAGAAGGTTCAGTTCCGCCCGTAACAGGATGATGTCCACCGTGATGGAGGCCACGCGGAGGGTGTCTGGTTCCTGCAAGTGCTCGGGGAAGCACAGCCCGTCCGTCTGCTCTTCCGAATAGCCATAGAGGCGCAGAACGTCCCGTCCACCCTGCCAGAAATGCGGGACACTCACTCGGAAAACAGTGGGAGCGGGTTGGCAAGTATGGCAGAATTGGGCCCACCCTTTGGATCCGTGCCGAATTTCCCCACAGGCTGGATTGTGCAAGGGTGGCCCTGCCTGGGAACGGGGCCTTATCTGCCGTGGCCCCCTTCTCTATAGCACATGCTGCCAAAAGAGGCTGGCCAGGTTTATTCTGCTGCAGCTTTTCATAACATTATAAACAAATGGGAAAGAGGGGAGGAAGGCCACGAAATTGGGCAGTGTCCAAAAACCCAAAACCGAAATAGGAACCAAGTGGGGAAGCATTTCACAGAGAGGAGGGGGTCGCCACTGAAAATACCCCGTCTCTGTCACTAAATGCTGTGCTTTGGTTGGCAAGGACAACTAAAGAAGAACCGCTGATAAATGACCTGAATATAAAGGGAAGCTGATGTGCAGCTGGTCCCAAACAGAGAAAATATTTATACAGCTTCCCCTGTTTTTGACACTTCACCCCGCATCCCTCGATGACCTCGTCCAGCTGTTTTCTAGCCATTTCTAGCACTTTCCGGTCATTTCCACTATTTCGTCCCTCCCCTTCCCCTCCACCCAGCTTGGGGTCTGATGCAGAGTTTCCTCTTACATGATTAAAAATGGAAGACAAAATAAAACATAGAGGGGAAAAAGTCAGGATGGGAATATGGTTGCCAGAGGGGGTGGACAGGAAGGAGGGGTGTCTCTCTCACCTGAATGGTGTCCACCGTGTCCCGGAAGACGGGGTTGTTAAACTTGACGGTTCTCCAGAAACGGGGCTTGTGGGGGTTCAGTAGGTTGCGCCCATATTTTTCCAGGATGTTCAGGGCAGTGGAAAGTGTTTGAAGGTCTTTTGGGGTCTGGGCAGGGTTTGGAAATGTGGGGAAATCGCTAATCAGACATCTCTTGGAGAGGCGTAGTGCGGCCCCTCTAAATCCCACAGTGCTATGCCAAACTCTCAGGCAACTGATCTCTGAGACTTCCCAGAGAAGCACCTCCATCATCAACCTCATCAGCTAGAATCTGGATGGCCCAGGAGGCCCCTTCTGACTTGCGCTGTTTCTGTGTTTCTCTCTTATCTTAAGGACTAGAACCTTGGAATTGTTTGCTTTTCTAAATGGAAGCTCACTTTCTCAGGATGCTGTGCCAGCAGCTACTCAGTTCTGCCTCTGTGCAATGCACAGTATAAACCCACACATGCCTGATCATTAATATGTATTGCACTAGCATTAAAATGCACATACAAACACACACACACACATTCCTTTCCATCTGCTCCAACCAAACTCCCGGTATCATAAGCAAACACCTCCTGACTTTCTTTCTGCTGTGTAGGTAGGAGGTTAGCCTCCATTCTGCATCTCGGCTAGTTTTCCTGTCTTGCCCAGGCCTGTTTGGCAGCTACGCTACAGGCAAACATCCCACTGGTAAAGCTTCAGCCAGTTGAATTTCTGCCTGTGAGGCAGTGGCTCAAAACACAAGAACTGCTTCAGGGTGGAAGGGGGCAGCCTTGCCTGTCCTGTCTCCCCGTGCACCAAACTGTCCCCCCAATATCAAACCCCTTTCTGCCCCCCAATTTCCAGACAGGCACCCTCCCTGTGCGACCGCTCACCTGCCCCTGGATGTTGGCTTCTACGATGCCTTTCGCGTTGATCTCTTGGTACTTCTGGGCGGGCGGCAAGGCCAACTCCACCAGACGCTGCACAGCCTCGGGGTTCTGGTATGTGCAGCTTTCAATCAAGGCACTGACCAGCTCAGCCCGAAGGGACAGGAACATGCCCTCCATGGCAGCCCAGGCCACACTGGGATCCCCGGCTCTTTTCTCTGTTTAGATATGCAAAGAAAAATATATATTGTCTTCCTCCTTTGAAGCTGCCACCAGATTTTGTTTTGTTTTGTTTTACAAGAAAAGCATCTATAAATAAATATCTACAGGATCAGCAGGGATGGGCTTGTTTAAGGTTAAAAATAAGAAGTCTTCCACTGGGGATATTCCCAACCTTTCTCAGGCATCGAGCCTGCACTTCTAAAAACTAATAATTGCTTCCTTCCCCGGACAAAACGCAGGCAGGGGGGCCTGTCTCCCGGGAACTAACAAGCCCCCTTCCCAAACTGGAGACCCTGGCTAGCGATAACGCAGCCTCGGCAAATCACGGGGACACCGAGCTGGGGACCGCGGGCGCAAGGAGGGGCACACGCCAACCGGGAATCCTAGGCGGGTCTACTCGAGAGCAAGCCCCATGGGGAGCACGGGGTCCTACTCCCAGGAAAGCGGGGGCAGGGGGGATCGCGGGGGCGCGGGCGGGGGCGCAGCGGCTCCTTTCGCTTTCTTTTCCCCTTTGCGCGCAAGGGCAACGCGCACTGCAGGGCTGCGACCGGGCGCCGACGAGAGCAGCCGCGCGTGGATTTGAAGCGGGGGGCGAGGGGCCCGCGGGGGGTCGTACCTGGCTGGGAGGGGGGTCGCTCTCATGCCCCGCGGGGCCGTCCTGCCACAGCTGGAGGCAGCGGGCGGAGGGCGGAGGGCAGCGGGCAGGAAGCGCAGGGCGAGCCGCGGGCCACCCCGGGAAGAGAGAGACTCCCGGAGCCGCGGAGGAAGAACTACAAGGGCGGCTGGCGCTCGAGGGAGGCGGCGGGAGCGAGTTCCTCTGGCCATGCGCAGAGCGCCTTTCGCCGCCTTACCGGGGAAAGGACTGGCAGCCCGTCCCGCCACGATGGCGGGTTGGGGCAGACTCCCGCGCCCGCTCGCTCGGCGCCCTCCAGATGCGCCGGACCACAACTCCCAGCATCCCCCATGCGGTGCCCAAACGCTCTTTCCAGTGGGAAGGTCTTGGTTCCATTTCCAGTTTAGGAGCGCGGCTGGGGACTACGGGGAGTTGTGGTCCGACACATCTGGGGGGGCGCTAAGCATGTGTGCACGTGGTGGTGGTGGGGGGTTGTACAGCAGTGGAGTCCCAATCGGACTGGAGGATGCTGGGAGGTGTAGTCCAAGGGTCTGCGGGCAAAAAACGTCGGGGCAGAGCCCTCAAACTCGGGGTGCTGCGTGGCAGCCTGGGGCGCAAAGGCAATTGAAATGAAAATAAAGCCGGGTGGGGGTCCCGGGCTGGCCGCCCCCGCCCCCCGCAGGTCCTCCGCGTCTTGCAAGCCTTGCAAACTGCCCACTTTTGGATGAGGTTCACACGTGCAGGGGGTGGGCAGGGGTCGGGGTCTGTGCCCCCCCCCCATGCACGGACGCCAAGGACGCCCTTCGCCCGGGAGAGGGCGAGGCAGGAGGCGCGGAAGGCGCCGCGAGGGCGGAACGTGTGAAGGCGAAAGTGAAAGCGACCCGGGCTTCGCCGCGCGGCCTGCAGGTCCTCGAAGGGGCGTCTCCGAGCCGACTTGATTCTCCCTGGAAGCCCCCTGTCCGCCCAGCGGCACCGGCACCGGCACCATGGCCAAATCCTGCACCGCCATCCACGTCAGCAAGGAGTCCCAGGCAAAGGTGGGCGCGCTCTCGGGCGCAGAGGGGCGGGTGGGCGGTGGATCCAGAGCCAGGAGCCTCATGAGCCTGAGCAACAAGTGCTCCCCCAAACACGTGCAGAGTGCCCGCCCCGGTGAAACAGACCCCTTAACCCGCATGCCCTCCTGATTCTTACGTTTCAGGCACGCGGGAAGCTCTTTTGGGCAAAGGCAGCAGGCTGGGGTTCCTCGCGCGGGGTGGGGTGGGGGGAGGCAGTCTGCACATGCTCAGGTGTGACTTCAGCGACTGTGTCCCCCTCTCAGCCAAAAGCAGGCTCTAAAAAGGCTGACCCCCGGTGGCATCTCTGGGCCAAGACAAAGCCTACTTTCGAAGAAGGTGGAGCAAGCTGACAATATAGAAAGAATCTTGGGGCATTTTCCCATTGAATTCAGTGGGTCTGACTCTCAGGAAAATGGGGCATATTTAGACCCTTCATGGGGCTTAAGCCTTTCCATGTGTTTGGGCACCAGAAGACAGAGCTGTTTCTTTCCATTGCAACAGGATTCAACCTGCAAGAAAGAGAAGGTCCTACAACACCCTACACACGCACAGAACTGTGCTCTAAATTTCTCTTCTGTGTGAAGGGATGAGTGTCATTTCCAATTTAGGAGTCCATTGCAATTTTTAGAGGAAAACTTGCAGAAAGGTGGATGTGAGGTTGTGTTCTGCTGGGACCACCTGTGCACAGATTCCCTCCAAAAAGCCCCAATTCGTTTGTGTCCTTGGTCTCATGCCCACACCCAGCCCCAAGGAATTCCCCTTCTTGTCTGTAAATGATTAGCATAGACTGGTACAGGTTTTAGGGAAAGGTTTTTGTTTTCTTACTTTATGGGAAGGACTTGAAGTCAATATTACAATATACTGGTTTATTCCTGGATCTCTCTGGATCTTAAAAATATAAGAGCCTTGCAAAATCAGACACACTCTACATTTTTATTTTTGTCCCTGTGGTAACAAGACAGTAGTTACTTCCGGTCTGTTTGCAGTCCTTACTTGTTTAAAAGTATTAAGATATCAGCCATTTCCCCAGTGATCCTCCAACATGAAGATTCCCTTTTCTGCAGCATCTACACATCTGACATAAAAATGTTTTCATAAATAAATAAAATAAATAAAATTTCAATATGTAAATGTGATGTTTATAGGAAGATTCCTAAACTTGTAAGCAATTTATCCAGCAATGTAGGACAGATCATTTTCCAACCTGGAAAGTATTCAAGGAAATAGCTCCAGCAGTTTCCTTTTTTCCATGGAAAATTTGCCATGCATATAAGGTGCAACCCTATACTGGAAAAGGCTTGTCTGAGGAGCTGTAACAGGAGGGTGGAACTACTTTAATTAATTAATTAGATTTATATCCCACTTTTTTCTTACAAACTCAAAGTGGCTCACATCAGTCTCCTGAAGCTTTCAATCTTATCCCCACAACAACAACCCTGTGAGGTAGGTCAGCCTGAGAAGCAGGAACTTTCAGTGTGCTTTCCTAGCCCTGTATTCCTGCTGAATGATTGATGCAGCTCCTTTTGGCTACTGGGAAAAAGACTTGTTGTGTGTTTTTTTTAAGTTTTGCTGCCTGATCAAGCCTAACCCCAATTTGTTTAGGACATAACACAGAGGGAGTTATGAATCAAGTTTTCCCCACATTGCTGGTGACCTTTTTATTTAAACGTCATTTTAATTGTTAACAATATTTACTTATTTATCTGGCCAGGGCGACTTCTTTTCTTTTCTTTTCTTTTCTTTTATAACTTTTCTTTTATAACTTCTTTTATATCGTTTATATTTTTATTTTATATTATTAATTTTAATTTTATATTGTTATTTTTGTATTGTATTGTATTTTATTGTGTTGTAAGCCGCCCCGAGGCTTCGGCAAGGGGCGGCATAGAAATGTTCTAATAATAATAATAATAATAATAATAATAATATTCAGATTGGAGGCATGAAAGTGGGGGATAATATGAGAAACTGCAGAGAGGGGCTTGCACGAAATAGAAGGACAATTGTCTCGTCCTGCAAGACTTCTCTGGGGTTCCTGCTCAACCTCGGGAAGGGGTGCATTTAATCTTCTGCTTTAATTTCCCTAGATGGCGCTTTTCAGAGAGTCCCTTTTTAAAGAGGTAAGGTCTCCGCAGCACCATGATGCCTCTCCCACTTCTCACCCACCCCCCCTCCCCAAAACAGCTTCTTTCTTGCTTTTTCATTTCCCTGCTCACTTTGCAGGGTGAAGAATTTCTAGTCGCATTTTTGCCTAGGAAAATATCTCAACTGGATCAGTTTTTGAGGGTAAGAGAATTCCCCCACAAGTACCCGTTTAGACAGAGGCCTTTCCTTGGGATGGATTTATGTAATTCTCCCTTCTCCCCCCCCCTCCCCCATTTTAACACTGTCTCCTTTCCAGGAAGATTCAATGAACATCAAAGATTTGACTTCTCTCCGAGCGCCCTTGGATATCCCCATTCCAGACCCTCCACCCAAAGAGGATGAGGTGAGTTACTAAAGGGACCCTCCTGTCCCCTACCCCCAAGAACTCTCACCATGATCTGGAATAAAAGGACTGAAAGATCTTTCTTGTGTTTCCTGTTCAGATGGAGACAGAGAAAGAGGAAAAAGAAGGTGAGACGGGAACGGTGTTGGAAGACGGGGAAAAGGGTTGGCCCATGACGGGACCTTCCAGATGTGCTGGCCTTCCAATTCACAGCCGCCTTACTTCCACTCTGTCTCCCATTCCCAGCTCCAAAATGTGGTTTTCTGAAGGGCAATGAGACCATCATTGGGCTTTTGGATCGCGTCAAACCCGAAGTCAGGGAGTTCAAAGAGAAATGCATCTTGGTAAGCCGGCCAAAGCGCCCCCCTCCCCTTGCGCCTTTGCCGGGGGCCTGTCCTGGGCTTCCCAGCAGCAGTGTGACCGGCTGAAGGGTGTCTGGGTTCCCTTTTCAGCTTTTTCTTTCTGGTTCCTGTCAGGTCACCACCTGGATTCAGCACATGATTCCCAAGATCGAGGACGGCAATGATTTTGGGGTAGCGGTTCAGGTAGGAGAAGATGAGGCATGCAGAGAGAAATTTATCTTTCCCTCAGTCACTCCTCCCTGGACCCTACGTTTCTTTCCTTTACTTCCTGCAGGAAAAGGTCTTGGAACGGATCACAGCCCTGAAGACCAAGGCAGAGGCCTTCCAGACCACCATTGCGAAGTAAGCGGACAGGGTGGCGTGTGAGAGAAAGCAGGGCGGGCAAGGGGAGGCATCCCTGCGGCAGAGCATTGTGGGTAATGGCCACTGGCCCACCCTCTCCTGCCGGCAGTTTTCCGCGACTGAGCCGCTGTGCGGTCACATGAGAACACTTTGCTGTCGTCAGACTTGGTGGGTAAATCGTGTCCCTCTTGGGTAGCACGTGCTCCTTGGGAACCATGTTCAGGGGCATTGTGGGTAATATTCCTTTCCTCCCTGACGAGATGCACAGTGAGCAAGAGTGTATCCAAAGGGCAAGTCTGCTCTGGGAGACCAAACAGTGAGGTTCTGGTGCACTTGATGGAAAATCCCACACCGCTCCAATGGCCACTTGGCCCAAAGCATACTGGGTAATACACCTTCAGTATCCTCAGTACCTTGGAGGCATTATTATTATTATTATTATTATTATTATTATTATTATTAACATTTCTATGCCGCCCCTTGCCGAAGCCTCGGGGCTGCTTACAACACCCCTGATCGGCCATACCAGAAGTGGTCAGATATCACTGGATTCCCAACTCCCATCATCCCTGACATTTTGCCTTGATGGCTGGGACAGATGGGGGTAGAAGTCCAACAACGTCTGGAGGGCCGTGAGTTCTCCACCCCATGCTATGGATTCTTTGGCTGAATGCTGGATGGCTGCCACTCCTACAGTTGGCTACAGAGCTCTTCCGCCGTGACTCTCCACCTGCTTTCCTTTAATTTAGGTATTATTTGGAGCGTGGGGATGCTGTAGCCAAAGCGTCCAAGGAGACTCATGTGGTGAGTAATGAAGTGGAAATTCCACTCTTTCAGGATGACATCTTGTCTCTAATAAGCGGGACATCGGGAGATGAGAGGAGAAGAGAACCTTAGTCAACGTAACTTGCATGTTTAATTCTCTGCAGATGGATTACCGGTGCCTTGTTCATGAAAAGGATGAGGCCGTGTATCGTGAAATGCAGACCATTCTGCTGGATATCCGTGGCTTCTATGTAAGTAAGCGAGGAGGGCTGTGAGTGGTTTGTAACAGTGGAAGGCAGAAGAAAGTGGAAAGGGATGGAGCAAAAACGTGAAAGATCTCTCAGTGCTTCCATCTGCCTCCCCCCCACCCCTCAGGCTGAGCTGTACCACATCGTGAGCAAAAACCTGGAGAAATTAACCAACCCCAAAGGAGAAGAGAAGCCCTCCATGTATTGATGGTACGGGCCTTTTCCGGAGCCAGTGGCCACCAGCGCGGTCAAGCCACCTGCCTTCTTTTGGCTGTTTTGCTGTCCTGGTCGGTGAGGAGACAAGAGGAACAGAGATACCCCTGAATATATGTGTCACTATCTGACACGGAGCAAGAAGAAATAATAATAAAATAAGAGTGCTGATTTAGCTTCCCCTTGCTTCGCTTTTGCCCTGTTGATTTGTGCCTTACAAGAGTTCTGTGCCACTGAGTGTAATTGGACCTAGAAAAATAATGCCTGATTATCCCTGTTGTAAAGTTTTTGATAACCTCTTTAAAAAAGATGCTCTGATACTAAAACTACTGCACAGTCCATAGCTGAATGGGCCTTTCATGGAAATCAACAGTCTGACCTATTCCATCAGGTGTTTAGTCTAAAGAATTGCACACTCTCCCAAGGAACTCAGTAGCTGATGTTTGAAACAAGATGATTTTAATTCTTGTGTGCTGAATTGCTCTACAAATGGAGGTTGTGCCATTTGAATTCTTGTGATGCTTTTTAAAACATGCTAGTTAACAACAAGTCCTTGTTTTCTCCTTTTTCTTTGGGACCAACAGAGGAGATTGTTCACTTGGGCATATCAGTCATAAACATGAAAACAACCTCTTTCTCGTCTTGATCTTGATATTGGCTAAGGGTGTGACCCTATGCTTGTTCAGATGGGGAAAAGACCTACAACAAAGCTGGCTGGATCATGCTGGAAGTTGCAGGGCATTTGTCCATTTGAATATACCTGAGGACCAACGTGGCCACAGATAGTGGATTTATAAGAGGTGCTCATGTGTCATTTTGTCTCTTTCTTTGAAGCACCCAGTGGAGTGGGTATTGAATCTTTCACACCATGTTTGCCCAGTCAAAATGGCCCCGCAGTTGCTGTGGTCGGCATTAACCCTCCGGGTAGTGGAATTGCAGGATGCAAGTATTTTTTCTGCTTAGGCCTAACAGCTGCTCCAGAAGTGAATGGGAGTAAAGACCCATCTCCCAGCAATTGTTCCGAAGTTTTGGGGAGGGCATAAAGAAATCTGATGGTAGTGCTTCCATGTTAGGCTACCAAGAGGCCTACTTTTTCTGATACTGCAGGTAGCTCATAGCCAAAAACATGGGTAGCCCTTTCCACCACCAATTTGCCCAGTCCCCTTTTGAAGCCATGCCAGTTGGTGGCCAAGGGCCTGAGTCTAAGGCCAAGTGGCAGTGAATTCCATAGCTTAATTCCGTGCTGTGTCCTTCCTCATGTTTGTCCTAAATCCCCCACATAGTGATTTACACACAAGCCCCTTTGTCACCAGAGAGGGAGGAAGCCCTGCCTCACACCATATGTGCTGCAGCTGTTGCCATGCCACAGCCCTACCCAGCCAACACGCGCATACATGGGCTTCCCCAGTGTTGGATCACCGCTTGGTGAGGCATGTGGCCAACAGCCTGCATGAAATTCAACCGGTGCAGCTTCTGGTGAGGCGAACGAATTCGTTCCTGCACCGGGTGGGAAAGGTGGGGGGGGGGCGCATCTGACACACTTTACAGCCCTGATATTTTATCTTTGCAGGACAGAACCAACCTTCCTAAATTTTGTTTGCTGGCCTACAACTCCCATTAGCCTTATATAGGCCTGGCCTAGGGTGAAGGCTCATGGGAGTTGTAGGCAAAAAGAAAGCGAGACTCCCTAGTTATGCATTAGTGTCTGATATCCGAGTTTGCAGACAGTGGGGCCGCTCTGGGATGGAATTCTATGATTGTGGGAGGAACTAGTGACGGTCTAGCAACGCTTCAGAGCGCTTATTTCCATGTGTCCCTATGGGCGGAGGAGGTGGCACTCTAGGCCATGTTGCCTCCGTGGTTGAGGGACAGTCTAGCTTCAAAGACTTGGAAGAAAAGCACTCTATGGAGGAAGGGGTTTCTCTAGAGACCGGAAGTGTATTCGAAGGCCTTTCTATGGAAGTCCAATGAGATTGTATAAGAACGTGAAAGACGCAAAAGAGGCGGAAGTCTCTGATTTTAAAGAACTAACCAATCAGAACGCGGGGCGGCCTGTTACTGCGACCAATGACAGCGACAGCAGTGGCCTGAGGGAAAGAGCGCGCCAGGATTGGCTTTTAGCTGGCCAATCAGCGCTTACAGTGGAGAAGAGGGTGCTGCGAGCAGGGGGACTCCGAGCAGCAACGAGGTGGGCGAGGGGCCCGGGGGATCCCGGGGGATCCCGGGGGGGTGCAGCGAGCAACCTGGCGGCATCCACATGCGTCGGACTACAGCTCCCATGCACCGCTTTCAGCCTCCCGAACGCAGCGCCCTGCAGAGGTGTTGGACTACAACACCCATAATCCCCTGCCAGACACATTTCTAAGCAGGCCGGCTTTCTTGCCCGGGGAGGAGGCGGTATTCGTGACAGCTCGCTCGTGCAGGCCCTCTAAGCTCTTTCCAAGCCTCTAGACCTTTTGGGGACCTCGGGGTTAGGCGCGGGGGGGGTGGGGGAGGATTCCTTACAGCTCGTTCTTTCTTCCTCTTTGAAACACGTTCCAAGCCGCTAGATCTGCAAGCTGACCTCCTTCGAAATGTACCTTGGAGCATGGGTATTCCAGTCCTATATTAGGGTTGGGGTAATTAGCCAGTTAGGGTCAGGACTTGAAAATCTGAGGTTCCCACAAAGATGTAAAGAATTCAAACACGTCTAGAATGGGAAGGAAGAGTGAGCAGGCAAGAAAAATCTCCATAAAGCTGGCCTTTTTCAAAACCCACTGTGAGGCATGAGTACTTCAGCCTCATATTTTAGGGGTGGGGTGCAGATCCAGGATAGGGTTAGCGTTCCAAAATGTGTTTCCTACACAGATGTAGATGCTTGGAACATGTTTAGTTTGGGAAGAAATATTGAGCTGGCAACAAGAACCTCCATATATTTTGCCATTTTTGAAGTTTACCTTTAAGTATGCCTATTTCAGCCCCATATTAGGGTTTGGGTGAAGGTCCAGAATAGGTTGGTAAATTTGAGGTCCCCACAAAGGCAGCTGATACCAAGAATCTCCAAGCTTTCCAGACCTTTGCAGGGACCTCAAAATTTCAGGCCTCGAAACCCTAATAAGGGGATGAAATAACTGTTACTCAAGGTGCAGTTTGAAAACATCCAGCTTTACAGAGGTTTTTCCTCTCAGCTCAGTATTTCTGTCCGCTCTAAACTTGTACCCAATAGTCTCTAGACCTGTGAGAGGAGTTCAGCCAGCCAGCCAGCCAGCCAGCCAGCGAAGGAATGTCACTGCAGGATGGCTAGTGACAATTTTTCCTGCCTTCCATGGAAATGTGGAGCATCAGCCCAAGATTATCAGAGCCCAAAGCATGTATTCTTTTCCTGGGTTCCTTGCAAGGAAGAATACCCTTCGATTGGGAAGAAGACGCATCTCCAGATGAATTAGATTTCAACTCCCAGCATTCTTGATCACTGGCCATGTGGTCAGGCTATCATGGGAGCTGAAGGCCAAAACATCTGATGCTCCGTCTTCCCCACCCTCCTTGTAAAAGCCCTGCATAGCAAAAATATTTACCTATATTTATCTTTGCTCCCCTGTAATACTTTGCCATCACCATATGCGTTTTTCATACTATCCTCTGCATTCCCACAGTTGTTTTTAAAAGGTGCAGACGCTCTGATCCCACCACTGGGAGATCTTATGGGGATATGCTGGGTATTTGGAGATAAAGGAATGATCTTAGTGGAAAGATTGGGCTCTGAAAGGGAACTCAAGTGTTGAGGACAGATGACAGCAACACTGGCAAGGAGGAACACACGAGATCTTGGCCACCAGGGGAAGGCAATGCGTGGGGACAGAGAGCCAAGGGCAGGGCTTGAACCCCTGCATGCAAGGCACTTGGGGTGATGGTGTGTGAGGAAGCATCAGCAGTGGTCCTCTTTTCTTGGCAGAATGGGTGAAGTGGAGATCTCGGCCCGGGCCTATGTCAAGATGTGCCTGCACGCCGCACGGTACCCCCATGCTGCGGTGAATGGGCTGCTCTTGGCCCCCAGGCGGCAGACGAAGGCTGGGCAGCCCGAGTGCCTCTGGGTCACGGACTGCATCCCCCTCTTCCACACCAATTTGTCGCTCACTGTCATGCTGGAGGTAGCCCTGAACCAGGTATCCACAAAATTACTGCCTTCAGGGACTGTAAACTTGAGTTAGCCAGATGCGGAACGCTGCCTTCTCCAACCAACACATCTGGAAGGCGCCAGGATGAGGATGGCTTGTGGATCTGCACATTAAAATCCCTTTTAATGGTTGGGTATGGAAGGAGTTGAAAAACTGAAGTACGGTCCTCTTGAAGGAATTCAAGTATTGCCTTCTCTGTTGCCAGTTTTCTTTTCAGGGTAAACTGCTTTCAGGTACTAAGATCTGCAAATACCTGTTGCTCCTGAAATTGATACTGAATGCATCTTTTAAGGGGGGTGGGGGTTAAATAAAGCACGGTGATGTTGAATTAGCATGATCATTCTTTTCAGCAGCCAAAATGACTAACACAGATTAAGACTAGGCCTGGCGTAGATGAAAAACGGAGTGCTAAAGAGGCCTCAACTGCGAAAAAGCTACCAATTCAGTGCAGCGTTTGGCCAGCGCTCTAGGCAGCTCTCTCCCTTCCCACACAGATCTGCAAGTTAAACCTTCATGGCAGTGCCTTATTGTGTAGATGCCTGTAAACGTCCCACTTGGAGGCGGGTGGATCTCCTCGGCAGGGTGCCAGGAATATCTCCATTTCCCCCAGACTGCTGGTTTTGGTTATCCGGATCATAGAGTTGGGAGGGGCCAGAAGGCCACCGGGTCCAAATCCCCACAGGGCACAGGGTTAAACGTCCCTCTCAGATGGCTGTCCAGTTGCACTGAGGAGGGGCCTGGGCCGCTGTTTGGTTGGAGACACACCTTTGGCCCTGTGCCTCTCCCAGCACGAAGAAAGGGGCCCGGGCTGCCCCCCAACTGAGGTCATGGCAGAGGTCTGATGGGGGTCACCGGGCCTCTTTACCCATCTTTGCAGGTTGACATTTGGAGTGCCGGGTCAGATCTGTTCCTTGCCGGGTATTACCAGGCCAACGCTGGAATTGACGACAAAAGGTGAACCGGGGGGATCCCTGCAAAGGGGAAGGGGCAGGTGTCTCTTCTTTCCTGCCCCTGTGGTCTCTCACGCCACCTCTCCTCTGCTCCTTGCAGCCCGCCTCCCCTTGCCCAGAAGACTGCCGGACGCGTTGCCGAACTGTACGACGATGCCGTGCTTATCATGGTGAGAGCTGGGATTGGTACGTGGGAAGAGTTTGGTCTCCTGGGTGCTGGAAATCTCAGGGTTACTTTAATCTCGTGTGAGGATAAGGGACGCCTGCGCTGGTAGCCGTTGCAACAGCTGGCAACTTCCAAATCACACGTCATATTGGACTTGCCCACAGATACGTTTCCTTTCCTTTACGCTTGTTTGGTTGCTTCTTCTGGATGACAGCCCTGATCCGTGGCAGCACCTGCTTTTTACACTGGAAGTGCAGAACTATTTTAAGTGTGTGGGGCTGGATTGCCTCCCACGGGCCCAGCTATGGGATGGATAAAGCCAGATCCTTAGAGGTCCCATCAGCAGGTGTGGCCCCACCTCTGACATCACGATCTTTCTTCCTACTAGAAGGGGGGACGGCACTGTGCCTCCTCTCCCACCTCTGAGATCGTAGCAGGGGAGAAGTGCGGTAGAATGGTAACCACACCTAATCCCTCCCAGGTCTCTTCCCAGCAGCGCCAGCGGGTTCTGCCAAGCTGCTGCTGTGTCTGATCAGAGACTGGGGAGGCCCTCAGGGGAATTCCTCCAGGGTTGTGGCTTGGAGCATCATCTCAGTGGAGGAACCCAAACAGACCGAGCGGGCTGGATTTGGGATGTTCTGCGCTTCTGCTAGAAACCAAATAGAAGCAGCGTTTCTTGCAGAATTTCCGTGCCTGAACTCCAGGCTATCTAGCTTGCTGTGTGCAAACCGGAAATGCGGCACCTCCTGCTCACAGTCGCGCAAACTTCCAAACCTGACTGCTGCTCAGGTGGCCCTTCCTTATCCTGGAGAAACCGAAGGGTGAGATGAAGATGCTTCTCCGTGCAAAAGTCAAGCTTCAAACTGCTTTCCTGACTTTCTGGTCTCTTCCACAGGTGGACAACCGCAAGTTCATGATAAATGCTCGTCTCCCTCCCATCACTGTGTTGGAGCAGAAAGATCGGCAGTGGGTCCCCAAAGACAAGAACCTGTGAGTTGCCGCCACCTCATTCACGCAGTGCCGGCTTGCAAACAGCACCCCATGGTTAACTTCTTTGTCCTTGCAGAAGACACAGAGCAGGGCTGTTTCCCTCATGTTACAGCTTGGGAACAAGTCCCAGAGATAGGGGCATGCCTGAGACAGCGTCCTTGGCAGAAATGGATCTGTGCCCCGTAGACTTTCCATGGGGACAGTCTGGCACTCACCCAAGGCAAAGAGGACAAAAGACAGGTCATCAATGCAATTCAATAAGAATCATTCTATATAATGCTCCATTTATCATCATAGCAAGAGGGAGGGAACTGACCCCTCTTGCAAACTCGGTGCTGTTAAGTCCCTAAAAGGACCAGTGTTGCAAATGATACACACAGCAAACTGGGAGCCTGCAGTGTGGAATGCATCACCGCCAGCAAAATTCCAGCAAGCCATGTTCTCTTCCCAGGGTTCTCCATTCCACCCTCTATCCCTGTATTCCATTCCTGTCCCGCAACAGAAGGAAGCCAAAACGCAGTGGCCTCTTTTGGGTTCTGTTCTCCTCCCACCCAACTCATTAGGATTTTTTTCCTTTTAATTGTCCTTTTTTGAACGGGACATACTGACCTGACTGAACCCCTTTGGCCTGTTTCAGGGTGATGTGGAGCGACTGGGAGTCGGCTCGCCACACCTGCAAATGTCTCTTAGAAGCCAAAGCCTACTCCCAATTGGTCGACTTCGACATCCACCTGGATGACATCAGAGAAGACTGGACCAACCAGCGGCTGAACACAGAGATCGCCCAGTTGGTGTCAGTGGCCAATGGCAGCCCGTGAAGAAGTGCATTTGGCCAGCAGGGGGAAGCAAGGAGAGGGGGGAATCAACTTTCGGGGTGCCTGGTTGCTCCCCACCCAGCACATTCTTTATTACGGCCGAAGAAACTGTGGATTTGTAGTGGGTGACATTTTTTATTCTGGTTTCCCCCCTGCAGAAGAGGCTTGCCCCAGATATTAGTGAATGCAAAAAAGGGACCGGCCGACCCAATTTTTGCTGCACTGATCATTAAAGGAAAGACGCTGCTCCAGAGACAGCTGTATGTTTTCGTTTGTTTGCACCTCTTGTGATGAAATGGAATTCAACATTTGCTCTGCATTTCTTTAGTTTTGTAACTTAATTAAATTTCAAAACTCTTACCAAATCTTAAAATCTCTTTATTTCAAGTGGGAGGGGTGGAAAAGACAGGCAGAGGAGGCGACTGCTGGATACCCTCTCCCTTGAGAGGGGTGGCAGTTCCTTTCGTTCTGATCCCTGAACATCCCTTAATAGATCATTCCCTTGTTTTCATCTCGGGGCTTCTTAATCTTCTCAAAGTTCTTCAGGACAATGTCGAAGACGACGGCCTGGGAAGCGCAGACAGCAAATTGTGGGTCAAGGCTGAGGGAGCGCAGCAGGTTAAAAGTGACAACCTGGGGCCCTTCTCTTTGGGGCGGTGCTCCTTCAGCCCAGATGTGCGTAAAATGGAGAAGGGAGGTAACCCAAGGGCCCCAGACTTTAGCCTGCTCTCTAGGGCAGCTGTCCCCAACCTGGTGCCCTCCAGATCGGCTGAGGTGCGACCCCCACCCCCCAGACTCACATAAATGTTCCTAAGTTCGTTGACCATGAATCGGATTTCGGCATACTCGGCCTCGTCAATTTCATGCACGAGGTTGCGGTAGTCCCCCTGCAGGAATGGAGGAGAGGCAAAGAGTAACGGAGGGATCCACACACGGCGAGAATATTCCCGCTTTCCCCACATGATTGAACCAGGCTGGGACTCACCACATGCGGACTCTTGGCTGCTTTTGCCACCGCGTCTCCCCGTTCAGAATAATACCTGAGGAACAAACAGAGGGGAGAAAGCCCAGGTCAGAAGCGAGATGGAGAGCAGAAATGCAAGGGGTCCTCCAGCTCTTGGGTCCTTCACACAGTACAGGACGGCTTCCCGGTATCTCCTAGTGATAAGGCTTCAGTTCTGGACCCTACAGCGGCAGGTCGGATCCGAATCCGCTGGCAGAAGTCTGGAGGACTTGCAATCGGTGAGAAGGGGCTCGGACCCCCTCCTTGTAAACTTCGACCCGGCATCCCCAGGCCGGTGCCGTTGAGTCCCTAAAAGGACCAGTGTGGCAAATGATACACAGAACAAGCTGGAGTGTCACAGTGGGGAATGCCCCAATTCCAGCAAGCTGCGGCCTTTCCTTGGACACGCCGTTCCCACTCTGCTAGCAGAGGGAGCCAGAAGTGTGTCCACAAAGCTACCGTAGACCTCAGTGGCTCCTTGTGGGTCATGTTCTCTCAACCCCATGAAAGAGGAATTTTTTTCTTCAAGTCTTTTTTTAATTATCCTTTTTTGAGCCAGAAACCTCCTGTTGGTGCTTTTCCCTCTGGCCTGTGCCGTTTTGGCTATGTGAGAATCCAGGCTCAACAGAAATGAATGTTGTTTGAATTTTCAGCCTTTTGTGGAGTCCCCAGTCTCTGTCACGCTTTGGACAGAGAGGCTTAAAAAGCAGGCTGTTAATTTATATTGTTTTACTGAATTCTATTTATTTATGGGTTGTGAGCCGCCCCGAGGCTTCGGCGAATGGGGCGGCATAGAAGTCCCCTGAATGAATGAATGAATGAATGAATGAATGAATGAATGAATGAATGAAGCAAGCAAGCAAGCAAGCAAGCAAGCAAGCAAGCAAGCAAGCAAGCAAGCAAGCAAGGTTTATATTCCAGTAAGTGGAATTAACTGATAAAATCAAAGTATTTGGAGCAAAGGAGCAATTCATCACTGATTAAAGGAAAAAAACAGGCACAACAGACCAATGGTGAGAAATAGAAACAGCGTGGGAGGTTGTTCCAGCCCAGTTCATGAAGTAAAGACTCTCTTGAAATAAAACAGAAAAATGCCCCCAGGAAGTGGCACACAGATCACAACCAATCTCTGCGGCATTTTCCGTCACAAGGTACTTTTTAAGAACTGGGGGTCCTTTGAAAAGGCAGAAATGGTTTTGGTGGGGAGGCAGAAGCTCCGGTGTCATGAGATGGCTGTTATGTCTTACGTGGGACGGTTTCTTCAAAGAGGAACTGGAAGTGAGGATTTACTGCCGGGCGTTTTTGCAAACCTGCGTGCTGTGGAGCGGCAGATGCAATGACGGCAAGCCAGGAAAGAAAAGGCCCGACATGCCTGGCTGAGATCCAGCTGACAACCTTTAATTATGTCTGAAATCAAGCTCCTCTGTAGCGTTAAAAGTGACTGGTTTGCCCAGATTTAAAAGGTGCGTCCCTTGGGAAGGAGGACGGGTGTGCTAGATTTTCAGTCAGTTAAATATTTGCCTGTTAATGACTGGGAAGCAGTATAGAGTAGTGGTTAGAGCAGCAGTCGCTCTACATTGCTATATTCAGTGATGGGGTGTTGTGGGCCATCAGAACTGGAGGGCACCAGGCTGGGGGAAGCAAGACTAGGACTTGAGACCTGGGTTCAAGTACTCACTGCACTCAGAAAGTGGATCGGATAAGACTGGGTCAGTCCTGCAGTCTCTTGTGCTAACCTACCTCGCAAGGGTGTTGTGAGAATAAAACGTCAGGGAGGAGGGACCGTACACAATCCATCTCACCCTTCCTCTGGAGTGTTGTGTGTCGTTCGTTCCCGCACCCTGGTTCCCCAAATTATTCTCACAATAACCTTGCAAGGCTGAGTGGCGATTCCAAAGTGAACAGCAACACCTGACTCTTGGTCTGATCCTGTACCTGTAAGGATCACGCTGCTTTTGCAACTAAGTCAAGCCCTGATATTTTGTTTCCACACGCAACAACTTAAGCAATTTCTTCTGCTTTTCCCTTCTGTCCCTGGGTTACGAAAGCCTGTAACCCGATTTCAAAGCCGTGGCTTTGCTGGGCGTGTTCTCCCTCACCTGGACACATTTACCTACCTACCTACGCACACAAATACTCCCTTTTCAGCCCAGGACAGGCTCCCCCAACCTGGCACCCTCCAGAACTAGAACCCTCGCCCTTCTCTCCGGGATCACAGGAGTCCCAGTGCAATCAGTCTGCAGGGTGGCAAGCTAAGGACAAACTTTGAACGACACCTGTCCGATTCTGCACCGTGCCATATTCAGGGCTTCCAGCAATACCCAGTGAGCCTTTATTTGGCCTCCCCAAACTGCACTGAAGGCTCAGGTGCCCATCTAGAGGAACTAGGAGGGGCAGGGCAAAGAAGCAAGCAAGTCCAAGGTTCAGCCTTCCAGGAAAAAAATTTCCAGAAGGCTGAGCAGGGGAAAGGTTTGTTCTGCCCGAGATGTCTGCAGGCCTGCACAGGTGAGGCAAGACTGGGCTACGCAGACAAGCCCTCTGCTACCTTTGCCCACACTTTTTTCAGATGAAAATGGTTTTTCAGAGGCAGTGTGGCCTAGTGGTAAGAGCACTGACCTGGGACTTGGGAGACCCAGGTTTGAGTCTCCACTCAGCCATGAAGCTCATTGGGTGGCTTTGGGCCAGGCACTGACTCTCAGCCTGACCTACCTTGCAGGGTTGTTGTGAGGACAAAAATGGGATAAGAAAGCAGACTATATAGACTGCTTTGGATTACTCACAAGTAAAAAGGTGGGATAGAAGCATAATAAATCCAGTGCTTACAACCAGCTGAAAACCTAGCTAAAAGATCCCAATTTCCCTGGCTGATAATGAAGTTGGCTACAATGCTTATTTTCTGCCATCCCGTCATATAGGACAGAAAAAGGAAAGCGGACTGAAGAGGAAGGGAGCCAAGGTGATTGCTACAACTTGTGGCCCACCAGATGTTTGAACTACAGTTCCCATCATTCTGCTGGATGTGGCAGATGGGAGCTGTCATGCAACAGGCCGAGGACAGCTGCTGCAGGGAGACAAAACTTCGATACGCTTTCTAAGCATTTTGCGTTGCATCTGGAGCCGCTCCAGGCTGCAAAAGCATTCCTAGTGCTTGCTCCTTTTTGTCCGTCTATCAATGTCGCCGAAGCTTCCTCTCACCGTAATTCAAGAAGGAAAACATACGAAAACTGAAAGGCAACGCCAGCCGTTCCCCGTGGCTGATTTTGGACTCACTTGGAGATATGAGTCTGAAAAGCTTCCAGCTTCGTTCGGGCGGACGTCAGCAACTCATACACCTTTTCCTAGATGGGAGAGAGAGAGGGAGATGGCTGCAAATTGGGAAGCTCCTTGTGTCTCTCCTGCAGGTGCGGAGACTTGAAGGCGAGCTACACAGGGGTGCTGTTCTGCTGGCTGGCACTCGGTTTTAACCCCAGGAGCAATCGATCAAGGAGAAAGCGAGCGATGTACTCTACACATGCTCTGTGGCATGCTTTTAACGGATTTTCCCGGTGATCTGCATGCCATGAGGAACATGTGTCCAAATGTCAGTTTTCTGGGTAGACTCAGATGCACCCTAATTGTTTCAGCCTTGACTGATGAGGCTGACCCGAAAAATCCATCCCGGTGCTCAGAGCTGGTGGCCCTCTCCCCATATTAAGATTTACGCCCTGTATTTGGGCAAGGTGAGGCATGCGTGGCTGCATCAGGTAAGGAACTCACCTGGACCGCGACCCCAAAATTATTGCCGTCCTCAATCCGTGGCACCAGGAGCTGCAGCCACAGAGAGATCTGGGAAGGGAGAGAAAGGAGAAGCCCAGGTGAGCGTGTATCACACCACACGTCTTTAAAAGCGAGATGGGTGCCACCTGCTTAGCATCTCACCAGGTTCAGTTTCTCCTTTGTGCCCTGGATTTCGGGTTTCACACGGTTGAGCAGGGCTGTGATCTTCTCATTGTGGCAAACGGGACCACACGGTGGGGCTGGGGAAGAGAGAGAGAATGATGGAGACACCAAGTCCAGCAACGAGAAGACATAAATAAGTACCTCAACTGCTGTCACAGAGAGGAAGGAAACGATCGCTTCTCACTCATCCCTGAGTGCAGGACACAGAATAATCAACTCAGGTTGTGACAACCCAGATTCAGGCTGGACAGCAGGAAAAGCTTCCTCACTGGCATAGCACTAGGACAGTGGAACTAGCTTCCCGGAGAGGTGGGGGGCTCTCCCAACACTGGACAGCCTTCTGAGTGGGTTGGTGTGAACTGGTGTCCTGCGACAGCAGAGGGGTGGACATGATGGCCTTCATGGCCCCTTCCAACTCTACTATTCTATGATTCTGTGATTTGCTGGCAGACTCACATTATAGACTAACTTCACGTTGGAAACCAGTTTGGGACTTGTTGAAAGAATGCCAAGTGGTCCAGAAAAGTTTTGAAATACTAAATACAAGATGGTGTCTTGACAAAACAGACGCCATCTTGGATGAGGCATCCCATCTTCCATGAGACAGAACGGGCATACCTCTTCTAAGAGGTGCTCCTCCAGGTGGATTTTTGGGGTAAGTACTAGAACGTTATTTATTTATGGATTGCTGGGGGGGCACTAGCCAACAGACCCAAAGTGTGTCACTACCCCCTTTTCTTAGGGTCCTGACCAGGACTCTGTGGGGCGCTGGCCACTTTTCATAGACAGACAGAGGCCCCGTGCCAGTGAAAGCAGGAATGAAACAGGAGAGCAGAACCTGTTGGATTCTTCTCTGCAGCCTGGTGGAATAACTTCTCGGACTGCACTTCCCATCAGGCCATGTGGCCAAGGGTGAGGGATAAAGGGAAAGGCAAGCCAGCCATTTCCATAGCAGTAAGTATATATCCCATTAGGAAGTAAGTATGCCCATGGTAGAGAAAGGAAGGGTGTCTTTGCCAAAGTTAGAAAGGCTAACCTGAATAATCTCTCTAATCTTTATGGCAAAGTGGGAAATTCATGAGCCCCAGAAACCCCGACGTGATGAGCTGCCCGCTTCGCACACGCTTGTGTTCTAGCAAAAGCACCATTCCCCCCGGACCCTGAGCCCTAAACTCTTCCTCTCTCACTGACCCCACAAAGAAGGGATGCTGGAAACCATGAGATGAGCTTTTGCATTCGCCAAGAGTCCAGGGTTCGGTCTGCTAACCAGAGCCCTTGAATAAACAAGGAGGGACACCCCACCCCCTTCCCGACAGTCCATCCACCTGAAGCTCGGCTGCCTCAACTAGGACACTGGCTCAGGAAACGCACGGCAAAGCCGGCCCTCGGCTTGGACAACCTGGTGTCAAAACTCTGTTTATCAGTCGGTATCGTCTTTCAAATGTCTAAGGTTCTGCATGTCAAATGTCTAAGGTCTGCATGGAAGTCATTGACGGCATTTCTGAATTGTCTTCTTGGAAGTCACCGAGGCAGCGCGCAAAAGAAATGTGAAAAATGAAACAGGAAATGGGATAAAACCTAACAAAGCAATAAAAAAACCCATGGAAACAATTTGAAGAGCCACATCCGAGAGATGCCTCTTGACCCCCTTCTGGATCACAGAGAAAGGGAGGCCAAGGGTGCCTGGAGGGGAACGTCGTTTGCGCCCCGTACCAGGTGGAGAGCCCCGCATGTCTCCTTTCTGGACTTCACAGGTGACCCTCGTATGCCAAAGTACCTTTGTCCTCATCCTCCGATTTCTTCTTGTCATCCTTCTCTTTTTTGGTGTCTTTCTCTTCTTTCTACATCAGAAGAGCAGGAATAAGCGGCATTTATTTAAGTGGCATTTTAACTGTTAATATTATTGGATTTTATCTGGCCAGGGCAGCTTATTTTATATTGGTATTTTTGCATTTTTATCTAATGTTTATATTTTTTAATTTATTATTATAATTATTTTTAATTTATTATTGTAAGCCGCCCCGAGGCTTCGGCGAATGGGGCGGCATAAAAATGTTTTAATAAAATAAATAATAATAAATAAGGGAATGCAAAATGGGCACGTCAATACATATTCCCGACTGGACTACTGTAACGCGCTCTACGTGGGGCTGCCCTTGAAGACGGTCCGGATACTTTAATTTGTTCAGAATAGAGCTGCCAGGTCGTTAACAGGGACCAGCAGGTACGAACATATAATGCCAGTCCTTTTCCACCTACACTGGCTACCAGTGGAAGTTCAGGCCTGATTTAAGGTGCTGGTGATGGCGTATAAAGCCCTAAACAGCTTAGGACCTCTTTACCTGAAGGAGCGCCTCCTTCCGTATGTGCCTGCTCGCCCCTTGATGTCTGGGGAAGAGGCCCTTCACTGGGAGCCCCCCTCGAAGGAGATGAGGAGGGTGACTACATGAAGAAGGGCCTTCTCTGTGGTGGCTCCCTGATTATGGAATATGCTTCCCAGAAAGGTTTGCCTGGCACCAGGCTGAAACCCTTTTATTTCCCCAGTGTTTAAGGTCTGACTGTTTTTAATATGGTTTTTATTGTTGTCTGGTTAAGAATTTGACTGGGATGCTGTGTTTTGTTTTATTTTGTCTTATTGTTAAACTGTTTCAAGACGAAAGTAAGGGCCGGTCTAAAAAAGTTTTAAATAAAATAAATCCATAAATAAATATTTGTGTACAGCTTTGCTTGAAAAGAGGTGGTGACCTTTAACGCAGATTAAGGCAGAAGCTGAAGAATTTTTAAGACGTGCAGATCAGGCGAGGGGCTCAGAACACACAGCTCCCAGGCTAGATTTGGCCCCTGAGCCTGTTTTTTTTGGGGGGGGGGGCTCCCATCCTCACTGCTGCGTTTGTCATGGTGGGAATGGCAAAGCAAAAAAATCCACATTCCTGGCCAGCTGGTGCTTCCACCAGAAGCCACAAGTGTTGAGCTTCTCCACCCAGCCCATGTCTGGCAGCAGCCATCGCTTCCCTCGGGGCTGCTGGGTGTTTGCGTCTTTCGCAGTTGGCAAAGAAATGCCAGCATCTGCCAGGAGGACATTTGAAAAATACGCCCGGGCCTTTCTTTTAGATCACGTGCAAGAGCTCATGAAAAAGACACCAGCAGGAGGGAGGGGAAGACCTCAGGTTCGTCCTTGAACGAAGGGGCTACTTTTGCTTACATACCGTGATGGGGAAGGAACATTGATATAATCTGACCAGAAGGAGGGGAAGCCCATAGCGAGTCAGGTTTCCATCTTAGAGTGGAGAAGAGCCAGATGGGGAAAAGGTGTGGGAGGGCACCGAACATCTCCCCGTTCTTGGAATTTCCCAGGGGGCAGGGAGGGGCCAGAACAAAGCCTTAATTAAAATGGGAGATATACAGAACTTCAAAACCTCCTCCCTTTATCCCTGTAAGTACAGCAAAGGTACAAATTAAGATATAATCTTAAAATAGCTACTCCTTCCTCTGGTGGCAAAGCAGGTGGAAATGAGGGTGAGACTTGGCACCTCGGCTTCCTTGCAGAAAATAGGAACCACTTTGTCCTTCCTCGCAGGGTTGTTGTGGGGGAATTTTCATTCCCACTCAGGATGCAAAGGGGGAGGCAGCCTTGCCCAACCTGGCAGCTTCGAGATGTGTTTGGCTACCATGCACATAATCCCCAGCCAACCTGGATGACGGGATCACAGTCCAAGGCATCTCAAAGGCACCACCTTGGGAAAGGCAGGGGAAAAGGAAAGCTGGTCCTTGGATTCTACTGAGATGTGGATACAAAAAGCCCTGCTGTGCAGCGGTTTCTGCAGAAACTTGCGAATTAAGTTCTCCAGGCACAAGAAATTCAAAAAGCTCGTGTCGGATGGCGGAAAGGGGTCTTGGGCGTTTGAACCTCTGCGACCCACCACCCCACTCACCTCCCGCTGTTTGCGACGCTCCTCGTCCTTCTTGGGGTCAGGCACTGGGATGTCTAATTCGACGCGGAGCGAAATTAGGTCGGAGACATTCAGCTCAGGGGCCTAGAGACAGGAAGAGAGACGGTGCTTTATTTCCTGTGCACCAAACTTGTCCCCGAACCTCTGTGGGATCAGCCTTCTGAACCCCGTGCCCTTCTGGACTCTTGGATTACTGGCCTGCTGCAAGCAGTAGCCCACCCATCCAGGTGATGCCAGGCTGGGGAGGCTGACCTGGCCACAAGCCAGGTGGGCAACCGCCTCCCGCCACGGAGAGGCCCCGCTCTCTCCGCTGTTGCTCTCCCCTCCAAAAGGGGCAGCTCGCTCTTGCCAGGAAAATGCGAAAGCTTGCAGGTGGCTGTTGCTATTAGAACACAAGTTGCCCAGCTAGGACTACACCCTTGCTTCTAATCCCTTAATTTTTACAAGAATGGCATCTTTTAATTCACGTATTCGCTGACTTTTGCTTTGAATCTGGGAAGCCACTTCCCAGGTGAAAATCCACAGAAAGAAATTGGCTGTGCAGTTCTCTCCTCTCCACCCCATCAAAATCGGCATTTGCAGCTTCAAGCCAAACTTCCTCAAATTTTGCACATCGGAGTAAAGGATGTATGGGAACTGGGTGGGTTTCAGGGCTGGACTGAGGACCTGGGAGATCTGGGTTTAATCTCTGTTCAGCCCTGGAGCTCATCAGGTGATTTTGGGCCAGGCACTCACTCTCAACCTAGTCTACTCCACAGGGTCGTTGTTCTGAAGAGAAACTGGAGCAGAGGAAGAAAACTGTGTAACCTGCCTTATATTCCTCACAAGAGGGAAAAATGGCAGGATATAAATCCAACATAATAATAATAATAATTTGCAGCTGATTAGGAGGTAGTATTTTGTAAGCTGCTAATTACTGACACAGAAGTAATTCTGTCCTCAAAAGAGCCTCTATTTCCTGCTTCTCTCCCTCCCTCCATTTTTCCTAAGGACTAGCAGCTCAAACTTACCCACACCTACTCCCAGGTAAGAGTGGTGCCAAAGATACCCTTCCCAAAAAAAAACTTCCTCTGGTTCTAGCCCCCTCACCACATTTTTTAAACCTTCTGTTTAAATGGATCACAATTTAAAACTGTAATTCTGCAATGCCAAAACACCCATCCAATTCTCCCAAACCTCAGCACAATTGCAAAATTCTACACTTACTTAGTTTAATTATTCATCTGAGTGATATTCTACCTTTCCACCAAAACATGGTGCACAAGATTGCACTCGGTAACAGCCAAGATGAATTAAACTCAATTAAAACAATAACAGAAACAGATGACCCTAATAAAATTATTGCCTGACCATGAATTTGCAGATAACACCATTTCCTTAGCTTGAAGTGCAAAGTCTGTCTCCTTCACCTCCTCTCATTCCCATTTCCTCTTTTTCCCTTAAAAGTTTTCACTGCCAGCACAACAAGGTCCTTTACTCCATGCCAACAATCCAAAATTGTATTACCTTCAGAAAATCAGTGAGTTCTGCAATTTTTTCTGGGAAACGGCAGGCCACAAGCTCTTCAGCCTAGGGAGTTATGTGGAGTGGGGAAAAAGGCATGACAGACAAAAGAAATATGTAACAGAAAGACAAAAGAAATATTTATGGAACTGAAATTTTAGCAAATTTAATGAAAAGAGGGGAAATGGACACACACTGTCACAGCTGAACTGAAAAGCCAAAGAACCATGGTGTAAAAATGTCTACAGTCTGGCAACAAGCTTATTTAAGATAACAAACACTGATCCCTACTTACTCCCAGGGGGACTGGAATCTTGTGCAAACTGTGTGGTGTCAGCAACCAAACAGACATTTTCTCCACCCCACCAAAAAGAGCGAGGATGAGGGGGGGGGTGCTGCGTGGACACTTAAATCTGTTTAGTTCATATACGATGGCTCTTAATCCCACATGCATGAGGAGTGAGCCAGGGCAAATGCACTCTGTGTATGCTCAGAGGTGATCATCAGTTCCTGCTTCTCAGGGTTCAGTTAATACTGAAGCTATCTTCCGAGGCTGAGATTTCCGGGACTGTGTCCCACTTCCTGGATGGGTCGGTCAAGGGGCAAAGCATTCGGGTCTGGGGGCCGGGGCACGCGGAGGCAGGCGAAAGCCCCCCACCCGTCCTGAGCCCGGGGCCTGAGGCATCTCTCACCTGGGCGCAGAGCTCTTTCTTGAAGGAGTCCACCTGCAGAAGCGGAAGGGAAAGGGAAAGGGGAAGCTGCCTTGGTGAGGACGGGAAAGGGCACGCAGGGGCCGCCGCGGGAGGCCGGGCGCCCGGCCAGCGCCTCCGCCGCGGCGTCACCCGATCCCGCCGCGCACCTGTCGGCGGGCCGCGCACCTGCGTGGGGGGGGGGGCAGGGGTCTCAGCCCGCGCCCGCGCCGGGTCTTCCGCCTCGGGGCCGGGCGCTGCCGCCTGCGCGGGGCTGCCCGAGCCCAACCGGTGCAGCTTCCCGGCCCCCAAAAGTTTCGCCGGCCGGGAAGGGAAGGGAAGGGAAGGGAAGCCCGCCGGATTTCTGCCCGCCGCCCCCCGCCCAGGGTCCCGCCGGGCGCATCCCCGCGCCGCGCCGCAGCGCCGCCGCTTGCGCGGCTGCGGATCAGAGCCCCCGCCCCGAGGGGGCCCGCGCCCTACCTGCGCTTCGCATTTGGGGGGCACTTCCAGAGCGGCCATGGCGCCGCGGGGCAGAGGGCGAGCCGCGCGTCGCGTCGGGGTGCGGGCTTGCGAGAGCGGCCGCCGAGCCGGGACTGGGCGAGACTCCCCGGGCCGCGTGGGAGCTGCGCGGTCGAGCCAGGCGCGCGAAGCGAAACCGAAAGGAGCGCGGGCGGCGGCGAGGGAGGCGCCACTTCCCCCTCCGGGGAGGGCCGGGCCAGGGAGGGGCGGGGCGGGGCGGCGGCCCCTCAGGCGGCCGTCCCACCGGTCGAGCGCGGCGCCGCGCGCTGCGAGACGGGAAGCTCTGCGCTGGGATTTGTCCCCTTTGTTGCGCGGAGGAGGAGCAAGCAGCTTGCGGCCGCCTTGGGTGAGTGTGGCTAGCATTAGCACAGTTCCCCTGTATTTTATTATTATTATTTTTTTTTACATTTGGGCACCCCGTTTTTCTTCCAAGCTCGGGGGAGGCTTCCCCCGAACTTCAACACGACAGCCTTGCAAGGTAGACTTTGCACGGGCGGGGTCAGCGAGGGACTCCCAAAGGCCCGGGCTGCCCTTCTGGGGCTTCTGATCATGCACAGGTCCAAGGTTGAAGGGGCACAGAAAAGCTACAGGCGGTTTAAAGCAGAGGGTCACATAACATGCGGTTCCTGCAGCGGAGAGAATGTCTGTATTTTCCAACGCGGGGCAGAAAATGGAGGTTGGGCGATTTCTGAGAAAAGCTCACAAGCTGAGCATCAACAGGGACGGAGCTCTCTGGCAAGTGCCACTGTTGACATGGTGCAAATGCACGCGCAGGGTTCGTTTTTCCTCTTTGAAAACACCCTTTCTGCAAATACTGCACAGCAGCCTGAAGCAAGGAGTTCCACAGGCTAAATTCAGACCACACGGGCTGCTGCGTTTCCATCATTTAGTTTACTCCTTTTCAAAAGCAGCTTTCACAAACTTGGTGTCCTTCAAGTGTATGTGGGTGTGCCAAGTTTTACTCCAACACATCCGACAGATGCTGGGTTGAGGAAAGCTGTGCCAGAAAACCCACCAAAAGTTAGCTGCCATTACTCCACGGCAAGGATACATACTCTGTACATGCTCAGAAGCATCGCTGTGCATTTTCCAACAAAGATCTACTAGAGGTCTGACTCTCGGGGAAGTGATAAAACTGCACCACTTAAGCCCCAGGCAGAGAAACATAGGATTGAAAACCGCTACACTGAAAACAAAGAAATGAGCTCATTCTGTCCCTAGAGAACAAGCAGGTCCCCAAAGCATTTCCTCCAATGCTAGATTTCTAGTTGCAGATCTTAAATATATCACTGAAATAAGAAATATAACCATCCCTAACATTAAAAAGGGCAAATCAGGCAGCACAGGAGCCTGGCTTTGGAAGTGATCTGATAACGGCGGTTTGGCTCCTTGATGTAAAACTAGGCCTGAAAAGCCAGGCCTGCCCTCCATTCCCAATTCCCAAATGTCTAGGTCTTTCCCCACCCCAAGAAACCACACAGACACTCAGTGGGCAGTGGAGTGGCCGGAGAGGTCCTGTCTTTATTTGTCTCCTGAGGACGGGCGCCTCCGCCCAGGGCTGCTCGGCCGGGGCTTCAGACGCGGGGCGACGTGGTCAGTTCCGCTTCTTGGCTTCTCCCGGGGCCGCCTTGGCGAAGAGGCCGGTCCCAGGCCTCCCTGGAGACCACGAGCAGCGGTACCAGCCCCGGTAGGTGAGGTACCAGCAGAGGGTCGCGACGGCGGCCCCCACGACCTTGTGGCTGTATTCGTAGAGGTACACGACCGTGCAAGCCAGCAGGAAGTTCCAGAGGGTGAGGAGGAGAATGTTGAGGAGGAAGATGAGCCGCAAGGGGACGCCGGCGGGGTAGCCCTGGGCCAGGTAGCGCCGGAAGACGGAGGTCTCTTCCACCATGAGGAGGCAGCAGAAGGTCAGCAGGAAAGTGTGGCCCGAGACGTCATAGCCACGCCACCGGTGGCCTTCGCGCAGACACGTCCGCTTGTCTGGGAGACTGTTCACCAGGATGCCCTCGGGCACCGGGTCGAAGCAGTAGCCGGTGAGGTTCTCTATCAGCAGGAAGGCCTCCGTGGCCCCGAGCCACAGCCCGGCCCCCACCAGCAGGCGGGAGAGATGGCGCAGCGTGAGCAGGATCCGGGAGGTGGCCAGGTACACGACCAGAAGGATGAAGCCGCCCAAGAAAATGCAAGTCCAGCCCCAGGCTGACCTGACAAATTTTCTGCAAGGGAACGGAAGAGGCGGGTTAGGCTCTCGGGCAGGCAGGGAGAGCAACCCCCACTGCTCACGCGCACCCGTGTCACTGCGTCTCCAGTGGATTCAGTCCGTGTCCGCGGCTCCACAAACAGAAAGCAAAGCCTGCGAGGCAGCTGCCGACAGGGCTGCGTGACTCGAAGATGCGACCCGAGCTGCATCCGGCACCCCAAAGATCATGCAGCAAATGCAGTCAGAGAGAAAGTCTAACTCTTCGGAAGAGATTTGGAGCAGGCCATGTTACCCCTTGACCATGTTTGGGAGACCTCGGCCCTTCTAATGGTCCCTTTTGTACGTTCGCTGTTTTTTAACAAATGATCGAGCACGGTGAGGAGAAATATCTAGGATGGTGGCTCCATTGCATCCCGCCATCTCGCCAAGACAGCGAGCTGGGGTATACCAGGAGCCAGTCCATGAGCTCTGGGGGGCCCCGCCTGGAGGGCTGTTCCAAGAGATCCCCGGTTGCTCCGCTCCCTGGAGCGCAAGAAAGGGCAAGGCGGCTCTTGCTGCAAAGACTCGGGGGGCCAAAAGGGAGACGCGGCGCCCTGCCACGTCCGTTCCTCCGGGCCGCTGCCCGGCACCGGAGGGGTGCTCCTCTCCCCGCTCCCTGCAAACCTCACTCACATGTTGAAGAAGTTGTGATGGTTGGCAAAGATGGCCCGCGGGTTCACGTGGAACTGCAGCAGGGGGCCGAAGATGACGACCGCCGCGAGCCAGAGGTGGTAAGCGCGCCGGAGGCACGCCACGCCCAGCAGCCAGGCGCACTGGTTGCTCCAGAAGTACACCAGGGCCCGGCCCAGGGCCTGGGCCCAGCGGGCCGCTGTGGCCGGCAGGGAGGGGGGCTTCCTTGGCCCCGAACCCTCTGCCATCCCCCCGGATCGGCACACCTGCCCGGCGTCCCGCGGACGCGCGATGACCTGCCCTCCTCTGCCGGAGCAGGAGGGAGGGGAAGAGCCGGGGGAAACGTCGCCCGGGCTGACGCTGGGCGACAGCTGCGGGGGTCATTTCTGGCTTTGGAATGGGCAGCTGACTTGGGAGCAGGGGAAGGGAAGGGAAGAGAAGGGCCAGGCAGCAGACAGGCCGGGGGGGGCAGGCCAGCCTGCGACACACTCAGAACCCGAACGTCCACTCTTGGAAACGGAGAGATAAAAAGACACTTGAGCGGCGAGAAAATTCCAACGGTTTTTATTGACAATGACACTGCTTTGCAGGTGCCCTTTGCTGGATGAGACGGTGCGCTCCCCCCACCATGGAGGGCCCCCTCCCTTCCGTTACATCTCATACGAGCAGCCCCTCTTCACTGAGGGGTGTGAGGGACAATTCCCTACTCAACTGGAGAAACTAAGTCAGAGCTTCCCCTGCCTACCCCAAACTTGAAAACATGAACCACGCCTTTAAAAAAGAAATGGGAAACAGGACACGCCTGGCACAGAGGGACGCCTTCCAGAAGAGTCCCCCCGGCCTCACCTCCCCCTCGCGCACGGCATCTACGGTGCGAGCAGAGTGGCAGCTGCGGCCCCTCCCCGGGGAGAGCAAGCGGGATTCCTGCGGCCCCCCCAGTGTAGCCCTGGACCAGGACGCAGAGTCAGACCTCCTTGACCCGGGCAGGAAAGGGGGGCGGGCCAGGACGGAGATTCCTACCGTCACCCGCAGGCAGGCAGATCTGCCGCCTGAGGAGGAGAGGACGGGGCGGGGGCTGCAGGAGCACTGTCCCCAGAGAGGGGGTGTCACGTAGGCAGGGGAGGGGAGGGGAGGGGAGGGGTGGCCGGCCGAGGGTTGCGGAGGGGAGCTGGCGCTTGGCAGCAGGCAGCCTTCCCTCAGCCCCACGGTGCCCCTGCTGAATCCCACCCCACCCAGCAGGATCTGCGTGGCCTAGGAGGAAATGGGGCACGTTCACCCCAGACAAGAAGCCGGGCCCTCCTTTCCACTGCCCTGCGCCTACGCCGGGATGAAAGAGGGACCCCTTTTGCCGAAAGATGCCTGAAGAGCCTCAGTCGCGAGCGTCTGCTTCGAAGCAGCAAGCGGCCGCCATTGCTGGGCCCTTGAGGGGAAGCCAATTAAGGAGCCCAGTGGGATCGAGGGGGGAGGAGAGGGAGGGGTTGCAGAGCACCTGCTTGCTCCCCAGAGCAGGCGAAGCCCCACTGCTGGTGGGGCGGTTTTGTCTCATGATTGTGAGACTGGGAAGAGGACAAAACTGCAGGACGCAACCCCGCAGAACCTCAGGAAGGCGACGATCAAAGGGAAGAGTTAAAACACCAGGCCTGCTTCACTGAACCCATCCTTACCTAATCCCCTACCCCCCCCACCCTAGCCCCTCTCACAGCTGTCTGCCAACCTTAAGAACGGCTGGGGGGGGCTGCTTATCCCCCCCGACCCGCAACCTGAGCTGCAGAGGCAGAAAAGTGACTGCTTGTGTGTGTGTGTGGGGGGGGGGAGTGCCCCAGAATTGGCTCCCTCCCCTGCTTCCAAGTGTTGCAAGGCCACGAGCCACACAAGGTAGATTCCCCCCTCCCTCCCCCCCCATCCCCAGCAAGTCCAAAATCAGAGTGGTGGCAAGCAGCGTGAAAAGACTACTGATCAGAGGCTCCGGAGGATCTGTGCTGCGGCGTTCGGGCAGGGGGGAACTGCCTGGGGTCCCCGAGATCATCCTCATCGTATTCCGTCTGGTGGTATTCCCACAGCCATATGTTCCCATCCCACTGTGAGCCAGAGAGAGAGAGAGAGAAGGCCAAGTATTACATATGGTATCTTCTCCTGTGAGCAATGCAAGGCAGCTTCCTTATCTCAGTTTTGGCCTCAGGCTGAGCTGGGGGTCTGTGGCCGAGTCACCTGAGAAGCTTCATGGCCCAGAGGGGCTAGAACCCGGGGCCTCCTGGAGCCGGGGCAGAGGCTGCCTGCCGCCTCCGAATACTTGCCGAGCTGCTGACAATCTTTGCCTCGTAGGGGTGCCAACTGACGTCGCGGACGCAAGCGGTGTGGTTGATCAGCTTCTTCACGATAAGGCCGCTCAGGAGGTCATAGACTTTGGGCAGTGGGGAGGAAGTGGAGAAGACACGCATCACCAACAGGCTCCCCAACCTGGCGCCCTCCAGAGATGTCGGGACACAGCTCGTGGCAACCCCAGCCAGCAGGGGCCGCTTGAGGCTTCCGCCCCGTCCCACCCCCAGCGTGGATGCATCCAGCGTCACCCCTTCTGCCCTGCATATCCAGGCTGGCGCTGCCCACCCTCCTGGGCCACGTATCCAGGCTGGTGCTGCCCGCACTTGGCAGCAGCCACGTAGACGTGGCCATTACGTGGCCTGGGGGTCCCTGCCTGGAGGAGCTTAGAGGCAAAGCTCCAGCCTCTGGGGGAAAGGCGGAGGGGAGCGGAGGGGCGTGCCGGGAAGCAAGACTCAGGAGTCCAGCGATACGTGCTCGGGATCAGCTCCACGCTTGGCCACAGGAGACCGCCCACCCTGCAGTGGACTACAGCTCCTATCATCCCAGAGAAAGGCGAGGCGTGCAGTCCGATGCCGGCAGTTTCCCCGTCCCCAAGCAGCCTTCTGTGCCCGAGCAAAACGCCACCATCCTGCGAAAGGGAGGCCCCTGCGTCCCCTTGCCCCCCCGCCCCCCATGTGGTGCCGCCCTGCCCGTTCCGGGGGAGGCGAGGCCATGCCTGGCCCCCCCCCCCCCGCCCCCCCCCCCCGAGCCACTCACCCACGACCTTGCCGGTGGAGCACCCGCTGTAGATGTACTGCTGCCCGGTGCTGTGGGCCGGCGAGAAGCGGCAGCGGATGAGCGTGTGCAGCACCCCGTGGCCCCGGTAGGTCATGAGGGACGTGTCGCCCGGAAGCCGCGATTTGCGCCGAGCTGGCGGTGGGCGGGGAGAGAGAGCGTCAGGCCCCAGGCGGTCGCCCCTGCTCAGCCCCCCTCTGTGCGGGCGGGGGAGGGCGGGGGGTTCCTCCGCACCGTCGGGGCTGCCCACCTTTCTTCGGCACCTGCTGCCAGCGGTAATCCCAGTTCTGCTGGGTGACGGCTTGGCGGGACGCCTCCAGCCCCTCGCTGCCCGAGAACCTCCGCATGTCCCACAGCTTGATGGTCTGGTCCTTGGAGTTGGAGATGAGGTACCGGGCGTCCCCCTGGGAGAAGAAGGAGAGGCGGTGGAGGGGGGGCCGCTGAAGGTGCCACTTGCAGCGATCTTACCCTGTAGCCCCTCCTGCTGCTCCTCGGCGGGATAAATGCGTGGAAGCGCCCGTCCGGGTGCTCCGTTAAAGGAATGCGTAGCGCGACAAGGTATGTGCGCAGTAAGCAGGTCCCTGTGATTTCCCTCGAGAGTGCAGTGGACTTAGCTGAGCGTCTCTGCAGTGCCTTGAAGGGCACCCTGTGGACGTTTCTGATAAAAGCAGCGGGTGTGATCGGGGCAGCCCACTCTACTGCGAGGGGGGAAGCCCCCAGGAGCACAGATCGCCGGCGCGCCCCCCCCCCATTCTTCTCGTCCAACCCAGCACGGCTGCCGTCCCTCCAAGGGGCACGAGGTCAAGGGAGGCAGGGTGCCTGCCTACCTTGCTGTCTATGAAGGTGATGCCGTCCTGGTGGCCGGCCAGGATCCCCACCGGCCGGGGATCGTCCTCCCGCATGGTCCGCCGGTCCCACACTTTGCAGATGGCGTCGTCACCCCCGGAGAAGAGGATGTGGGAGCTGCTGTCGGCAAAGGCGACCGCGTTCACGTCATCTTCGTGGGCCTCGATCTGCGGGGACGGCAGGTGCTTAGGGGGGGTGAGGGGGGCTTCTGCTTGCAGGGTGGTGGGACGGCTGAGGCATGTCCGGAACCGCGGCTCTGAGGACCCCAGACCTCCTCGATTCTGCGAGTCCTAGTCCAGCACACCTGCAAGCTGCAGTGCAGCGTTGAGCTACAGGCCAGCAGCGGCTTAACTTCCCACACGCGAGATGCGAGGATGCGGATATATCGAACGAAAGCTTTCTGGGCTCAGGCGGAGGGACCTCCACTCAGCAAGTCCTGGCCTCACCAGTTTAGAAAGGGCAGGGCAGGCCAGGCGGGGCGGGGGGGGGCACACAAAGTACTCCACGGACGCAGGGAAAAGGGGAGGCGGGTCGGGCACCCTCAGACGGGCACCCAGGGAAAAGTTCTAGAGAGGTCCCTGGATCCTGTCCTGTGGGGACCTGAGTTTGGAACAAGGTTCTGCACGCGACAGGAGTGGATGTTTGGGCGATACCCCTGCTGGGAACTCTCGGCCCAGTTTCTGGAACTGCCTGGGTCAGGCACCACACAGCAGCCTGGAACCCGGCGACAGCGGCTGAAATGATGGCTGCTGGTCCGTGGAGAAGCTGCAGGGCCTCCTCACAACATGGAGCACAGAGATGGCAGCACGTGAGGGGAGGACACTGGGAAACGAGGCGAAACAGGCTGTTCACGGTGCTTGGACCTTCCTGATCCAACAGTGACATTAACAGCTATTACTTTACTTAGCGTTCCCCAGCCTGGAACCCGCCAGATGCGCTGGGCTACGCTAGCCACCCAGCAGGGACGGCTACGGGTGCTGACAATCACAGTCACACACCTCTGGAGGTTGGGGAAGGCAGCGTTCACTTAATGCACACTGTCTGGTAAGATTGGCCTATTTATTATGATAGCTATAAGCCACCGCAATATTTCTTTTCTGTGTCTTTGCCCTTCCCTTTGCTTCCAGGTTTTGTATTTGAAGAGAGACAGAGAAGAAGGAGAAGGCCATTATTTTCAGAGAAGGGGAGAGGCAGGAACAGGGAGGGGATGAGTGGGAAGGGGAAAGCAAGGCGTGCCAGGGCAGGGCGAGACATAGCTACCTTGAGGGTCCGCTTATTCTGCTCCATATCAAACACGTAGACGCAGCCATAGTTGGCCCTAGGTTTAAAACCAAAAGGGAGTGGGTGGGAGAATCAACACAGTGCAGGCAGGGGGGAGAGGCGGACGCGAGGACACGAAGGCCAAGCTGGCCAGTGGGCTTGAGGGGATGTCTTCAAATGAGGAAAAAAAAAAGTAACTCTAACTCACGTAAGACATTTTAATCTAACTAGGGTGCCATTTAGCACACGTTCGGACTTAAAGCACAATGCCGGGGAAGCTTAGAAGACAAATGTCACAGAGCTCAGGTCTGCGTTGTGTCCTTTGGCCACTGAAGGGGAGGAAGAGCCGGCCGTCGATCCTAGTGAAGCTGAGGCGGGGAGGCCGTGCCGTCTCGCCTCTTGCTCCAAAGCAGCCGGACGAGAGCGGCTCGGGGAGGCAGACGTGGGGAGCAAGAAGCAGGGGTTTCTCAGCGCCCTCTTGGCCCGTCGGGGCAAGGGGGATGAGGCGGCGGCGAGACGGTCCACATGGTCAGAGAGCCGCAGCACGGATGTCTCTCAGCCCGAGGGCCGAAGCCCATCCTGGGCAGCTCTGAGGGACCACATTGCAGCGGTGGGTGGAACCAAAGGCCAGGCAGCGAGGCCAAAACAAAAGGTCGCAGCCCACAGCTCTTCTCGCTATGAACCGAGCCTGAGGAGAGGCAAGTCAAGCTTTGAAAATGGGGGAAGCCACCCACTGACTGATGCTTCAGGAAAGGGAGCGGGACCAGGAGGAGGGGGCACCGCCATCCAAGGAAGCCCAGGGGGCTGAGCGGGCCGGAGGCGCCCCGCTTCTCTCACAGAAGAACGCCTCCTTCCTGCATCCAGGTGTCTCCTCAGTCCGAGCACAAAAGCTTTACGCAGGCTCTGTGCCGAGAGCAGAGCTTGGGCGGGGACTGGGCAGCAGGCACACTTACCCACCCAGCACTTCCCTGCCATCTGAGGAGACGGCCAGCGAAAAGACGGCAAAGCGGCGCTCGTCAGGCCTGTGGAGAGAAGGACGTTGGGACCGGGAGCGGGACCCCTTTCATTCCACTAGGGTGGCTGGGCTCTCCGCATTACCTCAGATCCAGCGCTGTGTGGGTGTCGCTCTCCCCATAGATATTACAGATGTGAACTAAGGAGAAAAACCGATCCGGGGGGTCAGGCGTGCAGCGAGGTCAGGCGGATGCACAGGGGACCCTCCTCCGCCCCAGAAGGGGGGAGCCGCACTCACTGTAGTCTGACCAGCTGGAGTAGAGGAAGTGGGCCCCGTCGGGAGTGAAGGCGACATCCAGGATACTCCAGCCCACGTCTCGGGCTTTGATGCTCCGGAACTTCCGAAAGGCTCCGTAAGTGCAGTCATACAGGCGGATTCTCTGATCTGGAGGGGGAGCGGGAGGGGGAACAGAAGAGAATCTTGCCCACAAGGCCTTGCAGAACAGCCTTCCTTATCCTTCTCTCTGCCTGGATGAACGCCGAGGCAAAGTGACTGGGCACTGGGCACTGAACTCTAGGCAGGAACTTGCTACAGGTGATCAACCAAAGCACCCTGGGTAGTAAGTCAACTGCCACCCAAAGGACCAGACTCTGAATATTTAATTTCATTGATTCCATTGATTTCCCTATTGGGTTTTTAATTGAATTTATTAATTGTTATTAGATTATTATTATACTGCCCATAGCCAAAGCTCTCTGGGCAGTTTACAGCCATCTTCATAGAATCTTACACGCAAGTCATCCATCCCAATTCTGACCAGGCCTGACCTTGCTTAGCTGCCAAGATTAGGCAGGATCAGGAGCTTCCTGAGCCAAATAAGAGGCTGTTGATTGCCTTTGGGGAACATGCAAGGGAACAGGCCTGTGCAGGGTGGGACAGAAAAGGTCCTTCAACTCCCAGCATCCCGTTGTGGGACTTCTCCTCTGCCGTGCTTGGGATGCTGGGATTCCACGGCCCAGAGCTGCTCGTCTGCTCCCTGCCATTCAAGGAGAGCATGCTGGCTTGAAACGGCCCGGGAATGCCCTAGGATGGCTGTGCTCCAGCACACGCATTACCCACAATGCCAGTGACTTGTACTGCTGAAGAACATTGTGGGAAGCTGCCAACAACGGCAAGCAGGGAAAGCGGCGTCCGAAAGGAACGGCAAAACTCCCCGAATCCTAAAAACTGCACGGTACCTTGACAAGCAGACATGAAAAGCTGCCCATCACGGGAATAGATCCCGCAGAAGGCCTTCTGGGCATACGAGTCTGTGAAGGCCAAGCGATTGGGGAGAAAGCTGGAAAAGGAGCACAAAGGAGCTTTCGGTTATTCTGGAGGAGGGTCGCCCTGAGGCTCACAGGCCCCCTCAGCTCTAGGACACGAGCCCCGGGCCTCCCCTGCCAGGTACTCACTGTGACACCATGCGCGAGCACTCCCCAGGGGAGAAGCTGCCGTTGTGGCAGAGGCCTCGCTCCCTCTGTGTGTGGGGGGGTGGGGTGGAGGGAGAGGGAGAGGAAGAGGAAGAAGAAAGCACCGTCACGCCCCTCATAGGGCCTGCATCACAGCCATCCTTCCCCCCTGCGGGGTGGGCCACTTCCCTGGCAGATCCTCTATGGGGGCCAACGCTGATGCTGAGCAGAGCCAGGGCCAAAAGCAGGTGGGCCGCCCCTTTCCTCTCCCCCACCCCACCCAGCAGGCTGCTGGGCAACACACGGCCCGTTCCTGCTGGACTCTGATTCCACGCGGGGGGCTTCTGAGATGGTGCCCACCCTCTACTAGAAGGGAAACGATCCAGGGCAGGCCAGTGCGATGCTCCATCTGGTTATTATTTCCTTATTATTCCAACTCCATTGTTTCTTCTCAAATATTGAAAGCAAAGCAATCTCAGGGCATATTTCTCTATCTAAACATACTATTTACCACTCTCCTTAAAAAGCTCCTTCCAAAACTTAATTATATATTCACACTCCCACCCATATGAAAATATGTACTACTTCACAACCACATCTCCAACATAAATTGGAGTATTTGTTGTCTATTCCATTCAACTTCACCAGAGTTAGGTACCATTTCCATATGATTTCATAAAAATTTTTCTTTTATTCTTACTGACATATATTTGACTATCCTCTTCATCTAAGTATTTTCCCAATCTCCATAAGTGACGTTCTTCCTCAAGTCAGTTGCCTGGGAAAGTGTTTCAAAGCACATAGGCCACAGCTAAGAAGGCGCAATGCTCTCATGCGCAAGCACACCACTGGCAGGGCTTCCTCTGAAGCCCAAGTACGTGGGTGGAAAGTGACAGAAGGACCAAGATCAGCTTTCCTGGGCCCAAACCTCAAAGTCATCTGCTAATCAGGGTCCTGCCTGAACATGGGAAGCGAAGGGTCGCAGAATGGTTCTCCCTCCAGGTGCAGAGTTTATTTCAAGCACATCCGAATGCAGGACACCAATTCAGATTAGAGACACCACATCCGGACAGGACAGATGTCAAGTGTCTCTCTTTCCCAGAATTAAGCATTGCCTGCAGCTGGGGAACCGGAGGAGGCTGCTTCCCAGCTTCAGATCTGCAGACTGCCACTCTCTGAGGCTGCCCTCTCTGAACCACCTCTCAGCACCCCAAATAAATCAACGTGGCACCTGGCAAAGCAGCCGGGGAAAGCTGCGGTCATCTCGCCCAGAACCCAGCCTGCCTGTTGCCAACTGGATGCGTGTTTTGATCTCGTTGCACTCCAGATCACGGGTATCTGGTGTCAAATCCACTGCAGAAAATGAAAGTATGAGAGAAAGAGATCAGAGAAAAGATGCTGCCCCTACTTCACCTAGGCAACACCTAACACATTCACCAAGTTAACTTTGTAGCCTTGAGAGTCAGGGACTTTATTATTATTATTATTATTATTATTATTATTATTATTATTATTATTATTTAAAAGCAGAGATTTCAGAATCCCGCAAGGAACTGTGGACCGCATGCAGCCCTGGCTAGAACTCATTAGGTTCCCGTCCTCTTCAAACCTAGGGGTAAAAAGCTCAACTCCCAGAATCCTCGCCTGATTTCCTAGATCAAACTCTCCACCAACAACTGGGTTTCAATCCCACTGGATTTACTGCTTTGTAACTCAACAGAAAGCAGCCTTCAACCTGTGAGCCTAACCTGGCCAGTTCGTGGAGCTTTCTCAGGTCATCACTCCCCCTCCTGAACATCACTGCATCGTTCACCACCCACGACTGAAGCTAGGCTCCGATCCTCGTCAGGATCACTTTTTCCTCTTGCTGCCTCTATTTTTACCCCAATTTTAAAAAGTACCATTGACAAGAATTCTCTAAAAAAACCACCAAAAGGCAGCAGAGCCTCAGCAATAACAAAAAAAGCACGAGAGAGACAGAGAGAGACAGAGACTGACCACAAGCAAGCTTGCCTGCCTGCCTTTAGTTTGTTTTCTACTGCATGGAGTTCACTGCAGCTTGATTCTATAAACACAAATAAAATTGAACTGTGTTTCTGGTAGTTTTGTTTTCCTTCTGCGCAAACATACACACAGTATATTGTGAAAGCTCCAAGGGATTAGTCTGGCAACATTTTAAAAATAATCTGTGCAGCCCCCAGGAACCTTCGATGATTTAGGCCTAAAATGGTTCCTCGCTCTGGAGTTACACCTTGAGAAACACGCCAGTGGGAGGCCACGGATCCTTGGCTTCCGTGCGCAGCAGCTGCCTTGTACCTGGGGGTTTATACTGGTCTCCTAATCGCCCTTCCCATGCACTGTCATTGTCGTCGTCCGAGTCGGAGAGTGTCTGGAAGACCCGAACGCTGGCTGCTCCTCCACCCTGCATCAGGTGGAACTGTCCCCTGGGAAGAGCAGGAGAGAAGCAAGGATTAGGAATCGCAGATCCGTCTTGCCACCTGGCGCAAACCCCCAATCACAGGACGTGTGCGATGGAACACTCGGGAACTATTTTCACTAAAGCGTCTGGGGAGCCCCCCACCAGGACAGGGCCTTGTGGTTGAGCAGAGGGGAGACCAACGGATCCTTGTGTCTCCTTGACTCCCCATGCCAAGGTTGGGAGTCAATAAAGACGCCCTGACTTTACACTGGGAGGTCCAGGAGGCTGCATGTGAGGAGGGAGGAGAGAGGCTGCCATCTGTTTAGAACAGCCTTCTCCAACCTGGTGCCCTCCGGACGTGTTGGACTGCAAGTCCTATTTTATATGCAGATATAAGGTTTTCAGTATTTTTAAGCATCCCAGAGAGCTCTGTGGCCCACTCATGAGATCATGTGGAAGAAAGATGCAGAAAGCACGCAGGGAGGTGTCCCCTTCTAAATGTCTCTGAAGACTTACCAGGCCTGTTTCAGGACAAGGGCACAACACTATGCACAACCTCCAAAGTATGTAGTCATATTCTCTACCTTTCGCATGCAGAGGCCCCCTTTTCCCATTTACCTGGAAGGACTCCTAGAATCATGATGCTACATGCAGAATCCTGTTTTAAAAAACCTGGATTTTTTTCCCATTCTGTGCAATAAATTTGCAAGTTAACACCAAGGGTTGCCTAGAATTACTGCACACAAACACACAAGTTATCCCTCACTTTTGCAGAAGTGGCCATTACACACATTATAATATCAAATAACACACAACATCAGACTCAGATACAGCCTCCACTCAGCTGGAAACGCATCCCAGCGAACGAGCTAAACAGTTACCTCGGCTTAGACAACAGACATATCCCCTCTTCCAATCTATTCCTCCTCTGCACTTTTTACAAAGGAGTCATGCAATGTTCAGCCATGGTGCCTGTATCATTAAATACACCCATATTTCCTTACAAATATGATACACTGCCTCTCAGATACACACAACCTAACTTCAAAATTCTATATTCCAGCAAGGAGAAAAAAAATCAACCACGACTGACTATTCCTACAGGGTCTCAAAAGATCACAGGCCAAAGACTACCAGATCTCACTTGCTAAGAAGGCTGGGCTTTCTCTGACCAGCGTTATTAGTCTACACATGAAAGGCACAATCAGTTCCTCAGAAGTTACAGGACGGCCTCGGCAGTTAAAGGCAGCCTATAAATACACATTTAAATAAATAAATAAATTCCTCTTCACTTCCTGTCTTGCAGTCCTGCAGGGAACTCTCCTTCCTGGGATGGTGGTGCCTCACATTCTGTTCCCAGTCTTTTTGAAGTGGCTATGTCATGTGACAATATTTCCATCAAAGGAAATTTCTAAGCAACGTATTGCATATTATAACTGCATGCTGAAGATAAGATGTGCCTTTCTAGAAATGCTCGATGCAGCAACTGCATTTCCATAAGCTCTGGCACCTGTCTAATCCACACTGGTAGGGAGTTCCATGAGTGAGCACTAGGATACTAAAGACCAAGCCATCAGGGCCCAAACCATTGGCATCTCAGCCACTGCCAGCAGACTGCCATTTTCATCTGGAGGAGTCTCATGTCCTGCTTTCCACGGGCTGCTGGATCAGCAGAATGCTGGACTGGATGGCCACTTGGTCTGATCCAGCACTGCCCTTCTTGCATCCTTGAGATATCCCCCATATCCATCATTTGACTGAAAAGGGGGGCAGGGGGGTGAGTTACCTGCGCAGTAGATATGCCAGTACCTGGGCCAGATCCACATCCTCGTCGTCTTCTTCCTCACTACGCAAGCTCCCTGAGTTCCTTTGAGACCAGCTGCCCTGGTTATCCCGGCTCCCGGAGCCAGCGTTGCTACTACTGCGGGAGCCCATGTCTTACGGCATTCTCCAGGTCAGACCCTCCTGATGTTCAGTAACCAAACGGGGGGACAGAATCCTTCCTGAAAAGGAAAATCCTGAGCCACTAATTAGAGAACTTTTAACATGGGGTGGAGGGGAGTATTTTGCTCTTGCGGCGGCGCCCGGCCACTTGCCAAGCACGTCCCTCCTTATCCAGGAGGCAAACCTGATCCTTCCTGCTACACCACGGCTCCCCTCCCATCAGAACTTTGGACTCAATGCTGCCACTTCCAGAAACGGGCAGACACTACTCTCCAGGTGAAGGTTTTCCATGCCCCCCATTGCTCCCCCGACCTCTAACCTCAACCCCTGCCATCTCCACCAATCACCGCATTCTGCACTGAAAGGGCTGCACGGCTCCCTTTGGGGTTCAGCCCCATATCTGCAAGGGGCTCATCTAGAAATTACCGCCCTGGCTCCCCACAGAGCTTCCCGAGAACTCTCCTACATCGGTCAATATACAACAACCGCAGGTCTCCAATCAAGACCCACTGTAGCGACTGGGCCAATAAAAAGCACTTTTCAGGCGTTTCCGTCCTCTCAGCCAATGGGCACGCCCCATGCTCACAGCTCCTCCAATCAGCAGTGCCCATAGTGGGGGGACACTCTTGCTACCCCTTCAACGTTCTATGCAAACTGCCCAGTCTCCCCACCAATCAGAACGCCCCTCGCACTGTCTCACGTTCTTACCGAAGCTGTTCCCCTTACCTCCCCCTTCCTTTGCGAGCACAACTCGACCAATCCAAAGCGGCTACGGCTGCCCCCTCCCTTCCCGCGAGCGCGAGACCCTCCTCACCCACTAACGGCCGCCGCGCGAGGCCTTGTTTACATCTTAAGGAGACAGCCGCCCCGAACCGGACTGGAGAAGCGAGTGGGAGGGGCAACCCGGCTGCTGATTGATTGGCTACTAGTCACAACCCCACGTGGGTCAGCTTGTGGCTTTTAACAGCTCTGCGTTTCTTTGATTGGCTGCTTTAAGTCCTTTCTAGTTTGAGGTAGGGACAGAAAAAATTCCGTCACGCCAGAAGCCAGGTGATAAGGTAAACCAGTCGCCAATTGGGCAAATAAGTGGATGACGTGGAAGGAAAGGCGGGCGATGGACTGAAGAGTCGATCTCGAATTGGTTCTATTGATTTTGACCGACAGTTCGTTGTTAGTTGTGTAATCTGTGCCAGCTATGGGCCGAATGATCAACGACAAACCGATAGGAGGCGGGCTTCTGAGGCGAATACGTGGCCTCTGATTGGGTACAGTTGGAGGCGGGCTCTGACGATACAAATAATAAAACTTCATCGCAATTCCGCTTTTTTTCCTCAGAATGACCCTTTATCGCTCAGCATCCAGCCCCTAAACTATATTACTTTCTCACTGGACATGGACTGCTTCCCCAGTCACAAAGTACATTCACACGTTACGTACACGTGCAGGCTCTTAGGCAAAAGGAACCCGCTTGGCATCTGCCCCAGGAGATGGGGACTTCTTCAACCTGGCGCCCTCTCAGAGTTCCCCCCCATAACTCCCAGCGTGGCCAACGGCGAGGAATGCTGGGAGGTGTAGTCCAAGCAGCTGAAAAGGCCCCTGGCTATAACTGAAATAATGCGTATTTCTCCACTCACCCTTGTTGCCTTCTCTGTGCTTTGAATTTTTTTGTAGCTTTTGTTAACCCTCCAAACAGCCTCGGCTATTGGGCGGTATAAAAATAAATAAAATTATTAAAATGAAATTCTTAATCCCTTCGGGCCTGTCATACTCCTTACAAAATTATTGTTGTAAGCCGCCCCGAGGCTTCGGCAAATGGGGCGGCATAAAAATGTTTTAATAAATAAATAAATAAATAAACAAAAATAAAAAAAATTCCTTCCTCAGGGATTCCCGGGAGATGGCTGGCAGCCCACCCACCTCTTCAAACTGGTGTTGACTTTGATTTTGTTGCGAAGAAGCACTCAAAATGCTTGAAAACATCCAGTGGGCACCAGCGTGGGTGCTGCAGGCACCCTGAGCCCACTGGCCTCTTGTGGTGGCTGCCATTCCCCTAGCTTTTAGTATTTCTTTTAATGCACTTTGTTTTTCCAACTGGGAGGCTGGCCTGCTGCAAGCCAGGGACCTGTTCTCCAGCACCAGCTACATTTGGGTTCAAAAGCATGGTTTTCTTGGATGTATGCTTAGGTTCTTGGAAAAGCTGATTTTCCTTGAGGCTTCTGAGAAATGAATGTTTTGAGGCTGACCAGGGCCCCCATAGTAGCCATTTTATGAATTAGCAAGCCCTCTCCCATGGCAGTCATTTTGTGAGAGTCTCCGCAACACTTTCCAAATGCACCCACCTACAAAAAAGGTTGGGGTCTTCAACACAGACCCCCTCCCCACACAGACTGACTTTGCAAGGAATCAGCACGAGCACAAGACATCAGTTTAGAACATCCACTTCTTTTTATTTCTTGATACTTCTATTCTCATTCATGTTTGTTATTAGTAAAAATAGTATGCATTTTTATTTTACTTTTAAAAAACACACAAATTGTCAAATATCCAGCTCACATTCTGGGTTCTATTCCAGCTGCTGCTTCATTTCTGCTTGAAACTGCACCACTAAATGTGTAATCCTAAAAGGACAGCGATCATATATTGACATTTTGGCCCACCCTCATTCCCCTTTTCTACTTCCCCCTCAGTCTTCTCTCACTCACTTCCCACCCCAACCCTGATGGACTGATTCTCCAGCCAGGGGAGGAAAGGAAGAAAAGTAAAAGCTGATTAATCATTGGCATCGGCTAATTAATTGAAATGTTCACATCTAGGAATGTAAAAACAAAGGCACATTTAGATTACGGTGGTGGACACCAGTAAAGAAAACACCGTCTCTGATCAGCATCTGGTGGTATTTTTTGCTGGCAAACTGTAACAGAGTCATGTATTTGGCTACAAAAAGGCACATGTTTGTAACTCCCACCTGATGCTGGCTACCCTAATAGGACTAGATTATTGTTGCCCTGCTTGCTCTTGGTTGCACTGCTGTGATGTCATTGAATTTTCATTGACATTCTGAGTGCTTAAGGGAAAGCTACGCAATGTTAAGAGCAGATTAAAGCGATCAGTGGCCCTCAGTTAGGTAAACAGTGATCTGGACAAAGGTTGATGATGGAATGATAGGGAGAGGGAGCCAAAATTCTGTCCAAAGATAAAACAAAGTAAGTTTCATTTTAATAGCATATTTTGGTAAAGAATTAGTCTTCTTTTGGTCTCATTTGCCCCCACAACAGCCCTATAAGGTAAGTGAGACAGAGTGGTTTTGCTGAGGTAAGCATAATTCAAGAGGAGCCCAATTCAAGGATTACCCCAGTCCATACACAACACTTTCATCTCCACACTGCTCCCTTGCTCAGGTTTCATGGGTAGCTTAACTAAAGCCTGACAGAGTTCTTAATTTTCCTTAAACCAACTTTGATGTATTATTCTTCCGGGGAAAGACAAATGCTTTGCAAGGGAATTCCACTGAAGTTTGAAACAGGATAATGCAAAGGTTGAGAGTTGCATTTGGACTGTAGCTCCCATTATCCCCCAGGCAACATAGCTAATAGGATGGTGGGGATGACACTCCCACGCATCTGGAGGGCACCAGATTGGTGAACGCTGGTGTGGACATCAGTAATAAGGGACACTGGGCTTTATCATCAGCACTAAGCTTCCAGTCATGGAATGTTCATAAATATTCTAACTGTGAGAGGAAAACTTCCAGCCAGAGAAAACTGAGACATTCAAATTATATAGCTGTGTTAACTGTTTTGCTGTTGGATGGGGCATGTTGGAGTTGTTGGGTTTTCTTCCCTAAATGTACATAGCATTGCACTTTAAACTACGCAGAACAATTTTTTGCCTGACACAGAAAAGCAGCCAACTTGCTCCCTGTTTGCAGAATGTATAAATCATAAAATCTATTGGAGCTGGGGTGGTATGCAGGTACAGATTAGCAGCAAGCCCAGAAAGTGACGGAGGATTAGCACCTACTGTTTTGTCAGATTTGAGCTATTTTATAGGAAAGCTGGTCTCAAGATTCTGCTAAGGAACGGACCCCTGATGTAGAATCTTATCGATGGAAGAGCTTCCAGTGCTGTCAGTATCACAAGCTAACTATCAACTCGTTTTCCATTCATGCTCCCAAGCGGAATGAGTCTAGTGGGCATTCAAGCTGGGATCTGAAGATGTGCACCAAGCTAGCTTAAGGTTTCCTCACATATCTCCCCCGCACACACACCGTTTTTGCAAAGTAGTCTTCACCAAAAAGAAAAGGCAGTCTGTGGCAGGTCAAAACAACGACTCAGTAACAAGGAAAGACACACAGACAAGTAAATTAGCCTCAGAAGAGAAGAACGACACACATGAGGAAAGAAGATGGCGGATCCTTTCCACCTCGTTTCTCGGCAACCAGGCAAGGAGAGTGGCACAGAAAGGAAAGCAGATGTATCAAGAAAACGGACTCACAGAGAGGAACTAGGTATGGCTCAGGTTGCCTGAGAAGCCAGATGGCCACCTTGCGACCATGGAAAGAAGAGCGCTGACTCCCAGTGGCCAGAAAGGGTTAGCTGGCAAGAAGTGGGGAAGGGAAATTCTGTAAACATGCTCTCTGCTATCTCCTCCCTCTCCCCATCGGAGATACAGAGGACGTGTCTTTGGTTCTTTTCTTCTTTTTCCAGGTCCCTCACATCTTCTTCACTCGGTCCTCCAGAGCCTCCAGTTCCTTCATGACTTCCTTGGGCAGGTCCTGGGGAACTTGTTCTGTCAGGTACTGCCTTATTTCCCGGACTTCTTGTTGCCAGAATTCCTTGGGTAGTGAGAAAAGCTCTTGATGGCTGACTTTGCTGAGGCCTGACATGTCTAAGGCGCCTTCTTTTGGGATGTACCCAATGGGGGTTTCCTTGGCGCTCGCTTCCCCATCAACACGGCGGAAGATCCAGTCGAGGACTCGAGAGTTCTCCCCGAAGCCTGGCCACAAGAAATTCCCGGCTGCATCCTTCCGGAACCAGTTGACATGGAAGATTTTCGGAAGACGAACACCCTTGCGTTCTTCCATGCTCAACCAGTGCTCCAGATAACGGCCAAAATTGTACCCAAAGAAAGGACGCATGGCAAAGGGGTCGTGCATGATGACCTTACCTGTAACGATCGGGGACAGGGAGCAGAGGGGCAAAGAGAGGTGTGCAAATCTTTAAGTTGGTAGTGTTACCTGAAACATACTCTCTCACAACACTTAGGCTAACCACTTAGTCAGAAATCTGCAGCCATGTTGTACTGCCTGTCCAGGAGGGAGTGGGGAGGTATGGAGAACCCTGGGTGAACTCCTGGGACAGGATGACTGGATGTCAAAGAGGGTAAATGAGAAGGATCTTTGGAGCCTGGGACCGGTTGGAATCCAGGTGAAGTCTCAATAAAAGTAGCAAATTGCATTATAAATTACTAGTAGGTGAGAAACATAGAGCGGGTGTGAATAATTCAGAGATAATCAACAGACACACGAGAAAGGGGAGTCTCTGGATAAATAAAGAGTTTTCTATAAACTAACAAATAGAGCAAAGAATAATGGGGAAATGAATTTACTTTGTATCCGGACAACATGTTATGACGTAGGGTATATAATGTATGCTCTCTGTACCTCTTTCGAGACTCTGATTTGGGAAGCATCTCCCCTTTGTCTCCATTTATTCTATAGTGCACCAGAATAAAACTGCTATTAGCTCTAAGTCTCGTCTCAGGCTCTGTTTGGCTTTGGGTCTGGGGTCCACCCGGGGTTTGCCCCAGCTGGTAACAGTAGGTGTGCATTGGCGATGGCGCAGGTCCCCAGATTGAGTCTGTGGTCCCTGCCTGCCCCATGGCACCCGCCACCCTTGCTGACCCTCCTCAACTGCATTTGGATTTGCAGGTTTTTAAAGGTTGTTTTGCATTCGGAAGCTTGGCGTATCGCGAAGCAAAGGGGTCTCCTCCAGTGCCGCCTCCATTTCAGTTTGAAACTGTGGTTTGCGCTTCAGAACTCAGCCCCACCTCTGCCTTGCACTGCGGTTCTTGCACAAAAGGACACACATTTTAGTCTACTAGCAAACGTTACTTTTAGTCTCTTCTAGCAAACGACGGTTTCGTACCTGGCCCTCTCCGCTTGGCAGGCATTCTGTGCATGGGCAGCTTGTGCCCTAAGGCAGCCATCTTGTGGGAATGCCTACGGCACCCTCATAATTCCAGCATGCCCACGCACCCACAAGGTTTGGGCATTCTTACATTCCTACTGCCGGGAGCTGAAGATATTCCCAACAGCTTTATCGCCATCTTCCATGGGCAACCATCTTAAGAGCCAAGGAGAAGTAACTGAGAAATTGAGCAAATGAACAGAACTGGCGGGCGGAGGGGGGGCTCACCTTTGTGTTCAGCTGCTGCAGTGGACTCGGATCTCATGGCACTGCCCACGAAGACGCCGTGGCGCCAGTTGAAGGCCTCGTACACCAAGGGGACACCTGTGGGGGAGAGTATGTGTGAGGGGAAACAAGCAGGTCACTCCGTGGATGCACCAGGGCTCCGGAGATCTGGAAGAGGCACGTGGCACATGGCTCACCTGCTGGCCTTCTGCCCCCGAAGATGATGGCATCAATCGGGACACCCTCGGGAGACTCCCAGTCCGGGTCCATGATGGGGCACTGGCGGGCCGGAGCGCAAAAGCGGGAGTTGGGATGAGCTGCGGGTCCCGGATCACCTGGCCAGGGAGAGATCCAAGAGTTCGGGTTTAGGGAACTCAGGAAACAACGGCATCTGGGAATCAAGCTTTGCTGAGAAGAGACATCCCAAATTTGCCAGAGCGGGTACTTTGTGATGAGAGACAAGGCATTCTGTACATGACTAGAGAAACTCTCTTCTTTCTTACATCTTGCTGAAACGTGTTGGTTCAGAACACCCGTCAGCTCTCGCCAGCATGGCCAGTGATGGATCTTGTTTTACCGCCAACGTCTAGAACCATACGCCCCCCACCCCTGCCCTAGAAGGCAAGGGAGGCCATATTCCCTCCCACCCCTCCACCCACCCCCAGAGGGGCCTGAACCTCTGTCTCTGAGCTCCGAAGCCAGTGCCCGAAGCAGGGGGGACTTGGCCACCCAGTCCCTAGGCCCTCCCGTGGCCACCCAGACACGAGCACACCAGCGCTTACCTGGCTTCCAGGGCTTGCCCTGCCAGGTACTGATGGTCACCCCAGGTGGGATCATCTGGTCGATGCCCTCCCAGTAGACGCCCCCTTCACTGGTCTCAGCGACATTGGTGAAGATGGTGTTGCGCTGGATGGTGTGCATCGCATTGGGGTTGGTCTTGGTGGATGTGCCCGGTGCCACCCCAAAGAAGCCGTTCTCCGGGTTGATGGCGCGCAGGCGGCCTGCAGGGGACAGAAGAACTGCATTCACGCCTGAGCTCTTGCAGGGATGCGGCCTGCTGGCCTGGCTTGCCTTTCCGAGGTATTCCCTTCTCCACTGTGGAAGCGGAGAAGCCCTCTGAAAACTGGAGAAATCGAAGGATATGATCTCGCAGGAAGCCCTGCGGATGGCGGCTCCCTCTTCTCTTTCGTTGTTGTTTAGTCGTAAAGTCATGCCCGATGGATATCACAGCCCCATGGACAACATTCCTCCAGGTTCTCCTGCCCCTCCACCATCCCTTGGAGTCCACCCAAGCTCACACCCACTGGGTCAGTGACCCCATCCAGCCACCTCATTCTCTGCCGCCCCCTTCATCTTTTGCCATCTAAAGAGCAGTCAGGGTTGATCTCCTCTAGGACTGACCGGTTTGATCGCCTTGCGGTCCAAGGGACTCGCAGGAGTCTCCTCCAGCCCCACAATTCAAAGGCCTCGGTTCTTCGGCGCTCAGCCTTCCTTATGGCCCAACCTCTTCTCTTAGCTTTCTTTAACCTGGCATCCTCAGGGTATGTTGGACAAATGTTGGCTGGAGCATGCGGGGAGTTTTTGTCCAACACCCCGAGGGTGGCAGGCTAAAGAAGACTGTCTTATGCATCTAAAAACCATAAGCCCTTCACCCCACACCCCACATCTGCAAAGAGCGGGGGCCGAGATTCAGCCAGTGGCACTGAACCGGTTTGCGCAGGACTGGCCAGGCAGTTGGCCCTCTTGCGCACCTGCCCACGTCAACCAGGCAAAGAAAAATACGCGATTTAGTCTATCGATCCGTTATATTGTCTCGCCCAGCCACCAGGGAGTTCCTGGGGCACGTTGCTGGCGATGATCTGATCTGGCCTCGATGACACGCATCTCACTTCTGCATCGCGATGCGCTCTCCATGGTGCTGCCCGTGCAAACTGGTGGAAACATCAGTTGGTCCAACGTGTGGCAGCCGGATTGTTCACCAGGGCCGGTAACAAGGAGCGTGCGGCTCTCTCGTTCAGCAACAGCTCTGTGTGACTTTTAAAGGCCTACATGGCGTTCCCCAAAGGACAGCTACACGGCGTTCCTCAAAGGACAACATCCACCCACTAGAGCGTGCCGAGATTTCAAGATCCTTTGCAGAGAGTTGCTTTTCTGTCCTGCAGCCACTGCCTGGTCCAAGTTTTCCGAGCCCCTGGACAATGTCTCCCTCCCAAGACAACCAGCAACCGAGATGGGTCTATCCTGATTACGTATTGTTTACATCAAATATCGATATATCACAATTCATTACAGAAGCATTCATTACTGGATTGATATATTTTCATTAGAATTTCCTTATCCCCTTTGTCTTTTGTTGGTAGCTGCCTCGAGTATCAATTTTAGCAGAAAATGAGGATTGGTATTTAATAAATATATACAGTGATATAAACACATGAAGTTCCTCTTTGCAGACTTTCGTCCACACAGCAAAATGTGGGTTATATGAGAAACGAAGAGAATGGCCAGAGATTTAAACTCGAGATCTTTCAGTCTAAATCCAGGACGCTGGCCACTTAAACACACACACAGATCCAAAACAAGTTCACAAAATAAAGTCATGATCAAGGTCTTGCTCAAATAATTTGGGGCAGCTCTCGGGGTCCCGAGTCGGGAAAAAGCTGCGTTTCTCCGCCTGTCCGAATGCGCCACTCACCTTCGCTGTCGAACTTCATCCAGGCGATGTCGTCCCCCACGCACTCCACCCTCCAGCCCGACAACGTGGGGTTCATCATGGCCAGGTTGGTCTTCCCACACGCACTGGGAAATGCGGCAGCCACATATTTCTTTTTGCCGTCGGGGTTCGTGAGCCCCAGGATCTGGAAGGCAACATGAATTGTCTGTCAGTGGCAGAGGAGCTCTGCAGGGAAGCAACGTGTACCCCCCATGGCCTGCAGGGAGCTCTTTCTTTGTGAGAAGACCTTGGCCCGACGCACGACCCAGTTCCTCGCCTATGAAAGCGTGGCCAAATGCAAGCACAAAGAGCTTTGTTCACTGTGCCAATCAAAAAATGCATATTTCAAGATGCCGTATTCTAAGCAAGTTTAAACAAAACAAAGCCTACAGCTTGAAGGATGTGCCAGCCAGTTAATCAGATTGGGTGGCTTCCCAGCCTTCCAGCAGTTCCTAACAGAAAGGGATTTGAGTTGAAACAGGCTGCCATTTTGGGGCTTTTTGGTGCCGCCCCAATTTCCTGTAGCCCCGCCTACCAGAGGAATCAAAGCCCCAGAGCTTCTGTGAAATTGAATTACCTGCTCAGACTAAAAGGGGTTCCCCACCTCGGATCTATTAGGAAACTTTTGATTGATTAGAAAGTGTGCCTTCAGTTATCCAAGCATCACCTCTTAAAGAGCTTACCTATAGAATATGTGTGTGCATTTGTAAGAAGCAAAGAAATAATGCTTTTTTTCTTCTTGAGAAATACTGTATTTGTACCCACACTTCTACACATTTAATTAAAACTGCTTTTAAACTGTACAGGGGCAGCAGCTAAGATCACGTTGAGTAATGACCCAGAAAAAAACTTTCATTTGATTCTCCATATATACATTAACATAAGAATGTTAAGTAAGCATTTTAAAATTGTCCTTTCCAGAGGAGTTAGGATTGGATCAAGACTAAGGGTGCAAATCTTATGCACAATTAGACTTGAAAATTCCTATAACTCCCAGCATAATAGGACTTGTAGGCCATTTTTGGTCCCAATGTGCATCCAGTTGTGCCTTTAGGGATACCTAATGTATACCCATTGACATCAATGGGACTGAACTCCGTCATAACAGATCATGCCAATTTCAGTGGCTCTGTTCTAGGAGAGACCAACACGGTTAGATTGTCAGACAGACTAATCCGGAAATGCATGACAAATGTTAAAAGAAAATAAGAAAGCAAAATTGTTTTTGTGTCTGTGGGGCATATGGAACACGTCCAAATTTCAAAGGAGCTTTTTGTTTTAAGAAACAAATGTTTATTTCAGAATGTGCATGAGTAATAGGAAATTCGCCATGGAAAATTTCATAAAGTCATAAAGCCTAGTTTTGTTTAATGGGTAGCGTTTACTGCTTTTCCAGCTTTTTTTTTTGGCATAGCTTCCCCCAATGTACCTTCAACATGCAGAAATTCAACCCCTTATCATGGAGATGCAGCCATTTGTAGATCTTCACCTGTTGAATTTCTGCCTGACACACAGTTGTTAAATACATGTGGTGGGATGGGGTGGAAAGTCCTGGCTTTTCAATGAGGCCTAAAACTTCCAGACTACATTGCAATATATTCCTTCTACCACAGTTTGACAGAGGAATTATTTTAGAAAATAAAATGCTGCATTTTGCCATGATCTTCTGATATTTTTGATTTGAAGACATCCTCGTAACTCCAGTGGCTGGACTTGAAGCTGTGGATTGTGGGCTGTTTTCCCATCATGCAATACTGCGTGATGGACAGACTGAAATGGCCCAGCGGTCCCGAATTACCCACAATGCCTTGCGACCCATTTTCTCACCCTACTCAGCCTTCCATGGCATGTGAATGGGCACAATCCTGGGCAAACGGTCCTACGAGGCTTTCTGCTAGAGCCTGAGGGGGCCTGAGGACGTCTGCACAGAGCCACCCCCAATGGGCCAATGCCCTCGCCACCTTCCCTTCGTGCGTCAGACTCATCTTCACCCATCCGGGATTTCAGCAGGCCTCTGTCACTCATTAACTAATTAATATTTGCTCGTTAAATATTCCTCTGAAGCAGTGTAAACAGCTGCCGGGCTTTGGCCTTGTGCCTGCTGCTTCAGCCTCCACCCCCCCGCCACCCCCCCGCCCAGCCAACCATCTTGGCCCTTCCGCCCCACCCTGGAGCTCCCAGAATGCTCTGCTACAGGCTGCAAGACCAGCTCTGGCCAACCGGGTCCCTTCCAAGCGGCTTGGGCCCCGACACCCATCAGCCCCAGCCAGCAAGGCCGGCCATCAGGAATGCTGGGAGTCGTAGTCCAAAACAACCACTGGTCGCCAGGTTAGGATAGGCTGCACTAAACCCCGTTCCCCTACCCAGAGCAAAATGGAGGGCCAGACTGGGGCTAAGGCAGTCCCAGGGGCCCCAGTCATAAAGAGTACCTCTGAGCACGTCAAGGAGGTGCTCTGAGGCCAGCCTCGCCGTACCCGGCACGAGAGAAGGGGAGAGTCCTAGGGTAGGGATTCATGTGTACCTTAACCAGCGACATGGCTCCTTAACCCCCAGGGAACCCCAAGGCGGCCCTACAAGTCTCCTCGCGCTCCCCCCCACCTCACCAGCATATGCTCGGCCAGCCATCCTTCATCTTTGGCGATGCACGAGGCGATGCGCAGGGCAAAGCACTTTTTCCCCAGAAGCGAGTTGCCCCCGTAGCCGCTGCCGAAGGAGACGATCTCCCGGCGTTCGGGGACATGCGCAATTAAGGTCTTCTCGGGGTTGCAAGGCCAGTGGTTCACCAGCTCGCCTGGGGGTTGGGGCGGAGGAGAAGAAGCAAAGGTCAGAGACTGCACATCTCTGGACAAATTCTGCAAACACTTCCAAATAACTGGGACTTTCAACCAAGGGCCATTCCAGCGGCCCTGCTGTAGGGAATCAACAACCGGTGCCGAATCTCTTGCTGTCTTTACTCAGACTAAATGTGTACCCATGGAGGCCTTTCTACGCAACCTCTCTGTCACTTCGACGCACGAGGCAGTCTTGCGAAGGAGAAGCAAGAAACATCCAGCGACCTGCAGCACAGCGTGGCTGAGCCTGCAGGACGGACTGCGTGAGGGTTAATACCAACTCCGCCAGTAGCAGTCATTCCACAAATCAATAAAGTTTTGCCTGAAACAATTCAGGGGCATAAAGTTTGTTCTTGAAAAATCTATGAGGCTTGCAAATGCTCAACACTTTTAAATTCTCTTTCTGTGATCGAGAGATTAACAGACAGACTGCAAACATGGACTTTAAAAGCCCTGGGAGTTGCAGAGAAACTTATCCATATTTAGTGAAAATGTCCTACAACCAGCCAGCCATGCTGGGAGTGGTAAGATCACCCTCCTGCCCCATCTAACTTAAACTGCAGCTCAGGTGAGATAAGCATCAGTCTTCCTGTATTCACCAGTCTAAAGAACTCACAGTTCTTGCGCCACTGGAATGCAGACCCTAGCGTAATCAATTCCATCCTTCGGATGTCAAAGTATATAAAATGCAACCATCGAATCCTTTTTCCTTCTTTGCATTAAGGATTATTGTGCATGGAGGATTATTGTGCATTAAGGATTATTGTGCTTGGGTCGTGTTATTATTGCATTATTATTATTGGGTTATTATTTGCATTAAGGATTATTGTGCTTGGGTCGTGCTTGCCTCTGTTTCCTCTCGCTTCCATCGCTGTTTTTGTCACGTTCGCAACGAGAAAGAGAAAGGAGAGCGAGCAGGGAGGGTGTCCCCAGAGGAGGCTCACTCTTGACCCGCACAGAGAAGAGACTTACCATCCAAGGGCAGGGGGCGCCCCACGGAATGCAGGCACCGGACAAACTCGCCGTCCCCCAGTGCTCGGAGGGCCGCGGCGCCCATGCGGGTCATGATGCGCATGCTGGCAACCACGTAGGCCGAGTCCGTGAGCTGGATCCCGATCTTGGAAAGGGGCGAGCCGATGGGCCCCATGCTATAAGGGATGACATACATGGTGCGGCCTATGGGGGAAGACGGAGTGGGTCAACAGAGGGGAAAGCAGGAATAGTGCTGGAGACAAGCGGGCGGGAATGGAGGGGAAGGGAAGAGTGTGGGAATATGAGAGGGCGGCTTCCTGGATGGATGGCGCAGAAGAAGGATTCGCGGTCGGGGAAGAGATGATCCATGGGCGTTCGGAGGAATGGAGACATGGAACACAAAGGGGCAGGGATGCAGATAAAGGAGAAACGGAAGGAGGGCCGGTAAGCGAGGAGCCAAATATTCAGCCACTCATCTTGTCCCACTCAACAAACTGGGGTTCAGGCGGGAGCGCATACTCCATAGACCAGGAGTGGGGAACTCTGGAGGGCTGGGGGGCTGCCCCACAGCCCGGCGGGGGCTGCATCCCTTCCTCCTGCCAGAACTGGCTGCATTGCTGAAATTCCAACAGAACTGGGCTTTCAGCTTTTATTATTTCACAAGCTCCGTTCCGTGGAGATCAGCTGGGAAGGAAGCGATACGGGGAATTGTTTTGGGGGAGGGTTGCTGGGAGCCCCGCTTTGCTGGGGAACATGGGCACATGTCCTCCACATGTCTTGTTTCGTAGAAGAATCGCTTGGATTTGGGGTTTGGGGACAACAACTAGAACTGGTGGCGGGGGAGCTGCATGCAGCCAGCCCCCCGTCCTGATGGAAAAGCCCTCCCTCGTAACCCTCTGCCTCCCACATCCATCTCCTCTTCACCTTTCATGCAACCCGGGAACCGGTCATGCACTGCCTCCTGGAACGTTTGGGGGCTCATCCAGTTGCCCAGTTGCCCTTTGACCCCCGGAGCAGGGATGGGCACGGTGTCCCGCTGGTTCTCGGTCACTATGACTGTCCGGCTCTCCACACGGGCCACATCCTTCGGATCAGTCTTGGCTAGCCAGCTACAGAAAGACACAGAAACGACTGAGCGTCAGCTCCGGGCTGCATCGCAAGGACTCCCCAGGGGGCCTCCCGGCAGCTACGCAAGGCCGGCCGGTGCTCAGCTCCAGCACCCAGCCCTGAGGGGCTCACCAGTTTTCATATTTGGTAAGAGGTTTGATGATTCCTTCCGACTCCAGGTGGTTCAAGATCTTGTCATTCTCTTTCGCAGTCCCGTCGCAGATGTGGACGTTGTCCGGCTGGCAGAGTTTCACCCCGTGCTCCACAAATTCCTGCACCCGCCCGGAGAGCTTGCTGAGGTCTCCGTGTAGAACCCGTGGCGCATGGGCCCAGCGCACTGGGCCGGCAGCCCAGCACCGGAGGGAGGAAGCTCCTAAGCTGCAGCAGAGCAGAGGAGGCCTCGGGTCAGGATGCTATCTGCTCGGACGCCACACCCCGGGCGTGCAAGACTCGTGCACAAGCAGATCCAGGCACACCCCAAAGTGCCCACGTTCCCCTACAGCCCCTCAAGCACGCGAGAGCCTTGCGCAAGCCTGGCTGTGCAACCTCACAAAAACAAACCGGAAATCCATGCGTGGCAATGTGCGGTGGAATCACAAGTGCGCACACAGACGCAACTTTAAAGACCCGTGCAAAAGAGAGCCTATGGACCCCTGTGGGTCGGAGTGGTATTAGATACCATATGCCATGCCCAGACTTCCTCAAACTGCCGCCCCTTTCTCAAGCGGGAGATCACGAGCAGGAGTGTTGGAAATCAGCACTTTTACTTTATTTAGAGAATTTGTATGCCGTCCCATCGCATCGCCTCGGGACGGCTTGCATAAATAAAACAAAACATAATGCACATAAAATCCAGATCCACCCTGGATCCACATCTTCCAGGGAATATAAGCACATGTCTAAGCTTGGTGTTTTTCTTTCCAACGATGCCTCAGAGGCAGTAACTCATTTAGAGCAAGGTTAAGCCAAGGATCAGTGATTTCTGAGAAAACCGGGGGCGTGGGATCACGGGAACCACCTCCGAAAGCAGCCACAAACACTCCAGGTTTAATTGTGCAGGGAGGCACCAAACAGCCTTCTGTCTGGGACTGTAGAGGAGGTATCCCAGAAGCCTTTGCAGACTTTCCCACAATGCACAGCAGCCACATATTGGTGGTGATGGTGGGGAAGCAGCGGCACGCACAGTCCCAACAGGCAAACCAGCAAAGAGCAAGACTGGGGCGCTGTCGATGTGAAGGGGGTACATATCCCGCCTCGCAGAGATGTGATTTCTCGGGGATCGTGAGAATAAAATTCACGCAGAAGTGATCAAAACTTGCGCACGCTTTTCATAGCAAGCCGCGACACTTTTTGCCTATGTGCCACACACATGGGCAAATCAACTTTTGCACACACACCTCCAGGGTCAAGCGAAGCTGGTGGCATCGCTCTCAAGTGCCCACTCCGTGCCTTGCATGTATCTGGAATCCACTTCATCGTTTAGCTCAGTCTTTGCCGCACGCACGCAAAATCCCACCCGTGTGGTGTGTGACAGAGCAGAGTCCAGCAACAACACCCCCCCGCCCCAGTGTCCCAGCATGGTGCGGCTCCTTTGAAGCACACAACTCCCTGAGCCTCGCAGGGCAGATCTGGGGTTGAGGTGAGGGTGCGCGGATCCCCTCACCCCCCTGCCCCCCCAGTTTGGCCGGCGGCCCGGGAAGGAGTGGAGCAACTCTGGCCCAGCGCCAAACGCAGAGTAAAGGGCAAAGGGGCAGAGCAGCTTGGAGTGGACTTTCACCCAAGCCAAGGATTCGCACAAGCAGGGAGGGAGGCCCGGCAAATGCCCCGGGGGCACGGGTCCACGCGGGAACAGGCTGTTCCCAGATCTAGATCGCCCTCCCCCTGCCACAGCTTCCATTTATCGTCCTCTCCTTGCTTTAGGGAGCTTTCATAATTAAAAAAAAAAAAAAGCGGGGTGGGGGGGGAGAGAAGCCACTTGGCTCAGCAAATTCACAGGGTGCTTCTCTTAAAATAGGAACATGAAGTTATCTACCATGCTGACTCAAGATATCAGAAGAGCCAGGTTCCAATCGTTCCACATCTCCACCTCGTCTGAGCCTCAGTGTCCCCATCTATAAAATGGGAACCTGAATGGCCTCTGCAGCCGATCGAGGAAGATGCACAGCTGGATCATTTTTTGCAGCAGACCAATGGTGCAACTCCAGATGTGTTTGCTCAGACATAAACCCCACCAATCTGTGGGATCTACTCCCAGATGAAATGCACTTTTTTTTAGCAAGAACACAAAACTGCTCCATAGCAACCCTGGGATGTCACTCAACAGGGCTCACATTTTAACAGCGGGGGAAATGAGGCTGAGAATGAAAGAGGCTGAGAAAGAATGTGATTTAACTAAGGCCAAAAAATGACTCCAAGGCAAAGATGCCACTGGGAACCCAAGACCTCTTTGAAAAAGGCATCCTTGGCGAAAGGTAATTTCTAATTAGTATTCCGTTATCTGCTTATAAATGGGCTTTATAGTCTTCCTGCTCTCAAATCCTCAATAATCCCTGGAACTGCATACTCTCGCTTCATCCATCAAACAAAGAACCAAGTGTCACAGAACACAACACCCGCTGCCTCTCAGGCAGAATATTATGGCATGGGGGAGACCAACCCAGCCCCATAGATTAGCTAGCGAAGGAACAGCTATTTGGAAGCTTGCTTTGTTACCCATAAAAACTCTGAAACTAAGAACGAATGTCTAAATTTTGCTTTATTTTTCCTCCTCCCTCCCCATCCCTCTTCCTTTAGTGCTGTGCCTTTTGGATTTCAAGTCTCCCTACGCAACTCCAGGAGTCGCAGAGCAGGACGGGACCAGTGCAGAGCAGATGTGAGATACGGCTGAGGGAGCCCAAACAGAAGGCTGGTTTTGAGGCTTTCGGTCTGGGTGCAGGAGTTGGAGGAAGAGCCAGGAGCCGCAGGTTGGGGGCAGGAAAGGTCTCTATCTTTTTAGGGTCGAGATTAGCCCCGGTTATCTGGGCTGGAGCGATTGCAACGAACATAAAACCGAACGTGAAGCCAAGCGGACGTGAACCGGCTCACAAGACTGGCGTTTCCTCTTCAGGGTGAAAGGTTGCAGGGAGGGGGGCTAGTCCCTGGGGAGGAGAGTGCGGGTGACGTGGAGGGCGAGAAGAGGAGGAAGCGAAGGGCCCAGGATAGTCCGGCAAGCAAGGGAGGCATTCCCGGGCGACGGGGCCTCGTCCTCCCGTCCCAGACGCAGGCCCGTCGCGGCGACGCGGGGGCGCTTCCCTGCACGGCCCCGCCCCGGCGGTCCGCAGCGCATTCACACGACCAGCAGGGCGGCTCAAGGACGGGCAGCGTGCAAAGGCACGGGGGAAGGAGAGCAGGCCGGCGTGCAAGTCAGGAGCTGAGCGCAAGGCATGGGGTCGAGCCAAGGCGCCGGACGAGCCACGAGGAGATCAGGCGCGGGAGGGGCGGCGGAGGGGCCGGGCGACGCGCGAAATCGGGCTGGGGGCAAGGGGCGAGCCGGGGCGAGCCAGCCTGCGGAGCGCCACGGGCGGCTGCAACGGCTTGCCATTTTGCAGGCGGTAAACCGAGGCCGGGCGACTGCTCCCGCGGAGGGGCGACGGCATCCCGCCGCTGTGCAACCATCGCGTGCTGGGGGGTCATATTCCCACGCACGTTACGAGCGTGCAAAAGACGCGAGAGGGGGAGAGAGAGAGGCACGCTCAGGGTCATTTTGATGCGGACTATTATTGCAAGGCAGGGAAAGCCTGCCCCGCCCCGCGTGCGCCATAGCGGGGACCCTCGTGCAGCGCCCCCTCCTCCAACAGGGTCGGGGCCGCAAAGGCTCGGTCGGCGGCGATGGAGATGGCGAGAGGGGCGCGCGAAGGAGAGGACGGGGCCGCCCCCCCACCTGGTGCTCCCCGGAGGCGTCGCCCGCCAGCCAGGGATGCTGGGAGTTGTAGTCCAACACATCTGGGGGCGCCGAGTTGCGGGGAGACTAGGAATTGGGGGGGAGGCAGGTAGCAAGGGGCGGGGCGGGGAAAGGCGCGCTCGGGCGGGGGGCGAGGGGCGATGCGGCCGGCGAGGGGAGGGGGAGGGCGGCGGGCCCGGGGGCCCCGGGAGGCGCTCACCCCACGATCCGCGTGTACGGCGCCGGCATGCTGTCCCCCTGGCTGGCTGGCTGGCTGGCTGGCGCGCGCGCGCAGCCCCCTCGCGCCTCCGCAGGATGGACCCAGGCGTCCGGGAGCAGGGTTAAGAAGCCAGGGGGAGGAGACCGGCGGCGGCGCGGGGAGGCGCGAGGAGCCTTCCCGGGCTCGGCGCGGGCCCGCCCGCCGCCGCCCTCATAGGCCACGGGGGGACCGGCCCCGCGCCCGCCCCGGCTCCACGTCGCCGCCTGCGGATGATGAAACCGCCGCGCGCTCTTGCCAGGCCGGGGGAGGCGCGGCCCGGGCGCAGCGCGCGCCCGCCCGCGATCCGGCGCGGCCCGGGGGAGCGGGACCGAGCGCCCCTGGGCATGTGCGGAGCGAGGGGCAACGGAGCGGGTGCCTTCGCGGAAGGGTCGGGCCACCGCTCCCCGCATCCCCCAGCAGAGCGGAAGCCCCGAGGAAAAATAAAACCCCTGAGCGTGTGCAGAGCTCCTGTCATTGTGGAAAAACCACAAACAGTGCCCCCTCCCAGATGCATTGGACTACAACTTCCAGCAGTCTGGAGACATCTGGCGCGCCCTTGCCCACTTGGGGGGGGGCGGGGTGAAGGGGGAGGCCTTGCCGGTCAGAGGAGAGATTCCTGGGGGGAGGGGGGGCTTTTCTCGCTGCACCACCCTGTCTCCTTTAAACATGCCCACCTAGCATCACGCTCTGTCTCTTGCAGCCCCACCCCTTCTTTCTAGAGCCAGAGCTGCAGGCATGAAAGACTTCCCTGAGCATGCACAGAGTAATTTCTCTGCAGCTGCACATACACCTAACATTAAGTGCAGGCCTTTGTGTTCCAGGGCAGTGGAGGCAGCATCAACACTGGCCAGAACCCCTGAACCTCTCTTTATAAGTCCAGGAAAAGACCTGCTACCCTGGACAACATTTGGAGAAAACAGTCCCAGAGGGAAACCCTCTGCTTCCAGGGTGACTCCCTTCTGCTTCTTGGGCTTGTGCTTCTTGCCGGGTGGCTGCTAACACCAGAGCCTCCGGGACATACCTCCTGTGTTCACATCCAGGTGTTCACATCCAGGTGTTCACATCTGTTGGAATTGCAGCGGCCCACGGAGAAGCCGCCAAGCCCTGCTCAGCAACGCCTCTCGGATGTGCTGTGGGCATCTCTGGGGATGCTTCCTTTGGGCGGGAATTTGCGGCTGCTGTGCATTTTCTTCTTGAGAAATCAGTGATAAAGGCAGATGTGCACGGGCTGTTAATTTACCGTCCAGTGATGCAACCGTGAACAGCATTAAACCAAACTGGCAGGGATTCCTGAGGCTCTTTAAGATGCAAAGAGATTTAAGGTGCAGTCTGAGGCCGGCTTAAGACCAAAACAAGTGGGGGGGTTTTCCAGTCTACAACTGCATAGGTTTACACCCTCACCCTTCATTCTCAAAGGATAAAAACAAGCACCTATAAGAATGAACTTCCTGTTTGCCAATTTGAATGCCTTTCCTGAACCATCAATTTCTTCTGGATATTTATTTAGCTATTCAGACATAGACTGCTTTGAAATGGAAGCAGAAAATTCTCCTTGGAGTTCAATCCTGACATCCTGCATTTTTTTTTAAAGGATCAGGTACCAAATGTGTTACTCTTGTATCTGTATTAAATTACATTAATTAAAGAAACAGTGTTCCACAGTCAGACAAGCTCAAACCCTGGAAGGGAAGGGACGACGCACCATTTGGGGACCCTGGAGAAGCTTCAAGTTACGGGGTGGCATAGAAATGGAGTTAAATCAGTAAATATAGCGGCTTGTCTGCAGGAGGGCCAGTTTTCCCAACCCCACTAGTCCAAATCCGGTGACACAAAGGCCCTGAAATGCCAGGATGCAGCTCAGAGGAGACCAGCCGCCCTCCACCTGGTGCTCGCCAGAGGTTTGACTGCATTTCCCATTGACCGCAGCCAGTCTGACCTCCGTGTAGCCCAGGGATGTGGGTTGTTTCCAGGGGCCTGAATCCTCCCCAGAAACAGTATGGCAGGCCAGAGGGCCTGGCACTCCTCTGACCTTTATCCATGGCTCTCTGTGCCCCAACGCCTGGGGTCTTGGCTCCACCCTCTTTGCTTTTGGTTTCACCCTTGAGCCTGGGGGACCTACCCCCCCCCCCCAACCCCCGCCTTGCCGCCCCCCCACCGGGGGGGGGGGGGGCCCCCCCCCCCCCCCCCCCCGGCTGAGTCCCAAACCATTTGCCTTCCTCAAGACCCAGTTCACTTGCTCATCATAGGTAATTTTCAAGGGAGGTTGTGGCTGGACGGGCAAGAATCAGCCCTCTCTCCCCAAATGCACCCGTGCAGCCATTCAGCTTCGGAAAAAAATCTTTCCGTTGGTCTCAAGCAGGGTAGGGGGATTTCCAAGGGAATCAAAGCTGGACTAACCCCCCCCCCCCCAAATCCCTCTCCCCATGGCAGCTCAACTTGGAAGAGAAAACTTTCCATTGGTGCTGGGGGAACCATTGAGTGCCAAAACTTGTAAAGAGCCTAGCAACGCCCCAATTAAAAAGCAAGAAAGCACCCACCAAAGGCAGCCTGGGCATTCAGGTTTAAAGAAAAGTGCCGAAGTCTAACAACCTAAGGATGAGGAATTTTTCAGTGCTGCTTATATAGGTTTGCTTGGAAGTAAACACTGCTCGTGTCCAGGAAAGCGTGTGTGTCCAGCGCCACGGCCTTAACTAGGCTAGTAGGTGGAGGCAGGGGCGAACAGAGGTGAGGGTATCCAAAGGTTATTGGGACAGAAAAGTCAATATATTCCTGTGATGACACGACTGTGGACTGCAAGGAACAGAATGTGCCTCTAGCACTCACTGGAACAGAGTACCAAGAGCAGAATACAGAAAAAGAGCCATCCTTCCCTTAGCAAGGCTGGAAGTTTTAAAGGAAAATAGGCGATTATTAGAAAGATCTTGAAAATAAATGCAGTGTAAGTGACTCGTGCATGAGAAAATGTACCAGTCTTCCTACTCACGTGGACCGGGATTAATCCTTCCAGGCCTCAAAGCAACCGAAAGAACCACCGTTTGTTAGATTTCCTGTTCTAGTCACCTACAGACGACTCTCAACACACCACAGGCGACTAGGCCAAAGGCTGTTTACAGATGTGCAAACTTTCCTTTTTGACGGGGGGGGGGGCACTGCCACGGGCCAGCCAACTTGGGCAATATTCCTAATGGGAAGGCACAATAAAATGGTAATTAATAACCAACTGCAGAAGCAGCAAGCATTCCTTGGAAGGTTCCAGTCCTCAGAATATCTGGGAAGTAAGCTAATTTTGTACACATGGAAGTCTCCCTCTTTCAGCCCTTTGAGCACAAATCCGGTATTAGGCGGCACAGAAGAACGGGATTTCCAGGCTATTAAACACTCTGCACTTCTCACTCTGGAAAGGGAGCCCCACTTCTGTAAGAGTACCCCGTAAGCACTCCTGCTGCATCAGGCAACATCTGGCCGCCAGGTGGCATTGCCTGCCTACGAGTCGGAGAAGGCCGGGCTGGTGGGAGAGGCAGATCCACCATCTGGGTGGATAACTTCGTGGTCCTGCAACTGCAGGAGCTCCCTGGACTGACCCCGGCAGCGGCCTCCACCGCTGCTTGGCTGCAGCACGCTCTCCGCAGCCCCCTTTCAGCTGGAGGAAAAGCGGCGCGGGACAATGGAGGCTTCCCCTTACGGTGCACCCCGTCTTCTGGGGCCCGCTTTGCAAAGAGGGAGTTTGGCTGGGGAACCTTCTCCTGGATCAGGGCCTTGGCCAAGTCTCTGCTCTGCAGCGATGCAAGCCCCCCCGCCTCCACACACCTACTCACGTGTGTCCTTTCCCCCCAAAGAGTACATTGCTGGCTGGCATCCAGGAAACCAACTGGAAAGAAAAGGAGTGAAACGGAGGGAAGCGATTCTCCACGTGGAAGCAAGCAATTCCCCCCTTTCCTTTTTGGCTCATGTCAAACCCCTTTCGGCCAGGGCCAGGTCCATCTTCATGGGGCCCATCGTCCACAGGTGGGCAGGGCCAGAGACAAAAGGGGAGCAGCTAAATTACCCCCAATCCCCAGCAAATTTTAGTTTCACGTTCTCACTGCGTGTCACGGAAGGGACACAGTGCAGCCTTTTGGAGCAAGCCGATGCAAAAAATGGGAACCATGAAATGATCAGTGGACGGGGAAAAGAGATGAGGCCCTCTGATGGGGAAGTCACCATCTCGGGAACCTTCTGTGGGTGAAATTTGAGCAGTAGGTCTCTTTCCAACCCCCTGTTCTACAGGCTTTTACCAGTGCAGGATCGCAAACAAAGCATTGTCTGATAATAGGGAGAGAATTTGCTATCGGCATGGTAGCAAAGCTGTCGCCTGCCCAGATGATGGCAGAAGATGCAAACCCCTATTCTGGTTTGCACAGTTACTATATTTTGTTTATATCCCACCTTTTCCTTCTGGGTTTGTCTTTTTCCACTTTTGAGATATTCCATTATCCAACCACTAGGTGGCACTGTGATGCAGTTGCCATATAGTAGAACTGCGCAAATGCATTAGATTCTCATTCCAGTTTATTCCTTTGTTCAAATGTAATAGCTGGGGCTCCGCACTCTAAAAAAAGCCACAGAAATGGATGGAAGACATGGAAGAGGCCTGGGGGTCATAAGCAAGCAATAAAGACCTTGTGCAAAAAAGACCCACATCTCTAGACACACAGATGCAAGGAATCAAATGAAACGGACCCACAACAGACCAGATCCAAGCAAAGCTGGATCACCCTGCGCATCTCTCCAAAGTGAGCCACCCAGGACAAGAACAAGACCACACCCAATGAATTTCTATGAGCTCAGTCTGAAGTCAAACATATCCCAAGATCTCTCGGACTACATCTATATGGACTCGCAATTATTAGGAAGATAATTGCTCTTCCTAAATCTCCCCACACCCTTTTAGTCAAGCTGGCCTTCCATTTTCTTCAAAAATACATGCGTTCTCCAGCTGCCACTCTCTCCCAGAGCAGTTAGAATGTTTATGCGTGTTCCATGAAACCCCATTTTGGCCAAAATGGGAACATAACCAGTGAATGGTGTGAAATAAGCCAGCATCTACCAGACTGCAGGTGGCACAGTGGTTTAA